GAAAAGAACGATTACAGTCATGAGCGCCTACAATCATCGGTACAAGATCCCATCCCTTTTCGACGCTGCGGGCGAATATGTCCAAAATGCGGTCTTCATGTCATCCGCAACGTTGTCCGCCTCATTATTAAACGGCCCCTTGGGATCAATCTTACGGGCGTATCGGGAGATCACGAAAGCTTCGACAACAAAAGAGCAGTCACTGAGCTATGTGAAAGCTGTCCATCAAGCTACCAAACGCGGCAAGAGGCTTCTGCCTCTATTTCTAGGGCGAGCCGACGCCCGCGTCTTAATATTTAATAATCTGTCGAAGCTTAATTACATCACGGCACCGGACTTCAGCCACGCCATTCTGCGCGATGGACTGACCAGAAACGGTGAAAATCCCCCTGGGTCTTTAGTGTGCGCCTACTTTTTCCTTTGGCCAGAAGGTCCTGAGAATAGCATGGATTGTTTAGTGCCAATTGGAAAAGACCACGCTGGCAGCCTTCACCTTGTGGGCACTTTTCGTCCAATCGTTTGGACCGCCATCGAGTCGGAACTCGAGAGGATCTAGATGCTTAGGAGTTCGATGATCCTACTCTACAAAGGGCGGCCAATACACGGGCACCCAGGTGCCCAAATAAAGTAGCGCACCCAGTGCCCAGATTTGGTAATCGACCGTCTACGGTATACAGCGCTCATCATATGTCGATCAAATCAACTTTGGCCTCGAAGTTGATTCGATTGACAGGATTCGGATTCGGAATTGATTTGTTTGATTTGTTTGATGCACTATATCAACTTGAAACGTAGCGAGCTTAAGATAGCTTTGCAGAAGCTCCCGTATTGCGGCTTAGCTACTCGGCCAATTACCCAGCTTGACACCACCATGCCGTACCCAACCAATTCTTAACGCACTGCACTCGCTCCAGTGTATCTGCACTCATGGAAAGCCTTTGTGACGTCAATGTCAGCTTAGCCAGGCTGAATTGCCTCTCGCAATCGCTGGCCATCGCCGGAATAGCAAACACGTCTAGAGCGAAGCTGCTGAGCGAGGGGAATGAGGATTTATGCTCCATCCACCACTAAATAGGATCCTGAGTATCCTGCGGTTCAAGGCGAAGATATCTGTCCAACTCGCTGTTGTTGCCACCCATCTCAAGCGCCATCTTCGTTTTGCTGTTGATCCATTGGGTGTACTGGTCATCTTCCTGGCCCATCGTCCGTTGTGCTGAGTTGTCCAGCTCGGTCTAACAACTATTCTCCTACTCAAGTATTCTTAGTGGAAGTGCGCCGCATTTCCACTTCTAAGCCAATCATAGCCCCTGTCCGCCACCCCGGCCTTTTGGCAATTGAAAACCCACCGCACTTTCGGTACGTATCGAAGTGCGCCGCATTTCCACTTTCCTAAACTAGCAAATTGGAAACCCGCCGCACTTTCGGTACGTACCGACATCGCGCTACCCATCGACGCCTATAGCGTCGCGTCGCATCGCGTAGAGTCAATCTCGTAGGCAAGACGGGGGGCTACCATTGTCGCGAACCGTGGCCTGATTTCGCAGTTGGAGATATCCCTTGGCAGGAGGGACCTAGGAAGCTGAAACCCCGGTTTAGAAGAAGGAGCTAAAAAGAGGCGCAGAGAGGAGGGTGGGGGCATAAGGGGAAGCAGAAGTGGCGATGGCTTCCTATAGAGGTGGCGAGAGATAAGACGGAGAGTAATACTATTTATACAAAGACACATCGCTATTCGTACAAAGGTCCCATTTTTAAGATACGTACCAACACCAGCCCGCCCCGCCCATTTATACCGCGCCCGCATGGCAGGTAGCGGTACCGCCTAAACGCCCGCGCCCCCACCCGCCTATACACACACACACACACAAGAGGCAATAAAGGCCATATAACGCATGCCTCTCAATTCGCTTAAATAACGCATTTCCGGGCCTTAAGCTCGAAGTTGCAACAATCGGCCCGTCAATTGATCCGGCTCCTCCTCTGGCCCTTACGGCTGTGTGGGCGGCGGCGGCGCCGCCGCCTTAATTGCATCCCACTCAACGATCCCTCCAACGCCTGACGAAGCCGGCTGCCCTGACGAAGCCGGCGGCGCGCCCCTCCTGCCGCGTCCTCCTCTTGATCCCCTTCCCCTTATATTTCCTCGGGCGGTCGATCCTTATTGTGACGCTGTGAGAGATCGCGGACTATCTAAGTTCGTCGATTTCGTTGTGCCCCCGGCGCCTTCGAATGCTTGCGTTAAGCCGCCTTGAGCTGGCCTGACTCGAATTGGGTGCTGTTGTGATGCCGTCACCGTCGTCGCCGCCGCCGCCGCTGCTGCTGCTGCCGCTGCTGCCGCCGCTGGTTGTGATGCCGTTCCTACGAGGGAACCCGGCACAGGCAGCTTGTTATTGCAGGGCCGGCCGCGTGTGACTGTAATAACGTTAGGATCGCGGATTCGTAGCAATAGCACGTCGAGGTCCTAGAGGTAGTAATTAGTATAAAAACCACTATTAAGGGGGGGGTCTTTACTAATAGCTTCTTAAGCCACTATCGTGCTAAAACATCACGCTTCTTAAGCTTTACCTTAGCTTAGGCATAAGGTTGTAGGCATCGTAGGCTTCGTTTAAGTCGCCTTACGGCGCAGGGGTAATTAAGGAGAGAGAAGAGGGTCTATTGCAGCGCTAGCGATAGCTTCAAATTAATATATGTATGCGTGTGTGTAGAATGTAGGTAGGGTCTTGTATGTGTGTGTGTGTGTATGGGCGGGCGGGGGCGCGGGCGTTTGGGCGGTACCGCTACCTGCCATGCGGGCGCGGTATAAATGGGCGGGGTGGGCTGGTGTTAGTACGTATCTTAAAAATGGGGCCTCTATACCGAATAGCGATAGAGTATTACTATTTGCCCCGGAGCAAATCTCTATTCGGCCCGGATTCTCTAGAAATCCTCTTTTTTAATTAGATAATATATATCTTAGTTATTATTACGATATCTTAAGTATCTTCAAGTCTCGTCTTATACGTCGCGCTCACCTCGCGCGGGGGATAAACCCCTATAGTAGGGCCCCTCCCTAAGGGGGACCCCTCCCCTACTAGCTCGGGCGCTCGAGTACGCTTTTCCGAAGTTAGACCTCTCTAGAAATTTCTAAGGATTTTCTATTAAGAGATAGCTAATATAAAGTACTAGCTAGGAACATCTAGGTACTTTCACTTTAGCGGGTTAGGCCGAATAGAGATTTGCTCCGGGGCAAATAGTAATACTCTAGCGATATATCTTTATATAAATAGTATTACTTATATATATAATTACGGAGGAAGCTTTTAATAGTCGTTGCTAACGCTAAAATAACCCCTATTAAGATAAAGGAAGAATAAAGAACCCCGCACACGTACTTTTCCTCCTATATCTATAATTTCCCCTTAATTTCTTTACTTAACTATTATTTCTCTTATAAAATAAAGACTAATATTTTAACTTAAGCATTAATTATTACGTTAAAGGCGCCTTATAGCGGCAAATTATCGGCAGAGATTTCTTCTTTAACCGGAATTTCGATTTATACGATTAATAGTATATACGCTCGAGCAATTAAGCGAGGCTTCTAGCTAAACTAGCTACCGTTAACTATACGAGACGAATAGCTTTAAGATGCTCCTTATTCTAGCCGTCCGTCTAAGCAAGCTGCTATTAAAAATAAGGTTTTTAAGAAGGTTCGCCGAGACCGGTACGGAAGGGAAAAAAACTATACTAATATTGCTACCGAGCTTAATTTAGCAGGGCATTTAGTGTCTTCTATTACTATATAAAGGGTATTAAAGAAAGCTAGTTTCCGGAAGACTAAGCCGACGAGGAAGCCTAGATTAACGAAGAAGATAATAAGAGACCGACTCGAGTAGTGTTTCTCGCATAAAGACTAGACCCTTAAGGATTAGAAGAAGGTTATTTAGTCTAACGAGACTTCGGTTATTCTTTTACACCGCCGAGGAAGCTATCGCGTCTAGAGAAAAGCTAACGAACGTTTCGTTCGTAGCTATATTCGCGAGAGATAGAAAGGATCCTCCGAATTTATATTCTAGGGCTGCTTTTCCTACGATAAAAAGGGCCCTTATTACTATTAGGCTCTAGAGACTGCTACGGAGAAGAAATCTTCCGAAGAAGATATCGCGAAAATAAACTAGGAATTAGAGCCCTTAATAAAAGAGACGTGGGAACTTAATAACGGCATACGACGACTAAACCTACGGCAGCTTCCCGGACTAAAGCCTAAGTAGCGATGGAATTTAAAGAACGGCAAGCTCTCCCGAAGCTCTAAGCGCGGCGGCATTAATTAGTATCGCTACTAAACTAAGATCTTAATTCTAAAGCTCTTTCCTTTCGTAAAGGAATGCGAGAAGGATCTTCCTAGGATAATTATATAAGAAGATAAAGCTCCGGCTTATAACTACTATATCTAGCAGCAGGTATATAACTTATATAAAGTCCGGCGCCTTCTTTAGTATAGCAATTCGCCTAATCTTAATGCTATTAAGCCTTGCTAGCCTTAGCTAAAAAGAACTACTACGAAAAAAGGCGCCCCGAAAAGCCGGGCTAAAGCTATTTCTGCTTAGGAGGTAGCTTAGAAAGAGCTTCCGTAAGAGAAGATATAAGGCTAGATTAAGCGAATTCCTCGGCATATATAGAAAATTATTGAATTAAAAGGCGGCAATGAGTATCGAGAGGGAAGGAGGGATAGTACCGGTATTAGCAGGGAATACTTCGTAGAGCCATAGAAATTTAGTACGTTCTTCCTTTTTCTTAACAGGGGTTATTTTAGCGTCAGTAACGACTATTGAAAGCTTCCTCCGTAGCAATACTCTTAATTAATATGCGGTATCGGCGCTGCGCCATTACCAGCCACACTAATCTACTTTTGTGTTTGCTCCTTAGTCAGGGTGTTAATGGCTTTGCCCTGTTGGTCATTGAAAGCCAGACCCCGAGATATTATGAAATAAATGCAGCTTTCAAAAAGAAGCCTGGAAATAGGCCAACTAGGTGGAAGCCACATTAAGCCAGCTCTTGAACTCTGCATCCATCACGTTGTTCACTTGCTCTGCAAGCCTTTCAAACGTGAGGCTCTGGTCGAGAAGGCTCATGAACGGCACGTCGGCCTTGAACTCCTTCCACGTCCAGTTCCTCAGTTCCGCACTGATCATGCTGTCCATGCCGTAAACTGACAAGGGCTTCTGCGCGTGCATCTTCTGCACAGGTAGGAGGACAAGCTTGGAAAGCCTCTCCATCAGCAACTGTTGAATCACAGACTTTACTGCCTTTTCCCCGCCTGTTTCCGCTGCCGCCTTGAGACTGGCCGCGGTGCCTTGGCTCGAGCTGGTTTGCCCGTCTGCTCTGGGCTCCTTGGTCTCCCCGCCGATGGCAAGGAGGAGGTTTCGCAAGCGGTTGTCGCTAAGCCACATGCCCTTTCCGCCGGCGCGAGTTACTCTCGTTGGGTCCATGCCAGTAACGATGTGGGAAGATGCGCAAGAGTCATAGCCCCAGGGAGTTGGCTGAGAGAGGTCTCGTCGGCGGCATGCAGCCTCCATGGCCAGGAGGAACTCGGTGACCCCAATGCCATACATTCCGTTTCGCTTGAGAGCCACCTCAACCTCCGGATGCTCCTCGACGTGGCCAACTTCTAGGATCATCCCCAAGGCAACGGATGTCCCCTGCAAGCCCACGCTGCGTCTATGTCGGGCCATGGCGTCCAGAAAGGCATTCGCAGCAGAGTAGTTGCTCTGCGTGGCAGCACCAATGGCGCCCAGGACGGAGCTGGTCATGACGAAGAAGTCGAGATCCTGGTCCTTGAGAAGCTCATGGAGGTGGATGCTGCCCAGCACCTTCGGCTGAATCACCTGGTTCCATTGTTGGAGCGACATGGTGTTGAAAATGAGTTCCTTAAAAACGATTAGCCTCTGTTGACTCCTCAGCGTGAAACGAAAAGAGACAACATACATGCAGGACCATGGCCGCCTGGATCACGCCCTTAATGGGAGTTGTGGCCAGCGAGATTGCGGCCGCAACGTCCTCGCGCTTGGACACGTCTCCACGCGCGACTTGGAGGGAGAGCTTGTAAGTCTGGCTTTGACTGATGCCCTCCAAGTCCCTGATCAATGCTGCGGCTTCTGGTTTGTCGGCACCGCTTCGTGACAGGAAGATGAAGTTTCTTGCACCTCGGGATATCATCCAAGTGCTAGTGAATCTCGTTAGAAACAGAAACAGCTCGGGATTTCGGGACTGGTAACACATACGTCAAACTGCGTCCAAGGCCACCGAGGCAGCCTATCAAAAGATACGTCCCGTTGCTATTGAATGTCAATGTCTCCGGGGTGTGCTTGATGGGCACCGAGGTAGCTTTGGGATCGCAGGTGAGGACAGCTCGGGCCTGAGAGCTGTTGACAGTAGCTGCAGCATCGCTGAATTGAGAAAAGTCGAAGCATTTGGAGGCAATTCTCGAGACGAGGCCGTGCTGCAGTAGGTGGACTGCCTCTCTCATGGCTCTTTAATACCAGTCAGTGATGCTCTCTGGACGTTGCTTTCTGCCGCCATAGTGCTACTTACGATGATACATCGCTCTGATTGGAGGAGGTCATCTCCAGCGGATCAAGGTAGCTGATTGTGAGTCCTTTGGAAATGAGCGATGCAGATATGGCGGCCAGGTCTATGGATGCACGTCCCGAGAGAAGAGCCAGGTGAGCACCTCGATCAACAACTCTCCGCAAGACCGAGCTCAAGTCGATGAATCCATTTGTCATAACAACTCGGAAGGCAAGCGCCGATGGTATGGCATGCTGGATTTCGGACCGCGAGTCGATTAGGCTGACGCCTTTGAAGGTTTCCAAGAGGTCCTTCACCTCTTGAGAGGAATAGGTGGCGTAGACGTTGCAGCCGGAGCGCAAAGCAATCTGAACAATGGCGCAAGCCAGTACGGGTGAAGATACGTCGATGAGGATATTGTCGTGTCCGGCCAGTGAACACACATTCCGAAGACTATGGACCGCGAATGTGTAGGGAAGGAGCTGACTGACTATGTCTTCGAGTTTGTCCGAGCCGTCGAGTCGGGAGACCAAGCGTTCGTCGACTGTCAAGGTAGTTTCAAACGTGTTGGGCTTCAGGCAAGCGACTTGGTCGCCTGGTTGAATGGCTTGGACTTTGCCTCCCGTCTTTACAACGATGCCCCCAGTCTCCACGGTGAAAAATGGATGGCTTTTTCGGCCCTTCATGACGGCAAGACCCTAATATAAGTCAGTATCGTAGCTCACGCTTCTTAGGAGGCTGTCCTTACCGTCTTGTCAAACGCAAAAGCTCGAGACTCGATCAAAACTTCGGTCTCTCCAAGTGCTGTCTCGGCTGCCAGGACATCTTTGAAGTAGTAGCTGTCCAAGCGGCCAATCTTCTCAAAGCTCATGGAGAGATTTCTGCGAATGGGTAGCCTCTCCGTCGGTGGCGTCCAAGACCTCGCAAAGGTGGCATTTCCGTCGTCGTCTCCGATGTAGCGGCTAGTATAGACAATGCCGCCCTTTTCAACAAGCTCTGTGTTCATATTATTGGGATTTTGGTGAAATTCCTCTTCCATCTCAACAACAAGTTGAGCTGAACGGGACAGGGTGGCTCCGGTTGCATCCGGATCAACGTCGATGCTTGAAAGGTGGAAAGAGGGCTGTTCTGTCATGACAGATTTGGAGATGCCAAAAACGAGCGTCTTCTCTGGCTCTCGGCCGGAGAGCACATCGCTGTTGGTAACCCAGACGGCGGTACTCGCCATTTGAGTGTAGTCTCTCATGGCAGCCATTTCGGTCTCGGACATGCGAGAGAGCATCGGCCCCTCGAGCTCCGCCAGCATGATGGTGCGGGCTTTGTGATTGTCCGACTTGGGGAAATCTGTGAATGCCATGCGGCGGGTCGGGATTGATTGACTTTGATAGAGCTTCTCCACCTCGACGAGCAGAGGATGTGGCTCGTGACGGTACAGCTTTTCTGTATTAGCTTCGCTTTTCGGTATGGAGGTGAAGGCCTCGAAGATAGGAAAAGTACTCACGAGCAACACTGCTTCTTCATTATCTCTTGCTTCGTTTGTTCTCGCGACGGTGGTCTTGGCCGTGTCTGAATCCTCTTGAACAGGATTCGCCATGCTCACCATCAAGGCTGAGCAGTTATTTGGCTCCGGGTAATCATCCAGTATCACGGCAGCTCCAGCAAAGCCTGCTTCAAGAAGTCGCTGATTCCATTCGGATTTCGACAGCAAGGGGTTTTCAAGGCCGCCGTCTTCGAAAGTAGACAAGAAACCGAATCGTATCCCGCGCAGGAAGCCAACCGCAAGCTGATTCCTTACCGTCTCAATCATGACGAGCCTGCCTCCCGGTTTCAGCAATCTCCTGCAGTGCTCCAAAGTGTCGGCGAGATTGCGCTTGGCATGAATGACCTTGAACGTTTGTCAGATACAGCAATGCTGACCTTGGTTAGATGTATGGAAGAAAACCTACATTCGGCGCAAAGATGATGTCGTACGACCCTTCCTCGAAGCCCTGAGAAGTTGGATCCTGGCAGATATCTAAGCGGGTGAACTCGAGCTTGTGGTAGTCTTTGTAGCTCTCTTGAATGGACGCCAGTAATTCGGCAGAATCGTCTGTGAACTGGTATTTGATGTAGTTTGGAATAGCGTGACGTCCTCGCAGAGCCGAGAGCATCCGTCTCGACGGGCCTGCGCTGCCGTTGCCCAGTTCAAGAATGTTCAAGCGGGGATCTTCATGTGCGATCAGGTCCATCAGCTTCTCGAGCTTGACATATGCGCCAGACTGACAATATTCGTCCTCGTGAATATAAGGCGTCGGGTTGTCCTTGGCCATAGCGTCGTATGCGTCGACATCGCCCGAGAGAATTGCAGACATTTGGCTGTTGAGACTTGCAATCATGGCAGCCTCCGGAACGTCTTGTGAGATCTGCTCTGCAATTTCCTGGATGCGCTTTTCCCTTTGAGCCTTGGAAAGTGTCCCAAGGCCAGTGCGTAAAATAGACTGACTCTCTTTCTTGATCCAGTTCACGAAGTTCTGGAGGTGTTCCGGAACGGTTTGTGAGAGCTGTGAGAGACGGTCAACACTGTCCAAGATGGCCAGCGAAGCCATCTCTTCAAGCTTTGCAGAGTACTCCTGAGCATTCTGGTTTGCTCTAGGGTCGGAAAACAAGGAATTCATTTGGTCGCCGGAAAGGTGATTGATGTCGGGCTTCCACACGAGACGAGAATAAGGTTGAGGGATTTTGGATTCTGACTGCGAATTGATGCTGCTTTCTAGCGATAGAAAGTTCAATCGCGCCTGAAGGAGAGCGTTGCCGTCGCCGTCAGTCAGCTCTACTGCAGTCTTAATAGACCGCAGGCCGTTTGGACGACCAAGCCCACGAATGGCTGATCGCTCTGCAGAAGCAGCGCCCGCGGATGTAGCCAGGGTCATGTGTTCGATGGCAACGGGAAGATAGGACTTGGTGAGGTTGTTCGGATCGCCTCTGTGTGCAGCTATGATGGAAAGCTGGAGACAGGCATCGATGACGGTGGGATGAATCGGATACTCGGATTCCTGAATAATGGAGCCACTGGACGCTTTCAGGTCGACATTTGCGAGTGCTTCAAATTGGTCCGACGTAGATCGAATGTTGGACAATGTCTTGAAAGCCGGACCATACACCAGGCCTACGTCTTTCATCTTTTGATACCACCGACGATCCTGGGTTGCTTGGTTTACCCCGTTTCGAGTAGCCCGCGCTCCAGTACTGAACAGGGCAGTGGCAGACAATGTTGCTGAAGAGAGTTAGTAAATCCAGTGGCTTACGAAGGTAATCCACTTACCAGCCGAGGGTTTGCTAATTTGTATGTTGCCAGAGGCATGGCTGGCCCATTCACCGGAAGAAACGCTGCTCACAGTAAAATCAAACTCGGTGTTGTCAGTGTTCAGAGAATGGAGGTCGAGAATCGATTCAGTGCCGACACTTTCCTTCAAGACCATGGCTGACTTTATCTTTACATTTCGAAGAGTGTAAGTCGGGCTGTCCTTTGACAGTCCAGACGCTTGAGCAACGGCGGCGATTGCCAGTGAGATGTAGCCTGCGGCAGGAAAGACAATGTCCTCGCCAACCTATTCGCGTTAGAGGCACGCCTTTTGATCAGAGTGAAGCATCTCGTACCTTGTGATCACGAAGCCACGGCAACTGGTCCAGCCTGATAATATTCCTCCACGAGGGGGATGACTTTGAGCTGCCCGGGATCAAGCTGCCCAATATGTCGTGCCGGGGGTGTTCCCGAAAACGTATATCGGAGCTTACTCGGCTTTCACTCCAGTACAGGTCTTCGTAAACCCACTGATATCGAGGGAAATCCGTCAGAAAGGAACCGTACTGGAGGCGGACAGAGCATGTGCCATCTTCAGTCTCCTCATCCAAAACCTCGTCTGCGTTCACCCTCTCGAGGGCTATCGGATACCCGCTCAAGAAGAGAGATCCAACGAGGTTCAAGATGGACTCAACACCGTTGGTGTTGCGCTTCAGGGCTGAAAGATAATGCAGCTGCTCCTCACTTTGTCCGAGAGCAGCTCTGATTTCCTTGATCGGCCCACCGAGTGCGGAATGCGGTCCAACCTCGACGACATACTGCACCTCGGGCAAAGAGCGAAGCAGCGACTGAGCAGCCTGGTTGAAGAGGACCGGTGACTCCAAGTTTTGCCGCCAATACTCCAAGGGGGTTTGCGACGTCACCCTCTTGCCAGTTACGGACGAGAACATGATGGGGCGGTCGGTGCCTCGGGTCGGTGCATGTTCGCCGAGCAGCTGCTTGAGAAGCTGGTCTTCGTAGTCAATGGCGGCGAGCTTCATCAGGGATGAATGATAGGCATTTCGTGAGGTAATTAGCTTGCGGCTGAACATCCCTGATCGAGAGAATACGCCATGGGCCTCATCTACAGCTTCTTCTGTGCCGCTCAGAGTGACAGCGTTGGGGGAATTGTGGCAAGCGATGCCGATGTTCGGGATCTGCGTGATGAACTCGGACACGACGTCGGCTCCCACGCCAACCGCGAGCATGGCCCCAGGCGTGTCGTTTCTTGAGACAGCACGTCCGCGCAGAAAGGCAATGATGATGGCTTGGCGAAAGGTGATGTATCCAGCAGTGAATGCCGCCGCGATCTCCCCTAATGAGCCACACGTGTCAGCGAGGAGGAGTTTCGGACAAGCAAGCATCGAAGGAGTATTAGATCCTTACCGGAAGAATGACCAACGACAGCTTTGGGTTGGACTCGCCAAGAGCGCAGGAGTTCAACCACGGCGACTTGCACAGCAGTACAAACCGTTTGCGACCGCTCAGCATCGTTGATCTTGCTGGTGGATTTCGGCTCGGCGAGCGTGTCCATGATTGTCCATCCAGGCGGCTCTGGAAGCGCTGCAAGTATTGTGTCCATCTCCTCGATGGACCGGCGAACGGAGGAATACTCTTCAATGAGAGTCATTCCCATTCGGGGCCACTGGGCCCCTTGGCCCGTGAAGACAAAGGCCAAAATTGGTGTGTCGTTTGCAGTGCCGCCGAAACGCAGACCATCCTCGGCCAGTTGACCAGCCGTTCCATGTTTAGGTCGAGATACCAAAGTGAAAGCTCTGGAGGATAGTGAACTGCGTGCCGTACTCAGTGTGTATGCAAGGTCTGAGATGAGACAGTGGTCAGAGACCTGGGAAACGGCACTGAAGTTCTTCTGTAGTGTCTGCTCGTTGTGTGCCGAGAAGGGAAGCAGGTAGGTTTTCATGTCATCAAGGGATTCGATCTTTCCGTTGCCGTTTCTGTCACCATTTGTGCCGTTTCCGTTGACTGCATGGCCATGGACGCCATTCCCGTTGATGGCATGACCGTTGACGGCATGACCGTTGACGCCATTTTCAGAAACCGAATGGCTGCTGACACAGGTTCCATTGACTGCATGTCCATTGACGACATGGCCATTGGTGCCGTTCACACCAACCGCATGGCCATTGCCGTTGGTAATGCCCAGAGACCGGAGGCGACCGAAGCTTGTCAATATGCGGCCGAGGTATGAGTCCGTTGCGTCCAAGATTGTGTGGGCGTTTGCTCCGCCATAACCAAAAGAATTCACGCTGGCACGCCTGTACGTGTGCTCCGTCGGCCACTCTGTGAGTTTCTGGACAACCTTCAATGCCCCGCCGTGGAAGTTGAGAGCAGGGTTGAATTTTTTGATGCCTATCGTTGCCGGAATCGAGGCGTTCTCCAGGCTCAAGATGGCCTTGATCAAACTGGGAATTGCGCTCGCGGCTTCACCATGGCCAAGGTTCGTCTTGACAGAGCCGATAAGCAAGGGGGTCTCGGGCTGACGGAGAGAGCCGAAGACGTTGCCAATGGCCGAGAACTCAATGGGATCCCCGACTGGTGTACCCGTGCCGTGGCTCTCAAAGTAACCCGTGTCCTCATAACCAAGTCCGGCGTTGGAGTATGCTTTGCGGATGACTGCCTCCTGGTCTGCGGCACTGGGGTGGCTGATTCCGGGACCCTTGCCATTTCTAAACCATGTGTTAGCCACCAACCTGCAAAGTAATTGGACCCAGACTCCTCACGTGTTTATTGAAGTTGCCCGTATGACGGCACGAATGGGGTTGCCGTCCTTGATTGCATCGGATAGCCGCTTAATGTAGATGGAGCCGACGGCCTCGGCGCGCGCATAACCGTCGGCAGATTCATCAAATGTGTGGCAAACAGACGTCGGAGACAAGGTGCCAAGCCTGACGCTTCCTATTTGCTGCTCAATCCCGAAAATGAGATTTGTTCCTCCTACTACGGCCGCCGAGCAGTCTCCAGCTTGAAGACTCTTGCACGCCAAGTGAAGGGCGTACATGGTACTCGAGCAGGCCGTGTCAAGAGTCAAACTAACAGTCAGTTAGCATACCATGACCCTCGGACCTGAGTAAGTTGGTGCTTGCCTTGGACCCTTGAGGTTGAAAACGTAATTGACACGGTTGCTGAGAATGGTCAAGCCGCCGCCCTAAACGAGAGTGAGCAGCTTTATCGTGGAGAGGATCAGAGTGTGACCCGTACTGTCATCTGGTAAGGAGTGCCAAAGTCGACATCTCTCGCCTGCATCTGGCCAATGTCCCACGTGAAATTGCCGACGAAACAGCCAGTGTTGGAGCCAGACACGTCGTCCAACTTGAGACCAGCTGACTCGAAGCTCTCATAGATGACCTCGAGCAGCTTGCGCTGTTGGGGATCCAGGCTCGCGGCTTCGAGAGGACTGATGCCGAAAAAGGAGGGATCAAACTCTCGAAAGGAGTCACTGTCGCTCAGAAAGTAGCCTCCTTTCGTGGCGATGCTGCCAGGTCTCTGAGTGTCTGGGTGATACCATGAGTCGATGTTGAGGCGGTTCTTGGGGAAATCGGACTGCGCCGATTTCTCTTGAGCGAGAAAGTCCCAAAGCTCAGACGGAGATGAGATGTCTCCTGGCAGCCTGCAAGCTGTGAAAGACATGAACAAATCAGTACTGTCCCGTGATGGAACAGAGGGCTTTGAGCTCACCCAAGCCAACGATGGCAATTGGCTCATAATCATCTTGACGAGCCATTCTGTCAATCTTTGTAATGTCGAGAGTAGGGCTTGCGCCTTGTTCGCTTGAGAAAGAGTCTATATTTAGCTGTGTAGAGGGAAGAAAGGGTCTTGCAGAGCCGCGATGACGGGCAGCGGTGTTTCACATGCGTACACATATATTTATACTAGTGTATGTGTGCTTGTCTTGTCATCATCAGCATGCCGCCCACGTGCAGTGCATCGTACCATGGCTTCTATCCCACTCGCGTTCTAGGCAGAATCCCATCCGGGACAAGGCTCCCACTGCATTGACGAGGTTGGCGTACGGGGGCCGCTGGCATAGAGATGCCTGATATAAGACTCCTGAGCATCATGCATCCGGTGGAATGGTTAAGCTCGCCCCGGGTTGGTCGTCTCGTAATGGAATCCTTCATTTATTCTGGGTGACTCTGCACGGCCATAATCAGGCTGCCCTTGTGCCATCGAGTTAATCACTGTGTGCCTTGTGCAAAACCTGGTGAGAACGCGCACACCCAAGACTTTCTACGAAACATATATGTACGATTTTATACCGTGTACATGAAAAGGACACCGTTCCAAGAGACTCTGGGTCATGGATAACACAAATCTACGTGTCTCCTCATATATTTGTTAAAAAGTGACGATTGAGGGTGTTTGAAATTTACGTAAAATGGGGGCACTCCCTCAGCCCTGGTAACGTTCTTTTAATAAAGCATTTTATAGTCTCTTCAGCCTGGATGCATTCAAATATGAAAGAAGACAAACGAAAGCAAACTTGTGAATTTCCTTTCCACTTACACGCCCCCCTGTGTTCATCTACCTATTACTTATTATCTGGGATGCCTATACAAGTGGTCATTTAGACGGCATCGATTGGTCAAGCCCTTCGGCGTACTTCGAATGAGATAAGCGGATGAATTCTTGTCCGTTGGCTGCAGAAGAGCTCTGCACTAAGCTTTGCGGCCCCCTCCTTAATATCCGGGTAGATATAGATTTGTGACCGCAATCCTTCCAGATTAAGCTCTCGAGCCGGGCCTAGGCGTGTCTTTATCCATCCGAGTCCGAGTACCACGTTGGTCGGTCGGGGCTTGCCGCCCTCCTTCAGCGTTGATGGGGGCGCTCCCGGTTTGGCTTCACCGTAGAGTGGTCAGGCGTCGATCCGGCTTTGTCGCCGCCCTGTTGACAAATGTAAGGGGGACCTCCTTGTCAGCAGACAAGATGCAGCAATGTCGGTGTTGGTGGATTTTTTGCCGGTTGCCTGTTGGCGCGGTAGGCGCACCTCCATGTAAGACGTGTACGACTAACATGCAAATCATCTCCCTCCGGAGGGTGGTGATGATAAACAAGGGTTGCTAATCCTGCGGAGATACTGCAAGGACCTGTTACGTAAATCCTGGCGTTCAGGGTCCATGTTCTCGTTCAGGCTCTAGACTGAGGGGTCGAGATGGCATCTGTGGATATTTGTCTGCCGGCAAGCTTGATCAGGCACCAAGAGCAAAGTGGACTGCGAGCCTTTGAGACAAGCTGACCGAAGCTGGCCTGCAGATAAACAGGGTTTTAGTTTTCTTTCGTTGGGCTCAGTCTGATTGCTTTGCCACCTCTCTACCAAAAGACTGGGCATTTCCGATACTCGTCGAAACAATGGCTCAACTTCTGTACCTCGTCTTTTCTCTCTGTTCTCTCGCTGCCGTTGGGCTGGTGTGGAGCGTCTTTATCCAGAACAACGGTCTAGACACCATCAACCAGGCCATCAGTCACGGCAGATATCCCGATAATGAGGTTGGAGTGACTTCTTTCACCGGCCTGCGCGCCATTGACGACGCCCTCATGTCACTCGTTGCATTCAATCTGCCTATCCTTAACGTCGAATTCGAGGTCGGCCGCCTCTTTATGGCGCAGTTTGTCGCCAATGTATCAATCATGATATTCATTCTTTCTGTTGAGGGACAGCGAGGAAGGAAACGATCGCCTTTAATGTAAGCTTTCAACCTGGACGAGGCAGTTGCGAACTTGATCTGACTCAACGCAGTCCCATGGCGTGGGGTCTCTTCTCTCAGCTTGCGACAAGCGCAGTTGCTTTGCCGCTGTACCTACTTGTCCAGACTGGCAGCAACCGGAAGGCCAGCCGGAAACCCATCTTTCAGTCGCTTGTCTCTCCCCATGCCGCTCTCTGCGCTCTGCCGAGTCATCTCCTGGGCTTTGGTGTCCCCGCAGTCATGATGTTCGATCCTTTTCGTCAAGGTGACCATATCAAGTCCCTCTGGGTACTCATGTTTGCTCTCTGCCCTTTGAACATTGCCATCTGCACCAAGACTGTCGGTGTTACGAAACGGGCCTTTTTGCCCAGTTCACCCAAGGCGGCAACGACAACAAACGCTGGTTACAACGCTCTACAGCTCGGCTATACCACAGTCGGTGTTGTAGCGGCTGCATTTCATGCCATGACCATTTTGCAAGCAATCAAACATCCAGGGCGCTTTAACGGTCTTTTTTCTCTGGAGCTTTACCCCGAAATGCTTCGAGACAAGATCATGACGTTCTTGAAGCTGGACTATTTGATCACCTTTGCGGCACTACTGACTTGGGCTTACAGTGAAGTGCTTGCGATTCGCCGTGGTGGATCTCTGATGCTTCTCGGCATGTTTGTTTTTGGGACGTTGGTATTTGGACCAGGTGCAACGACTGCTATAGCTTGGTCCGCCAGAGAGACTGGCCTCCATAGAGGAAGTGGAAAGTCGGGCTGACATCTCTGATCGACTCCATATTGTCCTCACAATGATAATTGAATGATATATGAGTGGCGACAAGACACATTTCATTTGAAACCTGGCCTCAATGGATGGAGTCATGTGTCGTGTCAGTATTTGGTTTGCCACATTCCGAAGCCCCTTATGAGGAAGTCGCCGACATGCCCAGTTGAGGCGAATGTAATTCAAATGAAATATGCTCTGTAAATCTTGATAATTCCTCCAATGTTCACAGTCGAGGGACGAATCCGCACCATTAAGCTTCCAATGTCCGTCCCAAGGATACAACCCTCTCATGCCTGCCTCAGACCGGAATCGAGCTCCACGCCCCTGCTCGCGCAAAGCTTCGTCATTTCTCCCCAAAGACGCGCCTGGAGCTGTCTCCCTTGATCGGACTCCGCATATGGCGAAAGTCTAAAAGGAATGCTGTTAGCATTTAGCCCTGCAGTGGATATCACTTGGCAATGGGCCGAGAAGCCCACAACTAGGTTGGGCGAAGGTTTGCACGCACTTATTGACGTGGCCGTCCCGCAGATATTTGCCCGAGAGGCTGGAGCCGGCGCATGTGGCGGCATGCACGTGTAAACGCCCTCCCTGGCTCAAGGACCGGGCAGAAGTCAAGTAGATCAGCCTCGTAGGGATGCTGGCCGCGTCGGGGAAGAAGCCCGAGGCGCAAAAGCCCGGGGTAGTCGTCACCACCTCCAACTCAGCCGGGTCGAGTCGGGCTGCCAACTCGCGTCCGAAGAGCGCAAGGAACAGCTTGGCGGCGTAGTACTCAAAGTCGGGTCTGACGCTGACGCCATCCTGCTGGAACTCGGAGAGAATATCACCCTGGGTCGGAATCTGATAAGTCGACCAGGCGTGGGCCTCCGATGACACCAAGACGAGGCGCCCCGGTTGGGCACCGCTGGTTGGCGAGCCCGCGTCGGTCTTTGGCCGGAGGAGTGGGACCAGGCAAAGGGCTAGGTATGCAGTGCTGCGGAAATTAACTTGCATGAGGTGTGACCATCCACCGTCAACGCGGCGCTCGTCTCTCGTGAAGAGACCTGCATTGAGGAGCGCGATGTCGAGTGTGGTTGCTTCGGCGCTCAGCCTCTTCACAAACCGGTCGACCGAGTCGAGCGATTCCATGTCGAGTTGGTAAGCCTCGATGGATGCCTCCGGAATCTCACCAAGGAACTCCTGCTTGACGGCTTCGGCCCGTTGCAGGTTTCTCACCCCCATCACCAGCTTGGCCCCCAGACGGGCGAGCTGTCGGGCCGCCTCGTACCCCACGCCCGACGTGGCCCCAGTCACAAGGACCGTCTTGCCAGAAAGTGACAGGCCGGGCGAGGGGGTGGGAATCGAGGTGAGTTTCTGACGCATGACGTAGGGGATGGGTCCATCTGAGGAGAAGTCAAAGAGGCGGGGGTTGCCCGTCATCATTCTGATCGGCTCTGGTAGGAACGACATGTTGAAGTGCAAGCGCTTGAGGCTCTAGCAACGACTCTTGGGGCCAGTGGTGAAAGACGTGTGCGTTGTGTGTGTGGTGTGTGTCTGAGAGAGACAACATATGAGACGTATGAGAAGGAGAATGTCAGGCAAGGTTGGAAGCCGGCCTCACTTACACTCTTTTCTTGAGCTGAGGGCAGAATAAATACCCGACCTGCATTGCCACACCATGCCTTGGCGGCGATGACTGGCGAGAACAGGTGGTGAGCCGCGGAACCACGGTACATGCCAGGGGCAATTTTCGAATCAACACCCCCCCTACGCCCAAACCTCCGGGATAGCTCCACGGTCACGGAGGGTCCGTTGAGGAGGAAAGGATCATTGGGCCGTGACCAGGAGGGGGGCTATATGTGCATGTCACATATCTGATATACTCTACAGTATGTGTAATTCATCTATATGTGCCAAGTTATACGTAAGCTGACCGCCTAGTCTTCATGGTATAACAGGCTATGGCGATATTTAGTGGTACGGTCTTTAGTAAAGAAGCTTGAAATGGCCTCTTTATATATACATGTCGCCCTTTAGCCAGGGTTCTTCAAGAGACCCCCAGGCCATGCACCAAGGCTAGTCAGAAAGGTTATCAAGAGCACGGTGTATATACTTGGATAATAGAAGCCGTTGACATTTGTCGTTATGGGGGCCTTCTTTAAGACGTCCCAGGCTATGGTATGCTTACCTTTTCCACCCTTGGGGTGCTGCTATAACCCTCTTTGTGTGGGCCTCGTGCAGGCATCATCATCGGTTCACCCCTCACAGCCTTCGGTTAGATCCATCTCGCGAGAGCCGCCTTTCCTGCAATCTGTAGAGCTCTCGATTACATGTAATAATCCTCCGTCTCTGCCATGAGCCGTGACAAGCATTCAGCGCAGCATAATCGACTAGTAGACGGCAGGACCTCCCCCGTATGGAAACAGCTCTCCTTTGAACAAAATTTCAAAGACCAAAGACAAGCCATAACCTTTACTCAAAAAATGGACATGCGAGAAGTTGTCATTGTAGGAGCAGGTACGGCACAGCTTGAATGCAAGGATGGAATCATCTTTGTGTCACGGTGCTAACAGATCTACAGGTTGGTGTGGCCTCATCGCAGCCAAGACCTACCTCCAGTCAAAATCTGACGCAAACCTGTTGGTTATCGACAGTGCTTCTACCCTGGGCGGGACATGGTGCAAGGAACGGCTCTACCCGCATCTGGTTGCAGAAGCCCATTACGGCCTTTTTGAGTTCTCGGACCTGGAGATGCTTAATGACGGTCAGAATGTTACCAAGTCTGGATTGATATCTGGAGACGCCGTTCATCAATATCTCAATAATTACGCCACCGAGTTCGGCTTGCACAAGCACCTCCGGCTCAACACGCAAGTCGAGAGAGTCTCCCGTGCTGGCCGACACTGGCATATTACTCTCGCCGGTGGTAAAAAGGTTCTGGCTTGCGAGAAGCTCATCGTTGCCACCGGGCTTACGTCGGAGCCTTTCGTGCCTGATATTCCAAACAATGGGTTTGGAGGAGAGGTGATGCACTCCAAAGAGATGGGCAAGGTTGAGACAACCAAAAAGATTCGCAACGACAATATCCAGACCGTAGCAGTCTACGGGGGGTCCAAATCAGCCTTTGACGCGGTCAACATGCTCCTCCAGGCGGGGAAATCGGTAGAGTGGATTGTAAGGACCGGCAGAGGGGGCCCGTCGATCATGACACCCCTGACCATCCTCGGACAGCCGAGTTTCCGCCTCAACAACAGCCGCTTCCTAGCAATGTTTTCCCCGAACCTGTTTTCCAAGGACACTGTTGCTCGATGGCTTCACAGTACAGGGCCAGCCTGGCTTACCCAGCCGCTGGTCAAGGGGTTTTGGCGCGTCATAAGCTTCCTCCTCATGGGAGAAGCTCGGTATGACAAGAGCGAAAACACGAAAGCATTGAAGCCTGTAATGGGCCTGGACAGTCTTCTCTGGAGTCCGGCAACGTTGGGTGTCATGACTCACCCAGACCTCTGGAAGGATATCCATGAAGGAACCAGAGTCCGAGTCCGACAAAACGCCATCCAAAGCCTTGAAGCAAATGGTGTGCGACTGGACGATGGTACACATGTCGATGCCGACATGGTCATTTACTCCACGGGTTGGAAATCCCTGGCGGCCAACTTCTTGTTCTCTGATCGAGACCGTTTGGCTGCCGGCCTTCCTTCTCCGGCTTCATATGAACCCAAGATGCAGCAAAAATGGGAAATTCTCCGACGACAAGGAGATGCTCAGGTCAGGCAGAGGCTGCCCCTTCTTTCCCAATCACCGCTTTGGGAGAGCCATCATCCCCGAATCGAGGACGACTTTCATCTCTACAGATCAATCATCCCAGCTTCGGCCGAGGAAAACGACAGGTCTTTGGCTTACGTCGGGTTCCTGCGAACAACAGGCGCTCCGATTGTGTACGAGGCCCAGGCTTTGTGGGCCGTTGCGTATCTACAGGGCAAGCTCGAAGTACCCTCGCGAGAGAAGAGAGAGAGAGAGACGGCCGCACTGAACGCTTGGGCTCGTAGAAGGTATCTCTGCGGGCGCAAAGTCCCATTCGCCATGTTTGACTTTCTGCCTGTAAGTGGCATGCATTTTGCCTCGAAGCACGGTGCATTTGAAACTAACGTGATAAAAGTACGTCGACTCCCTTTATCACGATTTGGGGGTTAATCCCAGAAGAAAGGGGAACCCTATATCCGAGATATTTGCACTATACAAGCCGAGTGATTTCAGGGGCGTGGTGAAGGAGTGGATTGAGAGCCGGGAACAGGAAGCCCACGGCCCACGGGAGGTAAAGAGCTGGTCTTATCCCATTGTGCTTCTCATGGTGATTACACTTGGCGTCATAGGTTCCACGTTTTTGCGCGACGTTGTGGTGTAGGAGCCGGATCAGGGCGAAAGATTCTTGGAAAGTTTCGAGACAAGAATAAATCATCTCGGAACGGTACTAGACAGACGTAAAAGAGCGACTTTTACACAGCAATGCAATGTTCACCCATTACATTCGATGGCAAAAATGGTGAGCTGTTAGTAGGGTCTTGGTGTGATAATAGTTTCAAAGGCTTCTTAGTTCATCTACCGACATCTCCCTACCCTTTTGTCTCAAGCAGAAGCTAAGGCGTATCGGCAACGAGATACACTAACTTATGTCCGCTGACCTTTGAATCCCTCAGCATGTTCAAGCCTTCCAGCGCGCCTTTAAGCCCCCCTGCCCCGACTTTGATCTTGTGAGGCCGGATCTTGCCCTGTCGTATGAGCCCTTCGGCAATGGTCCACCACCTCTTCCCAAACTCAAAGTCCTCCATTTTGGCGGCAAAGCTCTTATCCCCCATAGCCCAGTCCTCTCCAAAAACCGTGTAGGCTTTTGTGTCTGCGCACTCCACACGGGCATCTGGCGACCTCAGGGGCAGGAGGGCAGCCAGCTTGCCACCTTTGGAAGACAGCGCGCTGGCGCAGAACTTGGCAGTCCAGGCGGTGGACACGGTGTCCCAGCAAAGCGTGAGATTGTTGTCGGTAGACGCACGGATGTCCTCGGCGGCGTCGTCGTCGCCGTAGTCGAACGACTCCTGAGCTCCGAACTTGGTGACGAGATCGAAATTGTGGGGAGAACAGGTGGTGATGGGAGTAAACCCCGAAAGGCGGGCGAACTGAAGGCCGAGAACACCGGTGGCAGTCGAGCCACCGTAGATGAGAATCGGTCCTTGGCCACCACGAGTTTCGTCACCCGGCAGTGGGAGGCCAAGAGTCTGGTACAGGCCTTGGCCGACAGTGGTGATGCCAACGCCAAAGGTAGCGGCCTCTTCGAAGCTCATATCGTCGGGAACATGCGCCTGGATGTCGCCCTTGACGACAATGTACTCGGCAAAAGCCCCGTCTTCAGGCTCGGCAGAGTTGCCGCCGTGGACAAAGCCCATGACGCGATCCCCCTTTTTGAACGGTTTGGTGACTTTTGGTCCGACCTCTTCGACTACGCCCGCGTAGTCGCAACCCAGGAGGACGCCAGGCGTCTGAGTGAGCTCGGCATGCTTCCAGTCCGTGGGGTTGAGAGCAATTGCATGTGTCTTGACGAGCAGGTAATCGTCTCTCAAAGTCGGCCTCGGCCTGTCGCTGACAAAGGAGGCTTTCCCGGGGGTGGCGACGACGATTGCCTTCATGCCGAGATGGTGGCGAGAAGCAGCGAGAAGAATGATTGGGTAGTGAGGAAAGAAATGAGCGTACAAGGATATGGAGTCGGGGTGATGAGGGACGCTCTGTGTGGCGACAAGTCAAAGCGGGAGGGTCCGAAATCCCAAGGCAACTGGCGGAGGCTAATTCATGCCTGGATAATTACCTATTACGTATGATTATAGCGCGAGTACTCCGCACGTTTCAAAAGAGCCAGTGACGTGAAACTGAGCCGTATTGTGAAGAATGCGGTGAGCGTCGTTGACGTCAGGCTTTGCCCACCGATATGCATGCTGTACTATATAAAGTCTGGGCAACCAAGTCAGCCTATATCGACGGATTGATCTACCCCCTTGATGCACCGCACTCCCTGGAAGCTTGTGGGGCCGCTGTCTACGGACGGGATCTTGGTCAGATCACGGAGGGATAGCTTCTACTGACCGAGGTTCAGTTGTGATGTGTCTGAGCACACAGTATCGGCCCCGTTCGAAAGCTTGCATGGGACGATAATTCGTGATTTGACCACGTGGGTATATGAGAAAGCCCTGCAAATACGTCGCGGGAGATATCAATGTAGGGCGTGGGAATATTCATCGTCATATACTCTGTACAGACACATATATACAATCATACAGCGCGCCTATACCGACTTTGGATGGAAGCCGAGTGTACCGTAGAGAGCAGACTACGTACATTACATGTAGGCATATGCAGAGTCCTATAGGCCTATATGACGGGCAATAATTATAGCTGCGCATACCGCACAGTTTCAATATGCGTGCCTGTTATACACACCCCTCGCAGAGAAAAGCTCATTCATGTACGAAGCACGTCAGCAGCGGTTCTTACCGATTCTTACGGTCCACCCGGAGTGCAACGGTGAGCAGCACTGTCCTGTTCCCATCAGGCACCCTGTCCCCGTTGTATGGGTCCTCTGCAGGGCCTTGCTTGTTTCCCGTCCATGTGGATCACACTCCCTTCAGGGGTCCAGGGTCTCCTCAAGCGCCGCCCAAGCACCCCCTCCGGACATGTTTCGGGGGTCATGTCATGCCTTGCAGCTGGAAACAAGTTGGCGACCCTGCCAGCCACCTTGATTCAACTGCACAGGAACAACCTGGCATCTTGGGACCCTCGGTGCTTATGTCTCACCCAACACGTGCGTTATCGGGTGAGAATTTAGCCTGGCGCCCTTGTGTCGGCCTTATTTTCCCGGGGCATGCTCCTTGATCAGCCTGACTGAGCAACGATCCAAGTTTACGTGTGTGTCCTCGGAAGTCGGCCGCAGGAAGAGCATGAAGAGCATGAAGAGCATGAAGAGCATGAAGAGCATGAAGAGCATGAAGAGCATGGGGGAGGTGCTCATGCACAGACAGGAGCTGCGCGATATCCGACCGTAAGAATCCCATATGTCACCTGGTGTAACCAGGGGGCCCTCGTTTCGATCGGGGTGCTCGGACTGCTTGACCAATCCTCCAGGACAGAGGGATAGATAGATGGACTCACGTCAGCACCTGAGGCTCAGTGGTGATGTGCCGGTAGCCGAGGTGATGTCCTGTTGAGTTGCCTCGACCGACGATCTGATCGGGCGATGCGTCTTCATCCCACCTAAACCTCAGGCTCAGCTAGATGCCATTCGAGGGATCTCTTAGACATCGCGCACGGGAGTCTTCCAACGTCTCCATCTTTTCATCAACACCACTATGGCACCTAGTACCGAGGATGGAGACAAAGACGACGGCATGGTGCTGCCTCTATCAGCCATCGAGTCAACCATCTTCCCTTGTGCCCCAATCACGTCCACACCACCCAAGCCTCGAACACTGACACTCCTCCCCCTCCCTCGCCATCTCGGCCTGGTCGCTCAATGGCACAAGCTACCGGCCGAAAGCCTCGTCCAGCTAGCTTGGGCCATCGTGCTTCGCCACTATCTGGGATCGTGCGCTCCATGTTTCGGCTACCTAGCCCAACGCGACGATGCGCCTGGTACAGACTATACCGTTGCTGTACCTGTTACGCTGCAGCACTTGGATTCCGTGTGCGCGGTGCTTGACGCTGAATCTTCGCTCTCGTCGACGCTATGCAGTTGGTCCAAGCCGTCCGTGTGTCGCAGAGCAAGCCCTCAGCAGCTGGCAGACGTCGACGAGGCGCTGGTCTTCAATACTGCCCTCGTCGTTGGGAATGGAACGTTGGCTGGCGGAAAACCCCGATTCTCTGCTACAATTCAAGTAGGAAACCCCAATCGAGGTTCTTCTTTTGCCTGAGTGCGCTCCATGAGCTTACGCTGGCTCCACGATAGTTTCCCGTCCTCGCATTTGTCGATCTGTCCGGCGCCAGTCCGCAGCTCGCAGTTTCATGCGAGCCGCGAGCCGTTCCTCCAGAGCAGCAGAATCTCGTCGCCCACGCATTTCAGTCATCGCTCGCAGCTTTGCTGCTGCAGCCCGAGCAGAGACTCCGAGACGTCGACCTCTTCACCACCCTGGACCACCAGATGATAGCTTCCTGGAACCAGCATCTCCCCGACGCCGTCACCTCCTGTATCCACTGGAAAGTCTCGGAGGTGGCGAGGCTTGCCCCCGATGCTCCGGCCATCTGCGCATGGGACGGCGACTTGACCTATGCGAGGCTGGAGGAACTGTCGTCGCTGCTGGCTTCCTGGCTTCAGGCCCAAGGGGCAGGTCGGGGGTTCGTGGTGGCGCTTCGCCTTTTCAAGTCCCGGTGGGCAGTCGTCGCCATGTTGGCCGTCGTCAAAGCGGGCGGCGCATTCGTGTCCATCGATCCGACTCATCCTCAAGACCGGCAGAAGCGGATCGCTGAAGATGCGGGCTCATCTATCATGCTGATAGCCGAGGAACTCGCATCTGATGCGCATACCTGGACGGCAAAAAGCTTTGTCGTCTCCGAGGAATCTATACTCGGGCTTCTAGGCCAAACCCTCATCTACCATTGCCAAGACACTGTAAAAGAGGTTGTCCATCCCTGTGATGCAGCTTACATCGTATACACATCTGGAAGCACCGGAAGTCCCAAAGGCATCGTCGTCGAGCATGCCGCCCTCTGCACCAGTGTCGTCGAGCAAGCCAAGGCCATGAGAATATGCCCCGGTTCGCGGGTTCTGCAGTTTGCAGCTTATACGTTTGACGTCAGTGTCGGGGATATCTTTACGACCCTGACGCATGGCGCCTGCTTGTGCATCCCGTCCGAGTCCGGCCGAAGAGACCACCTGGCAAACGTCATGGCTGAGATGAAAGTCTCTCATGCTTGCCTGACGTCGACGGTCGCCGGAATTCTGGACCCTGCCGAGGTGCCAACGCTTCGGATGTTGACGATCGGAGGCGAGCCGGTCTCGAGGCACAATCTCGTCAAATGGGCGGACAAGGTCGAGTTGAACAACATATACGGTCCCGCAGAGTGCACCGTATGGTGTTTTGTGCAGCGCTCTGTCAAAGCAGACGACAACGAGTCCAAGATTGGCTTTGGCATCGGGGCCAGGGGGTGGATTGCACACCCAGACGACAGCGAACGGCTCATGCCTGTCGGTGCGGTGGGCGAACTGCTCATCGAGGGCCCGCTGCTTGCCCGCTGCTATCTGAACAGCCCGGAGAAGACGACGGCGTCCTTTATAGTCGACCCGTCGTGGCTCCAAAGGTTTGGGCCGGCAGGGGGTCGCCGGTTGTACAAGACAGGCGACTTGGTGCGCTACGATGCGGCCGACGGCGCCTTGGTGTTTGTTGGCCGCAAGGACACTCAGGTAAAACTGCGCGGCCAGCGCATTGAGCTCGGAGAGATTGAATACCACCTCTTGCTTAGCATGAAGGATCCCGGAGAGGTAGCTGTCGATGTCGTCCAGCCACCCACAGGGAACGGCCCTGTCCTGGCCGCCTTCATCAGCATCGATGATGGACTGCACAATGAGCCGGACGAAAACACGATATCTACCGAGGTCAAGACGCGCCTGGTCGATATCGCACGCCATGCCAGGCCGAAGATGGCAGAATTTTTGCCGTCGTACATGATTCCTGTCGTCTTTGTTCCAGTTCGGGCCATCCCCCTGACCGTGTCCGGCAAGACAAACCGGAGGAGACTGCGCCAAATTTGCTCTGAACTGTCGTGGAGTGAGCTGCTGAGCATTTCCAGCCCCGACGAACCAGAGCAAAATGGCCTCAGAGAGGTTTCTGGCGGCGTCGTTGTCAAGACTCCAGCCCAAGTCCAAATGGCAGAAGCCTGGGCAACGTTACTGGGAGTAGCGGCGGACGACATACGCCCCAGCGATGGCTTCATCTCCCTCGGCGGCGACTCTCTCAAGGCGATCCATCTGGTCGCTGTCTATCGCTCCATGGGCTTGACCCTCACCGTCGCCGACATTCTCCAGAATCCTCGGCTTGCCAGCATGGCCTCTTGTGCAGTCCCGACTAGCTCATCTGCCGCAAATGAGCAAGACTCGGGGGCCGTGGACGCGGCGGTTTCACTCGTCGAGGCAACTCCAGATGAAGCCCTCAGGGATAAGCTTCTCGCAGAGTTCTCGGAGCAGTGCGGAGTGAGAAAGGATGGCATTGTAGCCATCTATCCCTGCACCCCTCTGCAAGAGGAAATGATGGAGCTGTCGCTGCGAGGCGAGACGTCGCAGTTTGCCCATGAACTGGCGAGGCTGTGGCAGACTTTGGACCTCGCGAGGTACAGGAATGCCTGGGAAGAGGTCTTCCAACTGCACCCTATCCTGCGAACGAGGTTTGTGCAAAGCAGCCACGACGGCAAGTTGAAGCAGGTAGTCGTTGACGAAGAGCTGAAGTGGGAAGCCCCGAGCGACTTCAATGGCTACATGGCGCACAATTTCAGCCGGACACTGCGTCTCGGAGAGCGACTCGCTCGCTGGGGACTGTATCGAGAGAAGCGGGCCAGCCAGAGCGGGTTGTCGGAACCCGGGGGTAGCCAGATGCTGATAATCAGCCTGCACCACTCGCTCTTCGACGGCATCACCCTGCACCAAGTCTTCGAGGACCTCTACAAGGCCTACCAAGGCCACGAGCTGGCCCGTAACCTGCCCAACTTCGGGGCGTATCTCGGCCATCTCCAAGCAGACATTAAGCAACAAAAGCACCGTGACTTTTGGCGCAATTACCTGGCAGGCTGGGAGGAGGCCCGGCCATTCCCAAGCCTCCCTGAGCCTGACTACCGCTCCCGAGCCGAGAAGGGGACAATACGCTTCCTCCCCTTTGAGGGAGGCAAGGCGTTCAACCTCGGGGATCTGACCCTGTCGACGCTCTTGCGCGGCTCGTGGAGCCTGTTCCTGGCACAGCAGACGGGATCACAGACGGTCGTGTTCTCAACCTTTCTGGCAGGCCGCAATGCCAACGTCGCAGGCATCGAGCGGCTTGTCGCGCCGACCTTTGCCCACGTCCCAATCAAGGCGACCATCTCGCCGGGCCAGACGGTGCGCAGCTTCCTCGCCGAGCTCCAGGCCGACGCGATATCCATGATTCCATTTGAGGGCACGGGCATGCAGACCATCTGCGAGACGCGCAACACGGCGCAGGTGATCCGCAACCTGCTCGTCATCCAGCCGATGCCCGGCGGCGGCGGCAATCCGGCGAGCATGCCGGGCGACGAGGACAGGACGTTTCCGGGCGACATCCTGTGCGGGCCTCGGGTCGATGCGGCAGCCATGGGCGCCTTTAACCCCTTTCCGCTGCTGATGGAGTGTGTGATGCTGGATGCGGGCATCGCGTTCCGCGTGAGCTTTGACGAAGCTGTTCTCTCCGCAAAGGCGGTCGAGCACATGCTGGACGGGTTTATCGCCATTATCCGGGCCTTGCCGGCCAGGCTGAACGGAGCGGTACCGGGCCCGGGTTAGGGTTCGGGGTCGGGGTCGGGGTCGGGGTCGGGGTCGGGGTCGGATATTCGCACGCCCCCACTGTTAGCCGCGACAGGTGCTTATTCTCCGTGCCTAATTCCAGTCATAGTTCCGTGTCAGACGCAGGCGTATTCGTACCTCGGCGCAACCAACACCACCTGATACGAATACGAGCGAGCCGTGTATGTGGTTGACATCTCACATGCAGCGGACAAAAGTGCCCCTGCAGTAATTAGCAATTAGATGTAGGACGATAAAGCAGAAGAGTGCCCCAGCGGCCAAACGTTGCTTGCTGTCTCTTCCCCTTTCGTCTCTTCTTGTCTGTGTCGAAGCCGGACCTGATCTAGCATCACACTTACGCCTGGCTTGGCCAACGACGCTTCGCCATGTCTTCCTCGTCCTTCTTTCACGGCCTGTATCGCACAATGTTTTCCGGCCCCGCTGTTTCTGTTGCCGTTGGATTCGTGTTTTTCTCAATCTTCCTCAATATCCTCTGGCAGCTGCTCCCGAAAAGCAAGTCGGAGCCTCCTCTGGTCTTCCACTGGATCCCCTTTGTCGGCAATGCTGTCTCCTATGGCATGGATCCCTTTGAGTTTTACACAAGTTGTCGACAAAAGGTACGTCTGACTCGCCGAAACCAACTCCTCCAGACGGGCAATTCCGAACTGCCTTGCCCAGGAGCTAGCCCAACTGTCTCCTCTTCTCTTTGTCGCTGCTCCACACTGGCGCCATGGCTAACTCTGGGCGTGGTTCGTAAACCCCAGCACGGCGACATCTTCACTTTTATTCTCTTCGGGAGAAAAATGACCGTGTACCTCGGCATCGACGGCAACGACTTCATCCTCAACGGCAAACTACAAGACGTCAATGCCGAGGAGATCTACGCGCCTCTTACCACCCCCGTATTCGGTCGCGACATCATCTACGATTGCCCCAACGCAAAGCTCATGGAGCAGAAGAAGTTTGTCAAGTTTGGCCTGACCCAGACCGCGCTCTGCTCCTATGTCCAGTTGATTGAGCAAGAGACGGCCGAGTACCTCAAATCAGCCCCTGCCTTCAAGGGTCAATCTGGGATCATCAACATCCCAGCCGCCATGGCCGAGATTACCATCTACACTGCCGGTAGAGCCCTGCAGGGGAAAGAAGTTCGGCAGAAGTTGACGGCCGAGTTCGCCGAGCTATACCACGACCTTGACCTAGGCTTCCGACCCATCAACTTCTTGCTGCCGTGGGCGCCTCTACCGCAAAACCGTCGACGAGATGCCGCGCACGCCAAGATGAGATCCATCTACATTGACATAATCAACAGGCGTCGCCAGTCCGGCAAACCTCCCAAGGAGGAGGACGTCGACATGATCTGGCACCTGATGGGCTGCATCTATAAGAACGGAAAGCAGCTCCCAGACAAGGAGATTGCTCACATGATGATCACGCTCCTCATGGCCGGCCAGCACTCGTCGTCGTCGTCTAGCTCATGGATCATGCTGCGCTTGGCCTCGCGGCCCGATATTGTGGAGGAGTTGTATCAGGAACAGATCCAGAAGCTCGGCTACGATGCAACTCGGCCCCAACCGCTCCAGTACTCCGACATTGACAGGCTGCCTCTTCTCCAAAATGTCATCAAGGAGACGTTGCGCGTCCACTCCTCCATCCACTCCCTCATGCGCAAGGTCATGAGGCCCATGCAAGTGCCAAACAGCGATTACACCATCACGCCAGACAAGGTGCTCGTGGCCTCGCCAATCGTCACACATCTAAGCGAGGAATACTTTCCCAATGCCCAGGTCTGGGATCCGCACCGCTGGGACGACGCCGTCGAAGCAGAGGTGGACGGAGACATGGTCGACTACGGATACGGTGCCGTGTCCAAGGGAACACGGAGTCCGTATCTGCCCTTTGGCGCCGGGCGGCATCGTTGCATTGGGGAGAAGTTTGCCTATGTCAATCTTTGCACCATCATTTCCACGATGGTCCGGAATCTGAAGCTCAACACGGTCGATGGCAAGTCGTGGGTGCCAGCGACGGATTACACGTCTCTCTTCTCGAGGCCAACACAGCCCGCCGAGGTTCGCTGGGAGCGACGCCTTCCCGAGTCGGCTTGAGTGCGTGTCTAACGTCCAACAGGACCGATGTAGCGGGTAAGCCATCGAGTCGGCAACTGCGATGTCTTCAGTGTAATATTGTGGCCAGTACATGTGGGGAAGTCTGGAGTATATATATATATATATATGGCATTGAAGCCTCATGTAATGTATGGTAACACTCAATCTGTAATAATTAATTCGATCCGTGATGACCTCAGAGACTCGTGGGGAGCTGCCGGTGATCATATTCCATCTCTGCTTCGCGCGTCGTGCCAAGTAGAATTTCAGGGTATGGTGCCAGAATCGAACTTGGAAGAGTAGTATTTCTCTTCATCTCAGGAACAGCTCGCTCTTCTACCGGGTGAAGTGAAGGTAAAAAAAGCCGACGATAATGGGGAGGAAGCTCAGTCATTCAGTAGGTCACTGACTCTGTCCGTCTTTGGCTGCGGGACAAGTAGCAACCAGGAACTGTCAAACCAAAGTCGCCAGCCATGGTATGGGTGCCGAAAAGGCATATGGCCAAGACAGACAACGGAGGCGCCGACGGCACGGCAACATGAAGTGCGAATCCAAGATGTCATATACTTGGAGTACATGCACACGTAGTCGTACGGTAGCCCATCAATTGCCTGCCATTGAGCATGCTCAAGCTGCTCTCTGCATGCCCGGGCCGGCGCATCGCCACGGTGCAACGGCAAACACCAAGCGCACATGGTGAGACATTGTCATCAGACCACCACAAAGCTTGCCTGACGATGCCATTGATAGGTGGGCTACGAATAAAGGCCACGCGCCAGAGCCAGCGTTGGTGGGTTACTTTCATCGTCAGCGAAGACCCTGGACATGGGGAAGGGACTTTTTCGATGGAAACGGAGAGGCCGCACACCTGAGCCGCCTCCAGGGGGGTTTCTGCCGGCGGATAGGTGAGGCGGGGGGGCAGGGGGCAAGGGGGGCTGGTTCGCGGCTGCGGAGGTCTCACTAGCAGTGCTTGTGCGTCTAGGGGGTGGATGGACGAGTCGCCGCCTGGTGACGAGGGAGATGTGCTGATGGCTGCGACGAACGAAGGCTTGGTACAGAAGAGATTGCCTCGTCGCTCACGCAGAGCATTTTCATGTACCCACTCGACGCTCTACCGTTCGACATTGCGTGTAGATGAACCTGCTTGCTCAGGACACGTTTGGCAGCGGTCCGTGTATGTATCTTGGAATCCAGACCTTGCATACCTCAGCTGGCAGGCGAAAATTGACCTCGGTAGAGTGCTCAGGAGCCAGTAATGCAACTACCTCTAGTGATGGCACGAAGAGGCCATCGGATAGGTCGCTTGCTCGGCGGTTAACCAGCATGAGGAGAGCAGCCAGCGTTTGCGGGTGTTTGCTCTCCATCCCAAGTACCTTGTACTCGGCGCACACACTTGCTTGGCCTTTCTTTTTCCGGCTCGTCGCGCTTGCTGCTGGTCACGGCAACGACGGGGAGGGCTTGCAGATTTGGAACGTGGGCGGCCGGCCGGATGCGGGGAGGGAGGGGAGGCTGGCTGTCGCGGCTCTGTGGACGACGAGGTTTCGCCTTCCGAGGCCTGGGTGCGTGCCCCTGTGTGCGACTGTTTTTTCTGTTTTCGTGCCAAGCGTCAGTCCAGATTCAAGAAAGAGAAGCAGAAGAAAGATGGCCGAGGCTGGGCGCATCGTACAGCCCGCCCGGCCCCATTCTGCGACACTCTGAAAGGAGGATGCTGAGACAGCCGCGCGACCGACGTCTGACAGGCTCCCCTCTCCCTCCCGGGCAACACGCGCGCCACGCGAGACCGTCGTCGCCTCAAACAAACCTGTCTCCGTTGGTGACGATGGATGGATCGAGGCACTCTTTCGTGGCCGTAAACGTCAAATTGATGAAGCAAGCCGCCACGGTGAGGAAATAGTACCTGTACCAGGGCACCAGACACGGCGCCTCTGTCCATGAGCCTGGCGCAGGTACCGATACCTTCTCTGGGGTGCAGTGCAGCTTCCTCCTTGAAAAGGCTGCTGAGCTCGTACTGTACTGTAAGTTACACTACCTGGTGTACCCAAGTAGCCAAGGGCATGACGTTGCCTGCTTGGAAGCGCTTGACCAAAAACGGCCGTCGGCAATCTACAAAGATATTTCTGACAGGTACCTTTGCCCGCCAGCCCATCGCTCGGTAGAGGTACCTCGGCCCTGCCCAAGGTACATGATCTCTCTCCACCGTCGATCCTTGAGGCTCCTCACGACTCGCTGGTGCCACCGCCGTGGGCCTCTCGCGCTGCGTCCAGGCCGGCGACTCACTGCCCTTTGTATTGCCACGTTGGCGATGCAGCGCTGCAGAGGACCTCCTTTGCCTTTCGTTTCACCCTTGGGACGTGAGGCGCTGGGAAGCAAACATCTATAGCGTCAAGCCACCGCAACCATACCTTCATCCCCTTCGTCCACCAGAGCCCGCCGCTCGACGCCCATTGGTGCACCGGCAGCATCCTACCCAACTTCCTCTACGAGTCAATCCTGGAGCCCTTTACTGCCACAGACTACTGCCTTTTCCGCTGATTGGATACCGGCGGCGAGCCATCAATCTGAGGCACATGCTTTGCGCCGAGGCCCGAAGCAGCGATCCAAGTCTTCCCTCTCCCCTTTCCGTACTTGCCATACTGCCTAAATCTTCAGGCACATACATGCCTCTTCGAACATTATCCTCTGTCAATGCTTCGGGCGGAATCATCGGCTCTCGCATTGTCGTCACTGTAGCATATCATGGCTATTAGCAGTGCCAACAGGGGCGGCTTTCTCCACGTGAGTCTCTGTGCACAGGACGAGCCCCGAGAGAGTACAAGTCCAGGTACCTTCCGCAGACGCCGGGTACCTCGACCTTGGCACCCCGGGTACCCAATCGAGGCCACTCAAGTACCAGGCCCATGGGTGGAGGTGCGCTGTAGATACACTTGGTCCGCACGTTGCGCCCCGACTCGCCTACTAGCCAACTCCACTGCTTCCACCTCAACATACCTTCGTCTCGACCTGGTGCCACGCCGCCCAAACTGCCACTGCCTGCCTCACCCGTCAGCGCCGCCGACATCCAACCCGCTTCTTCCATCTTCGCTGGCATCACCCGCCGCAACCCCTCGCGCCTCGACTCACTCAAAGTCCCCCCCCCGTCCGTCGCCGCCCTCGCTCCAACCTGGCCAGTCGATCCCCCGCCCGCCCGCAGCGCCGCATCGCGCGCGCTCTGCCGCTAGCTTGACCCGAACGCCCCGACACCGAGAGCCCCCGACTCGCCCGCATCTCGTCCTCTCCGCCGCTACGATTCCGAAGCCCTCGCCCGTGTCCTATGGGTCACTAACTGCCATCTGACCTCGCCATCTCGCTCGCTGTGGCGGCAACGTCGCCCCATCAGACGCATTCGCTTACCGGTTGCTTTGCCTAACAATCCGCGAGTCTGCCAGGCCCTTGACCATGGGCGGTTGTATGAGCTCCAGCGCCGAGGAGGCGGAGCAGAAGAAGAAGAGTCAGGCCATTGACAAGGGTATCGAGGAGGACTCCAAGAGGTTACGGAAAGAATGCAAGATCCTGCTCCTCGGTAAGCCACTTTCCTGACGTCCCATTCCCGGGCTGACGCCCCCTTCCAGGCTCCGGCGAGAGCGGCAAGTCGACCATTGTCAAGCAGATGAAGATTATCCACCTCAAGGGATATTCCGAGGACGAGCTCTTCAACTACCGATCTACCGTCTTCAAGAACCTGGTCGACTGTGCAAAGGCCATCATCGCCGCCCTGGAGCAGTTCGACATTAAGCTACAAGGCCCGGACAACAGGCGCCATGTCAACTTCCTCATGGAGTACCAAGCCGAGCCCGGCCCCGAGGCGCACATTGACCCGGAGGTGGGCGAGGCCGTGAGGGCATTGTGGTCCGACCCGGCCACCGACGAATTGATGACGCGGCAGACCGAGTTTTACCTCATGGACTCGGCTGTGTAGTGAGTCGCTTCGTCTGCCGGCTTGGGCATGGGCTGCTACTGACAGGTGTCCCGCAACCTAGCTTTTTCCAAGAGGCGATGCGCATCGTTGCGCCAGACTACCTGCCCAACGAGATGGATGTGCTAAGGGCACGGACAAAGACGACGGGCATCTACGAAACGCGCTTCCAGATGGGCCAGCTCAGCATCCAGTAAGTCGGCTGTCGTGCAACGCCCAGGGCCTGCCGGTCGCCTATTTGACCAGGTAGCTGATGCGCCTCTAGCATGTTCGACGTGGGCGGCCAGAGGAGCGAACGGAAAAAATGGATCCACTGCTTCGAAAACGTGACGTCAATCATTTTCTGCGTCGCCCTCAGTGAATACGACCAGGTCCTGCTCGAGGAGAGCAGTCAGGTGAGCCGTCGCTGATCCGCGGGGCACGGTAGATGGACCATCTGACGCCCAGACACAGAACCGTATGATGGAGAGCTTGCTGCTTTTCGACTCGGTGGTGAATTCACGATGGTTTATGCGGACCAGCATCATCCTCTTCCTCAACAAGGTCGACATCTTCAAGCAGAAGCTCAGCCGGTCGCCGCTGAACAACTACTTCCCGGACTACTCGGGAGGCAACGACGTCAACAAAGCAGCCAAGTATCTGCTGTGGCGCTTTAATCAGGTTAACAGAGCGCATCTCAATCTGTACCCCCAGTGAGTACCACTTGTGTCACGGCCATGATGGGGTTATTTGGCTGACATTGATACAGCCTAACCCAAGCAACGGACACGTCCAACATTCGACTCGTCTTCGCAGCCGTCAAAGAGACCATCTTGAACAACGCACTTAAGGACTCGGGGATTCTTTAATGTGTTTGCGATGGGCTGTCGGCCGTGAACAGCAAGCCGGCGAAGCGATGTCGGCGTCCGAGAGCATTGTATGGAGTTCCGGAGGCCTATTTTGTCGATCCTTTTTTCCTTTTCCCTGCTGCCTTTTGCCGTTTTGCTTTCCTTTGCCTTTAATGAGCCTCTGGACGGCGTTGCTGCGGCCGGAGCTTGCTGCGGCCGGGGCTTGCTGCGGCATGACACAGCTTACTCGGGCGACGAAACCCTCTTAATTTTCCCCAACGAGCGTCCATCTGGCCCGGCATCTGGCCCCACCGGCACCTGCATCTCGTCCGCACCCTCGGCGCACAAGGCTATGCCGGACAGCCCGGTGGCTGGGGTTCGGTGTCTCTACTGCCGTGGCCCACGCAACTGATTGCGAGTTGCAAGGGACGGAAAGGTGGACCTGGAGGCCACGGATGCAGGGCCTGGGATGACCCAAGGCCAATGGACGGCACGGAGTTGGACGACGATACGGTTGATATGAATATTGGGGACGATGTACAGGGGGGGAGCAGTTGGATATCGATTGGACCTGAGTGGTGTGACGCCAGCCGCTCTCTGCTTGGAAGAGAGAGGCGGGCAAGGATGGAAAACGGATGGGAGTAGCGGGAACCGGAGCTGTGCAGCTAATGGTGGGAAGGTAGTGAATACAACAAGAGGCCATTTGCGGTGACGGGATAATTACGCAGGGGTTGAGGGCAGCCAAAGTTGTGCCGCTACTAACTTAACTATACAGTATCAAGTGCTTTGTTATTAATTTACCCCGTGTCTCGATGCAGCGGCCCCACACTCTGCTGCGTGTGGAGTCACTTGGGGGTTGGGGGACGGGTGGTGCCATCTCCACCGCTTGGCCTGGGCCAACACAAGGCTCCATCTGAACAAGACGGGGAAGCGATTGCGATTGGCGAGGGAGGGCATCGTCTGCCAAGTCGTCGACGACGACCGCTGCGGTGAGAGCCGCGGTGAGAGTCGCGGTGAGAGTCGCGGTGAGAGTCGCGGTGAGGGGATGGACAGGGGCAAGCACAGAAAACGGTGACGTCGCAGCGCATGCTGCAAAGTAGCAGCAAGATGAGGCGTTTATGACGCTTGTCTCTCTTGACACAGCCCATGGCAAGACGCTGTTCTCTTATCAACGAGGTACCACGTCGTCTACCACCCTTTTCCTTCTTCTGCCCCCCTCTCCCCCTCCTCTCTCCGCCCACTCTCCAGCCTTTTGTCCGCCTTCACCTCCGAATTGCACAGCGGCCATCGTCGAACCGCTCTGCCCCGTCATTGCGGTCTGCGTCCGGAATCATCTCTCGAAGTCATTCCCCGTCTTGCTTCTCGCACGCCCCCTCTTGCCCCGCCCCCGCTCCGCCCCCGCTTCAGGAGCCCCCCACCACAGCTCAAGCTCCCTCAAAGACGGCCCCGGGCAGGTGAGGACGTGAGCCCGCCCCACGTCGATTGACGCCCCTCCCCGGATTGCCAGGGGTCCTGAGCGATTCGCGCAGCTTCACTCGCTGTCCCCCATGTTCGCTTGTCGCTGATCCGAGTCTGCAAGTAAGAATAGGAAGCAAAAGCAACCATGGCGACCGAACATCGCTTGCCCACGCGCGAACGCCGCCCCTCGACCGGAGCTCCCATTGTCGACATCCAGGGCCCCGTGGGCCCGGCCGGCATCTCGCGCCCCAAGCACAAGAGGACCTTTACCGGCTTCGGGCCCGGCGAGATCAAGAGCGTCGAGGGTACCTTGAACGAGCAGACCCCTTTGCCGGGCTTGGCTGGCGCTGACCAGTTCCCGCAGCCTCCATCCCCGAGCCCCAGCGCGCAGCATGGTCCAGGAACCAGATCCAGAGCTTCACCGACAAGGATGGCTTCGAGAAGGAGGTGGTACGCCACGTCGAGACCACCCTTGCTCGGAGCATGTTCAACTGTGACGAGTCGGCCGCTTACTCGGCCACCAGCCTTGCCTTTCGCGATCGCCTCATCAAGGACTGGAACAAGACCCAGCAGCGCCAGACCTACCGGGACACCAAGCGCGTCTACTACCTCAGTCTCGAGTTCTTGATGGGCCGCGCCCTTGACAATGCCATGCTCAATGTCGGGCTCAAGGACGCTGCCAAGGGTGAGAGGTCTCCGAGCAACGCCTGCACCGAGGCCACGCTGACACTGGTCCACAGGCGGCCTTGCTGACCTCGGCTTCCGAATCGAGGACATCATCGGTCAGGAGCACGACGCCGCCCTCGGCAACGGCGGTTTGGGCCGACTGGCTGCTTGCTTCCTCGACAGCCTAGCCTCTCTCAACTACCCCGCCTGGGGCTATGGCCTTCGCTACCGATACGGTATCTTCAAGCAGGAGATTATTGACGGATACCAGGTCGAGGTTCCCGACTACTGGTTGGACTTTAACCCCTGGGAGTTTCCCCGCCACGACGTGACGGTTGATGTAAGAGAGAGAGAGGCCCCAACCAGGCCATCGTTGGGCTCGACTAACCGCTCTAGATTCAATTCTTTGGCCACGTCAGCAAGACGACCAAGGATGACGGCAAGACGGCGGCAATCTGGGAAGGCGGCGAGATTGTCCAGGCCGTGGCCTACGACGTCCCCATCCCCGGCTACGACACCCCGACCACCAACAACCTTCGACTGTGGTCTAGCAAGGCGTCGGGCGGCGAATTCGACTTTCAAAAGTTCAACAACGGCGACTACGAGAGCTCCGTCGCCGAGCAGCAGCGCGCCGAGACCATCAGCGCCGTCTTGTACCCCAACGACAACCTGGAGCGGGGCAAGGAGCTCCGCCTGAAGCAGCAGTACTTCTGGGTGGCCGCCTCCCTCTACGACATTGTGCGCCGCTTCAAGAAGTCGAAGCGCGGTTGGAACGAGTTTGCGGACCAGGTGGCCATCCAGCTCAACGACACGCACCCGACGCTGGCCATTGTCGAGCTGCAGCGCATCCTCCTCGACATCGAGGGTCTTGAGTGGGATGTCGCGTGGGACATTGTGACCAAGACGGTATGTCGCCAATTCTGGCCGCCCCTTGTCTCCCGTCCACGCTCGACTCTAACAGACCAAAGTTTGGCTACACGAACCACACGGTGCTCCCGGAAGCCCTAGAGAAGTGGCCCGTCGGCCTGGTCCAATACCTCCTTCCCAGACATCTCCAGATCATCTACGACATCAACCTCTACTTCCTGCAAACCGTGGAAAAGGCATTCCCCAAGGACAGGGACATGCTCACCAGGGTCTCCATCATTGAGGAGTCGCAGCCCAAGATGGTGCGCATGGCTCACCTGGCCATTGTGGGCTCCCACAAGGTCAACGGCGTGGCCGAGCTGCACTCGGACCTGATCAAGACAACTATCTTCAAGGACTTTGTGGAGGTTTACGGCCCGGACAAGTTCACAAACGTGACAAACGGCATCACGCCCCGGCGATGGCTGCACCAGGCGAACCCGCGCCTGTCGGAGCTGATTGCGTCCAAGTGCGGCGGCAACGGCTTCCTCAAGGACCTGACGCAGCTCAACCGGCTCGAAGCCCACGCCAAGGACGCCGCTTTCCGGCGCGAGTGGGCCGAGATCAAGTACGCCAACAAGGTGCGCCTGGCCAAACACATCAAGAACGTGACGGGCGTGACGGTCAACCCGGCGGCGCTCTTTGACGTGCAGGTCAAGCGAATCCACGAGTACAAGAGGCAGCAGCTCAACATCTTTGGCGTCATCCATCGCTACCTGACGCTCAAGGGCATGAGCGTCGAGGAGCGCAAGAAGCAGCTCCCGCGCGTGTCCGTCTTTGGCGGCAAGGCTGCGCCGGGCTACTGGATGGCCAAGCAGATCATCCACCTCATCAACGCGGTGGGGTCCGTGATCAACAAGGACGAGGAGATTGGCGACCTGCTCAAGGTCATCTTCCTCGAGGACTACAACGTCAGCAAGGCAGAGATGATTTGCCCCGCGTCCGACTTGAGCGAGCACATTTCCACTGCCGGGACAGAGTATGCGGCACAGACGACGACGAGAGGATCCAACGGCTGACGGGTGGCACAGGGCATCGGGCACGAGCAACATGAAGTTTGTCCTCAACGGCGGGCTCATCATCGGCACCTGCGACGGCGCCAATGTAAGTGGCCGCCAGCATGAAGGACGAGAGGGGCTGCTGACGAAGAGGGCAGATTGAAATCACGCGGGAGATTGGGGAGAGCAACATCTTCCTTTTTGGAAACCTGGCCGAGGACGTCGAGGACCTCCGGCACGCGCACAATTACGGGAGCCATAGCATCGACAGCGACCTGGAAAAGGTGTTTGGCACGATTGAGTCGGGAACGTTTGGCACGCCGCACGACTTCAGCGCCATGATAGCGGCGGTGCGACACCACGGGGACTACTACCTGGTGTCGGACGACTTCCACAGCTACATGGAGACGCACCGGCTGGTGGACGAGTCGTACCGCAACCAAGACGAGTGGGTGTCCAAGTGCATCACGTCGGTGGCGCGGATGGGCTTCTTCAGCAGCGACCGGTGCATCAACGAGTACGCCGACGGCATCTGGAACGTGGAGCCGCTGGTGGTGCAGGAGTAGGCGAGGTGAAGGAGCAGAAGCGCGAGGATGTGAAGAGGAGGAGGAGGAGGAGGAGGAGGAGGAGGAGGAGGAGGAGGAGGAGCAGTACCTAACGGTCGGGACACGGCATGGAGAAGGATGGAGTATGACGGCTCTGGGCCCCAATGTGGACCGGGGACTGGGCTTTAGAGCAGATTGCATGGCGAAGCAAAGTTGGACGTGTCTCGTGATGGCTCCTGCAACGACAAGGCTCAGTCATGTATGTAACTTATTACATGCATGCCCAAATGGGCATTGGGCGTGCAACATTGACGGGCAAGTCTGGTCGGGGCGTCTCGACAAGCGAGCGGCGGCCATCAGCTTCCCATCGCGAGCACATTGCAGGGGCAGGGGGTTTTAAGCCGGTCGCTCCAGCGCATGATGATGAGTTGCCGACCTCGTTGTTTGCTGCTATTACTCGGCCACTTGTCCGTATATCCCTCCCGATTGACTACCGTACTGTACCTTTTACGGGACGGGTCGCCGCGACGGGGAATTTCAAGCTAGGACTGACTGGAGGGGGCGGGGCAAAGGCGAGTGAGCGGGGCAAAAGGAGCGGGGAGCAAAAGGGAGCGGGGAGGCGAGGCGAAGCACGGGGCCGGGCGGAGGAGAAGCTCCTGGCATCAGGCGTTTGCGCCGATTTCCCACTTGTGCGTCGATGCACGGAGCGGGGTGCGCGAGCGTACAGCAATTACGTACAGTACAGTGTACAGTACCTTGTAGCAGATCCGAGGTGTGTCCCTCCAGGGTAGCTCGGCACAGACCGACGACGTTTGCTTGGCTGGCGGACGGGCGCTAGCAACAAGAGCCGGAACGAGTTTGACGAGAGTGCTTGGCACTGGCTGTCAGGATTTTATGCGGGTAATTAATTTTCCACGCTTTGGGGTTGACTTGGTGGAGGGAGAGTGAGTGGTGGCCGCAGAAGCGGGCAAGCTGGAACGCGTCGAGATGATGCACCATTGAGATGCAACGCAAGAAACAGACGAGGGTTTTCATCAGTCTCCGTGTATTACAGTACAGTCTCCGTACATCATCCAGCATGTAACTACGGTATAACTACGGTATATGTATAGGACATTGCCAAGCACAGACATGAAGCAGCAGGGGCCCCGGAAACGCCATTATGCGCCCTCTGCGCCGAGAAAATCCAGCCGCCGCTCATCTCTGCATCAGCCTCGTCCGGTATCCGTGCCCCCAGAGCGATGCTTACAGTACCAACAGAACGGGGCATTGATCCCTGATCCCCCATGGAGTAACCAGAATCCAATGGCTCAGAATAAATACTATTTTTTATTTAATATTTTATTTTATCGCATATCACCCCCAATGAGGATGCCTGCCTTGCAGCCAACAAATCTCGATGAGCGGGAGCATCGACATTGTGGTTGATGCAGGCAAAAGTCGATTTGCGTCCCCATTTTCCCGACTGCCTTTCTCTTGATCCCCGTGCACACGGAGTTCCGTGTTTCGTCTTGGGCGCATGCATGTGCAAAGACAAGGCGAAGAGACATGTCTCGACGCTTGTCTCCCCAATGCGCGCGAATCGAAACGGCGCAAATCCCGTCTCCATCGATGGATCGAGCATGCATGTCTCTGCTGCGGCTGGCGTCGGAGCCGCACGGCATCAAACCCATGAGAAACCAACTAATTAATTACTGTGCCCTCTTCTTGCTCACCTCCACTCTCCCAGGCCACACTAGAGTTGGTTTATTCAGCCACAGGTACTGTAAGTTAATTACAATCCCGTCTCCCCTTGTGGACCGGGATCCCTGGCGGAACAACCGAACGTGTCTACACGTCCGTTCTTGGCGCGGGCCAAACAAACACCCTCCTTACCTTTATACCCTTGATCAAGGATATATTTCTTCCTGACACGCAGTCTCCTTTCTCTTCCCCCTTTCCTCCTTCTTGGAGCGACCCCGCACCCGGTGAGGGCGAGCCCGTCGGCAACTCACGGGAGCGATAAGACGGAAAGCCTCGCGCCGCGCATCGTCCCTTGGCCACGCACGACGAGAGTCAAGTCGGTGCTTTGCCTTGCTCGTCGTACCCTTGGGTTGCCTTGATGCACACATCCAAGGAACTGCTTTGCCCCACCCCTCTTTCCAGCGGAGAGCAGAAGCACACGAGCTGTACACGGCCTTGGACAAGGGCACCGCCGCGGCTCCGGCCGGCCGTTTGCCCGTCGGCGGTCCGGCACGCATCCGGTCCCGGGCTGGCTGACTTGCAGGCCAGGCTGCGGTTGCACAACGGCCGGTCCAACTCCGACAGTACATACACGAGATACTGTACGAAGCACGGAATACGGGCTAGGCGCATGTATTGCTATCTTACTGTCCATGAACTTGCACGTTCCCATTGTCGGCTGCCTCCGGATTTGTCCAAGACAATGCCTGCGGCGGCCGTTGGTGCCTGTGGTGCTGTGCGTCGCTCAGGCACCGCGTCTCACGGTACAAGCATCCCAGGTTCCTGCCCTGCTTTGACGCAGCAACCAGTACTTGCATGTCTGGTACCTTTCTGATCATTCCGCACCGCCCTTGGGCCATTCGTCGGTGGGGCGAGCTGAGGATTCTTGTGGGCAGGCCTTGATTGCCTCAGGGGATACTACGTACTGTGCACCGCCTACCCGCCGGACAGTACTCCTGCGGTACAAGCCCCGTAGCTCTGTGAGCCCCCCGCACTCGCATGCACCAGTCCGCGTGGCTGCTGTACCCTGAAGGTACTACATCTACCAGCGTCGTGGCGCCTCTAGGGCACGGCGGCTAGTGGGCCTCTTTTCCTCCAGTTGGCGTCCATCCATTTTTGCCCCTCCTTTGCTCCTCCTCTTTCTGCCGCTCCTCCTCCTCCTTCACCTACTCCTCCTCCTCCTCCTCCACGTCCTCCTTCACGTCCTCCACGTCCACTTTGGCCTGCTCTCGGCGCCCCGTCACGCCTCTTTTTGCATCTGTTCCCTCGCCCGCCGTCTCATGCACAAACGCCGCTAGAGCTTGGCTCCCCTCGCTGACCCCCAGCCAGCAAGCCAGCACACTGCCCGGGCTGCCGTCCTTGCCGCCCTGCCGTTTCACCGCAGCCACGGTTCACCGTATCACACGACGAGAAAAAGGCGCCCTGCGATAGCTTTCGAGGAATCCCTTCACCCTCTTGACCACCGCCAGCGGCCCAACCCATCGCCGCCGCCACACCGGGGGAACTCGCTCGTCGTGCCCTGCTTCCAAAATCCCGACGTGCTTCGCCTCTCCCACCCGTGCCCGCACCCCTTCTTCCGCCCCTGGTCTGTTGTTGGCTGCCCGCCTGCCGTCGACGCTGGCAATCCCCCCCTCCCCACGCGCCATCGGCAGCCTTCTTCATCACCTCCTGCACCTTGCACTGCTCTGCCTCCACGCACATCTTCGTCTTGTTTGTCACAACGAAGCGCCGCTTCATCCTCCGCAACCATGGCCGAATTCGTGCGAGCGCAGATCTTCGGCACCACGTTCGAGATCACTTCAAGGTAGCCTCATCTCCCCGCTTGACCCTTCTCCTCACCCCTCCCCATCCCGCGCTGACTCTTTGCCAGGTATTCCGATCTCCAGCCCGTCGGCATGGGAGCCTTTGGTCTCGTCTGGTATGTCCGCCCGCGCGCCCTTGCAACTTGGCCCCCGTTGCGCCGCCCTCCGCCCCGACTTCTCGTTTGCTGACCCCGCCGATGCAGCTCCGCCCGCGATCAACTCACGAACCAGAACGTCGCCGTCAAGAAGATAATGAAGCCCTTTAGCACGCCCGTACTCGCCAAGCGCACGTACCGCGAGCTCAAGCTGCTCAAGCACCTCAAACACGAGAATGTAGGCCTCCCCTCTTGCCTCAGTCACCTGCCGCATCCGACTTCGTTGCTGACCGTTGCCCCACTGCAGGTCATCTCCCTCAGCGACATCTTCATCTCTCCCCTCGAAGACATGTACGTCTGGCCCAGGTCTGCTCACCGAGTGCGGCACCCATACTGACGGAGACGCCAGCTATTTCGTCACAGAACTGCTCGGTACCGATCTGCACCGGCTGCTGACCTCGCGGCCCCTTGAGAAGCAGTTCATCCAATACTTTCTCTACCAAATCATGGTACGCCACGTCCGCACTGCAACGGCCGCCCGCCGCCTCGTGAGCTCTGCTGACACCCGAGATAGCGGGGTCTGAAATACGTGCACTCGGCCGGCGTTGTCCACCGCGACCTCAAGCCTAGCAACATCCTCGTCAACGAAAACTGCGACTTGAAGATTTGCGACTTTGGCCTGGCGCGGATCCAAGACCCGCAAATGACGGGCTACGTCTCGACGCGGTACTACCGGGCTCCCGAGATTATGCTTACGTGGCAAAAGTACGACGTCGAGGTTGACATTTGGAGCGCGGGCTGCATCTTCGCCGAGATGCTCGAGGGCAAGCCCCTCTTCCCAGGAAAGGATCACGTCAATCAGTTCTCCATCATCACCGAGCTCCTTGGCACGCCCCCGGACGATGTCATCAACACAATCGCCAGCGAGAACGTAGGGGCTTCCCCGACGCTGGAGTGCGCGCGGCGAGGGACCAGTGGGCTGACATGTGATGCAGACGTTGCGGTTTGTCAAGTCTCTGCCGAAGCGCGAACGCCAGCCCCTCAAGGACAAGTTTAAGAACGCCGATCCTTCGGGTGCGCCTCCCCAGCTCAGCTGTACAGGTCATGGAACAGGCCAAGACTGACGTCGCACCACAGCAATCGATCTTCTAGAGAGCATGCTCGTGTTCGACCCCAAGAAGCGGATAACAGCGACCAATGCCCTCGCACACGACTACCTCGCGCCCTACCACGATCCCACCGACGAGCCCGTGGCCGAGGAAAAGTTTGATTGGAGCTTCAACGACGCCGACTTGCCCGTCGACACGTGGAAGATTATGATGTGAGCCCCTCGCTCCAGCATCGGGGGACAGCTCCAGGTTGCTGACCTAAAGTCCAGGTACTCTGAGATTCTCGACTACCACAACGTGGACGCGAATCCACACACCATGAACGGCCAGCCATTCCATGGTTGATAAGAGGATCAGATGTACTGTCGCAACGCGCTTGTGCGCATTTGGATAGTAGTAGATGGCAGAGACAGGCCCTTGCAGGGCGGCTCCCGATACCACCGTGGCAATCGTCGCAGACTTGGCCGGCGTTTGCGACGAGAAGACGTACGCACGCGATGGAGCCGCTCACGACACGAGAGTTATGGCGTTGGGGGGCGGGCGGAAGAAAGAAGACGGGCTCTTCCTTTGGGTTCGTGTACGAGTTTCGAGGCTGTAGCAAACGCACAAAATACACGACGTGGGCGAGCACGATGAATTGCTTTGCCGGTTGAATATTTCTCTCACAAGGCGCCATGAATACGGGATGCTCTCGGGGGTGCCGCTTTGCCGATGCGATGGTGGAGCGACAGGTGAATATAGATAAGGGAGAAAGCAGCGTCTGGCAAGTAGTAGGAAGCGCATGCATGAGAAACGAGAATGAAGAGGGAGAAGAGACTCTGAGGAGGGCTTCATTTTAATTTCTGCGGCTCGTGCACGTCCCCGGGAGCAACATACTCTGGCCTCTCTCTCCGCGACCCCCTTGGTCAGCTCTCCTCGAGGAACTCGCGCAGCTCGGTCTCCTCGCCGCTGTGGCAGACCATGTCGTAGAACTGGCCCCTGGAATCGTAGAGGTCCTTGGGCGAGCCTTGCCTGGTGGGCGGCGCGCCCCATTTTGTCAGTCTTGGCCGCACTGTCAACGGGCGGTGGATTTTGCTTACTCGAGAACTCTGCCCGCGCTCATGACGACGACGACGTCGTAGTCGATGATTGTGCGCAGGCGATGGGCAATGGTGACGAGGGTGCGCCCGCTGCCGCCGCCGTCGTCGTCGGCGCGTTGGAGCTCGGCGCGCAGGACGCGCTGGATGCCGCGGTCCGTCGCGTAGTCCATGCTGGCCGTGGCCTCGTCGAGGAGCATGAGGCGGCTGTCGCGGACGAGCGCCCGGCACAGCGAGAGCACCTGGCGCTGGCCGTGGGAGAAGTTGTCCCCGCGGGCGTGCACCTCCGTGGCGAGGGCAATGGCCTCGTTGCCGTTGACCGCCGCGGCCCCATGGACGTGGTTGTCGTCGTCGTCGTCGTCGCCGCCGCCGGAGGAAAAGGACGCGATGCCCTTGCAGTTGTCGAGGGCGGCGTCGAGGCGTGCGCGGGAGGCGAGGCCCGTCGGGTCGAGGTTGGAGGCGACGGAGCCGCTGAAGAGGACGGCTTCCTGCGGGATGATGGTGAGGCTCTCGCGGAGGCGGCGGCGGGGCACCTTTGTGATGTCGACGCCGTCGAGGAGGATCTGGCCCGAGACGATGTCGGTGAAGCGCAGGAGGGAGAGGACCAGCTGACAGTCGTCATTAGCTTCAACCCCGAAGCGATGAGCCACAGATGCGAAGAAACTCACGGTGCTCTTGCCCGACCCCGTCCTTCCGACGATGGCGACCCGCTGGCCGGCCCTGAACGTGAGGCTAATGTCGGAGAGAATGTCCGGGCCGCCGGGGTCGTACCGCACCGTCACGCTGCGAAACTCGACCTGCCCCGAGCACGGCCAGCCTTCGGGGATGACGCGGGCGTCATTGTCGGTGTAGCCCCCTTCGGCCTGGTCCGCGAATGGCCTGTCGTCCTTGCCCTCGGGCTCGAGCTTGACGTATTCCTTGACGCGGTGGAACTGGTGGTGGGGAGATGAATACTTAGCATCCACGGGCTCGGCCAAAAGGGGGTCGCGGGAGCAAAGAAGCAAGGGAGGACTTGACCAGGAACTTACACTTTGCATCTCCACCTCGAGATCATTCATGCTGCGCACGAGCATGAGAATCGTCTGGCTCAGCTCGTTGGCACTGGTGAGAGAGAAGCCGACCAAGCCAGCTCCGACAAGCCCGACCTTGGACACGGCAATGATGCCGGCCGAGAGGGCGACGAGGGCAGTGACGAGGTCGATGCGCACCGCGACCCAGCGGTTGCAGTTGTAGTTCGTCTCGGACGCGGCGGACCACACGCGCAGCTTGTCGGCCAGCTCGGCGCCAAACGTGCCCGCCATGCCGGTTCTGGCGCGGATGACGGGCAGGCCGGCGAGCGTGTCTGCAAACTGCGAGAAGACGGGCGACTGGGCCGACGAGGTCAGGCGCTTGATGACGACGGCGGTGCGCGTGTACATCTCGCCCACGACGATGCCGACGCAGCAGGCCGCCAGGCCGGGCAGCATGAAGACGGGCATGATTGCGCTGACGGCGCCGACGCGCAAGAGGAGCTGGATGATGGTGTCGAGGGACGCACGCAGCATGGCGCCCAGCGCGCCGTCAATCGACGCCATGTCGCCCGAGAAGCGGTTTGTGATGCGGCCCACGGGTACCGCCTTGAACCATGATAGCGGTACCCTCATGACGGCGCGGATAAAGTCGTTGTGCAGCCTGCGTGCCGCGCGCCACGAGCCCCATTCGAACGCGATGACGATGACGCCGTACGACATCAGCTCGGAAAAAACCAGTAGCGCAAAGATGCCCATGTAAAAGGCAACGTCGACGTGCGCATTGTGGTTGTAGGCTTCGACCCAGACCGACAGCCATAGGGTCGTCGAGAAGAAGAAGACATTGGCGAGGAGGAGGCCCACGAGGCAGACGACGGCAAACAGCGGGTGGCCAAAGTAGCCCATGTACTGGAGCACTGCAGAGGAGAAGCGTCAGTCAGCACATGTCTTGCGAGGATCGCCGGGGACGAGCAGATGCGCGTACTGCCCAGGCGGCCCGCCTTGCTCGTCGCCTTCATCTCCTGATCCACGGCGTCGTTGCGGACGGAGGCGTCTTGGGCCACCTTGCTGGTGTCGTTGAACCCATCTCCGTTGGGCTGGAGCTCCGGCTCGGGCACCTTGTCCGCTTCTCTCCCGTTTCCGTCGTCATCGCCGCCCCCGAGGACATCGGCAATCTTGATAGGCCGGCGAACAACGCCAATGTTGGGATCCACGCTCTTGACCTGGCCACCGTCGAGCATTATGGAAAGGTCTGCTTGAGCAGAGATCCACGGGACCTGAGTGACGAGGACCGTCGTCCGCCCCCGCAGCAAGTCGCCACAGAAGCAATGCTTCCACACGCCCGCCGACGTCTTGGCGTCCAGGGCCGAGAAGACGTCGTCTAGAAGTAGCAGCGGAGCCTTGGAATACAACGCTCGAGCCAGGGCAACTCGGGCTTTTTGTCCGCCGGACAGAGACGTCCCGTTCTCGCCCACTGCTGTCTGATCTCTCAGGGGCAACTCGCGCAAATCCTCGGGGAGGCAGCAGGCCTCCAGCACCCGGCCGTAGCGAACTTCTTCCATGGGGCTCCCGAAGAGGATGTTGTCGCGGATGGTTTCATTCTGGAGCCAGGCTGACTGAGACGCAAATGCAATGTCTTCCGGGGCCGTGACGCTCCCGCCTTCCAGGTAGGTCTCGCCAAGGATGGCGAGCAGGAGGGTCGACTTTCCACAGCCGCTCTGTCCAGTGACGACGTTGAGGCCGCCCTCGACAAAATCGAGGTTGATGTCTCGAAGACTGAAGGTGGCCTTCTTGCTTCGGCGAAAGTGGCCTCGTTCGATGCGCAAGGGACCGGCAGGATACTTGACGAGCGGAACAGTGCTTTCAAAGTACTTATCCAGCCGGCCGAAAGCGACGAGGGCGCCCGCGAAGTTGCGGGAAAACATGCTGGCCATCATGATGTTTCTGCGAATGTTCTTGACCAGGTATAGGGTTGTAAAGGCGGTCGAGGCTTCCAGGGGCTTCCTGTCGAGTCCGACGTGCAGACCAAACAAGACGAGTAGAGCAAGATACGGAAAGATGTGGGAGATTTCATTGATAGTGGTTTGCAACACTGCGAGCCCCCATAGTCCCTTTTGCTCAACGGCTCGAGCGGCGACAAGCTTTTCGGTAATGGGCGTCTCCCAGGCAAAGTACTTGATGGCCCGTATGGAAGCCAGGTACTCGGTTACGAGGGAGATGCGAGCATCCTGTGCTTTTCGGACTCGTTTCTGCGTCCCATACATCATCTTGCCGAACCAGACAGAAAGGGGTACTCCCAGGAACAACACAAAGGTCCCGACGAGGGAGGCCCAGCCGAGCATCTTGTACAGGCCGATGAGGGATATGACGGTGCCCGATGGGACGCCGACCAGGACAATAATCATGTCGCGGGCCCGGAAGATGGCGTCGACATCGGCAGCCATCAAGTTGGCTAGCCGCCCGGCCGAGGTTGACTTTTGCGCCTTGTCACTGTCGTTGTCAGGCTTGGCCTTGTCACCGCTCGCCTGGAAAGGGTCGTCCTCGATCTCCATGGACTGCAATGCCTTGTGGTAGAGTTCCTGCGTCATGGCCGACTTGATGCGCACTATGAGCCGGGTAGAGGTGAATATGTATTGCTGGTAGAGAATGGATCGACAGACTGGCCCGGAAAACATGAGGATCAGCCAGACCCAGGGGTGGTAGACGGCATCAGCAGGAGCGTCGAGATATTGCAGCAACCTAAACATGGCGAACGGTGCGATATTTTCCACGATATAGCTGCAGCCGACCCAGAGGGACATGAGGAGCAGCTCTACCCTCTGGAACCGGAGCGTCGTCCACAAGGTGGTCTTTGAAATGGAGCGAGCAACTTGAACCTTGCGAAGGAGATAGAGGGGCTCGTCGTACCAGGCCAGCTTGGGAATACCCGACATGTCGAGCTTTCCCGTGGTACCTTTCCAGATGACGGGCGTGAGCCACTCGTAGGTGCAATAGTAGTTGATCCAGCTGCACGTTTCCTCCAGGGTGGGCTCGCCTGGAAGCTCAAGGCCGGGGGTGTCATCGTGGTCATCTATCTGGGGCAGGACCCATGCTCTCGGAGTGAACATGGCCAAGACGAGGGCGACCAGGAGAGAAGCCGCGGCGCCGAGGATGCTGGGGTCGATGGTGCACTGGATTCCCGTCTGAACACAGGGAAGAAAGTGAGTCGCCACGAGCATGGCCAGGGACGCGACCGTAACAAAGTTGACCTGGTGAAGGGCCGCTTGGCGCCACTGGAGATGTCTTGAGAGCCGCAGTAGCCCGAGGACGAAGAGATAGACGAGGAGGACGAGACTCGGCCAGTGAGTGCGGCGGCGCACATAGGCGACGGCGAGAAAGGTCAAGGCAGCGGCCCTGGAGGCCTGGGAGAGCAGCTCAAAGCGCCAGGGGATGGATGAGGCCTTGGGCTTGGCGCCTGGGCGGCCATTGCGATGCCGAGAAAGACAAGCGACGGCTACGCAGGCGAGGGAGACGGCGAGGATGACGGCCTGGAGAATGCCCGACTGGGAGAAGCGGGAGAGGCGGCGGATCCATGGGACCTGGGAGACGGCGGTGCTGATGAGGCTGGACGAGGCGGGGGCTTCATCAGCATCGAAATGAAGTGTTGAAGCTCGAGCAGCAGAGGAGAAGAGGAGCCATCACCAACCTGGACAGCGGCGGCCGTCTCGGCGGGTCGTAAGCACCGACGATGCTCCGAAAGGGCGAGGACTCGTAGGAGCCAAGGCGAAGAATGGCAACGTCCATGGCAGAATCCACGGCCCAGTTCCACAACCAAGGCGTGTGTCGGAGAAAAGATGGGTACGGATGGGGAAACGGGGCAAGGAAACCGCGCTCTTGACCGCCCGTGAGGCGCTGTAGCCGGCGCGCCCCTCCCCTGCTGGGCGGGGTCTCTGCCCGCTGAAGCCCCGAAGCCGGGGCTCAGTTTAGGCCCCTGGTTCGACGGCCCCTGGTTCAACGGCCCTTTGCATCATTATACATCCTCCTGCCTCTTCGGTCCCCGTGCGGTAGCCCTCTTCTTCACCACCGAAACTCTTTGTTACGCAACGCAGCCATGTTGAATACAGTCAACAAGGAAGCCATTCTACCACTAACCAGGTCAAAACCCTTGTACCCAACGCAGCAGCCATGCTGAACATGGGCAAGGAAAAAGCCATTCTACCAGCAACCACGCTACTCCGTGCCATCATCCTCCGCCTATCCATCCACTTTGCGCCGGTTCCACCCGGTTCATCGAGCCTATGGTCGCGACAGGATATGGAACGGGTAAAAAAGACTCGCCTCGTCGGGCGTCCGGGTCGTAACTTTTCCACCCAGCTTGGTTCCCTGCTGTCCGGACTTAGGTTGCGCAGCTAAGGGATCGGGCAATTGACCTTTCGTTTCCATGGGGGCCTCATGGAGAGCTGGTTTGCATTGGGTGGCGATGGCATGACCGCATTGCCAAGATAGACTGGCCGGCTCTACCGAGATCCAGATCACGGCTGGAGGATCCGAGGTGTCTTCGTAACTGATTCTCAGGATGTCGACGGCGTTGCATTTAATCTAGTGCCTTGATAACATATCCATCACCTTTCCCCTTAGACACGTAAGTCCATTGAAGGCGTTCCATTTGCCGCCAACAATAGGATGGGCACTTGGGGTTCTCGACGACCTTTGGTTGCAGTCGATCAGTTTCCTCGTAGGGCCCAAGGAGTCGAGCCAGATGGTGCCACGAATCTTGGCTCTGACGGCAATCCAAAGATAGTGGAATTCGAGAGAGTCGACCGAGGGAGGAGAAGGCCAGAACTTCGACTTGTCGTCCAAGGGCGTATACCGTGCGAAAAGCGCGAGAGAGAACAGACCGACACCTTGGATTCACCGTCGACAACCAGGAACGAAGCTGAAGGCTTCAGAGTCGCCCCGAAGTCTAATCGTAACGCGCAGGCACGAGCAACAAGTCGGACTCGCCGACAAAAGCCGGCTGGAAGTCCAGGTTCGTCTTCGACGATCAGATAACAGGGGGCCGCAAACTAACTCGCGGGGACAATGGGGCCGTTCGGCGGCGAGGGTTCGATAACGAGCCTAGAGGACTGGACAGAGAGATAAGGACTTTCTCGAGCTTGGGGAATCTTGCCAGGACACGGTGTGGGTATAATGCCTGACGAGGACGTGATCTTCGTCGTATCTCTTGTCGTACCTCTTCCAAGACTTCGCTTCGCCGGCCTATGGGACTCCCAAGCCTCTAGCGTCGAGGTTGCGTTTTCCGTGGCGAACTCATGAGGCTTGCCTTGGACGCAGCAGTGCTGGCCAGGGCCGACGTGGTGAAGGTTCGGATGGATGCTTGCTTCGCCATGGCGAAGACATGTTGATGGTGTGAGTGCGTTGTAATCTACTCGTGTCCGTGTCCATTTCTTGAGGGGGAAAGGGGGAGAGAAAGGGGGAGAAGAAGGGGGGGGGAGGTCTTTAACGGCGGCTCCATCGAATAATAGGGCGACTGTCCTCTTTGGTGGGCTTTGGTTCAAAGGTCGCCCAAAACTCTGCGAGCTCTTCCAGGCGCTGCGTCTATGTCATTGGACTGATATTTTCAAGAAATTTTCTGGCCCTGTCCTATAGAGTGACGACCTCATTGGATTCGCTCAAGCTCGAGACCAAGGTTGGGTAAGAGGTGAGGATGATATGTCGTCCAGTCTGCCATTTTGGTTAGTAGCCTATCCTTGAGAATGGGAAACCAAAGTCTGGACTCCAGTGTATTGTGCGACTTACTGCTGGTTCCCACTGTGTGATCGCGATGACGGACCTGAACCTGCTGCGAGACGCCCTTGCCCGTGGAGTCCAGCAACTGCCCCGACTGGCTCCTCTTCAGGGCCCCGACCGGACCGTCAAACCCGCGCCCCCTCCCCTCGCTCTGCCCTCGCTCTGCCCTCGCTCTGCCCTCGCTCTGGCCGGAGCCCCCTCCCGACCCGTCACCGCCACCACCCCCGTTCCCGTTGCTGTTCCCGCTGTTGTTTCTCGGCGCCGGGGCGAACGGATTCGCGAACATCTTCGCATTCGTCTCGGTCTGCTCGGGCGCGGTCTCGGGGTGGTACCAGTTCGTGCCCGACTCCCCCCTGTCGTAGTTGCGCTCGTCGATGACCCCCGACGCCCCGACGCCCTCCATCATGGACGCGAGGTCGAAATCCGACATGGTCTCGTACGCGCTTCTGACCGAGTTGATGAACTTGTTCAAACTCGACATGATCGACTCGAAGATGACGTCCGGGCTCCTGTACTTGCACAGGACCAGGACCGGCCCCGGGGGCTCATCCAGTCCTATCCTCCTGCGCACGAACCTGGCCTTGGTCGGGTCCTTGCTCTCGCCGTAGACGGCGCACGTGTGCTCCAACCTGGACCTGCTCCCTCGGGATGCAGACTATAATTGCCACTTCTGTCAGAACCAAATCTCTCGTAGAATTGGGCCTACCCACCGTCCGAGACTTGCTTGTCAAACACAGACTGAGCCCAAAAGGCGATATGATTCCATGTGACGTGCCATGTGTGCCGACGGTATGGGCGTTGGAGCCGAGTAGACGTGTACAGTTGTTGTATTGTGCACAGCGATGTGGATTGTGGCAAGGCAAGGTCGTTGCACCAATCCAGACGTCAAATGGTCAGACAGTCTCATCGTATCTCTGCCTGTGCCTACATCGGTATGGAAGATGCTCTGAAATGCCCGTCATGGTGCAAGACGCATGGACGACGGGGAATCTGCCCGGAGACCCAATTGTAAAGAGTCAAGGATGAAACAGGCAAAGGTATGGGAAAGGAAGAGGAAAAGCAGTTGGAGACGGGGCGGGACGAGATTTTTATATACGTACTGTGGCGGGTTGTGAATCAGACGAGGTCCAGATTGGCGGTTGCTATTGTGGAGGCATTGAGTGATTCACTGGCGAACTGTGGGCTCTGCAGGTTGCCGTAGCGTTGGGTGGGCAAGAAGGTCGGGTCCAGAGAGAACATGTGCATGATGATGCCATGTTTGACCTTGAAGACCGAGTCTTGGATGGTCATGCTTGGAACTGAGCTCGTGCCAGGCTGCCTTTGACGATGTCGGTAGAAGGCGGCGTTGGTAGGGGCTGCCTGCAGCTCAACCGGGACTTGGGTGAAAGGGACAGTGGAGATTCAATCGACTTGAGGAGAGAGGGTTGATTTTGAAGGGGAAAAAAGAAATGTTGATGTTGCAGACTTCCTTAACAGAGAGCATCTGCCGTGCCAGTGCCTTTTACTTCTACACAGGCTACGAAGAACGTAAGTTAGGCTGAGTCTAGTAAGGGACGTATCACTACTTTACTTTCCGCCTAATCATCCGGGCGGACAGGTAGCTTGAGGTCTTTTGCAGCTTGACTTAACACCTAGGACAGTACCTACTGGAGGGAGCTCAGCAGCACCGTGTTGCACACAGTAAGTACATTAAGGTACAGAGCAAATGGAGACGGGGCTTTCTTGAAGACACGTGACGCTAGCTACATCGGGTAACAGGGCGGCAAGGCACATGTTGGAGCCATGTGCCGAAAAGTGCAGTAAAGAAAGAAAGTGAAAGTCGAAAGGTAGATGCGAAAAAGGTACTTTTTACCAATGACGGAGGACACAAAACAAGGGTCCGAAGAGCGAACCGACTTGTCCTATCAAGTTGCCATTCAGCACTGAAGTACTTTGTGCTTGGTGAGGACGGGGCACTGTCTTGGGTACCAACATGGCAAAAAAGGACTGGGCGATGAAGCAACTCTTCGGTGCAAGCAACGAGCCGTGCCGACGGGTGGCGTGTTTCGTGTTCTGCTCGGGCGCCAAAAGCAAAGACAATAAACGAGTATTATCTCCTGAGACCTGAGCCAGTCTGACCCCGCCGCCGCGACCCATTGGGCACTACAGAGGTAGACTAACTAATTAGAGGCCAGCCACCAGAGGCCAGCCACCACCACTACCAGACCCTCAGACCACCCTTTGTTTCCCTCGTCGGGACGATGCATGCACAGGCTGGGTCGGGTATTATTATTTGATTTTTCTACGTACGAGCACGCACTGGTCGCCGCGGCCTTTGTGCGTGCTGCTACTTGCTTGCTCTGGCATTTTTGGTGGCTGCCGCTTGCTTTTTCTCACTCACCATCTCCTCCTCTCCTCCCCCCTCTCTCCCCTCCCCTCACCCCCCCCTCCCCTCCACTCCAGCCCACGCTTCATGGTCACGACACATCATCATCCGCCCCCCGGACCCGCGAAGGCGCGAGCAGGTCTCGCTTCCCACCGTGTCGCCAGCATCCCAAGCCTCCGCCTCCGCTCCGCTCTGTCGCCTCGCTCTCCCGCAGCCAATCGCGCGCCCTCGGCAAGTAACCAAGACCCAGCCTCGTCCCTTAGACGCCACGACACGACGCCAGCGACCACAAGTGACGACGCCTGCCCCGGCTGACGCTCAAGCACCCCTCGCTCTCTCAAATACCCTCCGTCGCCCACTCCCATCTCCAACCACAAAGGACAGACTCCCATCGGTATACTGCCGTCTCGTCTCGCCCCCAACTTCCCCGCCACCATGACCAGCTCCCCCTCCCCCCCCGCATATCTCTTCGTCGTGAGGTCAGTTGACGCGGCGCATCTCCGCTACCCTCCCTCCCCTCCTGCTGACTCGCTGCCCGCAGACACGGAAACAGGCTCGACGCCGCAGACAAGAAATGGCACCTCTCGTCCCCGACGCCCTACGATCCCCCCCTCACATACGGCGGTCTCTTGCAAGCGAGGCAGGTTGGCAACCAGATCGGTGCCATTCTCGAGCAGGCCAAATTCGACGACCAAGAGTCACGCACCGGCGCCTCGTCGAGGAAGCGCAAGCGCTTCAAGGTTGTCATCCACAGCTCTCCCTTTCTGCGCTGCGTGCAGACGTCGATTGGCATTGGCTCCGGTCTGGCCCAGACGTCGCCCGACTCCATCTACAGCCCTGGCGATGTCATCGTCCCGAGAGCCGCCCCCTGCGTCCACCCGCTCCTGTTCAAGTCAGCCTTGCTTCGTCTCGACTCCTTCCTGGGCGAATGGCTGTCGCCCGAATACTTCGAGATGATCACTCCGCCGCCGGGCCCCGCGCTCATGATGGGCGGCGCAAAGGCCGATCTTCTTCGACGCGAGGACTACAGCGCCTACACCGACCCCATGCCTGATGAAAAGCCAGTCTCAAATGGCCGCTTGTGGCACGCTTCGTCTGCCTCGAGCCCTGCCAACGGCGCGCAATCGCCCGCTTCCGAGTCTAACCGCGCCATTGACCTGTCCGCACTGGCCTCGGCTCTCCCCGTGCAGCGCCAGGAACCACGGAACTACGTCGCTCCCAGGCCGCTCTACGCCATCTCGACCAGCGGCAGGATCCCTGAGGGCTTTGTGGCACACGCCAGAGATGCCTGCGTCACGGTCGACTACCAATGGGACTCGATGCGGGAGCCGCTCGACTTTGGAGACGGGGGCAAGCTCGGTGAGGAATGGACGGCGATGCACATGCGGTTTCGGGGTGGGCTGAGAAAGCTCGTCAACTGGTACGCGACGACGGAGTCACCCGCCGACTTGGTGACGAAGCCTGCCCAGTCGCTACAGGGCGACGGCCCGGAGGTGGAGGCGGAAGACGACGAGGTGGAGACGGTCATCATCATCGTCTCCCACGGCGCAGGCTGCAATGCCCTCATCGGGGCCATCACCCACCAACCCGTCCTCATGGATGTCGGCCTCGCATCCATCACCATGGCCACGCGAAAGCCCAACCTCGACTACGCCCAAATGCTCGCCGCGGTACCTCTGCCCGCGGACCAATCGGCAAAGCCTGTCGTTCAGGTCGACAGGATGTACGACATGCGGCTCTCCGCCAGCACCGAGCACCTCCATTCCTTCAGCTCCACGCCCGTGTCCTCGAGGTCGACGTCGAGGTCCAACACCCGGAACCCCAACGGCCATGGGAATCGAGGTAGGACGTCGACGCTGGGCAGCTCGGGGGGGCCAGTCATGAACCCCTTCACGTACCATGACCTCTTCTCTTCTCCAGTCAGCCGCAGCACTTCGGCGAGCGCCACCGTCGGCGACCCGTTCCGACGCGAATCTGCCTCCCACCGGCCTGCGCTGCGCGGGTTGGCTCTTGCCACGGCCGGTCTCGCCGGTGTCGTTGGCACGCCGTCGAGCGGAACACACTCGCCGAATGCGGCGCCGTCGTTTGGCTTGTGGTCGCCGGCTCCCTCGTCTCTGCGGCTCATGGACGACGGCGCCGAAGACACCGACGACTTTGGCTCACTCCTGCCCGACTTTGACCAGAAGCGCTTCGCTGCCGCGGTTGCAGACAAAGAAGACAAGGAGCCATCGCCCACGACTATGCCGTCGACAGCCCCAGCCGTGGGCGGAGCCCCGATGACGGGCGAAGCCAGCACACCGTCTCTAAAGCATCCTCCCAAGGGCCCCACGTTTGCCGCGCCCATCAAGATCAACACCAACGTGGTGGCCGATCGCCCGTCGGCAGAGGAGGTCAAGATGTCTCAGCTCGGCGGCGGCCTAGGGGGTCTCTGGGGCCTGCCGCCTCCGCTTGACGAGGCAGAGCTGTTCCGCGACCTCAGCCACACCAAGCGACGGTGGACGGTCAACGAGCGCGTGTAGGCGGGGGAAGCTGGCTGACCACTCTCCTTGATCTTTTCACACCCTGCTGCTTTTCTCTCCTCTTTCTCCCCTCTCCTCTGATTGCGGAAGCTCGGTTTGAGTGGTCTGCTGCCAGCGTGGCTGGCTTGACTTTGTTTGTTTCAAGGACGAGTGACGAATCCATATGCATGCATGGCGCTGGCGAAAAGGCGAGGGCTGCAAAACATAATTATTCGATACTCAGTTGTGATATTTTCTTGGACGGCATTCCACGCGGGACCACGAGCGACTGCTTTTCTTTTACGTTTCGTGTTTCGTCACGTTTGCCTTTGCTTGCATGCTTCCCATGCTGGACTTGCGTCTTTCCCGGTCAAGGTGCTTGAGGGCATAGTGTGAGCCGGTGACGCGCGTGCAGGTTGTCTTTCAGCGCACATTTCGAGATTGAAGAATCCCTCAGTCTAATTCAAGCGGCTCTTTTTAATATACTGTAATACCTGAGCTAGCCTCCCTTTTATCCTTGATCTTGGGTCTATTTTGCTGCGCTACTCTGACAAAAAAAACACCAGAATGAGTTTCTCATGGCCCTAAATAGTCACATGCGGCAAAACGGCGCCTCCTTGTCGAGTACCCCCGCGCCCTTGTTTTCTAGCGAAAGTCTAGTACGCTCCCAGTCAAAAGGGAGAGCCCCTTGTGTGGGGGTGCCGCTCCTCTGCGTCTCCGAGGTTTCTGCGTCTCCGAGTTGCCTGCGTGCCCCGTCTCCGCGACCTGGGTCTGAGGAGCTGGTCGCTGCCCTCCCTCGGGCAATTGGGAGCATGCCAAGGGGACCGGAAGGAAGCAGAGTAAAGATAGTCATCGCAACCTTGCGGCCGGACCCTAGGCAGGACCAAATGCCTTGGTCATGGCCTGATGCGCCAGCTCGACGCCGAGGAAGGTGGCTGCGTTTGCGGGCACGGCTCGCGTGAGGGCGGGGCCGAAGCCCGGGAAGAAGGCCTTGAAACCGCCCTTGCCGTAGAGGTCGCGGATGACGCCGCCGAGCGTGACGTTGCCCTCGGCCGTTTGCAGGCGCGACTTGACCGTGTCGACGGGGAAGACGGGGATCCACATGGCGACGCCGGCTGCGGCGCCGGCACAGGTGATTGCGGTGAGGCTGAGCTCGCCGGTGGGGAGGCCGGTGGCCTTGTCCTTGGGGCTCATGGAGAGCTTGATGTACTCGTAGGCGGCGAAGTAGGCGGCGGAGCCGGGCCCGTCGCGGGCCAGAGTGGCGGCGCTGCCGCGGAAGACGCTGCGCAGGCCGCCTTCGCGGTAGAGCTGGCGGACGACGTCGAGGCCGCCGCTGTACTTTGGTTTCTCGCCGGGGGCGCGCGGCTTCTGGCCCTGGACCTGGAGGATGATCTTGACGCGCTCAAAGGGGGCGGTGATGGCCGTCATGGGGATGGCAGACAGGAAGCCGGCGGCCGAGGTCTGGGCAATGGAGAGGCCGTGGGGGGAGGCGGGCGAGATGGACGTGACGATTTGCTTGCCGAGGTCATAGCCCCAGAAGGAGACGGCGACTGGGTCGGGCGAGCGCGGAAGCGTCAGTGGTTGTATTCAATGGGCGCGACAAGCTTCGGGGGGGTGGCAACTCACACATTGGCGTGACGCCGATGAGGGGCGCGCTCACGCCGGCATAGAGGCCTCTGCGCAGGCCATCGCGGGCGACGCTCTTGCGGACGACATCAATGGCAGATGAGTAGACGCCGCGCTCGGCCGTCTGCAGGCGGACTTTGACGAGGTCAAAGGGATGGCCGACGACGACGGCGCAGAGGCCGCCGAAGCCGCCGGCACCGAGGGCGCGCAGCTGGGACAGGAGGCTGGACGAGGCGGCGGCTTTCGCCTCGCCCAGGTCCTTGGTGTTGCTGTCGGGCACGCGCGGGAGCTTGTCGGCGAGAGGCGCAGGCAAGGCGTCGAGCCCTTGGTTGACAGCCTGGGCGGCGGCTGCGGAGGAGGAGCCGGAGGATGGCATGGTGGGGGGTGGGTTTCGCGCAAGCGCCGGAACTGGAGAGGGTTGGGAGGAAGAGGAGGAAGGGGAGGAAGAGAGAGGTTTTGAGACTTTTCGTCGATGAGATTCAAGCTTTGTCGTCGGGACGGATTAGGTAGGTCATTGGCGGCGCGGGGGAGATGCAACCACTCGAGGCGACAGGTGACAGGGCAAGATACGTTGCAAAGAAGAGAGTGATGGAACCGTCGCTGGGAGTTGCGCCGCTCTTGATGGTGTTGTCTGTCGGAGTGTCTGTTAAAGGCTGGCCACGTTGGCGGCCTGAGCAAAGCAAGGGCGAGCGCTTTGCCCGTCGCAACCGAGGCGATCGGTCTACGTCACAATTTGTCCCTCGGCAATGGTTTTGGCGGGCGTCAGCAGGAGGCTTCTGGTCAGTGTTTAGGTGCCCTTTTTTTGGGGCTCTTTCTGGTGATTTCTCCGTCTCGGAGGGGGTTTTTTTTTTAATCCGCAAAAGATTGGACAAGGCATGGCAAAACGGCCAGTCAATCTTGTACATCTCGTCGATATATTCATCGCGTGTACGTTAATTAGATGGAGTGCTTGGTTCCGTTCGCGGGGGAGAAAACTGGGGACTAATTAGAGCTGGGAGATTCTTTTGGGACGTGCCTCGGCTTCGGCTTAAGCCGGCATCTGTGTGTCCGTCGTCCAGTCTCTTCCTCGCCTATCATAATATCGCAGATGCATGTTTTCCCGTCACCTGCGCTTACATTCAGCCTCTTCTGCCATCCGTTGGGCCGGTCCGGCCGGCCGGGCTTCCGCTTGCCTTGGTCATTGTGTCGTCGGCATAAATGAGCCACTCGTTTGCTCTGACACGTGCCAGACTGGCCAAGTGACGGACGTCCCGCTGGTCGCTGGCGGCCCCCGTATTTTAGAGTTGCCGGCTCCGAGCTCGAAGTTGCGTGCAAGATGGAGAAGAACAAGATGGCGATGAGATGTGAAGGAGGAGGAGAGGAGGAGGAGGAGGAGAAGTGGAGGAGGAGGAGGAGAAGAGGAGGAGGAGGAGGAGGAGGGGAAGAGCAAGAGTCTGGCAGGTACGGCGGGAAGACGTGCTGTACATACTTCGTACAGGACCTGCCGTTGCTGTAGAGTGTAGATCAACGTGGTCACATGACGCCGACCTCGTTCCCTTTCTGCCTCTTTACCCTCACAGCGCATCTCTATTCCAATATCCGCATGGCATCTGCGGGCTGCCTGTCCGCCCAGCTTCCTAGAAGGCATCATCTATGGCTGGGATGCAGACGCGTCATCCCGGTTCCTCGCTTCTCGACATGAGGCTTCTGTCCCTCGTCGGTTCCGGAGTCTGGGCACGGTTGACAGTCTCGTCGACATGGCAAGCCCTTTTCTTGTCAGGACTGGTCGAAAAGATACCTTCCAACTCATTCATGTACCAAGCCAAGCCAACCCTTCCATCAACCTTCCTTGCTGCTGCCGCCCGCCTTGGCCCAGTTGGTCAAAATCTCAAAGGCCACCTGAGCTGCAACGAGGGCCGTCTGCTCGCCGGGCCCGTCATATGCTGGATTCACCTCGACAATGTCGGCCCCCACCACGTCTAGCCCTTCGAGCCCGCGCAGCATCCGGATAACCTCCCTGCTGGTGAAGCCCCCGACCTCGGGCGTCCCCGTCCCCGGCGCGAGGCCCGGGTCCACGACGTCAATGTCGAAGCTGAGGTAGACGGGGCCGTGCCCAACCCTGGCCTTGACCTTGTCGACGATGCCCTCGACGCCGATGCTGTCCACCTCGTCGGCGCCAATCTGTGCAAACCCCTGTCTCGCGTCGTCGTCGTTGTCCTCGGGCCCAGAGAGCCGGGTGCGCAGCCCGACGTGGACCGAGCTCCCGTTGGCGATGAGACCCTCGTCCCATGCAAACGTAAACACGTCGCCGTGGTTGAAGCGGCCCTGCTCCGAGAACCAGGGGAACTGCTCGGCGCTGGCGGGCGGGATCCACGTATCGAGATGAGCGTCAAAGTGAACCACCGTCAACGGCTGCCCGTGGATCTGCCGTAGGGCACGCAGCGCTCCGAGAGCCACGCTGTGATCGCCCCCCAGGGTCAGAAGCCTGGGCGGACCTTGTTGTCCCGTCCCGCGGCGGGCGCTGGGCCGCGATCCGAGCTCCGTCATAGCCTGTGTCATCTGCCGCAGCGCCACGCCGTTGTCGAGTGGCATCAGCGGGATGTCGCCGCAGTCGAGCACCGTCAGCCCTGACTTGTACGGGTTGATGTGTGCCCGCGGGTTCCAGCCCCGGCTGCGAGACTGTCGTGCCGAGGCCGTGCGGATGGCTCGCGGCCCGAAACGGGCGCCTTTTGGACGACGTTAGCCTGTCTGCGGACCATCAACTATCCAGGCTTTTGATGACATGGTCTGCCTTTGCGCTGGTCGGTGCGGGACACGACGCACCGGTGCGGTAGGAAACGGCCGTGTCGAAGGGAGCCCCGATGATGCCGATATCAAAGGGCGTGTCGGGTTCCGTCAAGCAGCTGACGTGCTTCAAGTGAGCAAAGGTGGAGATGCCCGAGTAGGACCACTACAGCTGTTAGAGTCTCATTGTGCCACGCAATGACTTTCGCTCCTCCGCCGCAATCGCCCCTCGGTTGCGCCATAACCAGAAGACGGACACGCATCGTGTGTAGGCAATGCTCACTGACCTGAATCCCCCACAGACGCTCTAGTTCGGCTTTCCTCCCCACCGCCTTAGGAGACTTATTTTCGACTGCATCATGCTGTGTCAAGAGCGCGCCAGCTGCTGACCGATGTTGGGGGCCCCAGAGCACTTCTGGCTGCACCACGTACAGGGTGCCGATGACGATGAAGAGGGAGAGCGGTATCGTCGTCAAGAGGAGCAGCAGAGGGGCAAGCCTGGATCTGTGTAGTCCTAGGCGGCCTTGTGTGTTCGCCATCAACATGATGAGACGAGGCTTTCCTAGTGGCCGGGAGAGGGAGATGGAGATGCCAAGGTGTCGAGGTCGGAGGGGGGCAGATGAATCGACCAAAGGGAGCTTGTTCAGGGCATGCTTGTGAGCTCCATGCGTTGATGCCGACGAAGCCTCCATCCAGAGAGCGGATGATTCGCAACTAGCCACAGACAACTGGACCCTATGTGCCCCTCCAACTCCTACCCGAATGTAGATGAGGACCATGCAGCTTTGCGTCGTGGCGAGGCGGGAACCACTGCAGCATACAGGCAGGGGTACGATACTGTGCATGGCAAGCTCTCGTCTCACTCTTCACACCCCCCACACTGCATGGACGCAATTGAGTTGCATCGGCACGCTTACGCCTCGGAAAGGATTGCCGACCCCTTGGTGCTTGTCCTCACCAAGTTCACGTTGCATGATGGCGACATCGGCGCCGTATGTTGCTCATATCGCCATGTCAAAGCCGTGGTTGAAAGAGATACAGACGGAGGGCCCCGGAGAGCCGACCTTGACACTTCATCAGCAGTCCGAGTACAGTGAGACATAGCACAGATGGTGTTCAGATTTCTAGAAGTTCGCTGTCGTGTAAAGGAGGACAAGACAGGGGGGCTGCTACGTTGTACAAGCCCTTGGACTTCACCACAACTACAGATGTGCAGAGAAAGATTAGAATTAGAAAGGGAGTTTCAACGCAGGCTTTTTGGCGACGGCAGCAATCGTGTGTTTGACTTTGACTTGTAGTAGCCGGCTATCTGAAGTGATGAAAAAGCTATCCATGTCCAGAACAGATCGGCTGCCAGCCAAGATGATGAAGAGTTCCCACGAAGCTCTCGTCGTCTCCTGTGTTGCCGCGCTTTGTGTCCCTTGCGGTTTGACACGGGCCGTAAGGCGTGTGGGTTGACTTAGTTGACCTCGGAGCGGACAGCGTAGTCGTTGTTCTCAGACCGGACAGCGTAGTCATTGGTGTCGGAGCGAACAGCGTAGTCGTTGGTATCAGACCGGACAGCGTAATCGTTATTCTCAGACCTCACAGCGTAGTCGTTGGTATCGGATCTGACGGCGTAGTCATTGTTCTCGGACCTCACGGCGTAGTCGTTGGTGTCAGACCGGACGGCGTAGTCGTTGTTCTCAGATCGGACAGCATAGTCATTGTTCTCAGATCGGACAGCATAATCGTTGGTGTCAGACCGGACGGCATAGTCATTGTTCTCAGACCGGACAGCGTAATCGTTATTCTCAGACCTCACAGCGTAGTCGTTCTCAGACCGGACAGCATAGTCGTTCGACCTCACGGCATAGTCGTTCGTCTCAGCCACGGGAGCAGCTACGACGGCAGCAGCCAGAGCCACAAGGGTGAGAGCGTACTTCATGGTGAAAAGCTGGGGAGAAGCGGAAAAGCAGTGAACTGAGTGATGAAACAACGTGGACAATGTCTAATGTCAAGAAGCGGAAGGGAAAAGTAGATGAGGGGCGACGAAAAGGTCTGAGTCAATGCTCTCTCTTATAGATAAGCACACAGACCATGACATTGGCGACTCGTTGCTTCTCCGGCTCATCTTCCTCCTTGCCCGGCGGGACTGTCCATCGCTCGGCACACCACCAGTGCCATCCATTGCGTGAGCCTCCCCCGCCCCCGTCATCAATAAACCGAAGCCGGCAGTCTCGTCGAAGACACAGAGTCGCATCAGCCGGAGAGCACGTCGAGGGGGGCCGATCTTTGCCCTCTCGAATACTCTGCCTCTCACGCCGGCAACTTGATCATGATGTGTCGTGGTCAACCCACCCCCCTGCCTTTCCGCTTTCTCCACCTCCTCTTCTCTTCCTCCTCCGCCTTTTTGTCATCTTCTCCAGAACCCCGCTTCTCGTGAGCCAGAGGCCGCATCCGGGAAGAGAAGGAGGCGGGAGGCAGCGCCGGCATCAGGTCGAGTTGCATCTACCTATCAGTAGATCATACGGTCCGGGATACCATCGAAGAGGGAGGAAGCTTTGCCGGTAACCGATGGCCCCTGTTGCCCGCCCGTGTCGACCGAGATCAAAGCCCAAAGCATAGGCTGCAACTGGGACATATTTTCTTCTTGCGTCCTGGCCACCGACCCTCCTTTCCGCCCCGTCCAATACTGACAAGTCGAGTGACGACTGGGATTGCACGCACGGACTGCTTGCTGACTGCAGGTAACACTTGGCCAGTGGTCACTCGGAGAAACCGACAGTGAAGAGCGATGGACGGCCGGCGTTTTGCATCGAGGCAGCCCGCGTTGTATTGCAGTTTTCTCCAGCCCGAACCGCAAGTCATCGTCACCGTCTTGACAGCCACGTCGATATTGCGGCTCGTGGCGTCTCACCGAATGCACGCAGCAGAGGCGAGAGAACAGGGGGGAAAACGAGAGTAAGATTCAAACAGTGCTCGGCGGCAGCATCGGCAGGCCCTGAGAGTCGTTTGGGAGACCGAGTCTGTCCTTCAATGACAAGGAGCCATGCATGTAAAGCGGCATGTAGGCGACAGAGCCCAAGCAAGGCAGTTCGATAAACAGTACAACGCCCGCGCGTACGTCGTCGAGGGCTGTTATCCAATGAAAAGTGAGCAGAGTCCGGATCCATGACAGTTATTGCTGCCGCCGGCGAGATGTCGGAGATGGAGACCCTTTGCTTACGGCCCTGGACCCATAATGCACATCCTGATATCCATCCGTCGCGGGCGGGGGCTGACAGATGACAGAGGAACGCATGCAGAACCGCCTCCCCTTTTGTCGTTGATGATACGATTTCGCAGAGAAACCCGAAAGACACGCTGACGATCTGGTGCGGCTTATCTTCCCTGCATCGCGGGCTGCCTCTTTGAGAGCACAGCAACCAAGACAAGGCCAGGGACGGGTTCATCTTATCGACGCCACCCGGTCACAGGCCGCGGGGGCCCTGCGTCGTCCAAGATGCATCAAGAACCGCCTGCCTATAAGAGATCCCCCCTGCTGTCCGATGCTACCCCAGTGCTGACCCTTGGCCCCACGGCCCGGAGCCGAGTGCAACCTCGAGTACACGGGGTGGCTTGATTGTCCCTGTTGAGGTTTGCAGCGAGTAGCGACACGATATCCGAACCCGGTGATGTTCGGGGGAGAGGATGCTCCGCTCTTGATGCGGGCGAGTAGGGCGGCAGGCATGCGGGGGTCTGGAACCAAGGCCGGCGTGCCTGGCTGATGACGGGACTGATACCGAGACGCTTCAATCCGGCGGGCAATCTTCCCCGCCAGTTCCCGTCAGACTTGGTGAGCGGAGCAGGGGGCAAAGGTCCAAGGACATATTCACATCGCCGTTGTCGGCGCTGTCCTGAGTTCCATACCTCGTCGGGGAGCAAGTCGACTTGGGCAACAATTCAGCTTCAAGCCCCTGGCGTGGGATGTCCCCTTGGGCTCTTTGCTCGTATCCCCAAGTCGTTGCTGTTGGTTTCAAGGGACGACCGTAAGCCCGTCGTCCTTCTGCGAGCCAGCCTCACCACCTACCCCTGATCAATCCAATGGCACCCCCAAGTCGCGATGCGAGCCTCGACGCGGAGGCCGGCGAGGCTCTGCTCGAGAAGCACTCGTCACTGTCAGACTCGGAATCGTCTCAATTTCCCCTTTGCCCGTCTTGTGCCCGCAGACAGGCGCGCCAGCCGTCCGTCTTCCGGAAAAAGGGCCTCTGGGTCACGTACCTCAACCTCGTCCTCTTCCTCACCAGCATTCTTCTCCTCATCGGCGCCCGCCGCAGCCTCCGCCCGCCGCCGCCCTCGGGGCGCGAGGTCGTCGAAGCCACCTCGGCCTACTCTCCAATCTTCGATGCCGTCGACCTCACGCCGGTGCCCCTGACCGTTGACGGACGTCTGCACGCGCCCGCCAACGCCTCCGTCTTCCGTGGCGAGCCATCCAACGTGACCGATGCCGCGTGGGACGACGTGTCGGCCGAGGCCTACGAGGTCATCCTCGTCAATGCCACCGTCCTCGAGCGCGCCGGCTACAACCCGACGCACTACTTCAAGGCGCCCTCGTCATGGGGCCACGGCGAGGGCCAGTATCCCGTCCAGATCGACGTCTTCCACCAGATCCACTGCCTCAACGCCGTCAGGAAGCAAATGTATTACCAGCATTACTATGCCGATGAGTTCCCCAACGGCCCCGACGAAATGCACTGGATGCACCAGCGCCACTGCCTGCACATGGTGCTGCAGAGCCTCATGTGTAACGCCAATGTGGACATTGTGCCGCATCGGTGGGTTGAGAAGGACAACAAGCCCTTTGCGCAGTTCAGCATCCAGAGGCAGTGCAGGAACTTTGACAGCCTGCGCAGTTGGAACAAGAAAAACGCCGTCAAGAACGTACGCGACTTGTGGCCGCACGACAAGAAGGCGATGCCGCAGGATGCCTTTGTCTGGTCAGGATTTGGCGAGTCGTTTTCCTGAAGCTAGATCGTATATATTTAATGGATTCGAACCCCCTGCATGTCACACAGCCGCTTGAAGATGGAGTCGCGAGACAGTAGCTCGGCGGGCGACGCGCTCTCGACGAGCTGGCCCGCGTCCATGACCATGATGTGGTCCAAGTCGATAATCGTGCTCAGCTGGTGCGCCACTGCGATGACGGTCCGGCCCTTGAACTCCTCCCGGATGATTCGCTGCATGACTTCTGCCACATGCTTGTCCACACTGCTGCTTGTCAGTTCAAGACGGGAGAAGCGTCTGCTTCGGATAAGACTTACTTGCTCGTTGCCTCATCCAGCACAACAATCCTCCCCGGCCTCAGTACCGCACGGGCCAGCGCCAGAAGTTGCCTCTGGCCCTGGCTGAGAGTCTCAACGTCTAGCTCGCTGTCAAGGCCGCCGGCAGATTCCACCACGTCCCACAGCTGCACCTTCTCAAGAGCGGAGCGCATGGCTGCGGCCGAGGCCGAGCCCGACGAGTCGAGGTTCTGCGCCAAGGTCCGGTGGAAGAAGTAGGGCTCCTGGGGGATGATGTTGAGCGCAGATCGAACCACGGAGCGAGGCACTGTGCTGAGGTCCACGCCGTCGACGGTGATGGAGCCGCAAGTCAAGTCTATCATCCGTGCAAGAGCCATGACGAGAGAGCTCTTCCCGCTTCCACTTCTCCCGCAAATGGCAACCTTTTGGCCTCCGGGGATGTCTATGGAGACGTCACGCAGCGCGAAGCCTCCCTTCTCAGACATGTCGTAGCGGGCCGAGATGGAATCCAGGCGCAAATGGCCCGTTTGAGGCCACGGCGGCTGTGGTGTATTCGACTCGCCTGCCTTGTTCTCCGATGGCGTCTTTTCCTCAAACGACTTGGTTCGCGCAAGCGCACTGAGCGACGTCTCCAGGTTTGTCCAGTGAATGACAATCATCTTGAGTTCCTGGCTGATGGACATGAGGTTCACCAATGCCACGCCGATGAACCCTGCCGACGTAGACTGCAGCTTGACGGCCACCGCGATTAGAATGACGGCGGTGGCGGCAATCAAAAGCTCCAGAACCAACTGCAGCCATCTTTGCACCATGTAGAGGAGATAGAGTGGCCTTTGCGACGCGTCCACCAGCTCGTGGTTCAGCTCGTTGCTCTCGCCCGACCATCCAAACGAGCGAATGGTGGCGAGGCCTTGCAAAGTCTCCAGAAAGTGCGTGTACAGCGGACTCTTTGCCTCGAGGTCAAGAAACCTGAGCTGCCGAGAGGTGCGCAGATAGAAGCTCTGCACGCCGTACAGCATCACGGCCAGAAAGGGGTAGGCGATAGCCACGTACGGCGCCGCAATGGCAATGAGAACGGACTGTGCCAGCGCAACGAGACCGGCCGAAACGGTTTCGAGGAGGGCCATCGGGAGATCTCCGTCGATGAGGATGACGTCCTGCGAGAAGCGGTTCGTCGTGATGCCCACGTCAACAGAGCTGAAGAATGACACCGGTGCTGCCATGACCGTCCTGAGCAGAACTTGGTGCAGTGATGCGCCGACCCTGACGGCCATCGAGGTCAAAGTATGGCCAGCGAAGAGGGCAAGAAACACCAGCGCGAGGCTCTGAAAGGCTGCATACACGCCCATGTAGTAGCCGTCGCGGCTCTGCCCCGTGGCGTTTGCCGCGGCCCAGAACTTGAGCCACACAGGCCCGATTGTTGAAAAGACTGCCCAGCCACATTGGAAGCCGACAAACAAGAGTACTCGCCAGAGTCCAATATGGTTGTACAGGTATTTGTAGATGGAGGCATCGCCTAGGCGCCGCGTCATGTCCTCCGGAGCCTCTGCTCCAGTCGCTTCGGTTCCCAAGGGCAGACCGGCAGACACATCACTGGCTTCTTGAGCCCCGTGAAGGTCAGCAGCCTGTCTCTCACGAACAGCCAGCGATTTGATGTACTCGGAAGCTTGGCTCAGATGGCCAAAGGTTCCACTGTCAGCTACCCGTCCGTCCTTCCCCAGGGCAATGACATGGTCGGCTTCCGGTAGAAGGTCGACGTCGTGGGTGGAGAGTACAACCGTGCATCCCCCCTTTCGAAGCAATCCCCGAGGGCCGAAGACGTGCTCAAACACGTGTTCCTTGGTAACCGCGTCCAACCCGCTTAACACATCGTCAAACACGACCAGGGGTGTCCGGGCGTAGATGGCCCGGGCTATGGCGACCCGTTGCCGTTGACCTCCGCTTAAAATGACCCCCTTGCTGCCTATCCGGGTATCGTTTCCCTCCGACAGCGACGATATATCTTTGGTGAGGTCGACTGCCCGCACGACTGTGTCGTACCAGCCGCTTTCGAAATCTGAGAAGCCGACTATGTTTTGTTGTAGCGTTCCGTTCACGAGAAACGGGTTCTGGTCGCAGTACGCTATCTCAGGGCGCGGAACCCTGAGTCGGACCTGACCCTTACAGAATGGGAGTTCACCAATGATGGCCTTGCTGAAAGAGCTCTTGCCGCTGGCCACTGGTCCGACAACCATGGTCAGTCTCGAGGCAGGAATATCAACGTTGACATCCCGCAGCACGGGGCTGGCGCTTGTCCAACCAAACTCTCCGTTGCGAATTGCGATGGCATCGCCGTCTATGCCCTTGCGTTCCTCTTGCATCTCCTGTGTTGAGCTGGCACTAGTAGAGGATGGGGCAAACTGACATCCGTCAAGTCCCAATATGCGATTTTCCGTCTTGGGCTGAGCATCGAGGTACTTGCCAATGCGGCCAAGGCACCCCAGAGAGGCGACGAAGAGCGGTATGGCTTGGAAAAGCCAGACGAGCGGTTGAGTCATGAGCTGAAGCAGAGAAAGCGACGTAAATATCTTAGTTGTGTCCAGATTCGCCCCGTTGCCTCGCCCTTGTATCACAAAGATCATGAAGGTAAACACCGGGGACAACAGAAGCGGTGCAAACGAGAGAGTCGCAGTGAGCACCTCGATGTATCGGAAGTATCTGGCGGCGTGGAGCTCGGCTGCTCTCAACCCCCTGAGCATCGCGTCTATGCTGCCGGAGAGCCCAAGGAGCCTCGCGATTTTGATGGCGGCTATCGCCTTGACCGTTGCACCAACTCGCGCCTGGGTCGCTTCCATCCATTTCCTCTGGGCATTGTCAGCGTAGGAGCTCATCAATAATGAGCCGAAGCTGGCGAGAACGGCCACAACAGCGGGCGCCACGCAAGCGATGCCCAGGTCTCTGTAGAGCAGCCAGACGGAGATGGCCACCTGCAGGGCGTTTGCCCAGATCTCGTGGAAGTCTTTGCAGCCTTGGAGAATGCGCTCCATGTCGGTGCTCATGAGAGCAACGGGCGCCGTCATGTCGTAGCGGGCAGGGTCAACATCCGTCGTCTTTCTGTAGATGGCTGCCACAAGACAGCCGCGCATCTTGACGAGACACTTGTAGGTCAAGCGCCAGTAGACACAGGTCGAGATGGCCAGGCCGCAGTAGACCAGGCCGTATGCGCCGATGAAGCCATAGCCGGTGCTGCCGGCAAAACTGTCCTCGCCTTGAAGATAGCGGAGAAACTCGCGCAACAGGAGAGGCTGGCAGATGGTGAAGGCCCCTTGGGCAAGACGCGGTGCCACGGGGGCCAAAAGGGACCACTTGAGAGTCTGCACGAGGGCCAGGGCAATGCTTCGCGACGAGGCGCCGGCAGACCTCGCGGACCAAGCCGTCCAGAAGACGCCAGATAGACGTCGAGTCTCGAGGCCGGAAGCGAGAGCATAGAGATCCTGGGGGTAAAGGATGCGTTTGCGGCCCTGCACTAGGATACGACGGAGCCACAGGAGAAAGCCCCGGCTGAAGACTCCGCTCTTGTCCTCCGGACTCCGATGACGCCATAGAGGAGACAAGAACCTGTCCTTTTCAAGGCTCTCGAGGACAAGAAGGCCTATCTTTACGGCGAGCGACGTTGTGAAGAGAACGGGGAGGGCGGTACCCGAGTTCTTGAGCCACAGGGTGCGGGCTTGCACGGCATCAAACAGGACGGAAAGCAAGAGGTAGATGTTGATGAGAGCCGAGGGGCGTGGCGAGTAGCCATGTTCAACCCAGGAGAGAGTGGCGAGGGCGAAGACATCAACAAAAGACAGCACGGCAGCGGCGAGGCTCGTGCGGGTGCCATAGACTCCGGTTCGGGCCCAGAGGACCAAGAGGGCTGCCTGGACAGCGCCGTAGCAAGCAACGGCGGCCAGCTTTGCGAGCTGGAACCGAGTCCCCGAGACCTGTCTTCTTCTCCTGGACAGCAGAAGACTGAGGCGCGCAGCCGATAGCAGAAGAAAGAGGGAGGATGGCGTTATCGAGAGGAAGCTCTGCTCAAACAGCAGGGTGAAGTCAAAGTTGCCTCGGCAGCCGCCGTTGATGGCCGGGCCGAAGCTCCCATCGTCACAAACAGTCGCGTTCTCCATGGCGCCTTTGTTTAGCACGTAAGCCAAGGTGCAGGGAGGACAGTTCCTGAGGGCGTGAAGGAGAAAGACGACGACGATACCGTGGAGGACGGGCCAAACAACGGGCCTAGGCGTTGGTGGCGTACCAAATTCGCTTGAATTTCGCAAGCATGTAACGTAAAAGAGGGCGAGATTGCCAAGTGGCCTTGGCAGAGTGTCTGTCGTCGTCGACGAAGAGGAATCGGTGACGGGACGAGAGGGAAGAAGCAAGGAAAGAGCAGCCTTTTTGGTGTTTCCTACCGCGGGCTGTAAGCACTGGAACCCTGGGACAACACGCCTCCGATTGCGACCCACGGGACAAGAACCAACAATGACTTGTACTGCACACTTCCCCGCAGGTCAGCGACATAAAGGAGGTGAGATAAGAATCAGTGGCAGCTTTCTGACAGCGGAATTCACCTGGTCTCACAGGCTCCGCCCTTGTTGATTTGTTCCGTCCTGTGCCGAATGCACGGGATGTGCAGGGTAGGCCGAGGTACAGGTGCTGGGAAGGATGAACCGCTTTTGTGACCTGTCTTGCAGAGAAGGCCATTCCATCATGCTCCCGGACCCTTGGTCTGTGTAACGCAGCGTCGGCAGAAGCTACCAGCGGGATAGATGCTGTGTTGTTTGCAAGACTGAACCCGGAGCCGAGGGCGGAGAGGAATCGAGAGTTGGAAAATGGAGCTCTTTGATCTTGAATATATATGTCCGGTTCATCCAAGATACGGACTGACGTCCACAGACAGCTACGCCCACGCAACGCAGCATCTCAGCGTTTGCGAATACATGGTCCAAACCCGCGGTTTATATCGACTCAAGCAGCTATTGAAGCAAGGTCCTCGAGTTTACTCCCGACTATGGATCCATGCCGGCCAATGCGCCTCTCCGTTTCCTTACCAGGTATACACTGAAAATAATTCATCTGTTCGGAACAATGTTGAACAAAAACCGCTGACGGCTCCTCCATCCACGATGCATAAAGGGCAACTGTGGCGTCAGGACGGCTCGCTGCGCGTCCCGACAGCACGGGATATCAAGGACGACCCTCTGTCCGGCGAGGGCCGCTTCGGCCGAAAGAGAGCGGACCCGGACTCGGCGTCGGCCGCGCGCCTACTCTAGAATGGCTTCGGCGCGCGCGGAGTGGCCGGCGTCCGTGTCTTTGCACACCAACACTCGTCTCCTTCTCTTTCCACCTGCACCACCACGTCGATGCCTTCCCGCAGCAGATATTCCTGCACTCGGTTTCGCGCATCGTCCATCGAAGCCCCCCGCGCCACCGTGATGTGCACAACGCCCACGAGCCTGCTGTTCGCGTCACCTCCGGTTCGGTCGTCAAGCCATAGCTTGGGAACCGTATAGCTCACGACTCCTCGCTGTTGCAGGATCCCTCCCAGCGAACTCCGCAGGTTGTACTCGGAATCTTCCGGGACACTTAGGAGCAGTCGTCTGGCCGACGAGAGGACGAGTGGCTGCGACGACAGGAAAATGAGGACGGCGATGAAGCACGACGCCAGCGGATCCCAGCCGGACCACCCCCACAAGCTGGTAAGTGCCGTCGATACGATGACCGAGACGCTGCCGAGCGTATCAGCCAAGACATGCAGGTAAATGCCGCGCATGTTGTCGTTGTCGTGGCAGTGGCCGTGACTGTGCCCACTGTGCGACTGGGCGCTGGGACTATTGTCGTTGGAAGACTTGTCGTGGCCGTGTCCATGCGAATGCCCATGGTCGTGTCCGTGATGATGATGCCCAAAGGCCATCATGCCCACCAAGTTCACGGCCAAACCGAGCGAGCTGACAATGAAGAGCTCGCCCAGCCTCTTTGTCCGCTGCCCCTCCCACAAGCGCTCGAGCGCCTCGAATGCGATTTCAACGCTCAAAAGCCTGCGCCATGGTCAGCATTGCGACGCCCTCAAGCTAGCTGCGTTTGCTCACATAAGGAGAATGCCGTTGGCAAAACCGCTCAGCGTCTCAATCTTGCCGAAGCCGTATGGGAACCGCTGGCTCGGAGGCCATTTGCTCATCACAGCTGCCAGCAACCCCACGAGCAAGGCAACGCAGTCGAAAAACATGTGTATGCTGTCGCTCAGCAGGCCCAAGGAATCGGTGAGATAGCCGTAAACAGCCTGTACGACCATGAAGCAAAAGTTGAGCCTGATGCGGGCTCCAGTCAGCGCCAATTCTCGCTCTCGTGTATGAGGGGCAATGGCACAACTCACGCCATGAAATAGAATATCCGCCTCGAGTCCTTTTCAACCAGGATCGCGTGGAGAAGGGGAAAGCGGGCCGCGTACGGGAGCAGGGCCCTCGTGAACAACGACGGCCGGGATTTTTGGTCGTCGCCGGGATGCGCGTGGGCAGCGCCATGATGGTTGCATTGTCGGGGGGAGTGATGGTCGTTGTGGTTGTGGTGGTGATGCTGCCTCGGGGGCGAGTATGGCGTCGTCAAAGCCCCGGGCCCGGGCGTCAAGACGAACTTGCCCCCCGCCGTCTTCTCCTGCGACCAGCCGTCGAGCGTGTCCAAGGCAGCGGGCGCCGGCTTGTCCCTCATGAGCGTAGCACTCGTGTTGGAGGCCTGCGAGGACATGCGGTTGTGCGAGTGGCCGCGAGAGTGGCTGCGAGAGTGCGACTGGGCGCGGTCATGGCCGTGGGCGTCGTCCTCGAAGTGCACGGGCAGCGGTTCCCGAGACATGGAAGCTCGCCAGGCGCTCAGCGACGATGGGGAGCGCGAGTGCGAGTGCAGATGTTGATGGTGGGCGTGCGGAAGCGCCGACGATGGCAAGGCGTACGGCGCGGCCATTGGTACTTTTGTACTTTGGACTGCGAAGCTGTCGCTGGCCTGTCGCCGGAAGCGGGTCGCTCGCCCACAATTTCGCCCCTGGCCGGGGGCGGCGAAGCGTTTGCCTGGACGAGGAGGACGAGGAGCGGGACCACCCAACGGGTCGCGGCGACGTCATGCACCGTGGGCGAGCAGCGATTTGTCCACGTTTGTGATGCCCGGCTCACTTGTCGAGGGAACGGCGCGGGCTATGAAGTAGGAGATGGATGCCCCCGTCGGCCGCAGTGGAATAGGAGGCGGTATTTAGCGGCGGGGTGTTAAGAAGAGGGGGCACTTGGCGGCAAAGAGAAAATCAGACGACCTCAGAGGTAGAGCGACAGGGGCAAGGGGAGTTCTCGGTGTTGAGGAGCAGCAGATGTGCAGAGATGGAGAGGGGAAAAGCGCAGGTTGGAGACGCGTCCGGCGAGACATTCATTCACTGACCATGTCTCGCCGCCCATTTTACTTGCTAATGAGGCACAGGCCAACGCGAGTCAGTTTCCCACAGCAGAGTCCAGCGCGAGAATCGGCCGGCATCACGAGCTTAACTGCCATCGGGGCAACTGGAGCCCTTGCAGCAGCGCAGCGCGGCTATTATTAGGGGCTGGGGGCACTGAAGGCGCCGACGCCGTTGGCTACCGTCCGGGAAGCAAGCCACCGGCACAGAGGCGGAATCTGGAAAATCGTGGATTGGCTGGCTACTGTCCTTGAGTCGCACATGAGTCCCGGCACCGCTACAGTGCCAGCTTCTCGAGTATGGAAAAAGCCGTGGAAAAGCCTCTCGTCAGGCCCTCATCCACCACACCGCAGTGCCAAGTGCAGCAAAAGCAGAGCATGATGGTGGTCCTTCAGCGCTTGGCGCGGGCCCCTTGATCCACCAACACCTTGAAACCCGCCACATTTGGCGCGCACCCAGACTCTCTATCGGATGCTGCCTATCGCGGGCTACGGAGTAGATACTCCGTTTAGCCAGAGTTTCAGCAGGCAAGTAATGTGCCCGGGCAGTATGGCGCGTTAATCTGCAACCCACAGCTACAAGCTACCTCTCAGCTAGTCTAGGCCACCTCTCGCTGTGCAGTGTGTGGACGGCGTTGGGCCAATGCAATGCACACCACCACCAGAGGCCCATTTCGATCAAACCGTCACCAACTGCTGGGCAGCGCCGCCTGTGCCGCCTGCGCCGAGGCGACAAGTCTCGGCACTCAAGACCAGGAGACGGATCTCACGGGCCGTGTCCTCCGCCGCCCGTGGGAACAACAAGCGTCGCGGCTGGAGCTAGAGCGCCTCTCACAGCGCTCTCGTCGTATAGCTCCAAACTTCGGCTTCGCCCAGCATGATCGTGCAATTTCTTGCGTCCGTCCTGGCCGGCGTCCTGTTCGTCTTTGGTATCAAGTATGCCATCGCCCTACTCGCCTGGCTGAGTCAACGCGTAATCCCGTCTCGCCATCGTCCGGCTGAGAAGCCCGAGGACGAGCACGTCCAGGTCCTCGTCCTTGGCGACATTGGCAGGAGTCCGCGCATGCAGTATCATGCCATCAGCCTGGCCAAGCACGGCCGCAAGGTGGACATTGTGGCATACAAAGGTGAGTTGTCGAGCTGTGCCTGCTGGTATGCCTGAATTGACACGCGCCAACTCGCCCCAGAGACGGCCAGACATCCCGCTCTCGTTGGCGATGCCCGCGTCACCATGTATGCCCTCGCGCCACAGCCCGAGTGGATCGCCTGGGGAACTCTGCCCTTCTTCATCAACCTCCCGGCCAAGGTCATTCTGCAGTTCTGGACCCTCTTCTACACGCTCATGTACGCGACACCCCCGGCGCAATGGATCATCATCCAGGTGAGCTCTCCATCTCACAAGCCGCCGCGTCTCCATCCTCATCGGCTGTAGAACCCGCCCTCGATTCCCACCTTTCACGTCGCTCTCCTCGTCTCCCTCATCAGAGGCAGCAAGGTCGTCGTTGACTGGCACAACTACGGCTACTCAATCCTTGCCCAAAAGTCGCTGTATCGGCCGTTGGTTCCGGTCTACCGGTGGTACGAGATTGGCCTTGGCCGCTTTCTCGGAAATGTCAACCTGGCTGTCACAGATGCCATGGCACGCGAGCTGCGGGGAGGGCGCTTTAACCTGAAGAGTCCAGTTTATGCTTTGCACGATCGCCCTGCCGAGACGTTCCAGCCCATCGAGTCGGACAAGGAGAAGCTTGCGTTTCTATCCAAGCTGCCCGAGACGGAGAGCCAGGCAAAGGACATTGTCGATGGCGTAGTCCGCCTCGTCGTGAGCAGCACCTCCTGGACCGCCGATGAGGACTTTGGTATACTGCTCGATGCATTGGTGTCATACGCCAATCCCGAGGACGGTTTAACGGCAGAGCCCCCATCGCCTATCTTGGCCATCATTACCGGCAAAGGTCCGGAAAAAGAAGCCTACTTGAAGAAAATTAAACAGCTCCAGGATGGCGATCGGCTTCCTGGCATCCGCATCCTGACTGCCTGGCTGTCCAACCGTGACTACGCCTCGTTGCTCGCTTCTGCCGACTTGGGCATCTCGCTGCACAAGTCCAGCTCGGGCGTCGACCTTCCCATGAAGATTGTCGACATGTTTGGAGCCGGCCTCCCCGTGGCCGCATACTCGGCTTTCGAAAGCTTCGGCGAGCTGGTCAAGGAAGGCGAAAACGGTTGCGGCTTCGAGACGTCGGCGCAGTTGGCGGATATCCTCAGGAAGCTCCTCAGCGAAGCGGGCGAGCGGGAGCTGGCGGCGCTGAGACGGGGGGCCGTCAGGGAAGGCTCTCTACGATGGGACGAGGAGTGGGATCGAATCGTGGCACCGCTTGTACAAGTGGCCTGAATAAGAGCATGGCGAGACGAGTTGAGAAAGACAGCAGCAATGCCCAGGCAGGAAATCCAAGCCATTCTCGAGTTGCGGGTGGCCGCGATTCTTGGAGAGCTGCCAATCGATGTAACCTGTATCCAATGCTTCATGACCTTGAAAAAGGAAAGAAAGAAGGACAGAGGGAAGGAATGTATTCAGAAAACAACATGGCTCCCAGACGCCAGCCAATGGGCGACTCTCGCCCCGGTGATACCCGCTGCCAAACGCCCCGGCGCCGCGATAAAACTGCCTTGTGGCCTTGCTTGACAGCCGGCCGTCTAATCCTCGCCGAGGCTCTCGCGCACACAGGCACGGCAGCGCTTCCGAAAGTCCCTGTGTTTCCCCTCGCGCTCCTCGCGCAACATGCGAGCGGCCTCGACGTTTGCGGGGCTCTCGTCGTTGGGGCTGTAGAAGAGGCTGATGGTGCTGAGCAAGATGGTCTCAGGGGTCTGGACGGGGGACCAGCGCTCCGAGGCGGCCTCGTAGCCGTAGACATCCTCCTCGGGCGGGTGCAGGATGGAGATGCACAGGCCGCCGTTTTCGTAGATGTTGGGGTGGAAGGGCACGGGGCGCTGGAAGGTGAGCGAGGGAGGCATGTGAGGGTAGTTGGGCGGGAAGACCATTCGTGCGCGAAAGTTGCCTCCTGATGAGCGCGATTGCGGCGTCAGCATGCGTCGTCGTCTATTAGCGGTGATGGCCTGGTGGCCGGGGTGTCTGGATGGGCGAAGAAGACGGAGAGGCCAAAATGGGAAACCAACGCACCGCCGTAGTATTTGCAATCGTCGTTGATCATCAGCATGACCTCCCACTCGAAGATGTTGCTTTCGTTGACAAGGCCGCACGATATGCCGGGCAGGTCCTTGCCCGCCTGCATCTCCTTGAGCTGCCGCTTGAGCAGCGACCCGGCAGCAGAGGTGGCAGACATGTTTGCCCTGCCCCCTCCGAGGTGTGCGTGTGCGTGTGCGTGTGCGTGAGCGTGAGCAGGACGGTGGACCGGTCGTGGGCGGAGTGGCTCTGGACCGAGGCTACAGTCTCTGGCGCCGGATGGTGTGGTGGGTGGTTGTTCTGGTGTGGTGGTGGGGGGAGTCGGTGAGATGTTGCTTGTTTCCTTCCCCCTTGGGATTGATTGCCATACGCCCCGCAGAGGGGCTGAGAGAACCCAGGATGTGCTCACGTCGAGGAGAGGCGGCAAGAGCCGTACGCTCGAGGCCTGCCTTGACGGATCAAAAATAGACGGTTTATCCTCGTCCAAGCAAAAACCCGTTTCCAATTCCGGGTACAAAGTCATGTCGTTAGGCCCGAGATGCGCATCCGCTGCTCACAGTATAAGAAACATTACACTGCCATCCCAAACCCGGGGTATCAAATGCCAAGTCCAGCTCCCGCCTCAGCCATGCCTCGTCATCTCTGCTTCGAGCCGCCAAATCCCGTAAAGCCCATCTGGGCCATCATGTCGTCCTCGTCGTGCTCCCCCTCGACCCGCACGTCCTCTCCATACTCCGTCTTGACCTTGGCCTCGTGCTCCTTTTGCTCACGGCGCCGGTCGGCCTCGGCCCGCCTGCGCTGCTTCTTTTCGTCCGCCTCCTTGGCCATCTCATCCTCGCGCAGCTGCAGCCTCTCGTGCAGACTCGTCGCCCGCTCCCGTTCTAGCTCCTCCCGCCGGCGGATGTAGTAGGCGATGCGCTCGTGCACCTCGTCGACCGTCGCCCGCTTGACCTGGGCCGTTTGGCCCGTGTTGGCCAGGTGCTGGATCGTGTTGAGATGCTCGACAAACTGCTTGTTGTCCTTGAAGGTGAGGTCGCACGAGTCACAGTAGAAGCCCGCGCCGCGCCCTCGCTTGCCCACGCCGGCGCCCGCGGGCACGAGCTGCGTCTTGCCCACCTGCGCGCTGAGGTCCATGACATGGCGCCGCGCCGTCGTGTACGTCTCGTTACCCGTCAGGGGCTTGTGGTATTTCTTGCCCGCGAGCTTGGCCTCATACCGCGCCTTGGCCTCTTCCTTTTCCCGGGCCTCGCGCTCCTTGCCCTTGGCCGCGTACTCGTCCAGGTCCCAGTTCTTGCGGAAGTCGGTGTCCCCCGCGGGCGCGCCATAGGCGCTTTTGTTTTTGGAGTCGGCCATGGCGTGTGGACGTGCGGCGCGAGTATGCAAAGGTTCAAGGTGTCGCAGCTTGAGATGGATGTCGAAGTCAGATCTCGCCGCTGTCCGACTGGAGCCACTTTTCTCAACGCGCAATGACATGCTGGTACCGAATACATACGTGCTTTGTACTGTAGGTGCCCCGCGGCGGGGCTCGCGATAAGAGCAGGACGGACAGGAATTTTCTCCCTGCTTCGCCATCTGGGCACATTTTATACGGCAAACGTCAGCCACGATGCTGTATCTCGTCGGTCTCGGCCTCTCCGACGAGACCGACATCACCGTCAAGGGGCTCGAGGTGGTCAAGAAGGCGTCCAGGGTGTACCTCGAAGCCTACACAAGCGTCTTGCTCGTCGACCAGTCGGTCCTGGTACGCCGGCTTCATGGGAGCCTCGCGCGTCTGCAGCTGACGTGCCGCAGGAGAGCTACTATGGCCGCTCCATCATGATTGCAGACCGTGAGATGGTCGAGTCCAACAGCGAGGAGATTCTGCGCAGTGCCCAGGACGAAGACGTGGCCTTTCTCGTCGTCGGAGATCCCTTCGGGTACGCAGCTACCCTTGCTCAGCTTGACTGCCAAACGCTCACGTTTCCTCAGCGCAACCACGCATACTGACCTCGTTCTCCGAGCCAGAGAGCTCTCCATCCCGGTCAGAACGGTGCCCAACGCCTCTATCCTGTCGGGCATCGGCGCCTGCGGTTTGCAGCTGTACAACTTTGGGCAGACCGTGTCCATGGTCTTCTTCACCGACGCATGGAAGCCGTCGTCATTCTACGATCGGATAAAGGAAAACCGCTCGATTGGTCTGCATACTCTTGTGCTCGTCGACATCAAGGTGAAAGAACCTAGCCTGGAAAACATGGCCAGGGGAAGAAAGATTTACGAACCGCCCCGATACATGACTGTCGGCCAATGCGCGGCGCAGATGCTTGAAATCGAGGACCAGAGGCAAGAAGCCGTGTACAGCCGCAACAGCTTGGCCATTGGCGCTGCTCGGGTCGGGGGCAAGACGGAAAAGTTTGTTGCTGGGACGCTCGAGGAGCTGTGCTCTGCCGACGAGGAGCTCGGCCCGCCGCTGCACAGCCTGGTGTTGCTTGGAAGCAGGACGCACGAGCTTGAGCGTGACTTTGCCCATCAGTTTGCGCTGGATAAGGACAGGTGGAACAAGCTCTGGAAGACAGAATATGGCAAGCAATGAGACCGCAAGTTCTATTACTATTGAGCGGCTGTCTCGTCGGCACACCTGCGGATGCCACGCGTGGCTGCGTCTCTCGGTAACGCTTGCTCCTGCAAGACGTGATATCAAAGCTATGCGTGTGTCGCCCGCCATTCCTGCACCTCCGCGGCTGATATCTCCCTCAGCTTGTTGGTCTGGGCTGGCTTGCCCGTGATGGCTCCCTGGACGACTTCGGCTGCGCGGCTCAGGATGTTCTTGGCCACGAGGGCGTAGGTGGCCGAGTGCATCTTGACGCGAATGATGCCGATGCGGGGGTCGTTTTCGGATCCGTCGTGTTTGCCGTCGCCCAGGTCACCGAGCCAGGCCTTGAGGGCCGGGCTGTAGTGCTTCTTGATCAAGTCGCGGTCCGTCGCAATGGTGGCCTGCCCCGACACCGACGCCCACTCGCCCGAGGCGTTGAGGAAAGAGATGTTGATGTTGGGGTCGCTGGAGAGGTCGCTGGTCTTGCCAGACTCGGTGTTGGTGTGGAACAGCAAGTCGATGCCGCCGGCTTCCTGTGATGATGCCGTCAGCGTTGTCAAGACGAGTGGCGAGGAAAGAAGGCACGCACCGTGGCAGCTAGAGCCATGCAGCGTGACACAAGATGACTCGTGGACGCCTCGTGGGTGGTCATCATGCCAAACTTGCATGCAGTCTGGAACTCGACGAGGTCATTGATCTTTGTCTTCATGTCCACGTCGTCCTGATTGGCCTGCTTGTAGGGGTCGGCGGGCTTGTCGCCGACAGAGGTGTTGGAAAAAGACATGGTGTTGGCAGTGTGAGCTGAACGTGTGTGGATTCGTAGATGCTTGCCGACTCTTGATCGAAAAAGACGTTTTGGGAAGCGGGATTACGGCGGGAGAAGTTGCATCTTTGGCTTTTATCTGCCTCTATCTGTAGTCGTCACTCGCGCTCACTTCCATCATCGGGAGGCGGGGGATGGCAGCTTCATCATGACGTCAAACGCGAAGCGTTGTTGGCAGGCACGAACATCGGAACACACAGTACAAAGTACATGCAGGCATGGGGAGGATGCACAAGTCATTGGCGAATCGGGACCACGCCTGGCGATTGGCGAACAAATCCGAGTTATGGATGACGATTCGAGCCGGTTGTAGCGCCGTGATTTCACCCGTTGGCTCTAGACAGGGAGCCTAGGGGGTCAACTACCGTGGGATGGAGTTGGCGTCGATTACACTGCGGTTCTTTGTGGATTCAACGCCGAAAATCTCGCCTTATTATATACTGCGAATAACATGCTCACGTAGTTGTCCATCACCAACCTCGGCTGTAGGGGCGGCACCCTTTGAAGCGAAAGGGAGAGCCAAAACCCAAAAGGCTAGGCATCGAGAGCGCTAAGCAGCTGATTGCCCGGTCCGTCTCGCCCCACCGGATATTATACGACCGGACGAGTCCGACAGGGACGGACCCATGTCTGGGAACAAGGTGTAAATGTGTTGTCGAATTGAGCAATTGCATCGCAGTGCTCTCGCGCGGGCTGCGCGGGCTGCGCAGGGCTGCTGCCTGATGATGGGCCCAGTCTGGTAGGTGAGCAGCAGGGAGTATGTCAGTGTCATGGCCGTTGCAGGCACTCGCTCGAGGACGCCCTGGCTCTCTCCATGGTGGTGCTACGCTGAAAAACGTACGATTTTCTGACCGTACCTGATGCCCGCGCGAGCAGATCCAGGCCATTCGTCGCGTCCACACAGTCTTTCTCTGCCTGTGCTCGGAGCCATCGGCTGCCACGCTGCCAAGTGGGCAACGGGGCAGCTGTAGCGTCACATGACGCCGCGACGTCTCACCGCAAAAGGACTCGAAAGGGGGCAGCTGCGGCCCGCTTGCCTTTCCCCGCGCGTGGAGACCCAGACCCAGTGCAGAAGGAGCGCCCTGACGCTGAGACAGCTTTGCAGGCCAACCTCGCTCTCTCCCCCCTCCGCCCCCCGGGCTAGAAAGATCATCTTCGCGGCGCCATCATCTCCCCGACCATCACCTTTCTTCCCCCTGCGCCCATCTGCCCAGCCCCCGGCACGACGCGCTCGTGGCTCACTTGTGGAATCCTCGCACGCGCTGCCGGCTGCCCCGTGTCCTGTCCACCTCTCTCCCAAGTTTTTCCTGCCCGCCTCAAGCTCCAACAAGCCCCGCCGGGATTTCATCGTCGTCTTCGTCGTCGTTGGGGTCGCGGTGCGACATAGCCGGCCGCTTGCGAGGCCCTGTACGACGTTTGATTGTCTGCCGCCCAGAGCAATTCCTAGGTCACACAGCACGAGGCCGCGCTGGCTGAGCGACTTTTACTACCGGTTTCCTGTCTCCGTTTACCACCGCCTCTGCTCTCTTTCCTCTCTTGATCTCATTGTCATCTGCCCACGCCTGCCAAAGCGGCAACCTCGCCTGCAAAGTCACATCAAGTCCATTTGCCTCACCTGTTCACATTTGTTCGACAAAGATTCATCCACTCCATCTCCCTTCAGCTCGTGGCCACACATACCTGCATCTCGGACCTCAGCATCGACAAGTCGCGTTGTCCAAGCCTTTCGCCATTTCTCTCTGCCCATCGCATCTCTCAGCCTCGCACCTGCTGGCGGTGCTGCTCCGACTCCTGCTGTAAAAACAGCCAAGCTCAGGCCGGGAGGGTCAAGAAAGGACACCTTGCCCTCTCCCAGCAGGATGGCGTCGTCCGGACCGGTAAAACTCCCCGTCTCCTCTCGTTGCTATCGATCCAAGGACCGGTGACCCTTGCTCAGTCCCGTGCTGACATATAATGCACAGTCCGTCTTCCCCTGGGAATGCCGGGACAAGGAAGACCAGGCAAGGATATCGTACCATCATCCTCTCCGCCGCACCAACCAGGCCCTGGCCGAGGAGAACATGAAACTCAAGAGGATCTTGCGAGAAAACGGCATCTCCTGGTCCTCCGTCGCCCAGGCACACCTGAAGCAGAGAGACCCAAACATGCGCAAGACGCGATCCTCCAGGTCTGCACATGAGCTCGGCCGGCCTTGCCTGCCGACAGAAGTCATTCTGCGCATTCTCAAGCTCTCAATGAAGAGCTCGCATCCCATCATTGACCCTCTCAGCCCCCTGACGCCCGAGCACCTGTCCGACCAAGAAAAGGCACGAGGCAACCAGATCGCCATCCACTTTCTTGCAACTTGCAAGGCTCTCCACACCGAAGGCACCCGGTACCTGTGGGAGGGCAATACCTTTGTCTTCACCACGGCACAGGCGCTGCGGAACTTTGCCGAGCTCACTCCCAGGTTCCGCAGCAGCGTCACCCACGTGAACCTTCGCATCGTCGCCCGCTACTACGACGACCAGCGCCGTAGGCACAAGCTCGAGCGATGCTATCACGCCGACCTGAAGAAGGATCAGCTGCTCAAGGTTCAGCTGAGGCCAAAGGAGACGCCTCTTGTCCGCGGCGGTTTTCGATGCTACACCTGGACCCAGATTGTCGACTTCCTGGCGGCCCTCAGAGCACCCTACGATCCGGCGTACCGGGACAAGAAGAACCCGAGGCCCAGACTGCTCCCGTCTCTATCGTCCCTTCGACTCGACCTGGTCAACTTTTCCGACACTCTGCTCCCATTTTCGGGCTCGGAACTGCATGACATTGCCAGTCACGAACTCGGGTGCACATTGAACGAACTGCAGGTCACCGGAATGCCCTTTGACGACGCGGGCATGAAGGCGTCGGCCGAACTGAGCGGGATGCTCAAGGACGAAGGCCTCTATCTAGACGGACCCCCCTCGTTCATTGCCCACGTCAGATACCTGCAACCTCTGTCGGGGAACAAATGGTGCGCCCGCGTCATTCGCGCTTGGAAGGGCAACGGCACCGACTCCGACTACGGGGACATCACCGACGAAGACATGGACGATCACGTGGCCCACTTTAGCGGCTACCATCCAAGGCTGGGCGCTCTGCCTCCGGCGCCCTTGGAGGAGGGACACCCGCCCTCGACGCGGGACGAGGAGACGGTCATTTGGAAACGAGTGCCGACGTCTCGGGACGGCGGGGCGCGCTCATGGGTCCAGTTCTCACGGTTTAGCGGATATGAGATCACAGATCCAGACTGGGACACGGACGACGAGGGTATTTGTCCCTGCTGCGGCGAATCGCACCCAGGCTCGTCTTTTCTGGAGTTTCTGGTGGATGATGACCTTGCTGACTGACCGCAGAATGAGTACCCTTGGGCGTTTGTGGCTGTTGGCGAAAGCGTGGAACTGAGCTGGGGAAGAAAATGTTTGCATGAATAGATACCCTTTAGCTAGCGAGGGCGTAATGACCTACGCGGTGGTAAAGCAATACGAGCTGTCTGATTTTTGGTCACTTTTGGTCACTCTGAGTGCCTTGATCGTGTCAAGATGAGGGAGGATGAGACGCTTTTGATACATGACGTCGGAGTGAAATTGTTAATTAGTCACGGGTGAGAAACGGTCCAGATTGGTAAGCTTCATGTGTGCGCGGTACGTGATGAATGTGCATTTGTCATCCTGGCATCAACATCGAATACCCCTTGCGGCAGATGACAGCTCGTGACTGCAAGCCACAGCATCGAAGGACTCTGGCCGGAGCAATCAAAAGCAGCCCGCGATGAAGCTCTTCGACATGCACCTGCCGGCCTTGGTGGCCCTGGCCATGCTCCTGTCTATGGCCACGTCGGAGCACACGAGTAACTGGGCCGTCCTGGTGTGCACCTCGCGGTTCTGGTTCAACTACCGCCATCTGGCCAATGTTCTTTCCATGTACCGGACGGTGAAGCGGCTCGGCATCCCCGACTCGCAAATCATCCTCATGCTGCCCGACGACATGGCGTGCAACCCGCGCAACGCCTTCCCCGGCACCGTCTACAGCAACTCGGACCGCGCCGTGGATCTGTACGGCGACAACATCGAGGTCGACTATCGCGGCTACGAGGTGACTGTTGAGAACTTCATCAGGCTGCTGACGGATCGCGTCGGCGCCGAGATGCCCCGGAGCAAGCGCCTCCTGACCGACGATCGAAGCAACATCCTGGTGTACATGACGGGCCACGGCGGCAACGAGTTTCTCAAGTTCCAAGACGCCGAGGAAATCGGCGCGTACGATCTCGCGGATGCGTTTGAGCAGATGTGGGAAAAGAAGAGGTGTGTGGTGATTCGGCTCTTCGGTGTTTCTCCCTGTGCCCCCGCAGGAACTGACCCATAAAGGTACCACGAGATTCTCTTCATGATCGACACCTGCCAGGCCAACACAATGTACAGCCGACTATATTCGCCAAACATCATCGCCACCGGGTCGTCGGAGCTCGACCAGTCGTCGTACTCGCACCACGCCGACAACGACGTCGGCGTCGCCGTCATCGACCGCTACACATACTATAACCTGGAGTTCCTGGAGAATCAGGTCCAGGACTTGAACAGTAGGAAGACGGTCGGCGATTTGTTCGACAGCTACGACTTTGAAAAGATTCACTCCAACGCCGGTGTCCGCTACGACCTCTTCCCCGGGGGCGCCGAGGGAGCTCGGAGCCGGCTTATCACCGACTTTTTCGGCAACATCCAGAACGTCGAGGTGGACCGGGCCAACGACTCGGCGTTGGAGGAGGAGCTACTCTCGTTGAGCAGAACTATTGCTCTACTTCGAGAAAAGGAAGCCAGCACGGCTGCTGCGTCGCGCAACGTCACGTCCATGCCGCCGAGCGTCCCAAGCGAGCCGGTCAGGAAGACACAGGGCGTCACGGCTTTGAGCGATGACGACCGGTGGACGAAGAAGATTATCGGGGCCACGGCGCTGGCCGGCTGCGCCCTTCTTTGGGGCATCGGGTCATTTCTGGAGAGATGATATCATATCCGCTTGCAGAGGAGGTGGGTGGAAAATACAGAGACCGGACTCATGAGCGGAGTCCGGTTTGCCGAGTTTGAATCGATTGCATCGCCATGTGCGCGAGGGTGTGAGGGCGCTTTGCCACGGGCAGGAGTTTACGGTATTGTTAGTATTCCGAATCTGTCGTTTATACCCGGCTTGTAGCTAGACGAGACACGAACAGGCAAATAAAGGTGAAAGGTGTGTTGCGTGCAGGATTCTAGGGTGCATTCCTTGATCAGGAGTGCAAGTCGAAGGTGTGCTTAGTCAGCCGGAAGCCTAACCGTCGGAATGACTCTATCACGGGCGGCTCAGTGTGGCGAAAACTTGAGAGGCTTCCTAATTTTCAAATAAGACTCACAGACGCCAACTTGGTGATGGATGAATTGAGACTGCGGCCTTGGAACCTCGTGCGCGTCTGGAGCGGCTCGGCATGATGGATCCGTCCAAGGTAAGCTTTGCGCAAGGCAGAAGCCATGGTGAAAAGTCGCGGCTGAAGGCGCCCAACCCACCAAAGAGAGGTTGCTGACGCGGATTCGTCGCAAGGCCCGTCCGCTTGAGGCACTAGACTTTCGCTTCCGTCCCCTGGCGCCCCTGGCCCTCGCGTGGTCGTGCGACGCAGAGCTGGCCGTCGCCTTGGACGACGCCATCCACGTCCTCATCCCCGAGTACCCCAAGGAAAAGAGCGGCGGCGGCGACAATGACGCGGGCTTCGACGAGGCCCTGCTGCAGCCGCAGTTCTCGCTGTCGCTGCAGGTGTCGGGCATCTTCCGGCCCGAGCCGTCCATCAACGCCAAGCTGTGCGCGGCGGCGGGCGTCGTGCTGCCGGCGCGCGGCGCGGGCGACGAGTTCCGCTTCCGCGGCGTCGGCCACGGCCTGCTCTCGCGGAGCGGCGCGGCGCTGGGCCAGACGGTCCGCGTCGAGTGGTCGCCCAGCGGGCTGGGGCAAAACCTGCGGCCCGTGCTGGCGGCGCTGACGACAAACGGCGGCGTCGTGACGCTGGGCGAGCACATTGATCCCGCGTCGACGGTTGCGTCGGGCGCCACTGCGCGCTCGTTCAAGAACTGGCGCGTGCTCTGGGGCCTCGGCGCGCTCTTGCCGGTCCCGGACGGGACGCGCAAGGAGGGGTTTCGCGAGATGGAGGACAAGATTGTGGCCTTTTCGTGGGCTAGGGAGGTTCTTCCTGGCAGGGCTCTGCTGGCCTACGCAAACGATGCCGGGAGGATTGCCATCATGGGAGTCCAGCACTTTCCCGGCCGGCGAGAGGAGGAGGCATCCCAGGGGCACGAGTCCGTCTGGCAGTTGCGCGAGCTGGCCCGGTTCGACGGGCGAGGGCCTCACAAGGTTAGATCAAATCGAGGGTCGCGCCTCAACCAAGCTCTGCCGTTGACCCGTCGCCTCCCCCACAGGTCCTGGACCCCCATGATCCCGATTTCGTTCCCTTTGGCAGCGCCTTCAGTCTCAAGTGGAGCCCGTGGCACGTCTCGCCCGACTCCCGAACCGCAACACTGGCCTACATCGCCCACAACTACGTCGGCTTCCGCCGCATCACCATCACCGGCGCCTGGGAGCGGGCGCGCAACCCGGCGCTGCGCGTGGAGCAGACGGACACGACGGCGTTTTGCATGAACCTCGGCCCGGATGCCTTTGTCGAGTGGGAAGATGCTGTACAGGCCTCGAGTTCTCGGACAGAGTGTGTGCGTGGGCTGACGATGCTGTTGTCAGGTATGGCCAGACGGCTCCCATGGCCAAACGGCGCGCGGCATCATCGCAACGCCCTTTGTGCCCAAGCCGTTCCAGGTCGATCTCTGCGCGGGCCCGAGCAAGCCGATGGCGCCTCACGCCACCTCGCAGTGCGCGACGGTGTATCCCGCGGACGAGGACGCCTCGACGAATCCAATCACCGGTACGTCTGGAGCAGCAGCACACCCTCTGCCCCCCTTTTGCCACGGCCGAGGCCCCCGACGGGGCTGCCGATGACGGGCTGACGACGGCGCAGGCCTCGTCGTCCACAGGCCCGATCCGCACGATAAGCCCGCCGCGCCGCGCTACACCATGGTGCGCCTCTCGGCCACGGCCGCGACCCGCGACTGGTACCGGACCAACGTGCCCGAGGACGCCGCCGCCGCCGGCTCCCCGCGTCTGCCGCAGTGGGCCGAGTACGTGCGCGCCCAGACGGCCCGCGTGGTGCCGCGCCTCGCCGCCATGCAGGGCGTCGACTCGGACTCGGAGTCGGAGGACATGGAGGACGAGTACCTCCTCGGCGACGGCCGCCGCCCCATGTCGCGCGTCCACCCGCACCGCTTCCGCCTCTGGGGCCTCGCCGCCTCCCCCGGCGACGCCTGCTCCGCCGTCCTCGTCACCAAGCACAGCACCCACCACCCGCACCGCCGCGCCCTGTCCAAGCTGCTCTTTGCCTGGCCCGAGAGGGGCGACCCGCCGCCGCCGCCGCCGCCGACCGCCGCCGCGTCGCGCCCCCGCCTCACCACCGAGGGCCGCCTCTGGGAGGCCGTCTATGGCTGCCAGGGGAGCGTCGCCGACATTGTGCCCACCGCGGGCGCCGCCGCCGCCCCGGCCCTGCCGAGCCCCCTTCGCGACCTGTTCCGCGACGTCGTTTCGCTGCAGCGCTGCGTCTTTTGCGTCGCCCCGCTGCGCATCTCCTTTGACGAGTCGGCGTGCGAAAACGGCCACTTGTTCGGTCAGTCTCCACCTCTTCTCCCCTTTCCTCTTCTTCCCTCTCCTCTTCTTCCCTCTCCTCTTCTTCCCTCTCCTCTTCTTCCCTCTCCTCTTCTTCCCTCTCCTCTTCTTCCCCCCAACCAAGTCATGATCAACTCCCCGTTCTCTTCTCTCGCTAAACAACCCCCCCCCCCATCGGGGACGCAGCTACCTGCGCCGCCTCGGGCCTCGCCATCATGGCCCCGGGCGTGTCGCGCCTGTGCGCCGTGTGCGGCCTGCGCTGCCTCAAGGTCGGCGAGCTGGCCGCCCTGGCGCGCCGCCTCGTCGGGCCCGATGCCGTCGTCGACTCGACGGGCGACGTGTGCGGTGGGTGCGGGGGCAAGTTCGTCGCCTAGACACTTTGGCATGGTCCTGCAGGCTCTCGCGTTGGGCATCAGGGCATGGTCGCTTGGGTGCTGAGTGTGCCCGTGGGGAGGATCCAAGGGGAGTTTCTCTTATGTGCGCTTCTGCGCGAGTATCAGCCGTCGCCAGACTTCAAGCAAGATTCCTCTGGATATGTTCCATGCAAAGGCGAGCATTTCAGATATCAGTCCGTCGTCAATTATGTGCATTATAGCCCGTCCTCCATGAACATTGTCCATCTCCACCATCGGCGATAGCCCCAGCCCCTTCGTCCCCTGCCGCCAGCAAGCCGAACCCTTCTAGTCACCAGTCGTCCACTTCCGAGATAACTCGCGCCCCTTTCCTTCCCAGCCCAGTTTTCAAGTGCCCGCGTCTTCAGAGCAAGGGCGTGCGATCGCCCTCGTGCGCGCCGCAGACCAGTCGCCCGTCACTGGGCTGGACGGCGTGGGGATGCTCGGCTGCGCGACAAAACGGGTCAGCAAGTCAAGTCCAGCCGCGGTATGGTACAAGGCGGGTAGAGGGGGATGCATTACCTTGAGAGCCAAGTTGCAGTGTGGCGGTCTTTGGGCTGCCGAGGTGGTCCAGGCAGGTACACTCGAGGCGGAGGGCAGCAGCCTCGTCGCCCGGGAGAGCATCGTCGCCGCCAAGGACGACGCAGGGCCAGCAGAGAGAGTCAAAGTCGCCCCTGTTTATTTGAACAAGCCAGTCAGTCAGCCAGCTCCCGACGCGTCTTCCGAGAGAAGGTGGGGGAAAGACTCAACGCACGACTCTTGGTAGATGAGCTCCCCGTCGTGAGCGCCAATGCAGCGGTTCAGGTTCAGGCTCGTCCGCCACCACTGCCCGTCCCCATCTACGCACTGCCCCTCGAGCATCGTCCTCCCCTTTCCCCCGTGCGCCTTGAGCATCAGCGAAGGCCGGCACTGCCCGCTAAACAGCAGCGGCCCGTCGTCGCCGTCCTCCACGGCGTTGTGCACCTCCTCACCAGGAGCAACCGTCGCCGCCGCAGCAGTCTCGGTGGCCACCGCGCTCGACGCCTCGGCAGCCGTGGTGGGCACGACAAAGACGCCCGCAGGCCGGCCGACGACCAAGCCGTCAGCGACGGCGGCGGCGGCGGCGACATCCTTCTTGGGGAGGCCGACACGAGCGGCTGGGCCCGGCACTGCGACGGCGGCGGTGGAGAGGATGAGCCTGGCGGGATGCATCTTGGTTTTTCCTGCCCCTTCTTTCGTTTTCGCTTCGTCGCTTCGCGGGAAGAACTTTGGTCTCGATGCTTCTTTTCCCCGGGGGTTCGCCTTTTCAGTGTGCGGTTTGGTGACTTCGATGGGAAGCAGATGGGTGAGATGAGTGGGCAGCTTGTGTTGGTAGTCAGCGAGTTTCGAAAGGTAGTCGAACGGAGGAGGAGTAGTTGCCCACGAAAGGAAGGTGCCGGTTTTTGTGCGGCCGGTTTTTTTGTAACGATTTTTTTGGGGGATTGGATTCCTGTTTTTCAACCCGCATGAGAGAGAGACGAACAATAGGATACAGGAGGAGACGAGGATGGGATGAAAGATGAGAGTAGAGGGGTGGGGAGGAAAAGACGAGAAAAGAGAGCAAGCGGGGAGGCAGATTCCAAGCTGGTGCCCGAGGCATCAAGATCCAACCATCGCCTGTTCAGGAGCAGAACAATAGGCAGGTCCAAAGGAGACAGCCCCTCCTTCCCCGTCCCCAAGCCCAGATCCAGGTCAGTTTCATGATTCATCAGCCAGCCGTGGCCGTTGAAGGCCTCCAATCCCCGTATATTCCTCCTTTACGTCTGCACTCGCGTCTCTCGAGCCAGAGAATCGCATCGTTCCCAGCCGACCTCATCAAGACCTGCGGGCTCCGGGACAAGCGCGCAGCCGTCTGTGACCGCCCGCTACATAAGAGGATGTATTGAGAAAAGGAAACTAGATCTGCCTACGTGGGCTCCCGGGGACTAAATCCCTCCAAAATGGGTATGAGTGAGTGACGAGAAGAGTACAATTAGTCTTCAAAAGTACGTTCCCAACCATCATGACAATTGGCCCTGAGGGACCTTGTGCGTTATCCATGTCGCACCCCGTTCCAACAAAAACTCCTGGCCTTTTCGTTTCCTTCGCTTTTTGCCGCCTCAAATAACCAGTCCAAAGTCCTCGAGCCGTGCGCTTCATTCCGTGGCCCACGGCCGGGGCTCTTTCAGCCAGTTTGACCGGCTCCCGAGATTCTGCCCGGGCACCGGCTTTCTGCCGACGGATCCCGGTGGTGGAGGGCCTGACGGGGGAGGCCCAGGCGGTGGCGGGCCCGGCTGCGGAGGAGTCACCAATCTCGCTCCACCTGGGCTCTGGGGTCGACTAGATAAGGCTCCTTGCTGTCTTGGTCGCGGGGACTGGGCTCGCCGGTTGGTGCTCGTGGGCGAGGTTGAGCCGGAGCTCTGGACCAGCCTGAGGCGCGAAGACTCCGAAGCAACGGGCCTCGACCCGTTGAGGGAGCCGGGACCTCGGGCCTGGCCGCTTGGGTTCACGGGAGGCCCCGGACGAAATGCGCCCGGGGGGAGTCGCGGCTTGACGGGCCGAGATGACAGGCACGTCCGAGGCACGACGCCCTGCTGAGAACGGTTGAGGCGGATGACGAGACACTGTTTGATGCGTTAGCGATTCATCGGGCTTCTGGCATGCTCCGAGACTTACCCATCCGTCGTCGTACTCGTGAAGCAGGCGGACCAGTTCCCCAACGCGCAGCTCCATCTCGTCTTCGAGCGTCGGCTTGAACTCGAGCTCGACGCGGTGGACGCCCGAGTTGGCGGGCCCACCGGCCGCCTCAATGGCCACGGCGCCGTTGGTGGCAAGTGGAGCCGAACCGGCCGGCACCGATGACACGCTAAACTCAGTCTCGGCGGGGCTCGGTGGTGACGCCCATATGTTCCGCCTCGGCAAGGTCAGGTCTACGTTGCTGGATCCATCCTTGCGCATCGACGTCTTGCGCGACAGGCCAGTGGCAACACCGAGGGCCGCGCCCGCGGCCATGGTACGTCCATTGATCTTGAGGGCGTCCTGGGAAAACGAGCTTCCCGGAGCGCGTGGCGCCTCGAAGAGCGTGGCGGGGGAAGTGCTGTTGCTGCGCATGCTCTGCTCCTCGACAATCGTCGAAGGGACGCGTTCGGCCTGTATTCCAAAAGGGTTGGCGGTGTTGGTGCTCCGGCTAGTGGCCGGGCGGTCCCACGCAGTGCCGACGGGAGTGAACTGGCCAACGGGCCGCAGGCTGATGCGAGGAGCCTTGGGGTCGCCTCGCATCGAGGGGGCTTCGAAGGGACTCGAACCCGCGCTGAAGCCCGGCTGAAACTTTTCGTCGCCATCGTCGAGCCTGATGCGTGCGGCAGCCTGCTTGCGACGACGATTGAAGAGGAAGTAGGCCAGCAGGACAACGGCGAGGACTCCGCCCAAGACGCCAAAAGCGATGCCCGTCTTTACGCCCGCGCTGGAGCCCGAGTCGGCGGCGGCGCTTTCCTTTCTGTTCATTGACAAGTCCGCGGTAGAAGCGGAGGCCGAGGGTCGAGATGCCGAAGGCAGCAGACCTATGCGATCCGTCATTATGGGCACGGAGGTTGGGTCAGTGGCCGGGTTGCCGAGGACCGCTTGAAATGTGTTGGAGAAGCTCCGCGTGCTAGATGCGGAGACTCTGGCCGAAGAGGACTGGTCGGACGACTCGGGGCCTTTGCTGTCGACAGATGCGGGCGTGGGGGCTGGACTCGGGGCTGGTGACGGAGAGGGTGACGGCGTTTGAACAGGCGACAGGGCTCGCTGAGATGCCGTGGGAGGTGGGACATCATCATCGTCGAACAAGGTCGAGTAGCCGGCGATGGGGCCTTGAAAGGTTGGGGCCAGAGTCTTGAAGACGGTTTGAACGACGGTGGCCACGTCGTCTGAGCCCACGTCGGCCTCTGGGGCGCGATGAGAGCCGGGACGCTGTGCCATGTTGGAGTCGTCAACGGCTCGGCTGCGCTGGGCATCACCCTCTTGCTGTAAGTCGTCGTCGTCGTCGCGGACTCTGGAGTTGTTGTTGTCGGTGTTGTTGCTGTCGGGAGAATCTAGGTCAGACGCGTCGGTGGTGAAGAGGTTCATCCTGATGAACCAGTCGATGATGTCGCCGAGATGGTGGCGGCGATGCTTATGGGGCATGGCGGTAGGAATTAAAGGAGAGGCAGCGACCATTATGGAAGCTTGGCAGCGCTAAAGCGCCCCAGGTCCGAGAGCGCGGGACAGGCCCGTGAGCTGCCGGTGTGACGGGAGAGACGGCTGGTGCGACCGCGAGGACGGGAGTGACGGCTGGAATGCGCCAAAGGGGGAGGAAAAGAATGTATTGGATGGGCTATCGAGCCAACGACGCGACTTGCCCTGTTCCACTGTCTTGGATCAGGCGTCGACGGCCCGCAGGGGGCACTCGGGAAACAAGGGGTGAGGAGAAACAACAAAGGAAACCGGGGTGGAGAGAAAGAGAGCGAGCGAGGGAGGCGAAACGAAGCGAACGGACAATGGGTTCCAAGGCGAAGCCGGAGAGAAGGGTCGTTTCTGGCGTGCAGAAGAGCCGGGTGCCCGCCCTCCCCCTTGATTTGAACGATGGTCGTTTTGATAGCTCGATAGAGTCGGAAGAAGGAGTCGTCGAACCAAGTGAAACAGGAGCAACGATGGACGAGCGGAAGAGAGGCAGGCGCTCAGCGCCCTCAGGCCATGGTGACGCTGGGGGGGAGCCGACGCGGCCTGGAGCACCGACGCCGGTGGTTTGGATGGGACGGACGGGTTGGAGGCGTTGCACGGGCGGCGGCGGCGGCGGAGGAGGAGGTGGTGGCGGTGGTGGAGTGGAGGAGAGAAGGAGGCCGAAGAGGAGGAGGCGGCGGCTGCAGGTATTGAATAAAGGGTACCTCGAGAATGCCTGGGTGTTATTTAATGATTGACAGGCCGAGGGCGGTCGCCGGGGGACGAGCAGAATGCCTGCCAGCCCTGTGGCCTGGAGCTACGGGCCATCTAGTGCAGTTGCCCCCCCCCCCCCGAGAGAGCATCTTGGTAGAGCCAGGTCATGTTTCTCGCCTGGCCAAAAGGGACCGTGGCCAATTCGAGGTGCGTTCTACCCGTGTGGTCCGGCAAGGCAAGGCAAGGCAAGGCAAGCAACCCCTGTCCCTGTCCCTGCGCAGCACGGACACGGCTTCTCCGCACCGACAAGGTTGCATCATCATCATGTACGAATGGACGTGCGTGTGTGCCTGTTGCGCATGCGCCCGGACTCCAAGAGTTGCGGTACCTACCTGGAGAGGCCTACCTGGAGAGGCCTACCTGGAGAGGCCTACCTGGGAGAGGCCTGGAATTAAAGGTGCAGAGTGGCAGCCAACGCCCAGCAACCTGACGCAGTCCCCATCCCGCCGAGGTACTTTTCCACTGCCCGGTACATGGCGGTACCTGGCTCCGACGTGGTGCTGTCTTGAGCCGACCAGGAGATCTTCAAGGAACCCAGGGAGCAAGGGATGCGCTCTCTCCCTCGCTGGTCCGTCAAGGCAGCATCAATTGACATGGCCATGTCCCATGGCCTTGACGGCATGCAGGCCTCGGCTTGCAAGCTCATGCACGTCGCACTGGGACAGATGCCAGGTACCGCCTGCGGCCAGATCAGGTACCTGTGCCTGCAGGCGGTGACGTGCAGCCGAGGGAGCGGCCGATCCTCCCGGTAGCGCCAGGGGCGCGGGCCCTGTGGTTGGCTGGTTGACCGCCTTGTCTCGCCGCCCTGCGGGAAGGGGGGGGAAACGCTACCTGGAAAGATAGTGGGTTTAGTGGGGGCTTGCGGCAGTCAATCCGTCCTCCATCATTTGCATCACCACCTGCCTGCATCGAGTCACCACTACAGTACTGCTGTACCTACTAGTAGGTAGGTAGATACTCGTACTACTTGCCCCCCAAGGTTGGCACTTATTACTACGCACTAGTACCTACCTGGGTAGCAGGCAGTACTCCGCCGGAGCCTTGCTCTGAGGCGCTGGACCAGGTATTAGTCGCGGCCGAGACAGAGAGAGACCACAGACTTTGTCTGCCCTGGCCAGTGTCTCTTATCCGGATAGAAAGCATGACCATGACGTTGTCGAGGTAATAAAGCCCAAAAGCAAAAAGATGATCAAACTCAGTCTCCATGGCCGTACTTTCGGCGCCTTGTCTGGTTCTTCTTCTTCCGTACAAGAATACAGAATCTTCATGTCCAGCCGCAGCAGGCCGCCACAAAAAAAGACCCTGAAACGAGCCAAGCCCGCCTGGGCAACCGAGAAAGAAGCAGAAGAAAAACCAAAGAAAAAACAGCCAGATCCTGGCTCCACAGCCGTTGAACCTTTTGCTTCTTCTCGCCTGTCGCTTCTCTCTTGCATGGGGCGCACGCGCCGTCGCGTAATCGTACGTGGATGACAGCAGACAAGGACATTACTATATCTGCATCGCATCCTTCTCCTCCTCAGTGCCCTTTTTGGTTTTCTCCATTTCCCCCATCTCCAGGCGACACCAAAGCAGCCAGGACCCCAATCCCTCGGCCGTCGCATTGCCCAACGCTCCCGCCCCGTTGCCGTGCGCATCCGCCGACGAGAGTCTACCTACTGTATTGTCTGCCATGCTTACTTTTGCATCCATCCATTCTATCCGCGACGAACCGAACCGTTGCCCGCTGGTGTCCAGATCCACCACTTCGTTTCACCACACCCGCTGACCCACAACTGAGCCCTATCTGGTCGTCCATGCTCCCCCGAATCCCATCCACGTTTTCTCCGTTCCTTCAATCCTCCTTCCATCATTCTTCCTGGCCAGCACCACGTCAAATCAACCAAAAATAAAAATAAAAAAGGCCCCAAGCCCCGAAGAGGCTTGGTTTCGCCCAGCGCGCTCCGTTGACTACCCAGACTTCACGTCAACGACGCATGCCCTCATGGCCCCCAACGACTCGAACCCACGGACCAGTGAACCTTTTCTTTAGCCTTTTTTTCGCTCTCTCACTCGTTTGAAACTCTTGTAATCCCAAAAAACCTGGTCTTGGAATCCGCCAGCGTTGTTGGTCTGGACTGGGTGAGACATGCTCGGGCAACCGTCTCCCGTTCCTGACAAAGGGGAGCGACGGAACAAAAGGTCAGGTCTGCTCGGGTCACTTGACGCATTTGCTCGAGACAGGCAGCGGGCCTTTTCCTCTTTTGGGCCACGTCTGCGTTGCCCCGGTTGCGCAGCACAACCGTTGGGAGTGCGGCACCGTGTTTACTCTGTGCTCGATTTGAATTCAGCGTTGCTTTGCCCTCATTTTTTTCTTTTCCTAATGCCATGGCATTCATCGTGTGGGAGCCATGCGCTGAAGCTGCGGTAGAGCGCGTTGCATCCCTTCTCTTCCTTCTTTTACATTTGCCGGCCGTTGCCCGACCTGCGCATCCGGCAGCCACTGGGGCGTCCACGTGTACCACCCGGCCGCCAAGTCGGGTGGATCCCGGGCCCGGCGCCGAGTTCGCCGACCAACCCGGCAATTCGGCCATTCATGAACCACACAGTATTCGAGCCATGGCTCTCTCCCGTAATTCCATAGCGGCTCGCGAGCCATCTTTAGATCGCAACTTGTCTACGGTCTATATGCAGCCACACCCGCTTGCACTCGTCTCTATCCATGAGCACGCCTATGCATGAGCGGCTTCACCCGTCGCCAAAGCAGCATGCGATGCAAAATCGCCATCTCCAAACCCCGAGCACGTGCCTACATCGAGTCTTCCATCTGTCGACTCCTCGCCCTCGACCAGTTGTCCCGGTCCTGCTTCCCGCCCTGGCTCTCCAGCCCCATGCCCCGCTCCACCCATTCCCTGCTCTCCATCTGACTGAGCCGGCTCAGCGCGCGCGCAAACGCAAACGCCTCCTCTTCGCCCGCAAACAGGCTCGTCTTCTTGAGCTGCTTGGCGCTGTGCTCCAGGTCCTCCATCATCCGGTCCATGGCTCTGCCGTCCTTGCTCTGCGGGTTGCCCTGGAGCAGGCTCTCGGCAATCTCGTCACGCGACACAAAGAGCTCTGTCAGCGGCTTCTCCGTCGTCAGCACCAGCTTTGCGTTGCCCTCGTACACGGCGTCGACAAAGGTGATGAACCGCCGGGCCAGGTCGCGCTCGCGTATCGTCATGCCCGGCACGTCCGTCACGATGAAGGCGTCGTAGCTGCGTACCAGCTCGAGGTAGTCGGCCGCCGACTTGGGCTGTCCGATGAGCTCGGCAAACGTGAACCAGGCGCACCGCCCGCTGACGCGCGGCACGTATATCTCGCGGCCCCACACCTTTTGCGTCTCCGGGTGCGGGTTGAAGTTTTCCGAGTCGCCGAGGAAGCGGAACCACTTCTCGGCGTGCGAGTTGGCGTGGTTGTCGAGGGGCGTGTGGTACACGCCCGAGGGCGGCCGGGGGATCTTGCGGTAGTCGGTCGGAGAGTCCAGGTTGATGATGTGCAACCGGCTCTTGAGCAGCTTGATGGCGGGGATGAAGGACTCTCGCTGGATCCCATTCTTGTACAGGTCGTCTGGCTGGCGATTCGACGTCGTCACCAGCACCACGCCGTGCGACATGAGCGCCTCTAGTAACCTTAACGATGCCAAGGGGACACGGGTCAGTGTCGACAGCTCTTGAGGCTTGCAAACGGACCCCCGCGTGTGCCTGTGTTGGCTAGCGAATCCTGTACCTTCTGAGTATCATGGCATCGGCCACGTCTGTGCACTGAAACTCGTCGTAGCACAGCACGTTGCTCTGCTCGGCAATGTCGGCTGCGACATACGGCACCGCGTCGATGTCGCTGCCGTGCTCCGTCTTCATCCGGTGCAGCCGACGATGAACGTCCTGCATAAAGTTGTGGAAGTGGATGCGCGTCTTGGTCTTGACCGAGGCGGGGAGGGTGTCGTGAAAGAGGTCCATGAGCATCGTCTTGCCGCTGCCCACGTCACCGTAGAGGTAGAGGCCGCGGGGCAGGTTATTCGGGATCTCGCCAACGGCCGACTGCGCGCCTCTGCCCTTGCCGAATAGGGAGGAAAAGACGGACTTCCTGGCAGGCTTGAGGAGTTGGAGGCTCGGGTGGACAACGGGGGGTGCGTGGTAGTTGCGCAGTTCGTTGTGGAGGTGCTGGAGGCTCTCGATGATGCCTGGGCGGCGCAGGAGACTGCAGTTAGCGCGCCATGCAGGTTAAAGTCTCGAGCGCAAAACTCGTCACCTCACCTCTCTGGTGCTCGTCGTTTCTCAACATGCCGGCCTCAACCCGCCTATCGTACTCCTCCAATGGCCCGTCGGCGCGCCGTGACCCATCAGAGAGAGTCGCCAGCGACCTTGAGCCAGCCCGGCACGCCGAGGGAACGGGTTTGCGCAGAGCCATCATCGGCCGGGGCATCCACGGACCGCCGCGCGACAGCAGGCATGGCGTTGTCATCTTCGGCCGAGCGCTCGTGCAAGATGACGATGCTGCACGCATGGAGCGGCGCCGCAGAGATGCAGGGGCCATACGGCACCGCAAACATGCCTCCGGCGGCACCGCGAGACGTCGCATGCTTCTCCGACGGGGGAGAAGGGGTGGACCGAGGGCGAAGAAGCTGCTTGCACGTCTTACGGCCGAGCAAAGGCAGACAGGCAACGAGTCACCATCGGTGAGGGTTCGGCCGAGCGGCTCTGCAAAAGAGGCGGTGAGAGAAGCAGTGCTACGTCCACAGACAATGGAATTGGGCGGTTCGAACCGACAAGGACTCGGCAAGGGAAATGGGAATGGTGGGATCGCGGCCGGTGACGGGCGTTTGTCGGCGATGTGTGACGCGACGTTTCTGCCGCCGGCTGGGAATGATAGCGTCTCCACATTCGTAGCTCCCCAGAAGCCGAAGGCTGGTCAGGTGATTTGGAGCCCACTGCCACAAATTATGCAAGCCGGTCTGCCTAGTACGACGTGCATAAACTATGCAACGCTCTCCCCGTTCCGTCTCGACCGAATCTCGGAGCGGAAGCCGGAGATGCGGGCCGGCCGGTATTCCGGACGGCACTGACGATGTGATACGTATGCCTAGCCGCTCTGGCGACACAAGCGTAACGGGCCTAGGTTGTAGCGCAATTTTGTTTGTAGCATCGCTGCCGCCCCTCACTGCACTCTGTGCATACTGTAGCTCGGGGTTCGCTCGGCCTTTGGATCAGACCTTGGACGGAAACACAGTGCTCAAGTGAATGAATCTCTCCACACATTTACGGTCCCAAGCAATGTGCGAATCAGTTGCTCGGTTCCCAGGGAGCAGCGAGTTGAGAGATGCGTCTCACTGCAACACAACTGTACGAACTCCAAAAAGCGAAAGCACCAGGATGGCCTAGTTCGTCCATATAATAATAGTCATGGTACAAAAGAAGACCGTCGCGCGTATCACAATATTTGTCGGCCGAGCAAGCGCGACACTTAACCCGTGCAAGCGCTCGCCTAACCTAAACTATCCGACTTATTCAGTTTTAGTGGCATCAAGACCAGACATGTTCTCGAAGCTGAATATTCGCCTATACAAGGGTCAACAGGTAAAGAGCCATTCTTGTCAATTGACTGGCAATGACAACTGTATCGATGAGATGCACATTAAATCAATGCCCCGGCCATAATAATCGCTCAGCGAGTGGGTATTACAATCCTGAACACCTTCCCCTTCCCCTCCCGTCTGCCATCTAAGCCATGCTCCTCAAGACCGGCCCAGAGCCCAAGGTTTCCTTCCTCGCGGACCCTTTTCCTTTCGGCGCATCATACCATCAGGGCGGCCAGACCCACGGCAGCAGCCAGGCTCATCATTGGCACGGAGAGGGCTCCGGCGGCAGCCTTGACGGTGCCGTCCGGATTCCTCGGGACCCTCGGGTCGTCATTGTCGTCCAGCTCGCCGCCGTACGGGGAGCTGCCGGGCGTCACCGACCGGGACAGGGCCCTGGCCTGATTCCTGTACGTGTCCAGGTTCTTGTTGCCATTGGGGTTGATGATGCCAACCATGCCCTTGGGGCACTCGTCTCCTTGAGAGGAGTAAAATGGCACGGGCTCCAGGCTGTTGACCTTGATGCGGAAGACCTTGCTCTGTTGGTGGCTGTCAGCGGGCACTCGCATAGCGACACAGAGAAATGAAGGACACTTCAGGCGGCGTTGCAGTCGCTCAGGGAGAGGAGGAGGGGAGTAACGCACAGCCTCGCCGCCAGTAGCAGGCATGAAGCCCGAGTAGAAGCCGCTGCCGAGCTGCATGGGCGAGCAAGGGTTCTCAAAGACGCCGGAGACGACGCTGTGGTTGCGGGCCTGGAAGTGGAACTCGATGGTGTCGCCCACCTCGGCCTTGACGGCGTCGGGGTTGAAGGTGTTGCCACTCGTGGCGGTAACCTTGATGGTGTCGGCGCTGGCGACGCAGGCGAGGGCAGCCGCGGCAAGGCAGGTCTTGAGGCAAGGCATGGCGAGCGATTTTAGACAGGGACGTAGGATTTAGAGAGGCGGATGTGTCGTTGGGGAAGAAGACGGAATGTGGAGGGCTGGCGGCGAGGCGTCTTCTCTCTTGTCCTCTCTGCTTTCTTCCGCTCTCGTACTTTGTCGGTAGTGCAATAGGTCAGGACTCTTAACGGGCCAAGCCTCCCTCGTCGGGGCAGCCCCTGTTTCTTTTATCCTCAGAAGAGGCTGTCGTCGGGGCGCAAAAAGGGAGAGGTCGCTCGTGACGCGGTGAAACATGACACGGTCAATCGCTGGCCATCCCTGGCGCGAGCTTTTTCAAGGTCTGAGCCAGCCACATCCAACATTGACAAGCTGCATCCTTTGGGTGAGCAGGCAGGGACCCCTGACCCGTTCATTTCTTCCTAGCCTCCTCCCCCCTTCCCCGGATTGCGTCGTGTGGACTCGTTGGGCGGCTCTCTAGCTGTTGGATGAGCGGGTGGCAGAGACCCGTCTCTCCCTGGGGACGTGCTGCGGCGTGCGTCGAGAAGACGTCGTCTCTGGTTTGGGAGGGTGGATGATGCCGGTGGCTGGATACGTCATGGTAAGATAACAGGCCAAATGCCACGATGGCCACGCTGGCGGATGAAACTGTCCAGGGTGGAAGGAACAAGGAATGTCTCACGCATGGTGCGAGACAGCCAGGGAACACGAGGCTATTGCTTTGGGCTCTCTCTTCCCCCTCGAGATGCTGCGAGGGGAAAATTCGGCGGTTTCGACATCTGGCGAGATGAGCCTGCTTCCATGACTATAGATTGTGATTTCTTCTCGATCCTGGGCGTTACAGTGCGATGGCTGGCGTTCGAGGCCGGGGTCTCGTGAGTGGCTCGTGGAGCGGCGGCGGCAGCCCCCTGTACCCCTGGTCGATGGGTGATGCGGGCGCTGTGGATTAGGCCTCAGCGGCATACAACAGGCAAGGCAGGCGAGGACGCTGAGGTACCGAGGACCAGGAGCCTCCCGGTTCCGCCGAGGGGGATATAGCGCGCAGAGCCGAAGCCAGCGGTACCCGGTACCCATGGACCACCACGTAAAAAGGTCTTCCCCCAGCGAAACCTCGCCAACAGAATCAAAGCTCGTGACGTCCCTTGCGAATCAATCACATTTTATCAGCAGCCCTACCGCTTGTATCGTGACGGCTACTGAGGAATGTGCCTGGATTTACCGCGCACTAACGACCTGCCAGGTAGCTTCCCCAGATCGTGGGGTCCCAAGGGCGTGGGGTCCCAAGGGCGTCGTCGCCGCCGCTCCCTCGTCCTCGTCCACTATCTCTCCGCCCTCGGCCTGTGCGCTTCCGCCCCGACCTCCCGAATTCCCGCTCGAGGATGTTTGCTTTGCTATTCCGCCAGCCGGGACCCTGCCTTGCACGGGGCCTCGTGTCGTTGCGGGTGCCGACGTGTCCCCCTTGCAGACTCTCTGCCGGCGCCCCCTCGAGGGACTACCGGTTGGGGCAATCGTTGGTGACCATTTGAGACCTCGCGCCCCTGCTCTTGGCCAAGTCAGCGCGCATACCAACACGCACTGCAAGTTCCGCCCCCTTGATCGAGATGAGGGGGAACCAGCCATCGTCTGAATACCATTCTTGGGGCCAGCAACTAACAGAAAAAGGGAACAAAGGCAAGAGACGCCAAGTGCAGATAACTTGGCAAGCCATTATTCGCCCGCCCTCGCCCCGGCTTCAACTGTGTTGTATTTGGCCAAGCCTTGCAGACAACCAAGAGACATGACAGCCGTGGCGCCTACGACTTACCCGAAACTGCGCATCCATTTTTCGTGGCTGCAGCGACAGGTGGCCGAGGAGGAACACGATTACGTTGGCTTGATTCCAGCATTGGCTGTGTTTTGGACTACTACGGCATTGTGTATCTTGGCCGTCGATCATGGCTCAGTGGACCTGGTCTCGAGGGCTTTAGCCTCTGGGGTTCGGTGACTCGCCGACGCCGCCTCTTGTTTCTTTTTCTCATGTCTCTTCGGCGGCTGTGGCTATTAGTTAACCAGACTTACGACCCAGCACGAGAGCCCCAGCAAATTTTCAAGAGGCCTGCGCAGCTGGATGGAAAGCACGTAGCCGCTCCTTGATGCCAGTCTGCTCGGAACCAGCAACGCGGCGAACATGCCGGGGTGCTTTTTGAGGCAGACCGGGAGCTGCTGTCTGGATGGCTCGCTGCAGACCGCCAGAAGCGGCAGGCCAGAGGAGAAGGTAGCTCGGAGGCCTCCGAGATGAATGAGTGGCCCGCCGCCTTGGAGCTCGTCGACATCGGTGACGGGTCAGCAATTGATTGCCCGAGTCCAGCGTGACTGGGATCTCTCTCTTAAGCCAATAACCTCGGTGAGGCAGCTCCGATGGCGGTTCAAGCTGTGTAACGGCATGCCCTTTCTGCTGAATTTCTAGAAGCGGGCTTTACCGCCCTTTTCTCTTTGCCTGCAAGGCATGGTGGAAGCATGCGACGTGGGCTGTGAAGCTGAGAGTGGCGAAGAAGGTGGGAGGCGGGGGGAAAAAGGAAGAAGAGAGGAAGAGAAGTGATATTTTATTAATATCACTTGATCAAGTGACGCCTGGAAGACGCACCCCTTCTGGCAACACGACCGAGGAGCGGGCAAGAATTGCCGTCAACCTGGCCGGCCATTGTTCCGGCAGGCCCGGCAGAGGCAGGTGGCAGGGTAAGCAGCAGCAGCAGCAGCAGCAGCATCACGGCGTAGCCGGTCTGTGGCAGGGTTGCCGACTGCATGTACTGTATGCATGTACTTATGTATCATGTATGTAGGTAGGCATGTATGTATGTAGGTACATAGGTAGGTAGTAGGTACCGGGTAGGTATATATGTATGTATGTAGCCATGTACGTACAGTACTAAGTTATAGCGGGCTTCCGGTACGCTTTACCCAGCAGAGCTAATGAACTACTACACCATGGTGGGTGGTAGTGTGCGAGATCTTTGCGCCATAGTGCCTCTCTGCCTGTGGCGCTTCACTGCATCTACTGCACAGTACCCAATCCTCGAGAGTCTGTGTGCAGCTGCAAGATTATAGACGCTTCCAGGCTACTGTACCTTCCAAGCCTGTACTAAGTAACGTCGATGCGGCTGTCCCCCGATTGGAAGCCCAGACCAGACGAGCACGGCACGAGTGGATATGGCTTCAGCTTGCGAGAGGCGGCGAAAAAGGCCGGCCGGACTCTTTGGGGAAAGGACGAATCCACACGATTCTCGTTGAAGCATAAGCAGAGGCAATACAATGAGGATACTGTAGCTGGGTAAAATGCTGCTCCTGCCCGGCTGAGAGGAAGAGGAGGGTGGTTCCTGCCACCACCCCACCCACGTCCTGTACTGTACAGAGGTAGGTACAGTGCCTGTTGTGCTGAGAGGGAAGGGGTGGGTGCAGGGTACTAGTATGTATGTACTTGACTTGCAGACGTGGCGACCCAATCCAGCGGGACGCTTTCCGACTGTCAACCACTCAACCTCACATCGCCAGATCGCGACATTTTTTATTTTATTTTTCCTTTTCTTGTTGGTTACAGTACAATCATCAACTGGCCGACGCCTCCTCTTGTCAGCTGTCGTCAATCCCCCTCCACTCACACCTCGCACCTGCTCTTCCCTGTGCTGCCGCCTCGACGTCGCCCTCTACCGCCTCTTGACTTGTCCAACGGCGGCAGCGCTTCCGTCGACTCTGCGCTCGGCAAGGATGCCGCTGCATTGGTACGCACATCGCAGCAAAGCTCCTCGTTGCCCCAGTTCTAGAAGCGCTGCCTCTCTCGCGCGCAACCCTGGCAGGGGACCGAAAAAGCCGACGCACCGAGCTCGGTTCCCCGGAGGCGCAGATGGCTGGCGCTCCACAGTGCATCCGGTTCAGCTGTGGGTTGCAGCTTGCAGGAGAGGACCGTTGTTGCCGATGACGAGAGCCGCTTGCATGCACATACTGTACATACAGCACAGTCAGGTAAGCATGGCTAGTCATTGACTCGTGTGCTATCTGCACGAGTCTACACACTGCATGCATGCAGGCGCAAGGTAGTGGAGGGAACAAAATCATAGCGCCAATCCAGTCCATCCACTCAGCTGGGATAACCTACGACCCTCTGCCTCGACGGCCTCGGCCGATGCAACATGATGGAAAACTCGTCTATACCTGGCCGGCGGAGCTCGGTCTGCTCGGGCACCAGAGACGCTGCTTGACCACTGCCGCGTCTCCCCTCCCTCCCTCTCTCCACGAACCTGGTCGCTGACTCACTCCGCTCTCGTCGCCTCCACCGGCATCCTCCTCCCGCCCGAGTCTCAGCGCCATACATGCACGTATCGATGTTCTCGCATGCACATGCTCCTTGCTTGCCTAGCTGAAAAGCGACTCGAGAAAGACCAGAGCACAAGAAACTGCGGCCTTCTTGGCACTCGAGCCCTTGTCCTCTTGTGTGCAGAAGAGCCGTATTCGGCCCTTGCATACGTCACTCTCAGCTGCCAACCATGGAACCTGCTCTCTCATGATAGATGCCCTCTGTACGGTGCTATCCTGGCATTGCCCACCCTCAGCACTTCAAGGAACCTGGCCGGCTCGAAATTCCAAAGGACTGGGTCCTTATCCTGCTTTGGGCCACTGGCCTGCTCTGCGGTTATTAAGGTGTCGTGCTGGCGACAGCCTCTCCACATCTTAGTCGTCAGGCCGGGCAACGTCGTCCCCTTATCCCCGGCCTTGGCTGGATCTATTGGGCGCTTTCTGAATCCGGCCTCGGCCTTGACCCTTTCCGAACGGCTGCCGTTGAGGACCCTGGATCTGAACATGTAGACATTTGAAACTTCGCGGTCCTGTCACTGCCTTCTTCTTTGCACCCCTAATCTCCACCCCTTACCCCCTCCCTTGTCCGTATTGTACTTTGCAGTCGCGCCCAGCTTCAAACTCTGCCGCCGTCGAGTGGGATATGCTATGATTCTGGAGCTTCTCGACGTTTGTCTCTGGCACCTCAGCCCCCCCCCCCCCTGGCCATACAAGCAAGGACGACAGAAAGACTTCTCCAACTTCCCCTCTTCTCCCTTTACTCTTGCTCCGTCTCCCGCGGTACCTTGAGCTTTGCGTCAAGCCCCTACGTGTGGGACTATTCGTCTGCTTTCCCACCTCCACCCGCCAAGGAGAGCCTACATACGGGCAGGCCTGAAGGCTAAATGTCGGCCCCCGCAGTGAGTGAAGAGAAATCCACCCGAGACCGTACAAGGGAGACGTCTTTTGCCTGACACAAGGCTCGTTACTCGCTCCCATGCTCCAGCAAAGGGACAACTTGGCCCGCATCCGAGATAACCAGAGGAGATCGCGCGCCCGGCGGAGAGAGTATGTCCATGAGCTCGAACAGCGGCTCAGGGTGTACGAGCTCCAGGGCGTCGAGGCCTCCACTGAAGTCCAGATGGCTGCGAGAAGAGTAGCAGAGGAGAACAGGCAGCTGCGGGAACTGCTCAACAGACACGGTGTTTGCGACGACCACATCGCCCATTACCTGCAGTCGGGCACTTTTGCACCCCTCGATGCCGAACAGAACCACCCGTTTCGCGCCGGTGACGCCGGAACGGCTGTACAGTCGCTGCACCATGTGATGCTGCCGCGACGGCTGACCGGCCTGGACCAAAGCATGCCGCTCCCTGTGCCGGGCCAGTCGAGCCGGGAGACTTCGACGGCCAGCGGGTCAACGACAAGCTCGTCCGTCTGGGAACCGTCGCAGCCGTCGATGGCTTCGTACGGCCACCAGCGTCACATGGGCATGTCGGCCGCAGTCATGGGCTCGGCCGTCCACGCCCAGTACCCCCCGAGCAACCTGCCCGGGGGTCACAACACGGGCCGGCAAGACGCCGTCTTCGGTGGGCAGGCGTCCCCCTCGATGCTCAACAGCCCCGGCCAGACGATGCCTACGACACAGGCCATGCAAGCTAGCCGTCCGCTCATGAACTTGCAATATTCGTTGCCGACTTACCCAGACTCGACGATGCCGCACTACGGCCCTCCGGGAAGCGGCTGCTGATACGAGCCGGCGGGGGCCACGGGGCGCGTGGCGGTGATGAGTTGAGCGCGGCGATAGGAAAGGCTGACTGGCGCTTTTGGGCTCACCGCAGCCCGCAGGTGCCGCGGCAGCAGGGCGGCTGAAAAGGTGGAATCGGAGAGACAGCCATGGCGGCGCCAACAAGGCATAGGAACCGGGCTTCGGCACCATGAACTGAGACTCGGCTCATCGACTCGCCTTGGAGGGACAAACCGAGCCCATGGACAAGACATGGAGGCTTGACGTCTAGTTCAAGCTATACGCTAGTGGATGCAGGGATGGCGGCTTCAACTGCTGAACGGCACCCCAGTTAACCTTTTTAAGGTTTCGATCTAGCTGCCCACGAACCACGCGGCAATCGGGGACTATGCGTGGGCTCCTTTGAATTTTGGCCCAGCCGCCGACCGAGTGGTTGCGGAGCCGGCACGGCGAGGGGGCCGGAAGTGCCTCGCCGTGTCCCGGCCGCCCTCGGGGACTGCAAAGCGGCCGCATCTCGGTGCTGCCGGCCGACGATGCGAGGAGCCATGGCCATGAGAAGGAAATCAAGACCAGGGCGTGGGCAAGTTTGAGGCCGGAAGCCTGACGCGGGACTTGGACGTCTGCAGCCGGTGCCTTTGTGCTTGCGTGTACATTCATGGCTGCTTTCTTCTTCTTCCTTGGTGACTCTTTTGTCGTTGTTGCTGGACAATGCTTGCCGACCTTTGCAAGCAAATGGTCTGTCGAATGGGCCAAGCTTTTACACTATGACTGAGACGCGGCAAACCATCGCCGCCGGGGGCTCGACAAAGGTTCTCTCAACGCAGCACAAAGCGACGAGATGCTGCCTTCGATTTTCAAAGACGGATGCGCATTCAACCCGGGCGTCTTTCAAAGCTACAAAGCAGGGGAAAGCGGTCTGGCATCACGACACTGGTTTACGCCACGAACGGGACTAATAAAAAGACAATCGTCTTGGCTTGGCCTGCCGCATCAAACGAAACGGTCGCCACACCAACCTGCGCCAAATCAACGCGGGACTCGGCGACGAAGCAGCTCTGAACAGCTCTCGGCACTCGCGGGCGAGTCAGACCCCGAATACGTATAACGGGATGACGAAGCGGAAGACAACCAATGACGGAGAGGAGCAGCATGCGCTGGAGCGGAGAACTGTTAAGAAGGCGAGGATTTATGTACCGGAATCCCGGTTGCCCTCGGCAGAGACGGCGGACGCTGGCGCTGCACGTTACGAGACGGGGACGAGACATGAACCCGGGCAGAGCCCTGGCCGCGAGGCTGGCGAAAAGCTCTCACCCTCCACGACTGGTAGCGCCCACCAATCGGGACAAAGTGTGGCGAGACAGCGAACTACGGGATCTACATCAGACAAGGATGATCGTCGCCACAGCCGCGGAGCTGAACGGCGGCTGGAGCCAACGAGCGTCGTCGCCGCAGATGCAGCCGTCGCTGGAGGTGATGGGCCTCGTGGCTCTGGCACCGGTGACGCCGGAGTTTCTCGTCCTGGATCGCCACGCCCTCCCAGCCAGAAGAGCCTCTCGCAGGGTAAGTCGGCTGCGCCTCCTAAGCGATTGGGGGAGCAGTCGGCTTGCAGGAGCGACGGCGACGTTGAGAAGGCGACGACCACATATGTGCGTGGGGGCGTAAACGAGGACGGAAAGGGGGCGAAAAAGAGAAATGGTGACTCGAAGGAGCAGACTCCACAGAGGCGTTGCAGGGTCGAGGCCTCGACGTCCGCTGCTGGCCGTCAACCAACCCCTGAACCCGGAGCACGCGGCCGGGCGAAACTTTACCCAACACCGGCGCCAGCCCGCCGGCTCTCTCCACTGGCCTTGCCGCAGGTCCCCAGTACGACTCCTCCGCCTCGGTCGGGCCTTTCGGCGGCACCTGCACAGATTTTAGATCCGGCAAAGGCTCCAGCTTCGACAAAGGCTTCACCCCCAGCAAGGGCTCTAACTCCAGCAGAGGCCTCACCCCCAGCAGAGGCACCACTACCAGCAAAGGCTTCAACAACAGCAACGGCACCGGCGCCACGACGACCCCAACCGCCTTCATCTGCCTTCGTATCCACATCACCACGGTCACGCCATCCCCCTCTTCCTTCTCCTGCTGCGAGGCCCCCTATCCCCGCTGAGAGCTGCGATAACCAGCCCTTCGATTGGCTCGAGCTCCTTCAAGCCACCGAGGCCTTCATGGTGCTCCAACAAATGGAACTGCGTAGCTTCGTCTTGATGGCGGACCTGAACGGTGTCCATGATCGCCTGCACCCGCTCATGACCAGGGAGGGCATGGAAGCCGCGCCTGCTCGTGCGGGCCGTTTCCGCCGCGCCGTCGTGGACAAGCACATTGAATTCTTCGGCCCCTTGCGCATCGATCATCTGTCCCTCGTGCTCGAGGTCATGAGGGAGAAGCTGGATGGGCTGTGGGAGGTTGGCCGCCGGGCTGTCAGGGAGCCCGAATGGATCGAGGAAAGATACGCGCGGCACGCCCGGTACGCCATGGTGTAGCGAGCACTCTGGGTCGCATATTTCCTTCTCCTCCGTCGTCTCACGATGTCTCGTCACCCATTTCCTCTTCCCTCCCCCCTCTCTTTCTCCCTCTCACCCACTCACTGTGTCTTTTGTCGCGCACATACACTCACACACTCTGTCACAGCCTCTCCAATTTCCCCTCTTTCACCGCCCCCCCCCCCTTTCCCGTGCGCGGCTTGTATCGCTGGTTGAGTCTCTTTCTTTCATGTTTGTGTATTTGTGCTAGAATTTTTTTTTTTTGGCTGGGGAGTATGGCTTAAGGGGCTTAGAAAAAGTATGGTGTAGACGAGCTGGCGCCGGGGGCAACCGTCGGCGGCATGAAATCGTAGATGCTTTCATGTCATATTTCTTGAACTTTTCTGTCCCTCATAAAAACGTATCCAGAGAATACATGTCTGGACATCTTTAGGCTGCGCAGCATGCTTGTAACCCTTGCCGTCTGCGAAATCGGCGAAAAGGAAGGGAAATGTATCCTTACTTTTTTGTTTAAGGAAAGGGGATAAGCCGGAAACTCCCGTGTCGTCAAGGCTCTGCCACCCGGTGAGCATTCTCTGCCATGTAAAGTCACCGGCTGAGTGCATAGTCACAGCAGGCTGGAAACAAGATCACAGGCCGCCAGCCCCGTGAATGGAACACGGAGATGAGGCACGACTTGAGGCCAACAGCCTCGTTCATCCACTCACGCTTCCCCCCCCGTTCTGCCTACGTCACCCGGCACCCACCACCGATACATGGACCCATACATACATACACGCCCGAGCCTCGCAACTACAAGAAGTAGTCGGCAACCGGCTTCTTAGCCGGCATCCCACGCGAGTCCTGGGGCGCCGCCTGGAAGACGCGGTAGCGTCTAGCGGGCCCATTGCGTGCCTCGACACCACCTCCCCCCAACCCCCCGCCGCCGCCGTCCGCCTCCACAAGGCCGCCGTCGCTGCGCCCGACTTCGCCGTTGCTACGGGCAAAGACGCCAGTGCCCGATTCGTCCTCGCACAGCTCCAGCACGGCGGCCACGTTGCCGCAGCGATAGCAGTAGTTGGGGGCGGACCAGACGGTGACAATAGACGCGTCAAACATCTCCTTGAAGCCCTCCATGACGAGCTGGTGGGCGCGGGCAATGAGGCTTAGGTCGTTGCGATGATTGAAGACCTTGACAATATCAGCGCCAAAGAGAAAGCCCGCTCCGCGAGGGGAAAGGCCCCAGCCGTCGATATCGTCGGGGTCTGACCACAGCAGGTCGCACATGGCGCCCTCGTGCGGCACCTCTTGCTTCCGGTCGATGAGCCGGATCTTATCCACCGAATCGATAAGCGGACTCAGCCCGCCGTGGACGCACAGCACTGCCCCCGCGGGGTTGCCCACGCTGCCGCCGCTGTCGCCCGACGCGCCGGAACCAGGCGGGCCCGTCTTGTCGCCAGTTCCGTTGGAGCTCGGGTTCGATGGGCTCGGGGCCTGGTCACGCATGTTGTCCATGAGCTGGTCGGCCTGGCGGGAGAAGCGGCTCATGACGGCGCCGTTCTGGTCGCACACCTCGATCTCGGTGTCGTCGTCGACGGGCATCTGACCGGGGGAGAGTGTGTTGGAGGCGCCGAGGACAATGGCGCCGAGGGCCAGGTAATCGAAGACGTCGCAGCAGTAGCGCCACACGTTGGCGCTGCCGTATTTGCGGACGCATTCGTCGTAGAAGCCGTAGACGGTCGTGATCTGGCGGGATTCGTGGTTGCCGCGGATTAGAGTCATGCGGTCGGGGTATCGTACTTTGAGGCAGAGGAGGAGGAGGAAGGATTCGAGCGAGTAGAAACCACGGTCGACAAAGTCGCCTGGTGGACGTGGGTTCCGTCAGCGAAGGCCTATACGTAGGAAGAGAATCGCGGGGGAGGGCGCGGGGGGCATACCCATGAAGAGATAGTTTGTGTCTGGGACGTCGCCGCCGACGCGAAAGAGCTCCATCAGGTCGTGGAACTGGCCGTGAATGTCGCCACATATCTGGAGTCGCAGTCAGCAAGACGCGGGATGCTGCAGGGTTATGAGAGGAGAGACGGACCGTGACTGGCGCCGTGACCGTCACCACGTTTCCTTCTTCAATCAGGAGCTCGCGGGCGCGATGGCAGAGTTCTCGGACTTGAGGCTCGGGGATGGGGCGGCATGCGCGCAGCTGGGCGATGGCCCTGCGGAAGCAACGTCAGCGTGCGAGGTAGACGACGAGCAGGAGGAGTCACAACCTGTCGAGATCGCTCATGCTGGGCCCGGGTCGATGACGGTCGCACCTGAGGCGCGGCGACCGCTTGCACTATGGTTTGCGTCGAGACGGGGTTTCATAACATGTTGCGAGGCTGGAAATGCTGTGGAGATGGCGCACGAGACGATGAGGCAGACTGTCGCTGTCCTGGTACGGCAGGGCAATTCTGGGTGCGAGGCGATGGGATATATGAAGTTTGGGCGGGACGAAAGGGGGTGCGGAGACGAAGAGATGAAGATGGCGGCTGCGAAGTTGGAAGCGAACTTATGGCGGCGGAAAGGCTGTGGCGATGAGGCACTCCTCCTCACTGCGACACCTTACCCATGCGAGTAGGGGGTACAGGAGAGACAGTACTGCGCTCAGGGACTGCAAGCGCTGTACCTTTTTATGCCGCGCGAGCTGGCCCGGGGCCTAAGTTTCTTATTTCGGAGCGCATGTGGAGTACCCTGGACCTAAGTCTTCTGTACATTTTGCGATCGGTGAGCGCCGCCGCGCAAGGAACAGGCAGGTGAGAAGGAACTGCACGGGAAAATCTGTTTCTCCGGCATCCCGCACCGTCTATTGCTGGCCAATGGGAGACCCTGGATATTACCAATCACGCGAATTGCATCGCAGCAACATCGCCAAAGAAGATTGCAAAAAGACACGCCCAACTCCAGCGCCAATCCATCTCTAGACACACCGGCGCAGCCCCTTGTCGCGGCCACGAAGAACATGTTGCCATTCTAATGTGAGGACTGGACTTCATGTCGGCGACAGGCTTGGCCTGCTAACCCGCCATTCGAGCCCGTGGCCTCGATAGCATAAAGCTCGAGCGAGGGGATCATGCCGCCGCACCTACACCCCAGGTCACGCATGACCTCCTCGCTCTTCGCAACCACTGTCCTCGCCAGCTTTTTTGTCGTCGCGTTGCCGCACATCCTGCCTTGCCCCGTGCCCCGGACAAAGTTTGCCGATGGAGAGGTGGTTGTCGACGACAACGGACGACGCAAGAGGTGGAGGAGGATTGAAGCTCCAGAATCGAAGAATGGCATTGTGCAGTTTGGTCAGCCCGCCGAAGATGACTCCTGCGACTCCACGGGACCAACGAGGAGAGAGTGTCCTGTGCCCAAGCCCGGCGGCATCTTGGGAGAATGGTTAGGGTTTCGGCCAAAGGATGACGAGACGGACAAAAGGGCTGATAGGTGACAGATATGGAGGGCTAGTCCAGAAATACATTTCTCCTCACTGACTGGTTTCAAGAAGACGACTGCGGCGGCGCACCATCCCGTGCAATGCGAGATGAATGGTATTGGTGTGTGCAAAGTATCGGATGCCCTCCCTCCCGATTATGCGTGGTAGGCAAGGCTTATGCAAACGAATCTCTGCGAGGATGCGGCGAATACACACTTGGAAATGTGCGTCATCGAGGCTCGCCATGGCAAGCATCTGGCGAGCACAGCGACCGCCAGCCTTGGCCGCTCACCCGCGGTTGCGCCACGATGGGCCGAGATGGGGTGCACACGGACTCCGCTTCCACGCCATTCGGTTCCGGGAAGAAGGCATCACGGGATCTGGAGAGGGCGCCGTCTCCTGCCATATCCGTCTCAGCGCCACTCAGCGACGGTCCCCCATTCCCTCGCTATTTTGGGCGCACTAATCCGAATATCAGACCTGCCAAGAAGCTTAAAAATTCAGAGTCGTTTCCCTCTTTGGCGGTGTCTGTGTGCTACCCGGACCTCTGGCTGGACGAAATCGAAGCCTTTGACAGGGCGGCTTCTGCGCAAACCGGACGATCGGACGTCGGAGACATGGCAGGGGTCCGGCGCCAGCGCCCCGCCATTCTGGACCCGGCTTATTAGCGTCTCGCCCCCATCACACGCCTTGGCGGGTGTCGTGCGACCGCCATATGCGACTCCTGCTATGCGACTCCTGCTATGCCTTCACGCCTCTTTTGCCTGATTCTGCATGTCCCGGTTGCCCATGGGCCCGACATCTGCCGTGTCGCAGAAGTCCCATTTCGAGAACCTCTACCGAAACCTCGTTGTGGAGAGTTCTCTCTCCTCCCCACCCCCTTCTTTGGCCTCGCCTCTCTCTGCCTTGGGCCGCTATTACGGGGCTGGGAAGGGGTCAGTCCGGTCTCATGGCCATGCTTGGTTCTGGCCTCGGTATGACGCTCGCTATCGGGGACAGAAGGCATCTGATCTGCGGTGTGTGAGTTCCAAGGCTCGCCATCCGTCGACTATATTATGCTGCCCTCGCGCCTCCCATGATGTCTATCTTGCCTCTACCTCTTCACCATTATTCTCTCTACCGACTTTCATTCCCCTCATCTCTTTCAATCCTTACAAGAGCTGTGCTCTTTTTTACTTTCCAATACGCTATTTCTTAATTTCTACCTCAAAACAATTCCTACCTCACCTCTACTCCCCTCGCAATCTACTTTCCTTTGCCAACCATCACAATGAAGTCTGCCTGTGTCCTCCTGTTCACCGCTGGCCTGGTGTCGGCCGCCACCGTCCCTGCTCAGCTGGCTGAGCGCGGCACGCAGATCCAGTCGCTGGCCGGACAGGGTGTTGCGTTCCGCCGAGCTGAAGCGCCGGCGGCACAGGCGTCTGTCGCTCAGGGCAAGAACGCTGAAGAGGAGAAGAAGAAGAAGAACGAGGCCGAGGGGGCCGAGAATGATGACAAGAAGAAGACCGGGGCCGAGGGGGCCGAGAATAGTGACAACAAGAAGGCCGAGAACCAGCAGGCTCAGAAGAACAAGGATAAGAACAAACAGGAGGAGCAGAAACAAAAGGAGCAGCAAAAAGGCAAAAAGGAGAACAACCGTGGGAACAACCAGCAGCTCAACCAGCAGCTGGCTGCCCAGATTAACCAGATGGCTCTGAATCTCAACCCGAACCTTGCCCAAGCCCTGTCCCTGAACAATGTCATCGCCATGAACGCCGCCCAGCAGGTGGCCCTTTTCGGGGCGCTCAACAACGTCGCCTTCGCGTCGGCGATCCCGGGTGTCAACAATCAAGTCCTGCTCGCCTCCTTGGGCAATGTCTTCACCATGAACAACATCGACCTGAACGCTCTGAACTTGCAAGGCGGCGTCGGCGGCATCGGCAACCTCAACATCGCCAGCTTTGGCGGCGGCGTCGTCAACGGTGTGGGTGCGTAACGAAATCGCCTGCTTAGCTCATGGAGCCAAATTTGACTGACAATGAGCAGCTGTGATCTAAGCTTGACGTTGATGTGCTCTGCAGTCGGAGGACCGAGAGGCGCAAGGGGACCGGCACGGGCAGCCGCAGGGGTTTCTCCCCCTTGCCTTCGCGGGATACGGCCGATGATGGCCGATGCTGAGGAGGGCGAGGACGGTATAGTGTCAATGAAGGCTAGCCCCGTTTCCCTGTGACGGAAAGAAGACGGGGACCATGTCGGTATCATCATGGCGTTTGAGGCATTGCTGAGGAAGGAACATGGGATTCGCACACATTCGATGGAACCCACACGCTCAGACAGATTCAGCTTCGTATCCAGTTCAATAACAACACATCATCCGCAGGGTGATGCATTTTCTGCAAACACGAAGCCCGGCGTGGGTTTGATGATGTGACGCGTATAGTCGCTGAACTGATTCCATCTCCTTTGGGGTATCCTAATTCGAATCGTAGCTTGTTTTGACCAAGAAGAGGCTTGGCTTTGGTGAGCGTTGTGAAGGGATAAGGCGAGGGCTTTACAAGTTGCTTATCCCTTCACTTGATGCACCTGAACCCGTGGCTACTGATGCCAAGATGAGGGGCAAAGAGAGCATGAAAAAGAGGAGAGGGGAAACATTGTTTCATTATCCAAGAGAATAGCCGAAGCGGTTTTCTGTCATGTTGGGGGAAGTGGCGTAGCGTGAAGGCACCACTAATTAACAACTATGCTTGGTTTGTAGTCGGCACATGACCTGGAAGAAAGGACCTCTCCAGCAAGGGTGGTTTTCCCCCAACGCTTCTCATCGACGTACAACAACACCCCTTGATCGTCAACGGCACCGAGTGCGGGATGCGACTGAGCGGGCGCGCAAGAAAATGATAGTCGCCATCAGCTGATCTAGCAGCAGACAGCATGCATCCCCTCGAGCAAATGTGCGGAGCGAATGACGCCATCCCGACTGGCCTTGCTTGTCCTGACTGCCGGGCCGCAAGCCCGAGGGCTCAGGGGTCAGCTTGGTCCAGCTTCCATCCGTCCCTCATCAGACAGGCTACAGGCCTCAAACACGTCTCGTGTCTGATTGCTGCCCCGGATTCTTTGCCCGACGGCCCAGTGCGTCATCTGTCCCCCCCCGGACCCCCCCGCTTCTGGTTGCTTCTGTGCGCTGGAAAACCGACTTCTTCTCGACTTCTTTGATGGCTTCTGGGGCGGGACGCGGGAATCCGTGCGCAAAGTCGAGGCCTTTTGCACACAGCTTTGGGGCGTCTGCTGCTGCCGAGCCTAAGCGTGGGCCATGGAGGGCCCGGGTTCTCCCGCCTCGTCTGCATCCCGCCGGGACGCTGTCTCCGAGAGCGATCAACCACAAAGCCGACGGACAGACGGACGGCCGACCATACTTTGATTTGCCATGCATGTCTGCCCGTCGGCGACCTTCCCCACGCTTAAGCAGGACAGACAGCCCCCGCCCCCCAGCAACAGCATCCCCGGCCGCCGCCCAGGTAATCCAAGCAAGCCCTGGCCAACACTGCGTGCGATGCCTCCTTCGTCTCATCTTGGACCTTGGCATTCGTTTGGCCAATGTCCATCCGCTTCCATGCCGGGCGTATCTATGCACTTCTGAATCCCCCACGAAGGCACGTCTAGCAGGATCGGCCATCCGGAGAGCATTGGCTGGACCACCCTCTGCGCGCTGCAGCGCCCAATCCGGGTATGGAAGCCCTTTCTGATGAAACGGGGTGCGCGCGGGCGGCGCCGTGTCCGTGGAAACGTGGTGTCTTGGGCTCTATGCGGAGCTTGAGCTGTGCGTCATGAGACGAAGGCAAAATGCATCATCTACCCGCCGAGGGCAGCCACGGGGTTGTATAAAGACGGCGTATCCGTTGAGAGATGCCCATTGGCGACGACACGCTCCCTGGAAACCACCAGCTGCCCATCCTCTCCCCTCCCCCATCTTCCCTTCTTCACGCAGAGGTATGTGGCCGTCTCGTCTCGTACAAAGCAAGAGGTGTGCTAATCTCTGGCCGTAGCTGTGCTCGACTCTTTGCTTCGTTCCTTGTGTCCGTTCTATTCGTGCCGAACATTGTCGAGCTGTGCTCCGTTGCGATCATTCTTAATCCCTCTTGTTTCATCATCGACGCCTCGGCTCTTTAATCTCGGTCGCCAATATGAAGATTTCTGCTCTCTTGACCGGCGCTTTTGCCGCTCTCGCCGTCGCCGTGCCCGCCCCAGCCCCGGCACCGGTGCCCAACTCGAGCAGCTCAGGGGCGCTTGAGGGGCGCGGAGCCTTTAACGCCAAGCCATTCAACAACCTCGTCTTCAACCAGAGGGACCTCAATTACCTGCTCAAGGTCAACTCGCTGAACCTCCAGACCTTTCAGGGCCTAGCCATCAACAACGGCCTCAACGTGGGCGCGTTCCAGACCTTGTTTGCGGGCAATGTCTTTGACGTCAGAGCGCTGCTGCAGTTTCAGCAGCTACAGACGCTCCTGGCCGTGGCCAACGTGGGCGTCTTCAACGGCGTAGACTTGTCCAGGGCCGCGTTCAACGTCATTGAGCTGGGCGCACTTGGAGGCGTGGGCGGCGTGGCGGCGTGGCGCTGAATTCGTTCATTGACGCCGGGCAGGTGGGCTTGATTCAGTCGGTGGCTAGTCAAGGTGAGTCGAAGACGTACCCGAGAAAGGTTTGATTTGGAAAGAGATGAAGCAAAGACTGACAGGCGACTTTGGAAGTCGTGGCGCCCGTCATTCTTTAGACATGCTTTGGGCATGAACTGCCCAAGGGCCCGGGCAAGCAGGCTGGCCGCGTCGCCGCTCCCAAGGACATGTGGAAAGATTGGATTGATGTGCCGTTGAGACGACCTGGTGTGCCCTAGATGCTGTGCCAATGCGTCGAGGTGGATCGGGCGATGGTGACTGCGGCTGCCAACAGGAGATGGCATGGAACCTGATGATGATTATTTTGCATTCTCTTTATAAATCATCATGTTCAATCCTGTCTCTTGTCGACGAGTGAGGAAAGACCCGGGAGAGGCTCGTTGGGCAATGCGTCGGTGACGAGGGAGCTTAACTTGCAGGTTGGCTGCACCAGGTACACACAGCACCACAGTACGAGCTGCTGCGACGAGTCAAGAGCCGGTGTGCATGCCGTCGTGTGTCGTACCAAGGAGAGGCCGGCTGAGAGGTGGCGGATGATGGGCAGGCGAGCTATCACACGTGAGGGGTCTTTTCTCTGCCGTCTCTCGGGTACAAGGATGTATCGTCTACCTTGAAGATTGCGCGCCGGTGGCCTTGGGAAGAAGTATCAAGGCCTGGGAACAAGGGGGGGAATAAATGCATTGGGGGCTGAACGGTGTGCAGCACAAGGGCACGGCAGGCAACGGCATACTGTAGACAGAGGCTGTCGTGCATGGGCTCATGTGCCGATGCATGCATGATGCAAAGCTGGGAGTGCCGGGGACGTGTCGTCTGTCTGTGCGAAGTACGAGGACGAGGTATAATTACCCAGCAAGGAAACTCGGGTGTGTGTCGAGGGCCCGGCCGGATTTGCAGGGCGGGATATGTGGGGAGATGGAGACGAGCTGGGGATTAAGTTAGCTAGCTATACGAACAAAGCACAGCGGATGTGCCCACTACCTACGGGAGTAATACCAGGTATATGGTTCGAGAGGGACAGACTGGCGCCGAGAGGGGAAATGGGGCACATGCCAGAACTGTTGCCGGCAGATGGCGGACCACGTACAGATGGGAAGCCTTGACAATGCCGCTGACATGCATGAGGAGAGCCACACTTGGGCACCCACAGAGCGCCCTTTGGCACCAAGTATACTGTACGTACGGATACAGTACATGCATATATGCCATGCCTGTGCCTTGCGGGAATTGTCAGATGTGTAAACGTAAAGAATCTAATGGTAGATGCTGCTGTTGTTGTTGTGTTGTTTAATATCCGCTCCTTTTACAATTCCAAGTGTGACGCCATGAGATATTTATAGATTATACTCTAAGTTACAGACTCGGTGCCAAAGTACGGAGGAACGGGGCTCAGGAGTGGATAGATGCATGAAACGTGCTGGGGGCCCGCAGCAGCACCTAAATCTCGGAGCTGGGCTTGGCTTTAGTCTGTGGTACGAGGTATTCGTACCTGCTAGTATTATACCTACTGTACCTACCTTGAGGTACGAAAGAAGCATCGGGTACTCGCGGGTACCGACTTACTACTAATTAATATGCTTCGTTCGGCCCGGGGTACGACAGATGGCACAGCAGTGTCGGGGGGGGGGGATGGCGACCAAGGATTTGACTACCAGTACCTAGTAGGCACCTGGGTAATAGGTGTGTATTCAGTGCGTGCTCTGTCTGTGCTTTGTACAGTACATACATACCTACCTTACTTACCTCGCGAGTTGATCCATCATGGCCTGGCTGGATTGGATATGTGCAATAGACTTGCCCCTCCCTGTAGGGCACGCAACTGCATTGGAAAGACATGCTGGAGCCGCCGACTCGCCAAACCAAAACCCTGCATGCAGCCGCCAACACGTCGTCTTGTTTGGACACAGCAAACAGCAGTGGTTCCCCGCACGCACGTATGTTTCGGCGCGTTGCCCCGGCTGAGGGAGCGGAGAGGCTCCGGTGCCGCTTGCACCCACGCCGACCACCTTGTCACCTTTGGCCTCCGCTTGTGTCTTAGACCACGGGCGCGAGAAATGTCTCAGTCGTCGTCGACCGCACGCGTCAACCCCGATTTTCCGTTTGCCGCGGTGCGCATATAGTTTGTCAAACTCGATGCCCTGTCCAGGGCCGGCGAGCTGTGCCTCGCTCCAGAGTCCACCGCCCGAGTGCGGAGTTCTACTAGAGTTGCATTCATCGACCACGTTCATGCGTTTGGGCCCGAGGTACATGCCCGGTACCTGGTCGCTCGCGTTGCCCGCCCGCCGCCGGCAGAGTACCGACGAGGATTCCTTTCCTGTTCCTGGCACCGCCTCCGCCCTAGGTTCGCCCCTGAGCTAATCAACAAGATGGATGGGCCATGATGCCATCACACATGCCGTCTTCATCCCTCTCTCCATTGCTCTTCCCCCCTTTCGCTGACTTGGGGTCTCCTTCCGTGAGAACAGATGCTGTCTCCTTCCGAGACAGAGCAGCTCTTTCCTTTTCTCTCGTGTCCCACCCCCGTCCATCCACCCATCCATTCATCATCATTCAAGGAAAGCAGGACCCCTTTTTTCTCCATCAACCAACACTTCACTCGCTTCCTTCCCTGCAAGCCCCCCCCCGGTACCGCCACTGCACCTGCTCTCTCTCTCTCTCTCTCTCTCGTGTTCGCGCTCGCTTGCATATGTACAAGCGGGACTATGTAACTTGTACATGCATACACCGCCTCCTACCATTTCCCTCCTTTTTCTTCCTCTTGCCCTCCTCTCGACTCTCATTCTTCAACTCTCCTCTCTCTCTCTTCCATTCTCTCTCCCCTCTTCAACCTCCGTCAGAGTCCGTGTCAGTCGTTTCCCACCCTCGTCATCCCTTGACCACCTCCCTTTCCGACCACGTTTTCTCGCCGGGCCCCTGCGCATCGTGATCCGATCGGCGGCCCGTGTCTGAGCCTTAATACGCCATAACCAGCCAATTCCCGGCCGCTCGCGCCTGCTAATATCCCCGAGGCCCTTAAAGCTTCACTCCTGTCCACCAAGGACCAAAGAAAACAGCCACGATCTTCCAAGCCGCAAAACGCCAAAACATGGTCCAGGACCCTCCCCGCTGTCGATTGAGGTCTCCAGGAAGCCTTGCACGAGCACCCAGGCAAGATGCAGCGACCCAACAAGCCCCAGGCCATTGCTCTCGCCAGCCACCACAGCGCTAAGCTCCACGACGACAACGACGACGACGATCAGGCCTCGAGCTTCAAATACCTGACCTATCGCCCTCTTTCCAACCTTCCCACTCCCCCCCCAACCTACAAGGAGACCACCGCCGCCGCCGCCGCCGGCTCTCCCCCGACGCCTACGACTCTTGAGGATGGCGAGCCGCTCCAGGCCCGCTTCCTAGGTACGCTAGCTGCTTTCCCTGTATCGAGCCCAATGCCTTCAGTTACTGGATCCCTAACCCCATGCTGCAGGCCCCGCCATTCACCTCGTCAACCTCATTCCGTCTTCGGCATCCCTCGCCACCGCTTCCGTCACCCTCGTCCAGGGCATGCTCTCCCGCGCCGATCTCCCCCTCGAGACCGTTGCCCTCGCCGTGTGCGTCCTTGACAGCCTCGACTCCAAGTTTGCTCGCGCCTGGCGCCTCTGCTGCCCTCTGCTCCCCAGCGCCGTCGGTGCCGTCCCCTCGTTGTCGAAGCGCCACACCCTCTCCACGTCCCTGCTCTATCAAGCCCAGCAGCAGCAGATGCTACACATCGACTCGGTCAAGCCTGAACTTATCATTCTCGCCGCCCTCGTCATCGCCGTCAAGTTCACCCAAGACCCCCAGCAGCCCACGCAGTTTTACTGCCTCGACTGGGGCAAGGCCGTATGGTCCCACCGCCAGCTCAATGCCACGGAGCGGTGCATCATGGAATCGCTCAACTACAGGATCATGCCCCTGTGCGACGAAGACTACCTCGCCGACGCCATGGTGGACATGCAGCTCGCCGCCCAGCAGAGGGACGCCGAGCTCCGCGAGCAGACGCCTCCCGTGAGCGTTTCCAGCAGTGACGATGACGCCTTTGTGCCCGGCCATAGCCGCTCCAAGACGGCCGTCCCCAGCGTAATGGCGTTGGGGCCGCGGCTCCCGCCCAACCTAGTGGCATCTCCCGTTCCCGACATGTGACGGAAGGAATCATTTGGTCAAGATGCGGCCAGCTCTTTCCTTGGGAGGTTGGGATGATACCGCTGTGTGGCACTGTCGCGTTGTGCGCTCCCCCTTTTGGCTTTATTTCAAGTCGGCCCAACTTGACTCGCATTGGCACGGCGTTTGGGTACACAGTTTCTGGGAGTTCTGCTCACATAATACTCGGCACGAAAAATGAGACTGCCTGGGCAGCGAGACTTTTTATATGTGCTATCTCTGGGAGGGCTCAACCATGGAAACTTGGCCGATTTTATTTTGTACGTAATATACTGATGCGTCGATACCGGCCGTTGGCATTGGATACCTTTTACTTGAATTAGTGACGATGTCCCTAATGATGTCGAGTGCATGAGGGTTTTGCGGTATTACATGCTCATGCGTGGCATGTACATGACACTTACCCAGCACAAAGAGCTCATTTCCGAGGCGCTAGGAGGGGGGCGCAGCCAAGGACACGAGAGCAATCTTTCATCTCAACGTTGCTGTGAATGCGCGAGGCCTCGATTGTTGGACGTGTCTGTGTCTCCGACGCATACCCGGGGTCACGGACTCAGCCGACTCAACTCCCAGCGACCCTCAGCACCGTCTTTGGCGTCGTGCCACTGATAGACGAAGCGGTCATGGAGACGACTGTCCCTACCCTGCCAAAACTCGACCAAGGTGGGCACGATTCTCAGGCCGCCCCAGAAGTCGGGGACGGGGATGTGGTCCTGGCCCTCGAAGCGCTTCTCGGCCTCGGCAACCCATTCGTCGAGCTGAGCGCGGCCATCGTCGTCGCCGTCGCCCCGGGGCTCAAGGACCTGGCTCTGCCGACTGGCCCAAGCGCCGATCCTGCTGCCGCGCACGCGGGTATCAAAGTAAGCCTGAGAGCGGTCGCGGTCGCAGCGGGCGGCGACGCCCTCGACGCGGACCTGGCGCTGGAGCGGGGGCCAGTAGAAGACGAGGGCGGCGTGCGGGTTGGAGGCGAGGTCGGCGGCCTTGCGCGAGGAGCCGAGGTTGGAGTAGACGACGAAGCCGCCGCCGGCGTCGAGCTCCTTGAGGTAGACGACGCGCGACGAGACGCGGCCCGAGGGCAGGGCGGCCGTGGACAGGGTGCAGGCCTCGGGCTGGGGGATCGCGTCGCCGCTGGCCTGGGCGGCGGCGAACCAGGTGTGGAACTGGGCCGCGGGCGAGGTCGGGTCCAGGGCGTGGCGCGAGAGGGTCGAGCGGGTGAATTGGGCGGCTTGGCCGTGGGGGTTGGGGCCTGCGGGTGCGTCTGCGGGGTTGCACATTTGTCGCCGTCAGCTTTGGGGGTTTGGTGACGACGGGGGAGGCCGGGGGGTTGGAGGCGGAAGCGCACATATGAGCTTTTCCGGGGACGCCGGCGCCGGCGGCGAAGGAGGAGTGGTGGACGGGGCAGACGCCTGGGCAGCGGCTGCGGCGGGCGGGTCATTATACAGCGCCATCCTGGCGGCGGCGGTTCGCTGGAAGAGGCGGGCGGCGGCCGTCGTCGGGCGCATTGACGTGGTGTGGGTGAGGACCGGGATCTCGGGTGTGACGGGATCTCGAGCTGCGGCGATGCAGAAGCGAGCAGTGAGGGTGGAGGACCAGAAAAAAAGGCCGCGCGCGGCGAGAGAAAGAGGGCTGGCCGACGTTGGCTTGGCGGTGTAAGCTATGTACGCATGTATTACGTAGGCGGGGCCGATGCGGGGGCAGGCCCGGTCCCCGTGCCCGTTGGAGAGAGTGCGTGCCGAGGCGGCGTTTCGCCGGCCGACTACTCAATAAAGTGGACGAATGCTCGGTGGTACAGTAACGTTGTTTTACTTGTTGCCCAGATGCAATAGACACGAGAGACGCTGACGAGACCCAGCTCACAAGACTCGTACACTTTGTAAAATACTCTGCATATATCAAGACTCGGTTCATCATGGACACATCGTCTTGACGTCACCAACCACCACAGCAACGCGCCTGCAAAACCACCAAAAGCAAATTACAACTTATTTAGCCGCAGCCGTCTCCAGACCACGGCCCTTGTTACGCCCTCTATTACCACAAACCACAAACCAGAAACCAGCCGGCCACGCTTGGGGCAGCCTCGGCGGAACACGACGACAGCCTACTTTTTCTTTCAATCACAATTCTATCGACAATGGAGCCTCACATCTATCTATCCGGTCCCTTCCCATTCGTTGAACAGTCTCGCCATTCAAACGTCTCCGCCGATCCCATCTACAGCGGAGCCATGACGAGTGCAAGCAGCGCCATCCTGCAATAGAGTCCGTATCGCATCTGCATCGCCTCACCGTTAGCCCACACCGTCTCGAGAAGACGGCCCCGGCGTCACGGTACAAAGGGCACTTACCTGTCTAAAGTATGCCGCGCGCTGGTCAAAGTCCACCTCGTCCGCCACCTCCTCGTTCCGCGGCAGCGGGTGCATCACCACCATGGAGCTCTTGGCGTGCTTGAGGGCCGCATTGTCCACCCGGTACGAGTCCTTGACCTTGTCGTATTGCTCCGCGCTGCTGAACCGCTCCTGTTGCACCCGCGTGCAGTAGAGCACGTCGCTGCGCGCGATAATCTCGGGCGTCAGCGTCTCCGACTCGCACAGCAGCTTGCCCGAGGCCTCCAGCGTCTCCCTGACCCCGTCCGGCAGCGCCAGCCCCCCGGGCGCCACCAGCTGCACTTGCACCTGGTAGTGCCGCAGGAGGTGCACCAGCGAGTGCACCGTCCGTCCGTGCAGCAGGTCTCCCAGGAAGGTAATCGTCAGGCCCTGCACCGTTCCGAGCTCCTCGCGGATGGTAAACAGGTCCAGGAAGGCCTGCGTCGGGTGCTCCTTGCTGCCGTTGCCGCCGTTGATGACGGGCACGTCGCTGTATTTCTCCGCCACGTCGACCGAACACTCGTCGGGGTGACGCAGCACAATGGCGTCGCCGTAGCACGCGAGTGTGCGCAGGGTATCCTGCAGCGTCTCGCCCTTTTGCACAGACGAGTGCGACGTGGACACGGCAACCGTCCGCCCGCCGAGGCGCTGCATCGCCGCGTCAAACGACGCCGACGTCCTCGTCGACGGCTCGTAAAAGAGCGTGCACAACACCTTGCCGCGCAGCAGGTTCAGCACGCCCTCGCGCTGCACCCCGAGGCGCATCTCCTGCGCCACGGTGAAGAGCAGGTGCAGATCCGCTCTCGTGTACTGCTTGACCGATAACACGTGCGCCTTTTTGAAGCACGACGGCTGCGAGAGGAGTTGCAAGACGGACGCGCTGATGGACGACGGCTGCAGCAGCGACAGCTCGTCGGCGATGCCGTGGCCGACGACCGCTCCTGCGGCAGCTGGCCCGTCCCGCGTCACGGGTCGCCTCGGGCTGTCGGCGGCCGGCATGACCGTGGCCCCCATCTCTGGTGTCTTGGCCATCTGCATCGGCTTCGGCGCCGCGGGCTCCTGCGTGATCTGGTAGTCTCGCTTGGAAACGTCGAGGTAGACGTGCCGCGCGATGGCCTCGATCAGAATCTTGGCGTTCTTGACATTGGTCACGAGCGGGATCTGGTAGTCGACGGCCATGCGGCGCGTCTGGTAGCCCTTGCTCATGTAGTTGGCCGGCCGCCGGTACTTGTTGTTGGAGGGCAGGTTGATGTACAGGTCGATGGTGTTCTTGGCAAGGTGCTGCGTGAGCGAAAACTCCGAGTTCATGTCCTCGTCGCGCCCGAGCACCTCGAGGAACTGCACCTGCACCCCGTGCTCCTGCAAAAAGTCTGCGGTGCCGGCCGTCGCAAACAGCTTGTAGCCGATTCGCTGGAGCTTCTGCACTGCCGGCAGCATCTCCTTCTTGTCCTTGTATGAGCCAATGGAAAGGAGCACGTTTGCCTTTGGGATCTTGAATCCTGTCGACAGCAGCGCCTTGAGATAGGCCTCTTCCTTGTCCACGCCGAAGCAGGCCACCTCGCCCGTCGACGCCATCTCCACGCCCAACACGGGGTCGGCCCCGGAGAGACGCGAGAAGCTAAACTGCGGCACCTTGACGCCCACGCAGTCGGGGCTGAGGGTCGGCGTGGGGTATTCGACAAAGGGCTGGCCCGTGATGGCCTTTGTGGCCATCTCAATCAGGTCCACGCCCATGACCTTGGACACAAAGGGGAACGAGCGGGAGGCGCGGACGTTGCACTCAATCACCTTAATGTCGTTATCTTTGGCAATGAACTGGATGTTAAAGGGGCCCGTGACGTTGAGGGCCGCACCAATCTTGCGCGTGGCTTCCTCGATGCGCGCGATGGTGGTCGCCTCCAGGTCCTGGGGAGGCAGGATGAGGGTCGCGTCGCCCGAGTGGACGCCGGCGTTTTCCACGTGCTCCGAGACAAAGTGGCCCACGACGATACCGTCCTTGGCGACGGCGTCCATCTCAATCTCCTTGGCGTTCTCAATGTACTTGGAGATGACGACGGGGTGCTCACGCGAGACGTCGGCGGCCTGGGCCAGGTAGTTGACCAAGTCCTTCTCCGAGTAGACCGTGTTCATGGCGGCGCCGGACAGCACGTACGACGGTCGGACGAGCACCGGGTAGCCGACCGTCTTGCAAAAGTCCCGGGCCTCGTCGAAGCTGGTGAGTTCCTTCCAGGTCGGCTGGTCGACCTCGATGCGGTCTAGCATGCGCGAGAACTTGTACCGATTCTCGGCCATGTCGATCATCTCGGGCGACGTGCCCAAGATCTTGACGCCGGCGCGGTGCAGGGGCAGCGCAATGTTGTTGGGCGTCTGCCCGCCCATTGCGCCCAGGACGCCGCCGGCACTCTCCAGCTGGTAAATGTCCAGCACCGTCTCGAGGTTGATGTTTTCAAAGTAGAGCTTGTCGGCCTCGTCGTAATCTGTGCTTACCGTCTCCGGATTGTAGTTAACCATGACGGTCTTGAAGCCCGTCTTGCGAAGTGTTCGGATGGCGCGGACCGAGCACCAGTCGAACTCGACCGAGGAGCCGATGCGATAGACGCCGGACCCGAGCACCATGATGCCGTGATCGTTGAAGTCGACGTCGTGCTCGTTGGCGTTGTAAGTCAGGTAGAGATAGTTTGTAAACGCGGGAAACTCGGCGGCGACCGTGTCAATCTGCTTCACAAACGGCTTGATGCCGGCCTCCAACCTCAGCCTTCGGACGGCGATTTCATTCGAGTCCCAAAACTTGGCCAGCTGCCGGTCGCAGAAGCCGAGCCTCTTGGCCTGCAACATGACCTCGGGTGATTTGGCAATGTCCCGAGTGGTGTACCTGGCCATGTCCTTGGCAAAGTCGCTGAGGCTCTGGAGCTTGCGCAAGAACCACTTGTCGATCTTGGTCATTTCCCAGATCTTGTCGACCGAGTAGCCCTCGTGCATGGCGTTGGCAATGGCGAAGAGACGCTGGTCCGAGGGCGTCTGAAGCTCGTCGTCGATGCTCATCAAAGCTTTGGTCTGCCCGAAGCCGAGGTTGTGGAAGTCGATGGCGCGGATGGCCTTTTGGATCGCTTCCTCAAACGACCGGCCGATGCTCATGACCTCGCCGACGCTCTTCATGGAGGAGCCAAGCTGCGTCGAAACCCGCGTGAACTTGTTAAGATCCCAGCGAGGCATCTTGACCACGACGTAATCGAGCGAGGGCTCAAAGCACGCGCAAGTGACCTTTGTCACCGAGTTAGAGACCTCCTTGAGAGGGATCCCGAGGCCAAGCTTGGCGGCTATGAACGCCAGCGGATAGCCGGTGGCCTTGGAAGCCAGGGCCGACGATCTCGACAAACGGGCGTTGACCTCGATGATGCAATACTCTCTGGAGAAGGGGTTGAGAGCATATTGGATGTTGCACTCGCCCACGACGCCGAGATGCCGAATGACACTGACGGCCGTGGTCCGCAGCATGTTGTAATCCTCGTCGGACAGCGTTTGCGAGGGCGCGACGACGATGGAGTCGCCCGTGTGGATGCCGAGCGGGTCAAAGTTTTCCATGTTGCAGACGGTGATGCAGTTGTCCTGCGCGTCGCGGACGACCTCGTACTCAATCTCCTTCCAGCCCTTCATGCTGCGCTCAATCAGGACCTGCGGGCTCGCCGCAAAGGCCTTGTCGCAGAGATCGAGCAGCTCCTTTTCATTGTTGGCGAAGCCGCTCCCCAGGCCGCCCAGGGCGTAGGCGGCACGCACGATGACGGGGAAGCCAATGTCTTTGACTGCCTGCATGGCCTCGTCGACACTGTTGGCAGATGCAGACTTGGCGCACTTTTCGCCGATGGATTCCATGCTCCGCGCAAACAGCTCACGGTCCTCGGTGGTGATGATGGTGTCGATGGGGGTTCCCAGGACCTTGACGCCGAGACCCTCAAACTCGTCCTTGAGCTCGATGCCGACCTGCAGGGCAGTCTGGCCACCAAATGTAACGTAGATGGCATCGGGGCGCTCATAGTGGATGACCTTGCGGACGAATTCGGCGTTGACAGGGAGGAAGTAGACTTTGTCCGCCAGGCCCTTGGACGTCTGGATGGTGGCAATGTTGGGGTTGATGAGAACGGTGTAGATGCCCTCCTCCTTGAGGGCCTTGATGGCCTGGCTGCCGGAGTAGTCAAACTCGCCGGCCTGCCCGATGCTGAGACCACCGCTGCCGAGCACCAGGACCTTCTTGACCGACACCCGCGGGTGGAACCTCTCGTTCTCCTCGACGGTGCCGCCGGGGAAGCTGACGGGCTGCTGGAGCAGAGCAGGCTTCTCGGCGCAGCCGGCAACGGTGTCGATGAAGACGTCAAAGAGAAACTCGGTGTCTCGTGGGCCGGGGGTGCTCTCGGGGTGGAACTGGACGCTAAAGTAGGGCCGGTCGACGTGCATAATGCCCTCGTTGCTACCATCGTTGGCGTTGACAAAGAGCTCCGTCCAGCCCGCAGGCAGGGAGCTGGCATTGACAGCGTATCCGTGGTTCTGCGAGGTGATGTGGCACTTTCCAGTGACCATGCTGGTGCAGGGAATGTTGTGGCCTCGGTTGCCAAACTTCATCTTTGTTGTCTTTGCGCCAGAGGCTCTGGCCAGCAGCTGGTGGCCCAGGCAGATACCGAAGACGGGGGTCTTGTTCTTGTCCATGGCAGCGCGGATGTTGTTGATGGTGACGTCGAGGACGGCGGGGTCGCCGGGGCCGTTGGAGATGAAGAGGCCGTCGTACTGATCGCCGGCCTCCTTTGCGAGATCGTGGTCCCAGGGGCAGACTAGGACCTCGACGCCGCGCCGGAGGAAGCATCGCAGCTGGTTGTACTTCATGCCGACATCGACGCAGAGGATGCGGATACTTCGGCCGGAGGGGTGTCTGCGGGCAGTGACGGAGGGGGGCGGCTTGTACAGCATGGGGGTCTTGACCGAAACTGGACTTGGGTGAGTACGTCTCTTGGAAAACGGGGAGGAGCTGCGGCAGCAGGGAGAACGGACCGGAGGCCACGAGATTCTGCTCGTTGGGGTTTGTCCAAGGTATCTCGGCAAAGTGGTCGACGGGGGTGCTGGCCAGGGCATTGGGGCCGCGACCGAGGGCCTTGACGGCGGTGGTGGGCGGCGAGTCGTTGCGGAGCCTCATTCTGCCAAGCATGCTGCCCTGCTTGCGGATCTTCTTGGTCAGGGCTCTGGTGTCGATGCCATAGACGGCGGGGACGCCCTGCTCCTTGAGCCAGGCGCCGAGGGAGGAGTGGGCGAGGAAGTGGGAAAAGTCGTCGCCGCAATACGAGGCGACGACGAGGCCGGCGACGTGGATGCGGGACGACTCGAAGTGGGCGGGCAGGTCGCGGCAGAGGTCGTCGAGGGCGTCGCGCGAGGGGACGCCGTAGTTGCCGACGAGGGGGAAGGTGATGACGAGGATCTGGCCCGAGTACGAGGGGTCCGTCAGCGACTCCGGGTAGCCGACCAGGCCCGTCTGGAAGACCAGCTCCCCGGCGATGCTCTTTTGCGCGCCGAAGCTGTAGCCTTGGTAGGCCGAGCCGTCCTCGAGCTCGAGGCAGACGAGGCCTTGGTCGGCGACGCTCGCCATGCGCGCCGACGCGGGCGGCAGCGCCGTGACGGCCATGTTTGACGGGCGTTTAGGCGTGGTTGCTGGTTTCCTTGTCGCTTCCTGGTTGCGCGTTCGATCCTTTGGCGCTCCCTCTTCCCTTTGGAACGAGGGGAAAAGAGGAAGAAGAAAAAAAAGAGGGTGCGCGGGGCAGACGAGGCCGACGACGAGTTTTGCTCTCCAGGCCAGCAACAGGGATGGATGGACGCCTTTTGCCCCGCCGCAATCGTCCGCCGCGCTTGCTGGACGGTTTGCTTCGCTTTCTTCTTCGTCGTGCAGAGGCAGACGGGGAGGTGAAACCGAGGCGAGGCAGCAGACCCAGTGCTGAGAAGCAAGCGACGAGGGAAAACCAACTTTTCCCTCCTAGTCGCTCGCTAACTTTCCCTTTTTGGCTGCCGCCCAAGAAGTCAAGGACCCTAGTCGCAGAATACCGAGCCTCATTGGCCAATGGCCGTCTGGAAGGGCGGTCGGTTTCCAGCGGCTAAGCCTAGAGCAGCGGCCCTACAGGCTGGCTGTACAGGACGATTAAAGGGGGGTCATGGCACCGAGGTAGGGCTTCTGTTGCTCCTCCATTGACACACATACAGGACGCTCTCCTCCCTTGCTCAGCTATTCAATCGTACACACATGGCTCACTACATTGCCGCTTCATGCCGCCCTTCTTTATCCCTTCCTCCTTCTCTATGCTCGTCGTCGTCCCGCGGAGAAAACCGCTCATCACGACGCCCACGCTTTTCTGTAATCCTTGGCCCAAACATTCCCATCATCGTACAATACACAGCCTCCCCATTCCCTCTCTCTTTGCTTCTCGGCCAACCTCCAATGCAGATCAAACGCGACGCCATCGCATATCGGTAGCAGCGTCCGCAAAGCAAGCCCGTGGTGAGCCTGAATCAACAAGCCGTAGTCTGCGCAGCCTTTCTATGCAATATCCCAACAGTCATGTGCGCCGCTCCTTCATCTCGAATTCGTCGCTCGCTCACTCGCTCGCTCGGAAATGTCACATGCCGCCTAGATGGGGCGGCGGCGCCGGCATGTTGGGCATCTGAGGAGCCTGCTGCACCGTCGGGCTGATCTGGTTCGGCCCTCCAAGCGAGCCGGGCTTCTGGCCTGCCCCCAACCTCCCAAACGCCGGCTCCTTCTTGGCATCAAAGCCGGGGAAGACGCCCTGAAGCCGGCGATACAGCTCTCGAATCGACTTGTCTCGCTCCGCCCTGTCCGCCATCGAGTCCACGTTGACGTCTGTGCCCTCGGCGCCGATCGGCTGCGCCCGCGGTCTGAGAGTGAGGTTCAGCGGAGGGGGGGTCAGGTAGGCCGGGCACGGAGGGGCCTTGACATCCGGTTTGCGATCCGCCAAGGCCGCCATGTAGGAGAGATTGGCCTGCAGCCGCCGCATGCACCTATAAGAGAGCCCCGTCGTCAGCACGTCTGTGCGCCGTCAAGCGACGCGCCCCTCTGTAAACGTACTGAAGATAGTCCTGTTGGAACAGGTTTTCCTCCTCGGTCGGCTTTCTCTCGGCCGGGTTCCCGCCCGCGGCAGCATGCTCCTTCTTGAGCTCCTGCTGCGTCGTCTGTATCTGTATTGACTCGTACAGCAGCTCATGATTGATGTCCAGCAGCAGTGCGAACCGCTCCTTTTCCCGAGATTCCGCCGCCGGGCTCATCGGCGCGACCGAGGGGGGCAGGCTCACGCCGCCGCCGTGGTTCACGGAAAAGGTCGGCGTCTGCGGAGTGGCCGCACCCCCCGAGTGCTGCTGGGGGCCACTGCTGGGGGTCAAGTTCTGCGGCGGGGGCTGCGGTGTAGAGAACTGGCCTTGCTGGCCGGCCATGGGGTTGTTCGGGGTGCCATGGGGCGCGCTCGGGGGTCGCTGCGGAGTCGAAGCCGGATTCATGGCGGGATTCGCTTGCTGTGCCTGGGCTTGAGCCTGGGCCTGTGCCTGAGCCTGAGCTTGTGCCTGGGCCTGTGCTTGGGCTTGTGCCTGGGCCTGGGCCTGGGCCTGAGCTTGCGCCTGGGCTTGCGCCTGCTGCATGCGCTGCATCATATGGGCTTGTTGCTGGGGCATGCCGCCCTGGTTCATGGGGAAGCCCTGCATGCCGCCGGCCATCATGTAATTGTTGGAGGCGAAGTTTTGGTGACCGACCGACTGCGGCATCATCTGGCCGTAGGGACCCCCGGGAAACTGCTGTGGGTAGCCAGACACTGTAGCGGCAATTGGTCAGCAGCGTGCCCTTGGCGATGGCGGACGTACGGCGAGCTCCCTGTTTCCTGTCGATGAGGAAGCGGCGCACGGCAAGCAGGCATCGCGGGAAACGGGGAGGGAGGAGACGGGGGCCACTCACTCTGGCCATTGGCAGCCATGTTGGGCATGCCCGGGCTCTGCATCATGCTCGCAGGCATGCCCTGCATAATCTGGGGATTGGTCCCCGGGTTGAAGCCGCCCTGGGGAGCGATGCCGGCGTACTGCTGCTGCTGTTGCTGCTGCTGTTGCTGCTGCTGTTGCTGCTGGTGCTGCTGCTGGTTGTACATCATCTGCTGCCCAGGCTGCGGCCCGGAAGGCGGGCGAGACTGGGGCTGAGGATGTGGCTGCTGATGCTGCTGATGCTGATGCTGCTGGTGTTGCTGCTGCTGCTGGTGTTGCTGCTGCTGCTGGTGTTGCTGCTGCTGCTGGTGTTGCTGCTGCTGCTGATGTTGATGCGGCTGTTGCTGCTGCTGTTGGGATGCCGCGGGATTAAAGGGCGGATTGCCAAACCCATAATTGGCGGAGTACATGGTCGCCTTGGGGACTGGAGGCGAAGCGACACGACGCGGCGGCAAACGAAGCACGCGGCTCGTCGGATCGGGGTAGGGGGGGGGGGAGGACGAGGTGTTGGGCGGGAGCCTCTCTGTCGACGATTAGGCGCGAGCGCGGGGGGCGGCGAGTGCGAGGTCAGCCCAGGTGGCGCTCGGTGGTGCGCACTCTGGGGAAGCGAGGCTGTCACTCGTGCGACGACGACAACACGGCCGGGATGCGGGTTTGTGCGCGTGTGTGCGTGTGCTGCTTGCTGGTCGGCTTCTCTGGCTCGCCTATGTCGGGGGTGGGCCCCCAGCGAGGCGGTCCAGGGCAAACAGCTCGTCAGGCAACACAAGGCCCACGCTCGAGCTGCCAGTCTTGGTCGAATTCTTCTCTCGCGCGCGCGCGTCGCTTGGGGCGAGAGGGGGTTAACCGTGACGAGGGGAGAGCGAGGACGAGGTTGGGTTGCTGCGATGTGGCGCGAAGCCGTCGTTTCTGCCGCGAACGATGGGCAGGGAAAAAAGCTCGCGCGCCCGACGACGCCGCTGTGGGAGCCTTGGCGGTCGGTCGGCAGGTGACGGGCTGGTAGCGCGCGAGTTTCTCGTCCCGGCCGAGCGCGCGCAAAGAAAGGGCAGTGAGTGAGTGAGTCGAGGATTGGGCTTTTGCTGAGCGAGGGAGTCGCAGAGGGAAAATCAGCGTTGCTAGATGGCTCCTGCGGCGAGGTACTTGTAGTTGGTGCGGTGAATCGACGTTGGCCCATGTACCCCGGCTACTGTTGGTCGACTGGGCGGGGCAGAGAGCGAACATTAAATGCGGCATCAGACAGATGCACATGGACAAGAGATGGCTATGCACTTGGTCGGTGAATTATTGTTCTATTATTTCGTGGTATTTGAAAGAGAAGAGGGTCCATTCTCTTGATGCATGTGCACTGAATGGATGGGCAAATCGCTAGTCGAGTGTACGAGCTGAGGGCCGCGGTTGCATCGACGCCGGGCAGAGCGCGCAAAACAAGAGACAAGGCCGTTCGGACTGCGACAGTAATAACTCTCCAGTGCAGACATGTGTTCGGCAAATAAGGGAGACATTGGGAGGACCCATGCCAGCTGGTCGGCGCTACCAAGAGGGGCGACATTCGTTCGCGCTGGGAGACGGGTCGAGTGGCTCAACGGGCACATGCAGCGCTTACATGCCGCCGGAAATCTGAACTCCGAACTCGCAGTCCGTCGTCGTCGGCTGCCGGATATGCGCCATCGTTTCTGGCTCGACGTCCACGTGTAATTCAGACGCTGCCGGGGTAAAGCACGCATCAGATGTCGAGAATTGGCCCATCGCAGTGACTGCGAGGCGCGGCGTGTGTATACATAGACACACATGCACATGTGTATAGCCCGCTCTCCGTGCATCGTGAGCCGGACCGCCGGCGCCTCAACAGTGACTTGGTCCGCCTCCGCCGTCGGCTGCCGACCCACCCACCGGTCGTCGGATACCCGGTACATGCCCACAAAGTACCCAGCTGGGAACTCACACTTCGTTACCCACTCTCAGCGCTGGCCGAGTACCACCTCTGCAAGTATCCTTGCTTGGAATCTGCAGTCATCCTCTCTCGACCCGATTTCTCTTATCCTGCAGTCATCACGCTTCGTCTTCTTCCTCCTCTCCCCTCCTCTCCTCGCTCTCCCCCGTCTCACTCTCCATCTCGGTAACTCTCTCCTTTCCCAGCCATCGCCAAGGTCCCAGTCAGAAAAGGGATCAGCCGCCCTCGCCAAACCTCCGCGGGCAATGGCGCCATTCAACCTCGAGACGTGTGTCCGGCCCAACATTCTTGCCCTTCAGCCCTACCGCTGCGCGCGAGAGTATGTATCTCCCCGTCCCGATTGCTCTCCTCTCCTCCTCCGTCCCGGCCCCGCCGCAACGGTGGCCCGCGCAGAGAGGATGGAAGTGGCTGGTGTTGATGGCATCTGAGCGCTCACCACGCAAAGCGACTACAAGGACGACGGCACAAACGTCCTCCTCGACGCAAACGAAAACGCCTACGGCCCTTCGCTCGACGCCGCCTCTTCCGCCGCCGCCTCCTCGGCCCTGACCGGCCTCGACCCTCTCGGCCTGCACCGCTACCCGGACCCGCACCAGCGCCCGCTCAAGCAGCGTCTCTGCGACCTGCGCAACGACAGCAATCATGCCGACGGCCCCCTGCTGACCCCGGACCACCTCTTCGTCGGCGTCGGCAGCGACGAGGCCATCGACGCCCTGCTGCGCTGCTTCTGCGTCCCCGCCCGCGACCGCATCCTCACCTGCCCCCCGACCTACGGCATGTACGCCGTCTCGGCCCAGGTCAACGACGTCGGCATCGTCAAGGTGCCCCTGCTGCCCGCCCCGCACTTTGCCCTCGACGTCGCCGCCGTCTGTGCCGCCCTCGACCGCGAGCCCGACGTCAAGCTCGTCTACCTCTGCTCCCCCGGCAACCCCACGGGCTCACTGCTCGCCAGCGCCGACGTTGAGAGCATCCTCGCCCACCCGACCTGGAACGGCGTTGTCGTCCTCGACGAGGCCTACGTCGACTTCGCCCCCGAACGCGCCTCCCTCGCCCGCCTCGCCGCCAAGCACCACAACCTCGTCGTCATGCAGACCCTCTCAAAGGCCTTTGGCATGGCCGGCATCCGCCTCGGCGCCGCCTTCACCTCGCCTCCCATCGCCCGCCTTCTCAACGCCCTCAAGGCCCCCTACAACATCTCCAGCCCGACCAGCGCCCTCGCCGCCGCCGCCCTCGACGGCCAGGGGCTCGCCGTCATGCGCCGCAACCGCCAGCGCCTCGTCGACCAGCGCGACCGCCTGCTGCGCGAGCTCCCCGCCATTGACGGCGTCGGCAGGCTGCGCGGCGGCACCGACGGCAACTTTTTGCTCTACGAGATGCTCGACGCCCAGGGCAGGCCCGACAACGCCACCGCCCTGGCCGTTTACGAGGCCCTGGCCGAGACAAAGGGCGTCGTCGTCCGCTTCCGCGGCAAGGAGCACGGCTGCTTGGGCTGCCTGCGCATCACGGTGGGCACGGAAGACGAGGTCACCAGGCTGCTGGGTGCCCTCGCCAAGCAGTTGGCCGAGGTCAGGGGCAAGGGGGGTTCCGTCGATGCGGCGGAAGAAGAAAAGAAGGAGCAAGCGGCAAACGGCATCGTGGCATAGACGGGACACGAGGATAAAAGGAGCTTAGATGGCGTCCAGACCTTGGAACTCGAAATCTTTCGATATTAAGTCAGTGTCGTGACATGACAAGGTCCAAGAGTGATGTGTCATCACATTCTCTTAATTCCTCAACAGCCAGCCGCCTTTTTTGTTTAAATCTTTCTTTGGCTATTGTTTCCGCGCCTGTTCGGCTCATATGAGTCAACCGAACTCGTGTCCAGAAAAGCCTCGGTCCAGTGGTATCTACATTCTAGTCTCGTATTTACAGAGTGAGAAAATGGAGAAGAAAGGAGGCGGAAAGAATGAAACAGAACGAAGGAAAGTCATTCGGCAATCCGACGTGCCTTGCAGCTCGAGACCGATGCGCAGTCGCTGTAGCGAAGACGAGGTCAACCAGCAGGGGCTTCATATACCCCTGGCCGAGACGGGCCGCGCTGTCTGTGTCGTAAGAATCCATTCTAAGGGGCACCTGGGCTAAGCAAGGCGATCAGCCCTGGAAGCGCTTGCTGACCCGGTAGGGATCTTGTGCCTTCCAGTTCTTTTCCCGGACGAGTTCAATGTCCTTGCCCTTGAGGGGGAGATCGGCCTCGCGGCTGAGGAGGCCCTGAATCGTCTCGAGAGCGCACATCTGAGGGCCAAGACCGGGCTTGTTGTCGAAGGAGCCCGTGTACCACCTCATGCCGCACTCACGCCCGCTCTTGCCGCCCGTGCAGACAGCGGCGGCAGCCTCGGCCGAGGGGACGAGGTAGCTCTCGATGCGTTCGCGGAGACTGGGCAGCATGACGGCCGTCTGCCACATGAAGCGCGAGAGGTAGCCCTTGAAGGTGATCATGTCGTAGTTGCACTTGTCGACCGTCTCGCAAGCCGCCTCGTACATGATGTTCTTGACTTTGTCGTCCTGGTAGAAGAACCAGCGGGCGCCGTCGATGAGCTTCGAGGTCCGGTCGGCCCACTCGCGCTTGCCGGTGTGGTTTGCCATGACGGCAGCGCCATACATGAAGATGCCGCTGGTGTAAGAAAAGGACCTTTTGTTGACCACCTTGCAGTCGGTGCGGAGGTCGACGCCGTCGTAGATGTGGTAGTTTTTGGGATCGATGAGGCCCTTGTCGGCAGACCAGTCCCAGGCCTTGTTGGCCCATTCCAAGTACGTGTCGTTGCCCGTGGCGCGGGCGAGGCGCGCAGCGAGCTGGAACAGGCCGCCATTGCTGATGGAATTTTTATAGTTCATGCCGTTGGGGTTGGAGGGATAGATCTGCCACAGCATGCCGCCACCGCATTGGTCCATGTGCCAGCGGCTGACGAGCGAGTTGAAGACTCGGGCGGCGATGTCGATCCAAGACGGGATGTCCTTGTTGGGCTGGGGAAAGTTGCGCTCGGCGGCCGACATGACGGCCGAGCCCCAGAAGAAGAGGTCATCGTTGCCCTCCTCCTGGGCGTGTTCCTTGGGCATGTAGTCAAAGGTAGGAGCCAGGTTGGTGGGCGCCGACAAGGCCTGGAGGATGACGTCGTTGTAACTGGGGTCCTTGGTGTAGTGGTAGTAGTCCAGCATGGTTCCCCAGAGGGCGCCAGCAACCCACCAGTAGTATGGCTTGGGGACGTTGCCAACATCCTGTCGCAGGGAATGAGCGTCAGCATGCCCTCTGCGAAGGCTTGGAGCAGGAAAAGACTTACGACCGAGTCGGGGGCGCTGGTGTTGCCCTTGTAGTAGACCATGGCATCGTGAGCAATGGTGGCCGCGACGTTGCGGACCGAGCCTGGCCATCATGGTCAGCAAGCCGGATCTTGAAGAGCTATGCTGGGAGGCAACGAAGCCCAAAACGCGACTTACTCGGATTTTGCGTGTCCAGGTCCTTGGGGGCGACGATGCCGCTCAAGGCCGCGGCGGCATGAACGCTCTTGATGAACTTCATGGTTACTCGTCTTGGTGAGGTGATTTGCTTCCTTGGTATTGCTTCTTTGATACTTGGGAGCCGATGTTCCACTGCTCAGCAATGGATGTGTTACAGATAGCGATCGCCTCTTCTCTTTCGTCTCTCGAGAAAAGAAGGGCAGTGGACGAAAAGTCGAGTCTTCAGCCGGGAAGACTGTGTGGCCCTGCCAAAAGGGGCAAGCAATGCTGGTGCTGACAATGTAGGGAAACAGCAGCAAACAATTGGGGAAATAGCCGATTGTCGCAAGCAACAATGGGCACGATGATTCGAAGCGGAGCGACGTCGGCGGGAGATGGCCGTTAGCGATGGATGGGCCTGGTCGCCACAGCAGCCAAACGTGTCGAGCTGCGTCGACGTCAACACGGGGTTTGCGAAGAGAAGGCGAGGCGAGAGCAAGACTGATCAAAGTCGGGCAGCGACGAAGAAGCGAAGGATATGAAGAACAGAAGCAAGCGGTAACGACTAGAGACCCCGTCAATGGGCTCACGAGGATGGGACGAGGACAAAGAAGAGCGAGAGACGGAGCAGGAAACACAGCCTCTTTGGTTCCATGGGCGGCGGACCGAGCTGGGCCAACGCTGTTTTATGGCTACGGCTGCACGGAACAGGCGGGAACCAAAATAGGCCTCCTGTCTCTCCCTCGAAGTCGTCGGTCGATAGGCGCTGTTACGGATGCATCACGCAGGCACCGAAAGGCCGGCAGGGCTCTGGTTGGCGCCCCGTGCTCGCCTGGTCTCTGCTTCTGCCGTCTGGACGACATGATTGGGCTCGGCGTGTCGGTGGCGTTCAGGGGAGGGGCGATGCGGAGGGGACGGGACGAGGAGGATCGCCATGGCAGGGAGGCGGAGGCGGAGGAGTCGAGCCCCTGAGCTGACAGAGGCACAGTATGTACAGTACCTGGGTGCTAACTTCATACAGTGCGCCTCTCTCCGGAGTACACGGTGCGGTGGAAGGCTCAACAACTCCAAGTTACGGACTTGGTGGGTGGTGCATGCATCCAAAGCCACGTCTTCTCCCGTGTCAGCCGACGCCATCTTGCACTCTTGCTGTCAAATCCCGCGTGTCGTGGCTTAACCGGCGAGATCCGCAAGCAGAAAGACTCTCGGCCGACTGCTTTGTTCCGCCTGCTCAGTCTGGGGCCCATGGGCACGACAGGAACAATGAGGCGGCAGACGACTGCCTGATCCTAGCTGAATCGCTTGCCGGCCTCTGCTCGTCGACGACAGCGAGACGCAGCCGCCCATTGCAGTCAGGAAACCCGTTGGTTGGCTGTATTCTACTAGGTACTGTAGGTAGGCAAGTTGGCAAGAGGAGCAGCGCCAAGAGGCAGAATGTCACAGTACCGCACTGTCTTCCATCCCACCTCGACCACGGACAGAGTCATCCGTACGCACGCGGAAGAGAGCACTCCCAGCACTGTGCATACTTGTCATAAGCTCCAAGGGACCGCTTATCCGATATGTACAAACAGCATTCATCGACGGCCAAGGCGGAAGCACAAGGCCGGGGGGTGAAATAGGAGACTGCCTAAACAGATGGCGAAAAGCAACTTAGAGTAGACCCCCACCTTGAAAAGGGGGGCGGGTTTGGGCCCGCCCGTTTCGTTTCGTCTTTGCGCGCGCCAACAAACGGCCGAGGAGGGGGGGAAGAGGGGGCCTGTCTCGGCGAGAAAACCTTCCCGTCATCCCGTCACCCGCCAGCTTGGGATCGTGGTTGGCTGTCGTCGCCGTCCCTGATAATCTCAACCTCCTGTAGATGCAACTCGCAACTTCGCCATGCATGCATGTGCCTGATGAGAGAGGCACGGAGGCGGCGGCGCTTCAACGTGGGGCCTCATCCTCGGACTCTCTCCATAATTACTGTCCGGATCTCCATCCACCTTTGAGTTTATACCTTACCTTGTAGTTTATTTGCAGGACCCACGGCACTGCGTGTACTAGGTAGATAGGCAAGGTGTTCGGCGCCCACGGCTGCCTTGACCCGATCTGACGTGTCGAAAGCAAACACTCTGCGGAGCGTTTCATGCCGAATTGCCCCCCGCACCCCAAGACATCGGATGGCTCCCGTCGAGACACGAAATTGACACATGACGGACGCTGACATGTTCTAATCAACCACGTCCCTTTATCCTAAGAGGAGCCTCCTTCATTTCAAACTCTTCGTCTGGGAGGTACCTGCATGTACGGAATAATCGTGACGAGAACATGGCCACGTCTGCCATGGATCCCGACTGTCGCCATCTTCTCCGGCCTGCCCTGGCTCCTAGACACGATGCTCGGCCCCGTTCCGCCTCCTCCGGCCGGCTCCAGTGTCGTTTCGGCCGACGAATGGTGTCGAGACCCTCCGCCAGCCTCTCCTGCTTCACTTCCTCGTCCTCCAATGTCTCGTCGACTTCACATTCCCCTGCGCTGGCATGTCGACCCTTTGTAGTCGCATTCGCCGCATTCACCAGCTCGACCCGTCTGGGCCACTCACTCGAGACTTGATAAGTAAACGCATTTGGCATGCGCCTCTTGAATGTGTACCGCACCATCGCCCCAGCTTGGTCCCACGGGATCTCTCCAAGCTTGACCTGACGGACAAGTTTCGATCCCACCGCTCCTCGTCAGCGGTGCCCTGCATGGTCGTGCTTCCTCCAATACTCCGCCGGCAGGGCAGGCGCCTTGTCCGGCTACCATGCCTTCCATGGCGCGTGCCTCTCAACCTTGCAGCCCATGCATTCGCCTCTGGCAACCAACGCCATCAAAACGCCTGAGTATCCGGGGTATATCGTGCAAAGTCTTGTCCATACAAAATCCCATGTCCACCCGCACGCAATGCAGTCTTCCGTCGCCGTCCAGGACCGTCCAAACTCGACTCATCGTCGCCCTCTGTGCCAGAGCAAAGGCTGGGACCAAATTTGAAAAAGGCGATACGCCCCCTCACCAGAGTCCGACGGCGCATATGGCTAATACCGACGCCATCGTGGCGAGGCGCTCGTCGACATGTATTCTGGCACCCGCCCCCTGGCCCGTCGCTTTCGGGGCGTAAAGCTCTGCCGATGCTGGCCCCGAGTTGGGCGCTGCGGTCATGTGGAGGTTGTTGCCCTTGGTCTTTGGATTATCGGCCATGACGAGGGTCCCCCACTCGACGTCGGTGCCCGTCAGGGTCGAAGTCCACGACATCTCGGTCGGGCCGGTGAGAAGGCCATTTGCGTAGCCTGCCTTGTAGCTCGAGTAGCCGGAGCATGTAGCGGCCGTCGTGCCATTCAGCCTACACTCGAGATTGGCGATGCTAGACGCAGCAGAGTCGTCAGCAAGTAACGCTTGAGAGTGTGAGTGTGCAGAAACAAAGCGGCGCAGACGCACTAGGTCGAGGTGTAGGTTCCGTGGAAGCGCAGCGTTCCCGGGCCCTCGACAATGACAAAGGGAAACTCGAGGGAGAGGTCGCAGGCGGGGGGTGTCTCGGTCGGGCAGAAAATGGTATAGGTGGTTTCGCTGGCTGTCTTGTTCTGGGCGGGCCGAGTCAGCGACGCACACGTTGTGGCCCAGAGACAAGGATCGACAAAGACATACCCTCGAGAGGATGCTCCCCCGCACAACGGACCATGCTTCCTCATGATAATAGGGCAGGAAGATGGGAGCCTTGGTGACGGCGGGAGCTGGGGGCGAGTGGCCGTCGGCGGCCTGACACAAGGCACACAAGGCCAGCAAAGCTATCCAGGACGGGAGAAGGGCCGGGCGTATTCGGCTGGCCATGTCGGGATCTCCGGCGGGGTCGGGCGAAGGACACGGGAGCTAACAGGCGTTTTGGCTTCTTGTCTTGTTCACAAGCGGCTTAGACAGATGGAGACGAGGAGCGGGCGGAGGCGAGGCAGAGGCGAGAGAAGGCGAGTCGAATAGAGGGGGAGAGGGGAGAGATGGCGGATAGAGGAACTGCGGTGAAGAAGCAGACACGGCAGGCAGCCAAGGAAAGCTCGTCGCCGTTCGTCAGGCCTTTCGTGCTGGAGAGACAAGAAGGAGACACAGAGGGGGACGAATCGAGTCTAGCGCCAAGCGCCCTATTATGAACGGGCTTGGCGGCGCAACCTCTGTTGGCGGACAGGACCGAGCATGGGCCGGAACAGAGGCGGCTGTCGGTCGGGGAGAGCTTTCGTGTTTGGTGTCAAGTCTTGACTCTCTTATAGTACGGAGGAAGCCTCGGCAAGAGCGAGACGGAACGAGTGTCGCCCAAGAGCACCGCCAAGAGAGAGATAGACGTCTGCCCAGTTTTAATGGTACAGTAGTTACGCCTCGGGACGCGTCGTGTGCGGACAGCCGTTCTCCTTTCTTGGCCAGCTCCGATGCTTGCCAAGGCTGGGCGAAACACCGCGGCGGCGGTTTGCCCATCATCACACGACGGCAGACGGTCTTTTTGGGGGAGTCGCGTGGCGTTTTTCTTTTTTTGCTTCTGCCTGTGTCACGGCCGAGTTTGTCAAGGGCGGTGTTTGAAAGAGGCCTAGCGACGAATTCGGCGTCGATGTTGCCAGGAGGCGGCGGCGGCTGGACAGGGCGGCGCCAAGCCTGGGCTATTGCCTTTGTTAGTTTTCTCGACCGGGGAAGTCGAGACAGGCTCGCATGCGGGCGCATTACACTCTCGGTCTGTAGGTAATTTTATGCACACGCTGCTGCTGATGATTGCATCCGCGCACCAAGGACCAGAAGCTGGGTGATGGAGCGAGCGGGATTGACGGACAAGAGTCGACATCCAGAGATGGAGGAGCAGTGGCAAGACACTCGGACTCGGTCCTTGAGAGCGCTCGGGGGAGAACGAGGTCATCTACGTATTAAGCTACAGGCTCCAGGGAGCAGACAGACTGTGGAGCATGCTTATCTTTGACGGCTTTCTTCCTTGCCCATGCCCTGCCCAGCCAGAGGCGACAAAAACCGAAATGTCGCATCGCGGTACGTACTTGGCGCTGGGCAGATACGAAACTGCTAGCAGCACTCGACAGGTGACTGCCCGAGTGACCGAGAGCGTTGCTGACAAAGCCGCGTGACTCGACGCTCTCACCGAGTCTCGCGACGGCCATCTTCTTCTGCGCTGCGTCGTCTCTTGGACCATGTGGTCAATCGCTTGACGGTCCTGCCTCGAGCCCTTTCTCCTTGTCCCCGACTCCTCCTCAGCAAGGCTTCTTCACCACTGACCCCATCATCACAGCCTCTTGTCGGCGTTTGCCGTAGGCATATGGCCAACGCCCTGTCTCTTTTCCATTGCCACGCGTCACAGATGCTCCAAAACTGGCCCTGCTTCACCCACGAGGCCAGGCGTGAGGTCGTCGTACAGCGATGGGGCTCGGATGAGAGAGCGTTCCGGTAGCTGTTCGGTTCATGACACGAAGCGAAGACGCCGCTCAGAGCTGTGCACACATGCACTTGCCCGTTTCACGGCCACCCGAGCTCCAATATAAATACCTTGAGCACTCGGCCTCCAGTGTTCGCTTCGTTGCCTCTGCCTATCATTTTATCTCCTGGGGGCTGCCGAAGCTGACTCTCTCCGTGTCGCCGCCCCCTGCGTCTCTCGGTCGCACGTCTCGTCGCCTTGCCGCTACTATTCTCAGTCGTCGTCCTGGATATGGACATGCTTCACATGTGCGACGTTCTCGTTGGCGTTTCTGCCTCCATCCTCGTCTACGGCATCCTCATCGTGCACATGCGGCCGGCTCGGCAGGGTGCTCGCGAGCCCACGGATGAGTTGATACGGCTTACGGCGGCGCGCTCGGGGCACGCAAGCGTCACGGACCGTCTCGTGGCGGCCGAAATGTGCGCCTGAGGCGGAGACTTATGATGTCATGCCGGGGACAACTGGAAAGTACAGTACCGGGCGGCGTGTGTTCTCGGGCCGAAGACTTGTTGTGTGGGGGAAAGGGGGATGAGATGATGAGATGCATGACTCGTGTGGCATTGCGCGAGCGCGAAATGGGGCGAGATGAGCCGGACATGGCACGACTATGCCAACGGATTGCAAGATGGGATTCCTCGTCCTCCTGCTCACCCTCACTCTCCTTGACGCGCAAACAACGATGAGGCGAGAGGGAAACGAGATGCGGTGAGTCACGGACGGTGATTCCATCGGCCTGCAATAATGGTGCACACATTGATCCTACCATAATTATACGGTACAGTAAATACTTGTCTTTGTCCCATTTTTCTTTACAAATCTCCCCTACTCCCTCAAGACCTGCCTGCTGCTCGTCGGCAGCGCCTCGGTGGCCCTCGCGGCCCCCGGTGGCCTCCGGCTCGGCGCCCGGACCTTCTCCAACACGACCGACAGCTGCCCCTACACCGTCGACGTTGACGACAGCTGCTACTTCATCGCCAAGAGCCGCTTCGACATTGAGCTCGACCGCTTCTCCAAGCTCAACGGCGGGGAGTTCGACAGCAGCTGCAACATCTTCCCCGGCAAGGAGGTCCGCGTCCCCTGCGGCAAACAGTTTCCCATTGACCAGGTCGACGTGTCGGGCGAGTGCCTGACCAATCACAAGGTCAAGGCCGAAGAGAACATCTACTCCATCTCTCTCCACTACAGTATTGCCGCGCACGTCCTGCTGGCCTACAACGGCCTCGACTGGCGGAGCCCCATCAAGGTCGGGCAGGACCTCTGCGTCTCGAGGAAGAAGCCTACCGCCGTCTGCGCCAAGGAGCACCACGTCGTCGACGGGGATAACTGCTACGCGCTCGCCACGGCCAACAACGTCAACTTGCTTGACCTCAAGGCCTGGAACCCGGAGCTGATAAACGACCGCTGCGCCATCCGCCCCGGCCACAAGCTCTGCGTCAAGGCCGACGAGCCCGTCACGACGTCGCCCGCTGCCTCCACTGTCCAGCCCGCGTCCTCGACCGTGGTTGGGACGGCCACCGCCGCTTCCCAGAGCACCTTCCAGACCTCGTTTGTCGCCCCCGACAGCAAGGTCGTGACGGTGACCAGGGTCGCCCCCAGCGGCGCCGTCGACGCCAACGCCATCCCCAGCGTCAACCTCGCCGCCGAGGTCAAGGCCCATATCAAGCTGTACCTCCTGCCTTGCGTGGGCAACCTGACGGCGCCTCTGCCGGCCGGCGACGACGACAAGGTCATGCTGCCGTCCGAGACCCAGATCCGCTGGGCGGTCAAGGCTTTTGCCTCTGTCTCTGTCCCTGCCCTGAACGGTGACGCCCCTGCCACCGCTCAGGTTAGCGGCAGCGCCGCGCCCGGCTTCTCCGTGTCCGCCTCGGCCCCGGCCTCGATCCTGGTCCGCCTTTTCACCGCCCTCAAAGTCGACATCAAATACAACGACTGCAAGGCCGACGCGTGCTCCGTCGTTGTCTCCTCGCCTAGCCAGGTGTCCGCCAGCCTTGCTGCCCAGGCCGTCGTGCCCTTGAAGGCGGCCGGTGCCGAGGGAGACAAGGCCGTTGCTTCGCAGGCCAACACTGCCGGCGCAATCCCGTAGGTTGCCAACCGCATCAGCATCGACGGCGGCAGTGGCAGCGTCAAGGCCGAGGCCAGCATCAAGACCGAGGCCAGCATCAAGGCTGATGTCAGCGTCGAGGCCGAGGAAAACTGGTGCTAAGCGATCAATGCTTGACCGAGGAACACGACGATCGCCACCAGCGCCGGGGCGAGAAGGAGGATGTTCTTTTGTTTGTTGCGGGTATCTTGTGATGCCCTGGCGCTGCGAGGGTATCCACGAACTTGCTTTGGCTTGACGGAGTGTCGTCGCGGCGGTGCGAGTTGAAGGGCACCCAGACGGCACGTCATTGCCGCTACTGTAGGTAATACGCTTGGTAAACGCGGCGAATTCGATGCGAGTAAATTCTAAGCATTAATGTCACGACGATATGTTGGTTGCATGAACAGACAGCGGAAAGGGGGTGAAGCATCCGCTCCCGCTAACTCGAGGCCAGTGGTGCGTAGAAACGAGCTGATTCTTGGGAATATGGCGAGTGATTATTGCTTGCAAAGGCATGGAGACTGGACCCAAGTCTGGTAAGCCCGTGTAGGTGACAGGTCGCAGACCGCAGCCTAATGGTTCGGGGAAGGACCGTGTCGACCTGCTACCGATCATGTAGAGTAGAGCGATGAGTTCATGTAAATATACGCAATCTGAAGTTTCCAGACATAGCCATCCAAGCCTTCAGATAATCGCGGGAAATCTCCTTTGGCTTCAGTAATACTGAAAGGACATTTTCAAAGTCGCGGTCGCTCGAGGTGCTCCCAATCAGTCGGCAGAGGGCCAAGCATGGTGCCAAAAGCCAGATTCGCCACCACTTGCCTGAATTCGTTCTTACGAAGCTGGCGGTGTTTGTAACTGGGCGCATGTGATGATTAGTAGGTTGCTAACTTACGATCCTTTATTTTTGTTTGTCCCAAGCGCATGGTCGACTAGCGTACAAGCTAGGGGCTGATCCTCAACGGTCGAGGGGATACAAATGAGGTCAGAGCATAATTACGCGGACGCTTTCGTTGAGACGAAGCGCGAGATGGCTTTTACGGGGCGCTTGTTATTAATTGCAAGGCCGGTCCGTGTGTGTGTTTTTGTTGCGAGACAGGGACAAAGCTTTAGAGTCTTTGACGAGCACAGCTTATCTATGATTGATCGAGACGGATTTGCCAGATCACCTCTTCCGGCTTACTCCGTACTCCTTACAAGGTTGGGCTTATACCATTGTGGGATTAGCGGCACGCGTCGCCGAACGCCACGAGGCGCTGTGGAGCGATGCGGGGTGCCACGTGCTCGTGTACATACGTACCGGTACAAAGCTCGCTGAAGGATTTCTCGGTAAAGATAGGTAACTCGTCCTCTTACAATACACTTCTTGTTGATCTCGTGCCGGTAGCTTAGTATAAGATACTTGGAGATGCTTATTCCACATTGACTCTATACTCTGTCTTGACACCTCGCTCTAGCAATACTCTACGTTTTAGTGTAGATTCAATCCCAACCGTCGACCTCTGGTGATGGTGATGCTAGCTACGTGTACTCCAACAGCCGCTTCAACAAGTCCCAGGGGAGTCGAGACTTGCCCGCCCAAGTCGAGCCACAGTGGACAGACAACCTGGTAGATCTTCTCAAGACATTCAAACCGAGCATTTTCCCGGTCATTGAATAAAACATGAAATTGAAAAGGAATACCGGGGTGCGTAGTCATCGCCGGCGATATGCTGAATGCCGTGATGCAGTTTGTCTATGCTGCTCTTTACCGCTGTCCTCCGGGCCGTGAGGCAGCTTCTTTCTTCTCGGCGCTCATAAAGAGACAACAAGGGACATATTAGGGCAAAGAACGACACAGTCAGGCCCTTTGTACTTTTGGTCCCACCTCCCCAGCTCCACGCAGTAATCAAAGATGCAAACTCCCAGTCATCAAAGACATCATCCTTGCCTGAAGGAGGGTTGTCCATCAGAAGCCTTCCTTGCTGCGCCGCCGAGCCTTCAACTTGATTATCAAGAACTGAACGAGCCAAAAGGCGGTGACGGCGAGCATGAATCCCGTTGCGACCCAGCCGAGAATGTGAAACTTGAAACCTCGCTCGGCGGAGAGACCGACTCGCGCGCCCTTTTCGTTGATATGTTTGACTGCCTTGGAGCCGGCGACGGTGATGATGGTGCTGCCAATAATGCACGCGAGGCCACCCATGGAGGCGACGGCGAGATTGACGAGCACCATGGCAGTCTTGGCGGGCAGCAGAAGGGCGCCGACGTTGAGGAGCATGGACAGGCCGCTGAAGCCCATGGCGAGGACGTAGATGGTGAAGAGAGCCAATAGGGCATTGTTGAGGATGTCGAGCTTGTCCTGCAGGCTCTCGGTCCAGTCCATGTCGGCAAGGTTGACGCGCACGGGTCCCACGCCGAGGTCATGGTCGAGCATGCGTGTGAGGTTCAGGCGGTCTGTATACAGAGGTCAGCTGGCCGACGCACAGGCAAGAGGGAGGCGATGGGGGCCATCTCACGAGCTGGAGAGGACGCGGTGCAGTTTGTCATGTTGAGGCCAGGGTTCGGGGCCGTTGGGTTGGGCTCGAACTGGCCCTCGCACGCGTTCATGATGTGCAGCGAATACCAGTCGGGCACGCCTAGGTGTTCGGTGATATTGCCGACGACCCCGTTGAGCTTCTCCTTGACATCGTTCTTCTTGCCGTCCACCCAGCCCTTGAGGCGGCCGAAGGCGTCGTCTTTTGGCTTGCTCTGGTCCTTGTCACCGGTAGCTTTGTCGAGGATGCTTTGGCCAATCATGGAGGTGTTTAGCTGGGGAGGCCGAGGTTAGCAGTGCGCAGGGCGGGCGAGAGTGCGTGCGTCCAAGTGTTTACCCTGACAATGGCATAGTCCTCCATGAAGCCTTGCTTGTGGCCGGCAAAGAGAGTGAGCGAGGTCAAGACGAAGCTGGCCAAGGCGAGGACCAGGGGGAGGATGACGATGTATCTGATTACGAGAGCCATGGCGCATGCATGCCGCGGTTTCTACGCCGAGTTGAGGTTGACGAGATGGGCGTTTGCGTGCGGCTTCGTGTGAACGACGAGTCGAGCGAAGGAGGAAGCTTGTCGCTGGAGACAAGTCCAAGCGAGGCGGCATATACATATACGTGAAGCGAGGGTGCAAACACTGGACTTGATTTCCGTTGCGGCAGATGAGGTGAAGAATAATAAAGAGCGAAGAAAGAAAGAAAGAAAAGAAAGATCGAAAGAAAGAAGGGAAAGGATAGTAAAGGGGTTGCTTCGATTCACATTTGGCGCCGGCCCCGCATGACGCACCAGTCCCAAGATGCCACACATTCCAGCCTTGGCGGCTATAGTCATGGCGGCAGCGAGACGACAGGCAGCGAGACGATAGGCAGCGAGACGACAGGGGGAGAGGGTTGGATTGGGGAAAAGACGACAAGCCGGCCTGTTCAGATGTGGTGCAGCGGCTCGCTTCGAGGGCGCCAAGAGGGGAGAGACAAAGCCGTGGGAAGCAAACAGAAGGGACAAAGGGGTGGCACGTTCTGCTCCTCATTGGACCGACGGTGGCGCGTCACGGCATGGCAGAGGGCCGTGAGTGGATGGATGATGGGCGATGATGGGCGACGCGCCGAAAAGGACCGAGGCAGGCCTTGGATGGAGGGAAGGCTTGCCGCCGAGCTCTTGCACAGCCTGCCGCCTTGTGGGAGACGCGTCCAGAGCGGTGAGAGCGAGCGATGGAGAGTTGAAGAAGAAGTACAGTAGATACAGTATTAATTAACTACCTACCTACCTAGGTAATTAGGTAATTAATTACCTGCGGCGGAAACAAGGGTACCCCGAAGGGTGGGGCACGTGATTGCCTACCTAGGCCATGATTGCAATGCGGCTATTACCCGGACGTATGTATGTAGCTTGTCTCACCCCGAAAAAAAATCGAAAAAAATTTGCCCATCCATAAGACTGGCATTTGTTTGTTTATGCCTGGGATGCAGGCCTAAAGTGGAATCTCTATCGTCGGCCATGGTGCAGCCGACTCGGGCCAGCAACCAGAGAAGAAGCTCACAGAATCGCCTCGCCGGAGCCGGAGCCGCCCTCCCCTCTGGGCCGTAAGGCAGCCGATCTAGGGTGCCAGACATCGACTCTTGACTCTGACTTTGTCTCTCTGTCTCTGTCTCGGATGCATCCCGTCTGTGCGCCGTCGCGTCGACCATATTGCCCAGGATAAACAACGCAAAGGTAAACAAAAAAGAGTCCACGGGGATGGATGGGTTATTAACGAGGTGCCCAAGGTTCTCTCAGTGCCTCCAGATAGGTACCTACTACGTACCGGTAGTGGCAGTAGAACTGTCGACAACTAATTACAACGCCTGTAGCCTCAGCGGGGCTGCTCACTGGAAAAATAAATGACGTCGCTGAGCTGCCCCCGGCACATGCCTGCGCCCACGTGCAGACAGACGCTGTTGTCTCAAAAATGCTGTCCAGTGACTCCCTCCAGTGCACGGCCAACCCGCCACCAGCCAACCACGTTCCCCCCCTCTATCTCTCCCTCTCCCCCCTTCCCTCCCTCTTCGCTCTCATTCCGACTCTCCATTCGTTTTTCACTGCAACTCGCTCTCGCAATCCTTTCTCCCGCTTTCTTCTCTTTTCCCTTTTTTCTCTCAGCAGCTACCTCCCCCGCACGCTCCCGCCGACAACACAACCACCCTCGCTCATGGCGCCGTAACCAACTCCCCGTCCTTCTCCGTCCTTCTCTCCCCGCCCTTTTCTCCTCGCGCCTCTTCGCCGCCCAAGGACAAGACGAACAAGGCTCGTCCGCGACAGCAATCACCATGCCCTTGCCGTCCCTGCGCAGCCCTACTGCTTCCTCGACTCCCCGCCCGCGCAATCCGACGATGCGATAAAGCCCCATCCTCCTCGTCGCCCCTGTACTCACTCATTCGAGCCGTTCCGATCCGGCCTTTCTCTCGCTTGGCTGGCTCTTCCCGTTGAGCAACCACAAACCTCGCCATTCCTTGCTGCCGCCATTCGCTTGCACACTGTCGACATACCCGACGAAAAAGAGGAGGGTAGAGAAAATGTCGTCTCTCGAGGCTAAGATTGTCGTCCTCGGCGCTCAAGGCGTCGGCAAAACGTCCCTCGTCATGCGCTACTGCAAAGGCGCCTTCAACCCGTCCCAGATCACCTCCACCGTCGGCGCCAGCTTCATGACCAAGCGTGTCGTCGACACCGACTCCGACACTGTCGTCCGTCTCCAAATATGGGATACAGGTACCCTCATCACTGCTCCCCCACGTCCCCTCACCTGCTGATTTCGCACAGCCGGCCAGGAGCGCTTCCGCTCCATCTCGCGCCTCTACTACCGCGGCGCCAACGCCTGCATCTTGTGTTATAGCATAACCGACGCCAACTCCTTCGAGGACATGGGCGTCTGGCTCATGGAGCTGCGCCGCAACCTGCCCAGCGACGTGGTCCTACATGTCGTCGGCACAAAGGCCGACATTGTCGCCCGCGACCCCTCGACCCGCCAGGTGCCCTTTGAGCGTTGCATCGCCTACGTCGCCGAGAACCTCGCCCCTGGCGCCGGCAGCACCCCGCCCCCCACGGCCACGCCCGTCAACGGCCCCTCCGCCGCCACCCTCGCCAGCGCCGTCGAGCCCCGCAGCCCCAGCTCCAAACGCAGCTCCGGTTTCTGGGCCCAGGAGGCCGGCTGGGACGCCTGTCACGAGATCAGTGCCGAGAGCGGCGAGGGCGTTGAGGAGGTGTTCCGCGTCGTCGCCCGCAAGCTCGTCGAGCAGAACCGCAAGCTCCAGCAGGCCCTGCTCCACGCCACGGCAACCCCGGGCACTCCTGGTTACGAGACGGGCATGGACGGAGGCTACTTTGACGGCTCCAACGGCCGCGGCAGCTTCCGCGTCGGCCGCGACCGCCGCAGCTGGCTCTTCTCCCCGGCATTTTCTCCGGCCGTCACTATCGACCAGGCCGGTACCCAGCAGGACCAGCCCGGCGAGGAGGACTTGCTCAAGGAGCGACGAAGGTGTTGCTGAAACAATAACAAGAGACAAAGCAGCATCTCCCAAGGGGGCCAGTGGAAGATGAGAGACAGCTGCCCAGAATACAACCCCCCCCCCCCCTTTGCGACGATGGTGGATGGGCCTGGTGGCCTTGGTAGGCCCGAGCACAATACGGTGTTGGTTTTGGAAACCAGGCAGGGCCTGGCGGAGTCAAGATACCCCTTTCGGCGGACTGGTATTTCTTTCATTTTCTTCTTGCTATAATTTTGTAATCTCCCTTTCGCCCTTGTTATGCCTTGATTCACAGCGCTTTTTTACTCATCTTTCTTCTCCGTCTTTTGTCCGCGCATTCCGTTTGCGCGACGCATGGACGAAATTTGTACTGGAGCGCTCGCGCGTCCGGCGTTCAGGATATTATTACACACGCGACGGGGGCTAACACCAATGGAGTTGGAAGAGCCTTTGTGGACACAAATGTCTGCGTCTGTACAACGAACTCGCATTGCTTGTGCCAAGTAGACGTGGACCAGGAAAGAATTTTACTCTGGCCTATTTGGCATGTCCCTCTTCCCCCTGTATAGACGCCCCTGAGGAAGGCCCCGACTTGCAATAGCCTCATGTGCCTTGTAGCGCAGCCGGATATGACCGTGCCTCCTCCCACCCGCCAACAGATCGGCAACGAGAGACAAGACGAAGGAGGGGGGATGTACGCTCATACAGCAAAAAAACCCATGCTTCACCCTCACCCCTTAGAAGAGGGCCCCATAACGGCCTTTGCCGACTTCACGTCGTCGTCCACCGTCGGTGGCGCCGGTATTTCTACGCCCAGGACGCGGTGCTCCAGCCCCACGTACGCGTCGCTCACCACGAGTACGTCCATCCTGTGAGCCTGGCCCGGCGCTAGGTCCGGCAACTTCAGCGTCGCCTTGGTCGACGGGCGGCTGCCCTGGCCAAAGCCCTTGTTGTTCCCGGCGGCAGACCACCCGACGCGCTTGATGGCTATCACCTCGTCCCGGCCCACGTCGGCGAGGACGACAAACCAGCCCTCCGTCTGCGGCTTGGGAAACTTTGGAGCAAAGATGCGCGCCCCCTTGTCGGCCAGAGCATTGAGCCGCTTGAGCTCCACGGTGAGCGACACGGCGGTGACTCCCTTGACCGAGACGGACACGTTGGGCAGCAAGGCGACGGCACGGGCGAAGCGGGGTCGCTGGCCAGGCGGGACGCCTAGGCTCTCGGCGAGCTGGCCGACCTGCGCGGGCGCAAGGGCACTCATCTTGGCGATGGTTGTCTCGTCCTTGGCAGACTCGGGCTCGACGCCGGGCAGGATCGAGGGCGGCGGGTCCGTCGGCCAGCGAGCGCACTTGATGCACTGCATGAGCCGCATCATCTGCAGACAGCTCGACAGGTGACCGAGCTCTGTCAGGACGTCGATAGAGGCCTGGATGATTCGAATCGCCTGATCCAGCACGCTCGTCTGATCACCCACGTAGTCCGTAATGGGCAGGTCGATGCGCGACATATGTGCCTGGAGCAGCAGGAAAGCCTTGACGTGAGGATCCCACATGGGCAGTCCGAACGAATGGCCGGGGAAGGGCAAGTTTGCCGACAGAGCATCGTTGACGAGGTCTTCGTTGTGGCGTACGGGGAGCTCGTCGTACTCGGTGGCCCGGCACATCCAAGAAAGAACATCGAGGAAGGACGCCTGCGCCTTGGCGTGGCGGACGAGGTGGCGGATCGTCATGTGGGAGAGGTAGTAGTAGCTCATGATCTTGCCCATGGGCGTAGACTCCACGTCGCCGTTGGGGAACACCTCGACGCACTGTGACTTGGCGAGTTCGTCGAGCGACTTGCTCACCATCTCCACCATGTAGTCGTTGGCCATCTGCTGCGCTGCAATGGTGCTGTGCTCCTCCGCAGAGAGCTGCAGCCCGTAATACGACGGGTTCTTGTGCAGCCTCCGGAAGAAAAATGTCCAGGTCAGGTAATCGAGCGCATCCTGCTTGGTGAGCACAGTCTCGGCCGACACTTCGGCACCCAAATGGTTGTCGAGGACGGTGTGCAGCGAAGACTCGACCGGGAACCCCGTGTGGAGAAAATGCTTGTAAAAGTCCTTTTTGGAATCTTGCGTGAAGATGCGGGCGACCCCTGAGGTGTCGAACTGTGGGCGCCCTGCCCGCCCGAGCATCTGCAAGACGTCGGTCAGGTCCATATCCCTGTAGCCCTCCACCTTGGCATCGTAAAACTGCGTGCCCTTGACGACGACCAGATGGGCAGGTAAGTTGACACCCCAGGCTAGAGTGCTCGTCGCCACCAGGATCTGAATCTTGTTGTTCAAGAAGAGCTCCTCGGCGAGCTGACGGTCAGACTCGACAAGACCAGCATGATGAAGTCCGATTCCAAAGTTGATGGCCTCTTTCAGTGCATCATCCTTGACCCTGGCAAGGTTGAGCTGGAGATCGTCCTCATCCATTCGCAGAAAGCGCCGCGGATCCTCTTCCATGCCGCAAAAGTTGATGAGGTCCTTGGCTGTGAGGCGTGTCTGCCGGCGAGATGCCACAAAGACAATGACGGGCTTGCTCGGGCTGTGGTTCTTGATGGCGAGAAACGTGGGCCGGTTCATGGACTGCATCAATGGACAGAAGCCTCTAACCTCCGGAAACCCATCAATGTACAGCTCCAGAGGAACCGGACGCACAGAGTGCTTGAAGTTGAAGAGCCCCTCCTTAACTCCAAGCCAATTGGCCAGGTCGGCCGCGTTGGCACAGGCCGTCGACATGCCCAGCAGCCGGACGGCGTTGTTTGTCGACGACGCAATGTAGTTCATTCGCGACACAATAATTTCCAGAATCGGGCCCCGGTCTCCAGCAAGAAGATGAATCTCGTCAATGATGACCAGGCTGACTTGTCTGACGTAGCCTCTTGTCTGCCAAGACCGCGAGATGCCGTCCCACTTCTCGGGCGTTGTGATGATAATGTCCGCATCCTTGATCGTCCTCGTGTCTGGAGTATTGTCGCCGGTAAGCTCCACCAGCTTCAGTCCGAGCGGCCGAGCAAGGCGGGCTCCCCAGTCCTTGACACGTTCGCGGACAAGGGCCTTCATGGGGGCAATGTAAACCACCTTTGACTTGGGTCGTTCCCGGAACGCCCACCACATAGCCAGCTCGGCTGCCACCGTCTTTCCACTACCGGTTGGGGAGCCGAGCAGGACATTCGCGGCCGTGTGGTAGAGCGTGTGGAAGATTTGGGTCTGCATCGGGTTGAAGAACTGGAAGCGCTTGGAGTAGATTTCTTCAAGTCCGGGATTCTTGAGCGCAGTGATGGGCAGCGGCTGCAGGTTGAGCAGCTCCGTGTATAAGCTCTCCGTGTCCGGCCGGATGAGATGCTGAAAGGAGACTGGGGTCACCGTCTCTGCGCCCAGCCATCTGTCCGACACGGCTCGCACGTAGATCTGGGTCGGCAAGGGGTCCGACAAGGGGATGGTAAAGTTCAGCTCATGGTCATCATGGAGCTTCCTTCGGTTGAGGATGAAGAATTCGTGATGGTAAATCTCCGACGTCTCCGAGTTCTCCACCCAGACGTAGAAGGATTCGGATGTTCCGTGGATCTGATCCCTCCACGTAAAGTCGGGGATGACATAGAGCTTGATGCGCAGCACGTCCCGGTTCAGAGGCGCAATCTCCGCCTCCACGTGGACGGTCGGGAAGTGGTTCAATATCTTGGCGATGGACTTGCCGGCACTGTGGTTGCGCACCATGCCTCCGATTTCAGCTGGCTCCATGTCCTTCATGGCCTCTACCGTCAGGTTTTCCCTGGAATCCAGCTGGTTGAGAACCGGCTTGGCCAGGTCGAACTGGTGGAGAGGGTGCTGGAAGGGCCAGATCCTCTTCTCAATCGACTTGGACAGCGTCAGGAGAACGAGGCACTGGTGCCCCCACCTGCGGTTCAACGCGAGCATGAACAGAGCCCTGCAGATACGGCCGGACTGCTGTGCAACGTAGTTCATGTCGTTGGAAAGCGCAAAGTCCTCTGGCTGCAGTCTCGAGATGTACGACTGGAGCAGAATGTTCGTCTTTGTCTGCGCCGTGTCAATGCCTCCATCGACGGCACAGGGGACGACATTGTCCTTGAGGTGCGTCAGCTCCTTTGCCTCGGTGTCTCGAGACTGCACGTTGTCAAACTCCCCGCTCATGCTAATCATCTTCAAGATGTCTGCTTCGCTGGCCTGCGGCCGCATCATGGCGTTGAATACTTGAATGCTGGTGTGGAGAATGTAGTACTGGCTGGCGATTCTTCCAATGTCCTTGCTGCGCAACTCTTCCGTCCGCTCGTTGAAGATGATCATCTGGCACTGCTGAAGCGTTCGGGCTGCCTGCATCGCCAGCTGCCGTCGCCTCTGGACCAGGGTTGGATCATCACGTATCTCAGCCCACTCGATGCCGTAGGCTGTCGGGCTCCTCTGCATGCGCACGAACAGGTACGAGTACCCGATCCACTGCACGGCATCTTGGATGGACGTGACGGTCCCCAAGGCGATTTCGGCGTTGAGATTGTCGACCAGCTTGGATGAGAACTTGGACTCGATGGGCAATTGTTCCGTAATGGCCGTGAGGTAATGATGCAGCTTGTCTTGCGTCGTGCAAATCATGCCGATGCCAGTGTCTTCAAACTGAGGTCGACCGGCGCGACCAAATATCTGAAGGACATCGAGGATGCCGAGATCAACAAACTTTCCGTCTTGGGCGCTGTAAACCTGCGTCCCCTTGATCACGACGGCGGCTGCGGGTAAGTTGACACCCCACGCGAGCGTGGCGGTGCAGCAGAGGACCTTGAGGACGCCTTCACCAAACAGGCGCTCCATGAGGTTTCGATCCGCCCTGGCCATGCCGGCATGGTGTATTCCTAGGCCCTTAGCGAGCAGTTCGCGAATGTCTTTGGAACGAGACGACTTCATGTCCCGGGCAGCCTGCTCGTAGCGCGGGTGCCCGCTTGGATCAAATAGATCGTCGCACATTTGCTCCATGGCCTTTTGGTGAAGCATCTTGGCCGTCACCATTGTGTCTTTTCTCGAGTGCACAAAAACCATTACCTGGTGTCCCCGCTCGAGCATCTCCTTGACCTTGTCGAAGGCGACATTGTCCAGGTTCTCCTTTGATTGCTTGGAGCCTGCCTTGCCCTTGACACCAATGAAATGCTGCTCCAGCGGCACAGGACGAAATGACGCGTCAAAGTAGAAGAGACCCGCGTATCGGTTTACCTTGAGGAAGTCGGCAACGTCGACGTAGTTGGGGAGCGTCGCGCTCAGGCCGATGATGCGAATGAGCGACTGCGTGCTCTCCACTTGCCTCTCTGTCCGGGCCACCAACGACTCAAGCACGGCACCTCGGCCATCGTGGAGCATGTGGACCTCGTCTATGATGAGCAGACGGACTTTTTGGACGAGTTCCGTGTCGCCGGTGCCCTTGCGCGTGACGACGTCCCACTTCTCCGGTGTCGTGACGATGATTTGGGTCTGGATAATTTCAGACTTCGTAAGCTGCATATCCCCGGTGTACTCGCGGCACTTGATGCCAAGCCAAGCGAGTCGCTTGCCCAGCTTCTCTGTGACTTCGGCAGCCAGCGCCTTCATGGGGGCGACGTAGACGATTTTGAAGTCATCGACATCGACGGCGAACTCGGTTGTCGCGGGGCTCTCAATCGGGCTGGGCATGGCGTGCTGCCCGACAGTGTGGAGGATTGTGAGCATAGCAGCATCCGTTTTACCCTACTCGATTTCACATTAGATTAAGCCCGTCTGGCAAGCAGGGACAGGTGGCAACTCACGGCTCCAGTCGGGGCACAAATGAGCATATTCTCGTTCGTCTTGTACGCAACTGGGTACACAAGACTCTGCATCCGGTTCAGCGTCTTGTAGCCTTTAAAGGTATTTCTGCAGAGTCCATCTAGATCTGTTATCTTGACCAGCTTCTCGCCGGGGCCGGGCGTTCCCTTGCGGCCAGCCGGGACGGCGTACTCTTCGTACTTGTCGAATTGGAGACGTTGGCTACCGACGGGCAGGCCATACTTCTTTCCGGAGAGGCTCAGGGTGTTGCCGGCGTGATATGACTTGTACACATGGGGATACTGCGGTTCGTTGGAGTGGCTTGGCGCGAGAGCAGCAGACTTGTGCTCGGCGTCCTGGCGGCGCAGAGCCTCCTCCCGCTGCGACCGAGTCAGGAGTCGCGGCCCTTCTCCGGCCTGCTGTTCTTGGGCAAACGAGGTGGCCATGATTTCTTCTTTGTGGGATAGGATCTCAATGATGAACTCGAGGTCATCGAATCCAACCAGATCCGTGAGGTGCGCTTGCAACTCCTCATCTGGCTGGCCGGATCTCAATAGCCCTGTGATTTGAGTCTGGAAAACGTCGGGCGCCAGGCCGTTTTTAGTCGCCACGTCGGAGCATTTGCTGGCGAACCATTCTTTGCCGTGAGCTGAGGCCTGGTCGGCATCGTCGACGGCCATAAAGTCGCTGCTGTAGCCGTCGTCTTCGTAGTCGGAGATGAAGTCCCAGACATCCTGGTCACTATATCCGGAGGAATTGCCCTTGAGATCGTCATCGTCCCAGTCGTCTGCATCCAGCGAGGACGCCGGAGGGAGCTTGAGGTTCGCCAGGGCAGTCTGCATGGCCGCAAACTGCTCCCTCCACTGCGCTTCGGCGGCCATGAGATTTTTTGATGCCATGGCTGTTAGGCGACGCTTGCTACTGCTCTGGAGAAGCAGGAGAGCCGAATTGGCGGTAGGCTTGGGTGGGTGGCGGTTGATGATGCTATTCTCGAAACGCGAATATCCAGGTACTGTACATACAGAGTACTCGCAGCTGAGTCACACCGATGTTGTTCTGTCCTACCCTAGACCCTAGACCTCGGTTCCAAACGTCATCTCGACCCTACTCGGACGGATCCCTCTCCCCGGAGGGAGCCGCGGGGTACGGCTATGCGGTACATCAGGATGGACTCACCGTCCTCAGCGGTAACGGCCGTCTTGGGCTTGCTGAGGTCTTTGATGCCGAGGCGAGAGGCTCCCTAGAGGGTCTGCGTGCTGCGTTGAGCCTCCCGGCTGCAGACCAGATTGTCGTATGCCTCGATAACCTCGCGGTCGCGACGTGTCTTCAAGGCATGCCGTCAGATTCCTCCCAGAAGGAGTTCCTGGAATTCCAGGCCTTGGCCGCAGAACATGGTGCCACTGAGATCCGCTGGATCCCCGGCCACACCAACATCCCAGGTAACGAGCAGGCAGACGCCTTAGCAAAGGCAGGAACCTCTCAACCCGAGCCTGCAGACGCTCTCCCGACGCTGGCATATCTGCGCAAGGTCGCTAGGCAGCGACCAAAAGACGCATTCAAAGCCTGGTGGGAAGTTTCTGCACCCCAACAGTACAGGGTCCTCGACCTCGATGCCACGACTGGCTGCCCGCCAGAACTTACCATTCCACGACCTCTGCTCCACCATCTGCTCGCAGCAAGAACCCACCACGGGGACTTCGCTGATTACCACGAAAGGTTGAACCACGACGATGCGCGACTGACGTGCTCATGTGGTCGACGAAAAGAACCAAAGCATCTCTTCTATTGCCGGAAGATCGCGCCGCGACATCGGATGAGGTTGGCACCCTCACCGAGCGCGGCGGTCAACCGAGCAATAGGCAGAGACTTCGACCAGTTCGTCAAGGTGGCGAAGGCAAGCTCGTTCTTTGGAACGATCTGCCCTCGCCACTAGGCGGCAGCAACCGCTTTCCCTCCTTCCCTTCCCCTTTGTTTGCACACACACCCATTTTCTCTTACCCGACTCGGCCGGGCGGAGGGTGCTCTCCGGAACCGGCCCTGTGAGGCCAAAACGAAAGACATGGCTGTCGCGCCTGAACGTCCCGCTGACGGGCAGCAGGCTGAGCAAAGAAGCGCCTTTGAGCCGATGAAATGCTGAATGGTGGATTGTTTACGTTCTGTGGAAGGGCAGAAGACGCGGATTGGTACTCGTTTCGTTTCGCGTATTGTGGGCCTACTCCGCGATAGTAGACTTCCAGCAGCTCAGCACGTCCTGTGCCCCGTCTCGGGGACCTGAGCGACCTAAAGGTCGCTGGACGGAAAATACAATAATAATAATAATAATAACGTCATCTCGACCGGCCGGCTTCACACAAAACAGGCAAGCGGTGGTTTTCTCGTTGTTCTCATCCGTCTTTCCCCCTTATCTATCTATCCGGCAGCTTTCAGAAACGCCTATCAGCTATCCAGACGACTCCGTGTGGATCCGGCTGAGACAATCATTGTCGCAATGTAACCCTCAAAAAATTCAACCCATTATCATTTGCCTAAGCTTCTCATTTAAGCGTCTGTCGACACATTTGACCTCGGCGATCAGCACACTGCGGCAGCTTGCCAACGGCAATCGAAGTCCGTCCCAGTACACAATGCATAATGAATTGACCTCCGGACCTGGGGTTCGATAAGGGAGTCAAAAGAGGAGCAGCGCGCCATGCCCTGCGGGCAACCTTGACCAGAAATGGACTGTTCTACGGGGACGATTCGACTCAACTGCTGCAAAGAGACGGTCCTAGAGTCCGCCGGAGCGGGAGGGCGACCAGAAAGGGAGGGCAAAGCTCGATGAGTTCTGGGTCATCTCCTCTGCGGTGTCGAGAGGTTCGTTTCGTACTCGCGGACGTAGTGTCGGCCAGCGGCTCGCTTGCCAGGTCCGTGGGTTGACGCTGGACTGATAAAAGGATACCGACAGATGCGTCGGCGCTGTAATTGGGGAGCGGAGAATTTGGATCATGTTCAGTGGAGTTCTTCAATAGTGGCCCGAGGCAAAGACGTAATATAAAGGTCCGGGACAAAGATCCTTTGATGGAAGGGGCGCCTCAAGCGCAGACGTATCCACTGTCGCGATACCTGTAGGAATCAGGCAACGGTGGGAAATAGACGGATGCTTGCCCATTAAGGAATATTTTCGTTGGTAATCAGTTGGTGCGGCATTGGTCTATCCTTCGCTCTTCAGCGCGCGAGCAGCCTCTTCGATGTCTGGAACAAGGATGAATAGATCGAAAACCACGGTAGGGACGCCGTAACCTAGTGGGCGACTGCATCTTCGAACCAGACCCCACAAGGGAACCCACGCTTGCGTAAGAGCATACAAGGCTCATACCTTCCCCGATGAGGCGTCATGGTTGATAGTGGAGACGTCTGTTAGGAAAACATGTAAGTTAATTACGTAGTACGTAGCCGCAAAGAAAAGAAAGGAAGGACAGACATGCGGAAATTAATCACTATTCTGTCATAGTGGGGAGCCCCTCCACTGTAGGGATAGAACCCCGTGTAGGTGTCGGTTGGCGCTAATTCCATCCCGGGGATGAACCGACTGAAAGGCCCGGAGGGCGTCATAACTTACAGCGGATACTGTACGTACCGCGGAGGCCCGATCTGCTACGACGGCGCCCGCGCGACCTCAACCCCAACGTCCATCTCTCCTCTCCCTCCCCCCGACACGCTCGACCGTCTACGCCCCGCCGCCACTCACATCTCGTTGAAATACAAGCCCGCAACCTCCCAACCGATACATCGATTCCGCGCCTCCGTCGACGAAGCCGCCGCCATGAAGCTGCACTACATTGGCGTCCGTCCCGCCCCGCGCCCTCATCGTCTCCCCCTTCCCCATACTGCCTCGCCCTCTACGACTTGCTAGACGAACCGAGTCGCTCACCGTATACTTGATGGACAGATTATCCGCAACGAGGGCAAGCCCGCGCATGAAATCACCGCCGAAAAGGAGCTCAGCGCATACTCGCGCTTCACCCGCAACAAGTCTGTCGCCGCCCTCCGTCTTCGGTCCATCGCCGACATCGTGCTGACGAATCGCGCCACAGTTATGGCGAGTTCATGACTCTTTTCGCAAAGACGGTCGCCGAGCGCACCAAGCCCGGCCAGCGACAGGATGTCGAGGAGCAAGGTACGAAGCTGGCCCGAAAGACGGCCACTCTCCGCTGCTGCTGGGAGAAGGTGGAAACCACCATGTTCATCAATACATCGAGAAGCCACAGTCAAAGAGAAGACGCTCACATTTATTCTTCTGCAAAGATTACACGTTCCACGCGTACGGCCGCACCGAGGGCATCTGCGGCATCATCATCTCCGACCACCAATACCCCGCCCTCGTCGCCCACCAGCTGCTCAGCAAGTGCGTCGACGAGTTCCTTGCAAAGAACCCGCGCTCCTCGTGGACCACCGGCCAGCCCCAAATCCCCATGCCCGAGCTCGCCGACTATCTCACAAAGTACCAGGACCCTCAACAGGCCGACAGCATCATGAAGATCCAAAAGGAGCTCGACGAGACAAAGATTGTCCTGCACAAGACCATTGAGAGCGTCCTACAGCGCGGGGAGAAGATTGACGACCTCGTGGCCAAGAGCGATGGCCTGAGTTCCCAGAGCAAGATGTTTTACCGTGCGTCGTCTCCCGCCCCCCCCTGCTCCATGAGCCCCCTACTTACCGACTTGAGGATGCAGAGCAAGCCAAGAAGCAAAACTCGTGCTGCGTGCTGATGTAGTTGGGAAGGGTTGCTCCTTTTTTCACTTCGTTGGCGTTGGCTGTGGTGTCCTTTCCGTCACCAGCAAGGATGTTGGTATTGCGATTGGCTATTCTGACGGCGCTCATGATGCATATACATTGAACTTCATCATCATTCGCTTTGTGTCCGTAACCTGCTGCTTGCCCCAGCGGCGCGGGTGGATGCGGGAGAGCGCAGCGAGAGGTAGCTGGGGTCCGTGGGTTGAGCCCGGGACGCAGGCAGCTGCCGTCCACAGGCACAGAATATAAAGCATTAATGAATGGTAAAACATATCAAAGATTTGACTATCTGACGGGCTCGCCGCCTGAACTATGTACTCCAGTACGATCCCCACTCCGTTCGGTTCTGACCAGACGCCGATATGCCGCTTCGTCGGGGATGATCCCGGGAACACCACGAAAGAAGAGGAGAAAGGAAAGACGAGAAGAGAAGATGCTAGGTATATGTCTTAAAGTCCGTCACTTGTGGAAATGAGGAAAGAAGAGGAGAATGAAAGAGAAATGGGGAATAATGTAAGGAATGCCCGAATATCGTGATCCCGCACAACTTGTCGACTCTACACCCCGAAGCGGCTCACCCAGCCTCGAGTGACCCCTGCCCTCATCGCCCCTCGACAACGACGCGCTCGCTCATCCGATGCAGCGCCGGCGACGCCTTGGGGTCCTGCCACGGGTCGATGAAGCGGGGCCTCGAGCTCTTGGTCTCGTTGACGCACTTGCTCTGGGGCAACTGCTTCTGCAGCGGCCCCAGCAGAGCCTGCTGCTGACGGGAGACGCTGATCTGCCGGGCAATGGACACCTCGACGGGGTCCTGGGCCGGCGCCATGTCCGGCTCCTGGTCCGAGGGAGTGCCGGAGCGCGCGGACGAGGCAGGGAGGGGACGGACTGCGGGTGGCGGCGAAGGGGCGGCTTGCGGTGGGGAAAGGGGCGGGTGCGCCGTATTCCACGTCCGGGGGGAAATCTTGGACTCGACGCTTGGGGACCTGGTGCTTACTTGCAGGCGGGTGTCGGCAGCGACGCTTGGGGACCTGGTGCTTACTTGCAGACGGGTGTCGACAGCGAGTGGAGATGGTGTAGGTGCAAGTCCCTGGTCCGACGACGAGCGCTGGTGGAATTTTGAGATGAGCCGGGGACGCTCAGCTGGTAATGAAGTAGTCGCCGCAGCCTTCTCTTTCCCACCACCGAGGCGCGTAGATGCGGCAACGTGCAGGGGCGTGCCAAACTGTTCCTGAGACTCTCCTTTCGTCTTCAAGCTGGTTTGCGGGGGCGCAGACAGCGCGGCTGGAAACGTGCTGGACCTCTGGCGTGGGGACAGCCGTGGCCCAGGGGCGCTTTCGGGGGACGCCAGCTGCTTCGGCGACACGTTGCTTTCCAAGGCTGGGGTTCCGGGGGACGGTCCCGACGATGCCGACTGCTGCGCGAGCCCCTCGTCTTCTTGGATTGACTTTAACCTGTCCCGCCGCCGTGCCAGCAGCGACGTGGTAGAGCGATTTTCGATAAGGTGCCCAAACATGATGCTGTAGCGTTCCATGGTGACGTCTGGAATGCTAATGTCCAGGAGCTGGTCGGAATATGGCGATCCAGGGGACGGCGAGCGAAAATCCCTTGTGTCTTTGTGCCTTTGGCCGGTCTTGTCGCCAGCATCCCTGGCAAGTGGACTCGAGGTGCCGCGTCTTGTCAGAACCGCCCGCGGGGAACTGGTCCGCTCGCCCATGGTCGGGTCCGTCCGAGACTTGGCTAGGGGCTTTCGCCTGGGAGAGAAGGCCGCGTCTCTTCCGTCTTGGGCGACGTTGTCCAGCTGCTTGGGAGGTTGCTGGACGGGGCTCGCCGACCGGCTGCTTGTTGGATCATCTCTGAGTCTGGCGTCCGGGATCTTGCTCCTCTTGGACCGTGTTCTTGTAAAAATACCCCATTTGCGAGACTTGGACTTGGACGGGTCGTCCTTGAAGGAACTCAGAGACTCGACCGTAGTCGTCATGGTGGGCAAGAAGGGCTGCCAGGGTGTTATTGCGTAATCGGGAGGATGTGTCGGGCTCCCCAAGGCCATGCCAATACCGATGACTCCCGTGTCTGAGCCGGTATCCGAGGGCGTCGTCGACCGGACGGCCTGTTCTCGCTGTGAAATGCCGGGCGTCGACGTGGAGGATGTCGGTGTCTCGGAACGAAGGGGCTTGTGGTACGAGGTGAAGCTGCCCTTGGGTCGGAGTCTGTTGACCGAGGGCAGGCTATTGGGGGCGGCCTTTTGATGTGGGCTCAAAAAATCGAGGGCGTCGTCGATATCTCTGCCGGCGTCGGAACCAGACGCTTCGGCGGCTGGTGTTGGCGGAGAATCGATGACGCCCGAGCTGTGCTCCTTTGCGCTCGTCGACATGATAAATGGAGCGTGACGGCATCTACAGCGCAGGAAGAGGGCCGAGCGATGGTCAAGTCATACTCAAGATGTAGCCGTCGTCTGTGCAGTCTCTGGGGATAGGGTATAAGTACTGGGCTGGGTGTCGTCTGTTACAAGCAGAGCCTACTCGCTGCGCATCCATGATCGGATCTCGTCCATCAACAGGGACAGGGGGGGAAGGATGGGGGGCGAAAGACGGTCAAGTCTAAATGTCATGAGGCCACGGACTTGCGACGAGGACTCGCTCGGCAGGACGTTTGAGGTTGATGGGACGTCATGTCGGGCTGGATGGGGCTCGCTCGCTCGACTGGAAGAGCAAACCCATGTCCAAGGGGTTATTGCTGGTTTCGGGAACCTTGGCTCGAGGGTTGTAGCAAGGCGGCCGCCCCCTGTCATGGCTGAGCGGGGTGGCCGACGAGGATGATGTCAAGCCAAGCAAAAGACTCGTAACATTGTGTCAACGACGCAAGCGCTGGCCCCACGTGGTGTCGTAGATTGACGACGAGCGGATTTGCTTTTGGCGCGACGCACCAGAAGGAAAAAGTGGTGGGGAGATTCCAGAAGGCGAGTCGAAGATTCCGGGCTCATGCTGCATTTGCATTAGAGAGGCCCACGCAATGCAGTTAATGCTGGGCACGAGCATGACTGACCTAGACTTGGGCCCCTGCGCCGTGAGAAACAAAAACGGCAACAGATCTGTCCATGATGATGAATCGTTGCCCAACCCCTGAAGTGCAGATGAAACAGCGTCGACGCTTGGGGTGGGAGGAAAGCGTCTCAGAATCGGCCCCTGGGTGTTTCTGTTAGACGACGACAAGGGACACTGGCGAGTCGTGTCAGGGAGTGTCGGCGACGTCGGATCGGGCAGCGTGATTCGTTTGCGGCAAGCAGATTAAGGGCGGGCCAGTCTATTGTCGCTGATGCACCATGGCGTTCCGGCTGGGTTGGCCTGCTGGGTTGGCCTGGGCCGATCTGAGATCAAGGCAACGTTGGGCACTGTTGCTCTGGGGAGAGAGGGCCTTGTCCAAGGACGGACGAAGATTGACGAGGCGGTGTGACGGGAAATGGCCCGATGCGTGGGGGGTCGAAGAGCTGCACGTCGCCTCCCGCTGCAGGTACCGATACTTGCCCTAGCGGCCTGGAGCCAAAGGAATCAAGGACCCAAGCCGCCGGTTCCTGTAGCAGTACGTACATGCATAAACATCAAACTCCAAAGCGTCGAGAGAGACGTGCCGCCCCGATGGTCCTGCAAAGGCGTAGCAATATTATTGCCTTGGACCTTCCTTGGCTGTGTTTCAATATCGATCGTGACGCGGCGCTTGGACAGGGGCGTCAATGGCGTCGCATCTCAGTCTGTCGGGTTGGCCAAGCTGTAGTTTCACAAGCGTCCATGCACGGGACATCGGACAAACAGGACATTGCGGATGTTTGGGCTTCGGAGAAACATGCTGTCGTCTCTCTTTTAGCAGCATCGAGCATCCGTGAGCGGAAACCAGAGGACTACAATGTGACCGCTCTCGGCCAACGAAGGGCCGCACAGCCGGTCTCCAACCCTCCATGAGTCCATGAGTGTGAAAGGCCTCTAGTGAGTTGATACAACTAACTAGTCCCTATGCTGTTTACTATCAAGATAGAGAAGAAAGAAAGAAAGAAAGAGAATCTACTACATGAGAGCACAATAGCATTTTATAGCTTCGAGCCAATGGAAGGTTCTAGAAGCTAGGCGGCGCAGCCGCCGTTAAAGCAACTTGCCTGTTACATTACCTCCTCCCTTCCAACGTTTCCTCTTCCGGGGTCGTGGCAATCTGTGGCAAGATGACTTGAGAAGGTGACACTCCTTTATGCTTCTTCCATTGCTTCCATGCATCGGTGTGTCGAATAGTAGTAAGGGGTTCCCACGTAGGCTGCGAGTAATCATGCCATTTTACGAGCACCTTCTTATGCGTACCTTCCATTCTTTCATCCAGAATTCTTTCAACAAGGTACATCTTTTCGCCGTCCACCAGCACCGGTGGGGCACTCTCTTGATCGAGTTTCTGCGAAGGCAATGGGTCTCCGGGGACTGGCCGGAGTAGGTCGACGTGAAAGACTGGATGGATGCGCCCAGGCACATCCAACCTGTAGGCATGTGGGCTAACTTCCGCGAGCACTTGATATTTGGCATGTAGCCAATCGAGCTTCTTGCAGGGTCGCGATGTTTTGACATTTCTCAAGTTGAGGTATACCCAATCCCCAGGCTCGTATCTCGGTGCGGCTGTCCTGTGCTTGTTGGCTTGCGCTTGCTGTATTTCCTGGGCCATAGCTATCGCTGCTTGCGCAAACTCCGTGGCGTCCTGTAGTCTCTGAATAAAATCCTCCGCTGTCGCTTCCCCCTGCGTCGTGTCTTCCGTTCTTCGATGCTCAACTAATTGGATTGGCTCGTTGTGGTAGCCGTGCATGAAGAAGAACGGACTCAGTCCGGTGGAGGTTGCTTCCTCTCGTTAATAGTCGCCATCGCGATTGGAAGCAAGTCTAACCAGTTCTCCTGCAGATAATTCGTCCATATCCGAAGAATCCTCTCTACCTCTTGGTTCATTCGTTCTGTTGCACCGTCGGTTTGTGGATGGTACGCCGTCGACAACCGCTGCTCGATTCCTAGCATCTGACAGAAACTTTTCCACATACCACTGACAAACTGGGGACCCCGATCACTGGTTATAGCCGTTGGGATGCCATGGACAGGGTAGTGTCGTTCGAAGAGTCTTCTTGCAACCGCTTCTGTGGAAATATCGTTCAATCCTTCGAGTTCGACGCCTTTGGTGAGTCGGTCCGTGACCACCATGCAGTTCGTCGCGCCATCTTTCCCCGACGGTGGGAGGTCAGTAATAAAGTCAATGGTAATTTCGCTCCATATGCGTTGCGGAATAGGGAGCGGCTTTAGGAGTCCTTTCTTTGTATCCTCCAGATGGTGTTTCGTCCGCAAACCTCGCAGTTGCGCACAAACCGACGTACATCGCTAGCGGCACCCGGCCAGAAGAAGCGTCTCGACAGAGTCGAGTACGTGAGGTCCCTTCCAGGATGTCCGGTGATATGAGAGTCGTGAGTTTCCTGGATGATCTTTGTACGTAGCGGCTCCGAACCGGGTATCCAGACGCGTTCTCTAAAGCACAGCAGGCCTCTATTGTCTAATGAGCATTCTGAAATGCTGACAACCTTCTCCTTCTGTAAGTCTGTTGGCACACTCTTCGCTCCATCTGCTACCAGCTTCGTGAGTTCTTGATAAAGCTTGTCTTCTTGCCGTGCGGCGTGCCACAGCTGCTGTAACTCCTCATCTTCAAATATCCTGATCTCTTTCCGAAGTTGATTTCCTGGGCACCCTCGGTGTTGGTAGACAATGTCGATATTGGGACCCTTCTAAGGTGATCATTTTGGAATAGCCTCATAATGCGTCCCTTTAGTCGTTCATCGGAGTAGTTGGCCGGCATATCCTGGTCCCGTCGAGAGAGTGCGTCAGGCAATCCGCCCTTGCGGCCCGGCCTCCATTCGAGCTCGAATTGGAACCTGGACAGGAACTCCGACCACCGCACTTGTCTCTCTGTCAACCTCCTTTCCGAGTAGAAGTACCTCAGGTTCTTGTGGTCCGTTAGGATCTTGAAGTGCTCTACTGCCCGTAGCTCTGGTTCCCACTGCTCCAAACATCTGAGAATGGCGAGTAGCTCCTTGTCATGGATAGCGTAGTTCGCTTCGGCTGCCGAATGTTTCTTCGAGAAGTATGCGACAGGTCGTACCAGTCCATCCTTATCATCTCTCTGCAAGAGCACGCCTCCCGACGCGAATCCTGAAGCGTCTGCTTCCACGATAGTCTCCTTTCTGGATGGAAGTGTGCAAGGATCGGGGCCGTGATCAACAAGTCCTTGAGCTTCTCGAAGGCTTCTTCGCACAATTCATCCCAACGGAATGGCACGTCCTTCTTCGTTAGCCGCGTTAGCGCTCCGCTATCACCGAGAACTCTGGCATAAACATCCTGTAGAAGTTCGCGAATCCAATAAAACTCCTCACGGACTTAACATTCGTCAGGGTTGCCCATTCCTTCACAGCCTCAACCTTCTCAGGGTCGACTCGGATCCCACACTCCGCCTCGATGATAAACCCAAGGTATTTCACAGCCTTGACTTCGAATTCACTCTTGTTGATATCCAGTTGCAGCCCGGCGTCCATCAGTCGTTGGAGGACCTTGCCGACCTTGTCGCGGTGGTCTTGCAGGCTTCCAGAGGAGAAGATCAGGACATCGTCGATATATGCTGACACAAAATCGTCTAGGTAATCCTGGAGCGCGCTGTTAATGTACCGCTGAAAGGCTGCTGGTGCGCCTGTCAGGCCGAATGGAACTACCAGCCATTCGAAGGATCCATAGCGCGTTCTGAAAGTTGTCTTTTCCTCGTCGCCGGGGGCGACCCTGATCTTATGGAACGCTGCTATAACATCTACCTTGGTGAACCACCTTGCCTTGGCTATCGTTCGCAAGGTCTCGCTCAGTAAGGGCAAGGATAGCGGTCCCTCTTCGTTATATGGTTCAAACCTCTGTAATCCACGCAGAAGCGGATGCCTCCGCCGGGCTTCTTCACCATAAGGACTGGTGCCGCGGCTGGCGAGCTGCTGACTCTAATAAATCCCTTGTCGAGTAGTTCTGTGAGAGTCTTCCGTAGTACCAATAGCTCCTCGCGGGACATGCTGTAAAGCGGTCCCCAGGGTAGGGCTTCTCTCGGCCATGCTCGTCTTTCAGCACTTCGATCTTCAGGTCCACACCTGGCCGATGAGGGGGCAGCTGGTCGGCCAGTTGCTGAGAGAAAGCTCGAGACCACTTGTGGTACTGTGGTGGCAGCTTCTCCATTACGTCAGTCTTCGGTTTCGGTCTTAGGGCCTTGTCAATATCCGCCATCGTGACCGAGTGAACTCCAATGCCGCCTTTGCGTTTGTCACGGCGTGCTTCTGCTAAAAAGGTTGCGGCCATGACATTAGAGACATCTAGCTGTGGAGGCTGGTAACGTCGTCGGTCTCGTACTTGAACTCCATTGGACCCGATCTCGAGATATCCTTCCTTCGCATGGATGTGAACATCCTGGTCTTCCATCCATCGTTTACCCAGGATCATATCCCAGTTCAGATCGTCGATGACGTACATGAAAACACGATGCTGCTGATGTCCATCGAGGTCGATCGACACATACGTGATCTTGTCGATTTTGACCTCCTTGCCGTCTCCCGCTGCATTCTCCAAGATGCGCGGCTGGACGCGTATATGTGGCAACTGGAGAGAGTGAAATGTGCGCTTGCTAACCGCGCCGTAGCAGAGGCAGCCATAGTCGACAAGAGATGGCACGAAGTCTGTGCCGTTCACCCTGACGTCTGCTATGAACGGTTCTCCGTCCATTTTTGCTTTTCCGCTCACATCCCATTCTCTCACAGCCGCCGCGTGTCCCTAGTCTGAATCTTCATCGTTATGAGAAGAAGTATCGTCTTCGGCGACCTCGGCTTTAGTGACCGCTGGTCGTGACGGGGTCACGGCATTGACCTGAGTGCGTCGGGTCGTGTTTGCGGGTCGGATAGGCGCAGCCAATGGACAGCGCTCGATTCTGCAGTTGTCTCTTCCACAACGGAGGCAACGCCCTTCACGGTAACGGGCGTCCATCTCGGCCTGGTCGACCCACTTGGCACGCTTGCCCAACAGCGCTTGGTCTTCTGGTCGCTTGGATTGGTAACCATATGTGTTCTTATCACTGCGGGTGCGCGCAGCGTTCACTTTCGCGGATGCTTGTAGAGTTGGTTCCCATTCCATCATATCCTCTCGTCTAACTTCGGTTTTCTGGCCAGGCTGTTTCTGGGCAGCCTGGCCTCCATGATTCTGGTGGTTGTCATAGTTGTCCGAACTCTTTGTGTTGCCTCGAGGCCTTTTCCACTGACCCAACAATTCCATCTGGCTGCTCAGCGAATCGCACCTCCTCGCCAGCCCAACATAGCTGCTGATGGCAGAGGGTCAGAGCCTATGAGGGCTGCTTTCATTTTATCGTTTAGTGCCTCCTGGAGTAGGAAATCTTGCTGTCATCTGGCCAATACTCGGCGTTGGCATTGGCGATCTCCTCTCAAAGCGGGGTAAAGGACGTGAACGGTTCATTCTCTCCTTGCTTAATCGAATGCAGGTTGCGTGTAGCTCTCTGCTTGCGATCCCTCTCCCGTACAGCAATTCGAGGCGGTTGAGTAGTTCAGCAACATTGAACGTTTTCTTCTCGGTTTGCATCTCCACAAATGTGGTCACGTTGTCTTTAGCCTTGCCTTCTAGGCTCATGAAGATGTACATAAAGTGGCCTTCTGCATCTCCAAGGGCTTCTTTGTCGACTCGTAGCTTTCCTTCGGTTTCTAGTTTCCAGCTTCGCCACTGGGCCTTGTCGCCGCCGAATTTCGGTATGTCTCGTAATTTGGGGCGCTTGGTTGGGTGAGGGTTGTGAGTGGCGACCACACGAGTGTCCTCAATGGGGACAGCCGGGGTGACAGATGGCGTTGGCTCTAGGAGTTCAGACGAACGGGCTTGCTGGTGTTGTTGGAGTTCCAGGGCAATAAAACGTTCTTCAAACTGGGTGTTTCTTCGGGAACTCTCTTCTCTCAGACTTCGTATCTCGGCAACCAGGGCGCTGAGGACGTCCGGCTGCATGTTGTTGTTATCTTCGGCCATCGCGACTTCGCTGAACGCTAATAGTTCGACGGGACTCAGTTTGGTGTCTTCAGTGTCTTCGGTGTCTTCGGTGTCTTCAGTGTCTTCGGTGTCTTCAGTGTCTTCAATGTCTTCAGTGATCTTGATAGTATGTGAAAGGCCTCTAGTGAGTTGATACAACTAACTAGTCCCTATGCTGTTTACTATCAAGATAGAGAAGAAAGAAAGAAAGAAAGAGAATCTACTACATGAGAGCACAATAGCATTTTATAGCTTCGAGCCAATGGAAGGTTCTAGAAGCTAGGCGGCGCAGCCGCCGTTAAAGCGGCTTGCCCGTTACAATGAGTCCATGACCATGTAAACGATTTCAAAACTTGAAGGCTTCTGGCATGAAAAGCAAAAACGCGGGAGAGACGTTGTTGCTAAGCTGCGCTTCAGTCACTTAGTCGGTTGAAAAGGAAAGTGTCTGTCAGTCTAATATCTCTGCGTTATGGTTATATGGTATAGTAATGAGAGGAACCCGCCAAAAGCCGGCCGAGCTTAAGCTCCAGTAGAGAGCTCCATACAGCGACAAGAGCGCTCTCTATATACACGTCTAGTCCTACACTCTCTACCCGCGCTGTAGGCCTCTGCATATCAGTAAGGCCTTTAGAGGTGGTCAGGACCTTGATAAGCAGCCGCCGAAACGGTCGTTGATTCGTCAGCGGACTATCTTATAGCTTCTCGTTTCGCTATTCCTTGAAGATGCCGCCCGGGGTCCTCGGAAACCCGCCGTTTCTAAAGCGGCCGGCGCCAGCGACCCCAGCGCCGGTGCGGCCAACACGGCCAGCACGGCCAGCACGGCCAGCACGGCCAGCTGTGTTACGGGCATTGCCGGGAAAGGGACCGCCGATGCGGCCAACGCCAGCACCAACAGCGCGGCCCTGGCTAATACGGCCGGTGTTGGCGCCGCCAGCAGTAGCAATGCCTGCCGGGTTGTTTGCCGCTCGGTTGGCGGCAACCAGGCCAACGACGAGAGTGAGGAGGGTGATTGAGATTTGCATTTTGGGCGGTAGCTTGCTTTAGTGAGGATATTTAAGTGATGAGAAGACTTGTAGGGCTGGGTTGTAGATGTGGACTGAAGACGATGAGGATGAGATGCCATCAATCAGTTCGAGGTTGGCTTCTTTATAACATTTCGCGCTCTGCTTGGGACCCTGCTGACGAGTCAAGTCTGGACAGCGAGTGTTTGACTGAAGCTGAAAGCCATTCGTCCAACTCTGAATAACTGATAGAGACCGTTTCGACTCTGGAGATGCCTATGTTTGTTGCGTGTGAGTCGGGTCTTTGCGGGGAGACACGGAAGCAGAAAGGGGACTCTGCACAGCTCCAGACATACAAGGCGCCTTCTTTGATATTGCGAGCCGACACCAGCATCGGGTGCTTAGTGTAAGGTCGACGGAATACTCGGCGCGCAACGACCCTGGGTTCCGCGAAGCTATTCCCAGCGCCTTCTACCACGCAACGTGTTTCACAGCCTACACCTTTGACAAGTCGAGCGCACTGTCTTTGAGTTATCAACAGAAGTATATAGGCACGTCTACGCTCGCAGAAGATAATCGTATTTTGGCCCGGATTCCAGACTGAAGCGGATGCGGTTTTACGGTAACCAGACAAGTCGCAGAGGGCGAGCTTACAGCTCGTGTACAACTCGAGACGCCGCGGTTCGAGATGTAGATATGTCGTTAATGCTCGCTCTGCCTAGGGGACTTTTAACTGTATATTAAATAACAGGTTCTAGTTTGACCAACTTGTGTTACTACGCCGAGGGAGGGTTGGAGAGTCATTGTACGGGGCGAGAGACTGAGAGTCTAGAGAGAAGCGCCGATATCCATTATCCATTATCCGGCCCAAAGCTATCCAGGTTGCCCCCGCACTTTCCCGAAGGCTGTTTATGCATTGTGGCCCCGTTTCCTGGCTTCTATTTTCGAAGCTGCCCATGTTCTAGAGGTTTCAGGATCCCCTTTCCATCAGTCAACTGCCCTATTTACGGCTTCCGAGATCCTTACGTCACTGCCCTGCCAGAGGCCCATCACAGTAGTACCTAGGTACAAAGCTACCTGACGCATGGTGGGGTCCAGCCGGACGGATACAATCAGTACCCCTCCTTTTTGAAAACCCGCGGCGGGGCCAGGCGTCTGGGCCAATCGCTGGCCGCCGTGACCTGACAATTTCAACGGGGCCTCTCTCGCCTCTCTCAACAGCTTCATCCCACAGACCAACCCGCCCCGAGCTTCCCTCCAACCAGGCCGCTTGCTCGTCGACAGAGATTTGCCGACGCCATCATCTCGTCTCTCTCTCTCCCCCGCCGCCGTCTCGCCCCCCTACTTCTCCTCCCTCCATCCTCGCTAGCCCTTTCCGTACCCGTCGGGCTTCTGTCCCCCAATAGCACGCAACCATGTCCTGGCAAGGTTGGTCCACCGCCTCTTGCGCACTCCTGAGCCTTTGCTGACCGGCGCTCGCCCACAGCATATATCGACACCAGGTACAGCCGTCCACTTCCTTCTAAGCGGGACAATGTACTGATGGGACGACAACCAGCCTGGTCGGGACTGGCCATATAGACAAGGCTGCCATCATCAGCGCCGCCGGCGACAGTGCGTGGGCCGCCTCTGGCGGCTTCCAAGTATGTTGAACATGACCTGCCAAAATCGCGCCATTCAGGGATACAGCCGAGGCTAATGCCCTGCGCCTGGAATAGCTCAAGCCTGAAGAGATGAAGGCCATTGCCGCCATACTTAGCGGTGATGATGGCGCGAGGGACAAGGCCTTTACTGAGGGCCTCTTCATCTGCGGTCAACGATACGTCATGCCTCGAGCCGAGGATGGGAGTATTTACGCCAGATCGGTACGTCTTGCCCACTGCCATGGAGATGGCGTCAGCTAATGTCTTGTTCTTATTTCTTATCGACAGGGCCGACTCGGCGTCGCCATTGCCAAGACCAAGCAGGCAATCGTCGTTGGCCACCACGGAGAGACCCAGATCGCCGGCAACGCCACTTTGACCGTCGAGGCCCTGGCCGACTACCTCATCGGCCAGAGCTACTGACGAAGACGTGCGCATGTAAGATAAACATGACGGGGCGCTGCTAGGGCGGTGGAGATGTGGGCAACATCGCATCAGGACACAGCTGGGGCGTCCAACCGCCCCATCTACTGGACCGCTGGTCAAGTGCCCCCGGAGACTTCGCTACAGCGTGGAGAATTTGAACCTTGAGCATGTGCGCCGAGGCATGGGAATACATTGCTCAACTGTTTTAAACATCATCGGAAGTATTGTCTGTCCTTGAGAGATTCTGCATATAAGCAATCCAAGTGCCTGTTCGGTTCAACCCAGTCCACGTGCCTTGTTCTCGGCAAGTGAACCTGGCCTGGGACTATGCGAGGACGTGCAGAGCTCCCACCGAGGCTATACATACCGTGATGTGTATTCATCACGCGTCATGGTCTATGATCCCGGTCCGCCCATGCAGCCTGGATTTTTCATTGCTAGAAGGGATTCGATCCCAACTCGCATCGCACAGTCCCGTTCGCCAAATTCAGCGCCAGTCTGTACAATAGAAGCAATCGCCGCGCTCGCTCGCTCGAGATCCGGGTGATGCGAGCGCCTTCATACCGGCAGCTCGGCGTTTCTCCGCCCCAGGCCGATGCGGTCCACCAAGACGCCGATATAGGGCCCCACGACGGGCAGGCCGCGCGCAAAGCCGGCAATGGTGCCCAGAAAATCCCCAAAGAGGACGACAATGCCGTATGCCTCGACGATGAAGCCGACAAAGGTCCACCGCAGAAGGATCAGGGCGAGGCCGACAAAGAAGGCGGCCGTGCCTTTTGCTTTTTGCTTGCGCGCGAAGAAGAGGAGTGTCTTTTGCGGGCCGATGATGATTGTCAGGCCGATGAGGAAGAGGATCTGCGGCGGGGGATGCTGTTTAGCTCCTGTGACGTCGCATCGGGGGACTGGAAGGAAGAAGATTTTCGTACATTTCCCATGGCAAGCCTTGAGAAGATGAGTTAGCGGCAGCCGGGATCGTCAGCCTCGGCGCGGAGCAGGGCTTACATGGCACGGTCAAAAAAGAGCATGACTCCGCCGATGAGGAACAAGCCTCCTGCAGAGCAAAAAGAGAGGGCGAGGACACAACATCAGTCACCGGTCGCGCGACGTGCCGAAGCTTCTGCAGGATGCATACCTACCGCCGGAGCAGAAGACAACCCCAATCTCTAAGCAACAGTCAGCCCCTATCTAGAGCTCCGTGGGGAAGGCAAGGCCTCTGTTCCTGGGCCGCGCGCGGGGCCCAAGACGAGAAGACGGGGGAGGAAGAGACGGAGTGAACGTACTCTGGGAATCGGAAAGCCACATGGACATGTTTGCGGTGTTGCTGGTTTGTTGGGGATTGATTCCCGGAGAGTTGGTGGTGGTGGTGTGTTGTTGGCGCGTTGCGAACTTTGTCGTGCGCGCGTCAAGCTATCAACCAGTATCTCGTGTAAAGCTCTTGTGTTGAAAATAGCAGCGGCGGCGTCGGAGGATCGAAGTTCGGCATCGGTTTATAAAACCGCGTTCGAGGACACCTTGGCTTCCTTCCAAGGCCGGGTCCCTTTTTCCTTGACTACAGCATCCGACGGAGCTTTCGCGTTGGCCTGCCAAACGCTATGGGCTTAGCGCTGCCTGGCCGTAAGTCCCAGCAAGGTAATTACTGTATTATGTACATGCCGCGTTGGGCTTTCGGGATCCGGATATTGTGTAGTGCCGAGCTGCGACCAAAGTGGAACTAGTCAGTCCAGTTTTCACGCTGCAGATTCGTCCTTGCCATCCATCTTTGCATTCTTTCTAGCCTGGCCATTTTACCCTCTCGGTGGGCTCTTCCAAACGCATGCCGATGGCGAACATTGCTTGCACTCGCACCAGCGTGATACAGTCCTGCTAGGATCGAGAGGCACTTCGTCTACGAGCAGTGCTGCGTACGATCACCGGCCGCAAAACCTCGCAATTCAGCGCTTCAACCAAGTGGTTTGATTGCATGGCAGCGACGTTTACTTGATTGATCCAAGCTTCAATCTGCCGACCAAGTCGTTTTCAATCCACGACCCACGTTATGTACATGCCTTGACGGCCGGGCGTTTCGTCTTGGCAACTGAGTCTCGTCCTCCATACGTTCTCGGTACACTGTCAATCAGGCAAAGAAAAGACCCTTGCACGATCACGATTAAGCCGGAGCGTCATTTGCCATCTCTGTGCCGAAAGGCTGGCGATGTATAGTTGAGGCTTGACTTTGTTGGTCGGACACTCTTGGACGTCATGCTCGGCTTCGCCGTGTGTGTCTGCCGACCTAGTTGAGACGCTCCCACGGCGCCGTCTTCGCTGCGATCCTGTAGTACTTGTCTAGATGACCATTGCCACCCCGTGCTCGCCATCACTTCAGTACGGTGTGGGCGCCGCGCGCTTCGAGGAACTGCTCGGCAGTGGGCTGCGGCAGAGAACGGATCAAGCCAAACACCTCCTTATTGTGATAGCGCATCCTGGTCTTGGGGTCGAGGTAGGACGCGGGGAGGCCGGTGACATCGCAGTAGTACTTGGAGTGCGCCAGGGACGGCGCCGACTCGATGTTTGTGTAGGTGGCGCTCGGGGCGGTGACGGCGGCTGCAGCGGCGCCAGTCGGCTTGAGTGTCTTCTCCAGCACGAGCTTGGACAGGCTGCGCGAGGCCTGGGCGAGGTTCGGAGGGTTGCTGGCGCCGGTGGCGGGCGTCGAGGTGCCGCTGGTGGAGAGGCCGTCGTCGGCCGGGGTCGCGTCGCCGCTGACGTCCTGGGGCGTGGCCATGGCCGAGGCCTCTCGCTTGGACGCGTCGCCGACAATCGTCTTGAGGTTCTTGTTGCGCCGCTGGTTGGGCCGCCAGTTGGGGTTGCGGAAGTTCTTGTGGATGGAGTGGATGTCGAGCTGTTCGATGAGCTGCTGGTGCGCGAGCTGGGCCTCGGTTGGAGCGGCCATGATTCCGACGCGGGCCGGCGTCGCCAGGGTCAGAGAGAGATGGGTACGTCGTCGCTGCGCAGGATGAAGAAGATGTGAGAAGTGATCCAGCTGCAGGCGAAGGATCGAAGGAACTAAGGTTAAGACCACGACGAGCTTTCGCTGCCGAGGGCGATTCTGCCGTGTCTCACCGCCCGTCCCGGGATGGTTGCTTGAAGTATTAATACAGTACGTACGTAGCGATGCCATCAGAGCACAGTACAAACGGTGGTACATGCACGCGCATCCACGGCCCAAGGCAAACAAAACACGGCCCGCGCCATTTGCAACTCACGACATGGTAGGCATCAACGACTGCGGCCCGTCATGGCTTCAACTGACCACTGAGAGCAGGAGAGTCCTCACGAGCACCAGCAGAACCTCCTGCTGTCCCGCATCATCACCAACGTGGTACCATGCACTGGCCTCCAGCTCGCCAACACGCCCAGCTGGCTGACTGGACAACGCAGGAGAAACTCAACGAGGCTGTCGTCGTCATGAACAAGGGCCTTCAAGTAAGCCCTTGTTCTCAGACGCTCGCCTCCATGGGTTGACTGACCCCATGCTCGCAGGAAATCAACATCCAAAACATGAACGTCGAGCTCGTGGCGCAAATGTTCAAAAACTACCAGTCAAACGTCCTCTTTCACCTCGAAGGTACGTCGGGCCCCCTGGCACCGCAGCTGTGAAGAAGTTGGAATGACGAGCCGGGCGCAGCAACGGACAATCTCAAGCCCCCGTCTTAGCGTTGTCAATTGGCCAGAATCGGGCTGGACTGAGGAGCGCCGTGTCCCTCTCAGGCACGCTCACGCGCTCACTAAATCATGATTCACGCAGCGGCGAGGCAAGTTTTTGTATTCGGAGTCATGTTTTCTATCCAGTATATGCATCAGCATCGAATGTGCAGCATTTTAAGGTTCTTTAGGAGGTAACGCAGAGACGACTGAAATACGTGCTATAGAGGGGGAGAAGTCAGTCCCTCACCGGTAGAATCCGTACCTGGTATTTTCTGTAAAGAGAAATGGAGCGTCTTTTCCTCTCCGAGCATAATCGAAAAGTAGCAAGCTGCTTGAATAGAGCTGCGTTCAAAAGTTATTGTCTCGATAGCTGAATAGGCCTACGACTTGCGCTGCAGGTACTTGCAATTCCAGGTGGGCCGTGCTTCACCCAGGTCTCACCCACGCGCAGCCTCGCAGCCTCGCGCTGGCCCTTCAGGTCCGCCTCTGGCCTCTCGTTGCCCGCTAAGTTAACTACTCAAGCCCCAGCTCCGGATCAATTGGCGCCCACTCAATCCGCAACTCGAACGCCCAACCAAGAACCTCAACATGAAAATATAGTCCTCCCTCCCACCGCCAATCTTCTCCACGCCATGGCTCCCTCCGCCATCGACGACAAGCCAGCTGCGGCGGCGCCCGACAAAACGTGTCCGCCCGCCAACATCTCCCTCGTCAAGGAGACTCGCTTCGAGAAATACATTCCTCCGCAGCATGACGGGCGCAAGCGAGCTCTCGAGAACCCCGGCGCCGCTGCCATTGTCATCGACAATGGTGAGCTGCCCTGGGCACCAGCGCATCGCGTGAGCCGGCACTAACCTCGCTGCCCAGGATCCTCTGCCGTCCGCGCGGGCTGGTCGTTTGAGTCCTCACCTCGCTTCGGCGTGCCCCCCATAATGTCCAAGTATCGCGACCGGAAGCTCGGCAAGACCTTTTCCTTCGCCGGCCACGACTGCTACGCCGATACGACCGCCAAGAGTCACATTCGAAATGCCTTCGAGGCCGGCACCGGCATCGTCAGCAACTGGGACGTCATGGAGCATGTCCTAGACTACGTCTTTCTCAAGCTTGGCATGAACGAGGCTGACGGGGCCATTGACGTCCCCATTGTCATGACGGAAGCCGTGGCAAACTTGCCATACTCTCGGAAATGTGAGCTCTGAAGCACATGCCCGCGCTTTCTCCCGCCCGCTGACGCTCTTCCATAGCCATGACGGAAATCATATTCGAATGCTATCGTGCGCCGTCCCTGGCATACGGCATCGACTCCTTGTTTTCCTACAGGCACAACCAGGGCAAGACCGGCTTGGTCATCTCGTCGTCTTATACCTCCACCCACGTGATACCCGTGTACAACTCCAAGGCAATGCTCGCACAGGCGACAAGACTCAACTGGGGAGGGTACCAGGGCGCCGAGTACCTGCTCAAGCTGATCCGCCTGAAGTATCCTGCCCTTATGGGCAAGCTGAACGTGTCCCAGACAGAACACATGATCAGGGATCACTTTTACGTTTCCAAAGACTACGACGACGAAATCCGAGGCTATCTCGACTGGACTGGCCTCGAGGACAGGGACGTCGTCATCCAATATCCCTATACCGAGGAGGTCATTGTGCAAAAGACTGAAGAGGAGCTGAATCGGATTGCAGAGCGGAAAAAGGAGAGTGGTCGGAGACTGCAGGAACAGGCTGCTAAGATGCGCCTGGAGAAGCTGATCAAGAAGGAGCAAGACCTGGAGTACTACAAGAACCTTCAGAACCGGATAGCGGACGAGACCAAGAAGGAGACGCGGCGCCAGCTCGACAGCCACGATATCAAGGACGAGAACCAGCTCGACAAGATTGTCAAGGAGCTGGAAAAGTCGATCAAGAAGGCCCGCACAAAAGACGTGGGCGGAGACCAGGACGAAGGACAGGAGCAGCCTGACTTTGGGCTCCTCGAGATCCCCGACGACCAGCTGGACGAAGCTCAGCTCAAGCAGAAGCGGCAGCAGCGACTCATGAAGTCTAACCACGAGGCGCGGGCTCGAGCCAAGGCGGAAAAGGAGGCAGAAAAGGCGCGGTTTGCCGAGGAGGAGCGTCGCGACAACGACCGTCGCGACAACGACCTCGACGGCTGGCTGGAGGATAAGCGACAAGCGCGGCTGCGGACGCTCCAGAAAATCAAGGAGCGCGATCGTCTCAAGCAAGACCTGGGCAACCGCAAGTCGCTCGCCTCGCAGATCCGCATGAAGAGCATCGCCAACCTGGCCTCGGACAATCCGACCAAGAAGCGGCGGCGAGGTGGTGACGACGACAACTTTGGCGCGAACGACGACGACTGGGGCGTCTACCGGCAAATTGCCGTGGGGGAGAACAGCGACGACGAGCAGGAGGAGGAGGACCTTTCGTCGTCCCTCAAGCAACTTGAGCAGGACCTCCTCAAGTACGACCCGGAGTTCGACTACGAGCAAACCCAGGAGGCCCAGTCTGACTGGTCCAAATCGCTCCTCCACGCCTTTGCCCGCGGCCCGCGCCCGTTCAATCAAGCCTCGCAGGCCGAGATCAGCCAGATCCACCTCAACGTGGAGCGCATCCGCGTGCCCGAGGTCATTTTCCGCCCGTCCATTGCCGGCGTCGACCAGGCGGGCGTCGTCGAAATCGCCGGCGACGTGCTGACGCAGCGCCTGGCAGGCATGCCCGGCCGCGACGACTTTTTGCGCGACATATTCCTGACGGGGGGCAACACGCTGTTCCGCAATTTTGACGACCGCATCAGGGACGGACTGCGCGCCCTGCTGCCCGCCGAGGCGCCCATTGCCGTGCGCCGGGCGGGCGACGCTTGCCTGGACGCGTGGAAGGGCGCGGCTGGGTGGGCGGGCTCGGCGGCGTGGAAGGAGGCGCGCATCTTGAGGGAGGAGTATCTGGAGAAGGGCCCCGAGTATATCAAGGTAAGTCGCTCGTCGTCGTTATCCCCTTTACGCAAGACCATGCCGTCTTGTTGATGCTGCCGTTACTAACGCCTGTTGCTTCTTTTCACCATAGGAGCACGAAATGGGCAATTCGTATGCGTGATGTGTCCGTGGAGTCGGCCGGCATATCGACCGCCACTTGGGGGAGTTGTCTTGGGTTTTTTTTTGGCCCTGTCTCATTGTCTAACAGGCAAGACTGCCCTGTTCGCGTTCGCCCACTCTAAGAAGAAACAAGGAGACGAACAAAGGGCCCCGGGGGGGTGGAGACTGTGTCATTGTCATCGGCCCGCGGGGGAGAAGACGGCTGGCCACACCATCATATCCCATTGCAAGGCGAAGATTCGAGGGATCCCAGGGATTCCAGGCCACGGCGACAATCTCAGTGGGGATAGGGCAGATTTCTTTCTTTTCTCTCATCAATCGAGGGACTCGAGTCAAGCACCACATGCGTTCTTAGCTAGGCAAAGACAGGGACAAGAGAATGAGGAAGAAAGAAAATCCTTGTACACGAAGCTATGTGAACCTGTCAAACGAGGACGCCCCCCTAGAAGCAGGTATCCTCTTGTTTCAGCGCCGCCATATAAAGCCCCCCCTTTTGCCCTCCCGCCACCATATTCTCTCTTGTCAACAAAAAAGTCCTCCGCAGCTTTGCCGGACAGTCCTCTCCCCCCCTCCTTTCCCTTTCTCTCCTCATTCCTCCTACATACAAATCACGTCGGGTAAAACAAATGGGTGAAATGAGACTTGAGAAACGCCGGGGTAGTGATGCCGCCGGCCGACATTGGTGCAAGGACAACAGACCGGAACGCCGCAGTCATGGCCCCGGAGGAGACCACTGCTCAATAGACCATTCAACGCCATCAAAATAAGCAACGGGAGAAGCCAGTTGTTGGGACTGGGCGCGTCCTACGAAGACCGCGCCGACCCTTCCTCGGACTGAAGCTGCCTGTTGATCTCGTCGGCCGTCCGCGTATCCTCTTCGCCACGATTGGGGTATGCCTGCTGGTTCTCGGTTATTTGCTCCTGGGCTGCCAGACCGGCCACGGCTTGCGCGACGGCTTCGAGGGGGGTTCCGACACCGGGGCCAGAGGGGGCCTGCTCCGGGCCAGTCACCGGAGGCGGCGGCGCCGTGGGCTGGGAAAGGTTGATGTTGGGCGGTGGTTGAGGGAACTCGCCCTGGAGGTCGAGAAGCCTAGACTGCAGGTGGATGACATATTCACGGAGCGCGTAGTTTTCCGACTGCATGGCCTTGAATGTCTGCTCCATGTCGTTGTACTCGCGGACTTGCTGCTCCAGTTTCTTTATGTAGCCTTCTTTGCGCTGGCGGAATGCTCTCTGGGGTGACGGCAGGTTAGCACCGAGTGATGGGCCCCTAGGAGGTCGACGTCGAGCAAAGGTTACTAACCTGGGCTGCCCTGTTTTGCGCAGCGCGCTTGGACTGGGACAGCTCGCGCTTTGCTTTGCGGCCGTCGGGGACTACGACCTGCTCCGGGGCCGTGGAGGGCGGCGCGGGAGCTATGGCAGTGGTGGGCGAAGGGGCCGAGGACGAGGCGGGGCTGTGGCCGGCAGGGACGGGAGCCATGGGCATCATGTTGGGGATGGGGGCTCCGTGAGCGGCAGGGCCTCGGAGATCGGGGTGAATGTGGGCCTCGGCTTCGGGCTTGGCGGCTATGGAGCGAGCGGCGTCGCGTGAGGCAGCGGCCAGCTCGTCGTATCCATTCGCAGGACGCGAGGGAGGCGAATGGGACGGGGCGGCCCTCGAGTCGGCGGAGCCCGAGGCAGACGACGAGGGATCAACCTCGTGGTGCTGCAGGAGCTCGAGCTGTGCGCGCAAGTGCTGCTGCTCTGTATTGAGTCAAGGGGCGCAAAGCCGTCAGTTCAAGGCCGATGTTTCTCGCTGGCGTGGTGAGGCAATGGCAAGAGAAGAAAAGGGGGGAAATTGGCGAGATGCGACGGCGGCGGCGACGGCGGCGGCGGCGGAGGGGGCGGAGAGGAGCACAGATCGAATCGGGGCGGCAGGCATCCATGCATGCGCCAACCGCCGAGCCGAAGGAGCTAGCAGGCGAAGAAGGGGAGATGGGCCAGGGGGGGAGAGATGAAGCGACGACGGACGATGGAGGAGGAGGAGGAGGAGGAGGGGGAGGAGCAGGAGGAGAGGGGGAGGGGGAGGGCTTTGGAGCCAGTGGGCGGTGATGCAGGCGCCGAGGACGAGGGCAAGCCAGGGGTTGTTGTCGCGTCAAATTGGGCTCGCAATGGCCGGCAATGCGAGGCAATGGACGATGGAGAAGGCCATGGAGAGTAAAACTGAACTGACCTTGGTTGCTGGCGCCCGTTGTCTGCTGCATTGCTTTGGGATTCTGAGTCAGCAGCAGCAGCGGTCGGTCGTCGATGGCGGAACGAGGATTATTACTACGCAAGAAGGGCTTGCTGACGTGAAGAAAAGCGAGGCAGAGGCAGAGAGGCGGGCAGGCGGAGGGGAGAGGGCCGTGGCGGGGGACGAGGATTACGTAACCTTGCTGGGGTGATAGCCTCGGACCGATTCGCGGTACGTACCTTTCTTGCATGCTCGGGTACAATGTGGAGTAATCAAACATACACTCCTGATTTTCAAACATACACTCCCGACCTAAGCCCCATTTGGAAGAAGACCCCGCCACCAAAATTTGGCGCGCGCTTTCCCAACGCCCTGGCTTGCCGTGACCATCGCCGCCGCCCACCCGCCCAGCCACCTGCCTTTTGGCCGCCATCTGCATTTTCGCAATCATCAACAATTGAAGCTATCACCACTTGACTCAACACAACAGCAACGCCGCCGCCGCCTACCGCAATAGTCACGTCTAGTCAATCGTCCCGATGAATTCGACCGAAAGCAATACCAACAGTAGCACCGAGGCTATCACGGAGATGTCTTTCGATACGTATGATGAGGCGCTTGAAACACTCAAAGCTACGCAAGAGCTCCTTGGCTACGTCGTAGTCGTTGCAAATAGCAAGAATACCGGCAAGCCTAGGCGCAAGGAAGCCAATATCCGCTGTGAATACAGTGGTCAGTATAGGCCCTGGGACGAGGCAGAGGGTATATACAAGACGTCATCCAAGAAGTCGGGATGTGACTTTCGCTGTTACATCCGCTTCTACCGACGTTGCAATGCATTCAAAGTCACCATCAAGCACGGCTCTCATAACCACGAACCTCTATTTGAGCCAATTGCTAACCCCATCGTCCGTCAACGAAGCCAACGCAAATTCGGCATCGAGCGTCTTCATAGCCTCGTCGAGGGGCTTAGCAAGAACGTCAATAACAAGAGCAGGGATATCGTGGATGCTATCCGACAGGAATATCCTGAGCTCCTTATTACCGATTCTGATATACACTTCATCCAGCTGCAACTTCGTGCCTTCCGTTACGGCGCCTCTACATCTACACAAGCCTTCCTCGATGTACTCAAAGATGCTAAAGCAAAGGGGGAAATCAGCTACTATGCAGTTGACCGTGGCCCTAATGGGAAGGTTTGGAGGTTTTTCTGGACATACGATGACTGTATTGCTGACTGGAAGCGTAACCGAGCTCCTTATCATGGATAATACGTATAAGGTCAACCGCTTTAACATGCCGCTTCTACAGATCATTGGCACAACAGGGCTACACAAGAGCTTCAGTGTAGGCTTTGGCCTCACTGCCAAGGAAGACGAAGGCGCGTTCCAATGGATCCTCTCACAGTTGCGTGAGGCTGGTCGGCAGGCTGATATTCCGGACCCGGGCGTTGTGATTACCGACTTTGATACCGCCCTGAAGAACGCCCTTGACTCTATCTTCCCATCAACGCAACAACAAGTGTGCGTTTGGCATATGATGAAGAACGTGATCCTTCACATCAAGAAGAAGTGGAAGGATCCTCGATGGCACCGAGATTGGCGGAGATAGGCCAGAACAGGAGACTCGCCTCGCTGCAGCAGCCGCTCTCGACGACCCTATACAGGCAGATAATGCCATTGACGAGGACCGACCTATCGACCGTGCCACTGATTACCAGATTCAACATGCCTCACAACTGGCAGATCAGTGCGTTGAGCAACAAGATGATCGTGAAGATGACGATGGAAACCCAATACTACCCCCGGCTCCAAGGCGGACTTTTGAGCACACAGCTGACGGTATCCGTGATGCCTGGGTTTCAGTCTTTAGGGCTCGCACGGCTGAGGAGTGCAGAGATCAGTGGGATCTACTCTGTATAGAGTTTTCGGATCAGCCAGGTAACCCTAGCCCTAACTACCCTCCTACTCTAACCTTTACTAAATAGCTCCTCTTATAGCTCTCGTTAATTACCTCCGTACAACCTACTGGCCATGGCGTGCCCAGTTTTCCACCTACGCTATCCAACAGTACCGAAATTATAACATTACGGTAACTTCCCGTGGAGAGCACACATCACGAGTTGAAGTCACGATTACGCAACCGCTTCATTGACCTCCATCAGCTACAAGAGCACATCAGAGGGCTCGTTACCCATCGGCAAAAGAAGCATCGCGAGAAGCTTCAATCCGAGTTTGCAAGAGCTAGAGTTGAATGGGCCAAGCAGACGATTATGAAGTCACTGCACCGAAAAATTGGCTGGCAGCCGATGAAACAGATCTTCAGGCAAGTTAGGCTAGCCTGGCTGAGCTTGCCGATAATCGAGGCATGCCTACGATTTGTACGGGTGCTTTCACGATGCAATGGGGGCTGCCCTGCCGGCATACAATCCGCGATTTGATCCAGGCTGACGCGGCCGCCCTTATACCATTGCATCTTATTGATAACCACTGGCGGGTTTACGGCGTGACTGTAAGTATCTTGCTCCAGCCATAAGTACTATACTAATTTACTAGCAGCCTGAACAACAGCAATATATCGATGCAGACCACGAAGCCGATCCTGACGTTGTCCAGCCTCGCCGGCGTGGAAACAGTAGACGCGAGGTATCCTCCACTAGAGGCATCTACGGGCCGGATCCTTAGTGCTTGGGAGCAAGAGGAGCATAGAGCCAACCCAGAGCTCGTATCACGGCCACCAGAGACGCAAAGAAGAAGAGGAAGGGCACAGGCACCACTATCATGAACAAGAGGTCGAATACACTTGCTTCCGTGAGCAGCCGGGTTGACGATCTTGCCCAGCAGATCGGTGATTTCATCAAGTCACAAGCAGCAGCAACGCCGGTGCTGTTATCACAGGTGCCCTCACTTCCACAGGTGCCGCTGGTGTCACAGGGATACCAAACGACGATGCCCTCACTTCCACAGCCGGCGCCGCCGTCACAGGGATACTATGTGATGCCACCGCCTACACCAATTGTGCCTGTATACGTACAGGCGCCGGCGCCGTCACAGTGGCAAGAACCGCCTCCTCGTCACAGGCACATCACGACGGCTTCATGTGGGCACAGCCGCCGGCACAGTCTCACGAGACGGCTACGGAGCATTTCCAGCAGCTAGGGGATCAGAGGACACGGCACCATACAAAACTAGCAGGCAGGCCGGTCACAAATTCGTTCCTTACGTGCCTCGCCCTCCGCCGCGTCGGACGGATCCTTCCTCACAGTCACAGTCACAGTCACAGAGGTAGGCAAAGACCTTCCGCCATTATATGCATATTGTATATATATCGGAAGATCGATCGGGCCGGGCTTATTGATAGCTTCAATTGAATGACTCTAAGGGATGCATCTTCCGGCGTTGGTAATAATTGCAGATAGAATCCATATATGTCAGACAATAGTGTCCCACACCTCGCACGTGACAGCGGTTGATCTTTGTGGCATCAGTCAATTGATGAGAATTATCTAAAGAACAAAGGAAAGGAAAAGAATTGGATGCACACATTCGTGCAACAATATATACCCCGATCATTGCGGCGAAGCCTGGCGCAGCAGTGGCAGTGATCGAGCATAAGGTTTCAGGAACTGACACGGGCGTGATATGCGACAATATATCTAGGCAGGCAGCCGCGGCAGCGGCGTTGGGAAAGCGCGCGCCAAATTTTGGTGGCGGGGTCTTCTTCCAAATGGGGCTTAGGTCGGGAGTGTATGTTTGAAAATCTGGAGTGTATGTTTGATTACTCTACAATGTGCTTCCAGGCGGCAGCTTCTTTCTTGGCGATTGCTGCATGTTCACTTGCAGCAAAAGAAACTGCTGAGCCTGCACAGATACATTTCACATGCCTAGCCTCTCTCCCGCTCGCTCTCTTTCGTCCGCGAGGAAGAATGGCCGAAGAATGGCCCGAAGACCGGCTGTGGCACACCGTCTCCACCTGTATTACTCAGCTCAAGCTAGTTTGTCAGCAGCAGTCGCACGAAAAGATGTGCCTCGGAAGCAAGTTGCCCAACTCGGCCAAGTGCCTCGACGACCAAAGGGGAAGGCGGCAATTGTGTGCTACGCACTGTACTGTCCAGTACCGTACTGGGCATTCGGAGATTCGGAGAGCTTCTTTCCCGACGTAAGCCATTGCCGAATACAGGTAATTACAGGACACTACAAAAAGATACAAGTGCCTCCATCATCGCCGCGACTCCGGCTCCATAATCCATCATCACTTCTCAGCCAGGATGCCTACTGGTATGCATGAGGGAGTCGTGCAGTAGCCATAAAGGCAGGTAAACAGTCAACACTCAACGGCCGTCCGAAGCCCATGACTCCACGTGGCCTGGCTGTCCACAAATGGCTTCTCTCAAACAGGCTGCAAGAACAAACGCTTTGTTGCGCCATGAATCTGCCAAGGGCCTGCCAACGTTCGGCAAGGAGTAGCTTCTCCGTAAAAAGGGCCCGTTTCCCTCTTTCGAGTATGTACACTATCGCCGTACACCCCAGTACCTAAGCTAGGTAGGTAGGTAGTCAGCCAAGTGGGGGGGGGGGGCGTCGGGGGGTCGAGAGCTCTCCCTCTCTAATACCGAGTACCTGCACACATAACGCGTGCCGCCTGAGCGTCTCATCACAACCCTCGCGGGCACTATCATGTCCCGCCTGCTCTCGAGGCCAACACGTCTGCCCCCTCGCCTCTCAGCCTCGCTGCTCGCCCCGCCCGCGCGACAGTCCTCGTCCACCATGCAACAACCGCGTTTGTCGTCCGGCACCGACGCCGACGCCGTCGCCCCCGCCCTCACGGCCCTGCTCTCATCCTCGGGCGGCCGCTGGACGCTTGCCTCCGACGGCCAGGCCCTGGAGCGGAGCTTCAAGTTTAAGACGTTTGCCAAAACCTGGGTACGCCTGCTCTCTCTCTCTTCGTATCCATCAACCCCTGGAGTGACCTTTTTGCATGATTGCTTGTTGACAAAATGTGCACAAGGACTTCATGACGGCCGTGTCCCTGCAATGCAAAATCAAGAACCACCACCCCGAGTGGTCCAACGTATGCTCCCCTCTCTCTTCCCTCTTCCCTGCTTCCGGACCGGCAGATGACCAACGGCACGACTAGGTCTACAACACGACGTTTGTCCGCTGGACCACGCACAACCCACAAGGGCTGTCCGAAAAGGATATCAGCATGGCGACCGCCTGCGATGTCATCGCCAAGGACTTTGGGGAGCTGGAGCCGGAAGCCCCCAGCGGCCTGGCCAGGGAGCTCGCCGGCAGGATGACGGCAGCAGCCAGTGACTGCTGCACACCGAAAAAGTGAGTCAAAGTAAAAGGATTGTCTCGCCAGGATGCTTGCCATTTTCTATGGACGACTTGAAATTGTTCTATTTCCATTTGTCCAGACCTTGCGCGTTTACACGTCTTGGGCACGTCGCTTCACGCCTGCCTATCATCGACGTTCTTATCCAGCCCACCAGTGGTCTCCAAGTAGCCTCTCAGTTCCATCTAGGACTTGTCTTGTCGCACGCCTTCTTTTCCGCCAGCAGAGAGCATCAAAGACGTTGATAACAATCAACAGTCCGAGAGCCTCGGTATTAGTGACTGCCCATTCAAGCTCCCAACCAAGTGCCGCGCATTTATATACAAATGAGTTTTTGAAAACCATGTTCGGATCGCACTTCCAAAACGCCGAGCGAATACCAAAGACGCCGTCTAGTTTGGCATGATCATACCGGACTTTCCTCTCACTTCGGCGAGTCCGCACCACAGCGGCTTGCATCCCTAGTTGTCTTGTGCCGTGACAGCGTTCTGTCACGTTGCTGGCGGTGCAGTCGCACATTAATCGCCCATGATCGTCAAAACAGCCGATTATTGCTGCTTCTTGGCCTCCTTGATGGCCTTGAGCTTCCTATCCCGCCGACGCTTATGGGCCTCAGGACCGGCCTCGGTGTCCAGGCAGTAATCCCACCAGCGGAAGCTGGAAGCGTAGTTGCCAATAAACTTCTCGTGGTGAACGTCGTGGTGATCGGCGCCGGCCCAGACGGGAAGGAAGTGGCGCAGGCTCCAGGGAAAGTCGTAGCCACTGTGGGCGTCGATGGCCTGGAAGAGACGGAGGATGATCCAGACGTACATGGTGATGAGGTGCAGATCGCCCGTGACGGTGAGCAGGAGGATGGGGGAGCCGACAACTCCAATGCCGAGCAGCATGGTCTCGATGGGCGAGGCGTACTCGGCCGCCAGGCCAAAGGGGGCCGAGTAAGTGTGGTGCATCTTGTGGATGGCCTTGTAGAGGGGACCGTAATGCAGGGCTCGGTGGAACCAGTAGTGCCAGGTGTCCTCCATGACAAAGATGATTGCGATTTGCAGGGCCATCTTCCAGAGCGGAGGGAAGGGGACGCCGTAGTCCATGCCGAAGAAGGTGGCGATGGGATGGAAGAACCAGATCTGGGGCAGCTCGGCGGTGAAGTGGCTGACGAGGACAATGGCGGCGCAGTCCCACTGCTCCTTGAGCGAGGGCATCTTTTGGTTCTGGATCTTGTACTTGTGGAAGTAGGGGATCTTGTCCATGACCATGAAGGGGATGCAGCGGCCAAAGTAGATGAGTTCGTGCATGACGAAGCTCATGATGCCGGTGGCGAGGGTGTCGTTTTGCATGAAGAGGTACCAGGCCTAGACGGATTCAATTAGCCCTCTTGTTCCTTGTTCTTGTCGTCTGCTATGCGCTCGTCGACGGATGGGGGAGACGTACGGCCCAGAGGCGCTCGAGGAAGTTGAGGTGGACATTGTACTTGGTCACCGTGTCGAGGACGGTGAAGTAGTCCTGGGTCTGGTTGGCCAAGACTTTGGCGGTCGCGTTGCTAGAGAATCGCATGTTAGAGACGGTCGGTCGAGGAGACTGATGCCGGTGACACTCACACCACGTCCATGTTGGCAGACTCAACGGGAGCTTTCAAGGGGGGATGAAGCCACTGGAGGGGGAAAGTGGCGCGGCGTGGTTAGAATAGGGGGGTGGGAAGGACAAGGAGGAAGCAAGGAGAGTCGGTCCGCCAGAGCCAAGGAGCGGCAGCGGGCAATGCAGGAGGAGAAGCCGACGATGACCAAGGACTCGCGCGGTGGGGGAAGAGGAGATGGGGAGGGAAAGAGAAACGGATGGTGCATTTAAAGTTGTTCGGATCGTCTTTAATTGTTTTTTTTTCTCTTTCCCGCCTCTGCGCCCCAAGTCAGGAGATGGGAAATGCGTCGGCTCCGGCTCCGTCCACCGCACCATGATGCGTAGACGGTACACTTACTTAGGTGAGACTAAGCACGGTGCCGTGCGTATGCTGTACATGGAGCCAGGCACAGGCACAGTGGATGCATGCTGTGTTCCAGCGCTTGAGTGGCGACGCGGCGGGCGGCGGCGCGGGTGGAGCGCATGCACAAAGAATGAGCCCACTGGACCAAAGCCGCTTCCCGACCTTCCGGGTTCCATGCCTCCCCACACCAGCCAGTGGGCGGTCGTCTGACTGCCAATCGTAATGATTGTTTTGAGTAATTACAGTATTCTCGAAAGGGGGTAGGATGCCATTACAGGAGCCTCAGGCGTCTTGGAAACAGCTGCCGGAGAGGAGAGGGCATTCTGCGGGCATCTACCAAGTGCCGAGTACATCCACGCTATCCAGGCTCGAGCGGTGCCAGGCTCGGTCGATAGGTAGGTAGGTAGGAACTTAGGTAGGTAATTAGGTATAAGACGACAACGAGACAAAGGCCACTAGCCAGTGATAGGGGTTTCGTTTCCCCATCAGGGACTTGAAGCAGGGTCCAGTCCACCACGAGCATCAACAACAGCAATCTCGAGGGAGTCAATTCCATCTCACATGCTTGCTCTCCATGGCGACTCTCGTGCAAGATACAAGGTACAAGGTACTCGGGATGAGATGAGCCGCCTCGTTCGTTGGCTGTGCTTGCCATGTAGAGTACCTTGGATGTATTGGCGACCTTGATTGGCCTTGCACCAACATACATCTTCCTAGTATCTCAATACTAAGCGAGGACTTGGCCGTTGCGCCCCCCTCGTCGCGCCGTCTTTTCAAACCCGAATACGAACACGCAGCAACCTCTCTTGTGTCGTCTCGTTGCCTGACGTCCATCCATCCATCCACCCATTTATCGACGGCTCGCCCGACATCCGGCTCTCCACAGCCTCATGTCATGACCGGCGCCGCCACCACGCAGCCCTCTCTCCACAAATCACATCCATGCCCCTTGAGCCTCTGCAACCTCGGCGCTAGCCCCGGGCCCCAGGACGAGGCCCTCGTCGTAAAAACGTCCCACCTACCATGTCTCTCGTCTCCGAGTAAGTTGCCGTCTGAGACCCCCTCTGCCATGCTCTCTGCTGACGACTACGAAGCCAGGTGCGTCGACTGGATGCCTACCTCGACCGTTTGCCTGTCCTCTCCGAGGGCTCGTCCGATGACGGAGCGTCCGATGCCGAGGACCAAGCTTATGCCGCCGTCGATGCCTTCTCCGTCCCGAGGCTGGACCGCCTCCTTCGCATCGTCCAGTCCCTGAGCACAACCTCCTCCTCTCAACCACTGCTCCCTGCCCACCGCGTCCGCGCTCTCCTCGTACAATCTGACTTGCCCTCTGCCAAGCACGGCCCCGATGGCGACGAAGCCGCCACGGCCACCCTCACCGATCCAAAGACGGCCTACGAGAATGAGATTGAGTGGCTGTTGGTCACAAAGGCCACCGTTCAAGTCTACGGTGTCATCCTCAACACCCTCTTGGACCGCATTATTCCCCTGAGTGACGACATCTGGTACTGGTCCGAGGTCTTGAACTCATATACCTACAGCAGTCTCTACACCGTCCAGACGTCGCCCCTGCGGTGGTGGGCCTGGTCCCACGATGTATACTTGACGAGCAAGGCCCGGTTCCGCTCCGTCTCCGCGCGAGGCGGCCCCGCCGACTTTGTCGACTCGACCGCCACCGACATGTCGCACCAGTGGCGGCAGTTTTACGGCATCGTGCGCGACAGCATCCGAGAGCGCTCCTTTGCCAACATTCAACGCCAGGTGCTCTCTCCCGTCGCCTTGTGCCGGTCTGAAGCGCGCCGAAAGCAGGCCCAACTCCGGAAACTAAGGGAAATCACCGCCAGCGGCCTCGGAGTGCTCATGGATGAGGGCCTCCAGCTCGGTCACGACGACGACAAATCAGAGGTGCATGACCAGCAAGATCTCAAGGGCGTTGTCGAGCGAAGCGTCGCCCTCATGGACGTGGTCTTGAAGGAGGTCTGTACCTTGGACGTGACCATGGACGACTTTGAGGATAAGGTCTTTGCTGGCGTCGAGGAGGACCCGGAGCTTTCCATCCACCTCGAAGACAGCGTTACGCCACACCGCCCTGCCGTATTGGCCCGCCGCCTGCTGCGCATCATCGACAGGACCCTGCCCGAGCATGCCGATGCCATGCGGGCGCTGGCACAGGCCAACGGTAGACCGCCGCGCGCTGTTCGCTACTGGCTGCCGGCAGTCGTTGGTGTGCTGTCCTCGACAACGCTGCTGCGGATCCTGGTGAACCGCAAGGCCGACATTATCAACTGGATCACGGACTTTGGCGCGACTGTCCGAGACTTTTGGTTCAACTGGATTATAGAACCCACCCAAAAGGTCATCAGGACCATTCGTCATGACGAGACGAGCGAGATTGCCATCATGAGCAGAGACAGCCTCAAGGCTGATCGCCAAAGCCTGGAAAGGATGGTTGTCGACTTTGCCTTGGACAAGCCGCATTTCGCCGTGGACGGACCCTCCATTTCGGAGGCCCAGATCGCCGAGATACGCAGCAAGGTGGCCGAGGGAGATGTGACGCCCGTGTTGCGGGCGTACGAAAAGGATCTCAAGAGTCCGTTTGTTGGCGCGGTCCGCGGGGACCTCGTGCGCTCCCTTCTCATTCAGGTTCAAAAGACAAAGGTGGACCTGGAGGTGGCCATGACCGGCATCGACTCGCTCCTCAAGAGCCAGGAGCTGGTCTTTGGCTTCGTCGGGCTGACACCCGGCGTCCTCGTCACAATTGGCATATTCCAGTACCTGCGCAGCGTCTTCGGTGGCCGGACCGGACAGAGGCGGTGCGCCAAGGCCGGGCGAGCGATTCGCGTTCTCCGAAACATTGACCGCATACTGTCGGAGGCGAGGCCTACGGAGAACAACGTCTTGTCGTACAAGGACCACGGCTTGCTGCTGTGCGAAGTTCACGTGCTGCGGAACCTGGCGAGCAAGCTCATGCCCCGCGACATACAGAAGGAGTTTTTGGAGGACCTGGACGATCTGGCCAACATCAAGGGGATACAGATCCAAGCAAAAGCTTTGGACAGGATTCGGTGGGCTTATTCGAGATGGCTCAGGTGAACGCGCGTCAAGTCAGCCGCACAGACAGAGGTTTATGAGATATCCCATCGCATCGCCCAACTGGCCCGAGCTACCTCTTCGGCTCGAGACTGGAGAAGGCGAGAAAAAAAGTTGATAACTTTTACACAAGTACAGCCATGCTATCGTGTTATTATGAATGCCACACGAGAGTAGAAGTGTAGCGCAATGTCTGCACCATCCCAGTGCGTGTCTCCCGGTCTACAAGGAGGCTTTGCTGAAGTTGCATGGCGAGACGATTTAAGCCCATCAGCCGCATCTCGCGAGGGCCCTTTGATAGCTCAGAGGCGCTAGCTCAGAGGCGCAGGTGACCACACGTCACGTCACGAGAGGCTACCAGATCTCTTACGTCTACTACGTGAAAAGACGGGTGGACAGATGTCCTAGACCTCCTTGTCGCAGCCGCTGGTCTGCTCCTTGTCTCGCAGGTCCTTGAGACAGGGGGCGAAAAAGATGTCTCCGGTCAGGGCGAGATGCAGCGTCCGGGATGCAACCATGAGCCAGAGGAGGAAGACAGAGAGGGAAATGACCTAGATGGGTTGGGCCCTCAGCATACGGCCGACCAGGCGAACGACAGCGCGGCCGTGGAGAGAGGAGGCCGCCGGGAAGGAGGGAGGGATTTCGAAAGATCAGAGGGACGAACCGTTGTGGCAATTTTGAAGAATCCGCTATCGAGGTTGGTGGCCAGCATGCCGGTGCACGTCGCCCAGACGCCGAGGGGAAAGGTGAAGCCCCACCAGCCCATGTTGAAGGGGAAGCGATGGGTGGTGGCGAGGCTGATGAGGGCAAAGCAGACCCAGACGAGGGCGAACCCCCACATGACGAGGCCGAGGAAGACGCCGAGGACGCAGAGGACCTCTGCGGCACGCTCCGGGTCGAGGCCGCCGGGGCCGCCGAAGCAGAGCGGCGGGGCATCAGGGAGACGGGCGAGGGCCAGGGCGACGCGGCCGAGCTGCTGGATGGCGAAGCCGCCCTGGCCAAAGGGCCCGACGGGGAGGAAGACGGAGACAATGGCCTCGCGGGGCGGCAGCGAGTGGACCGTCAGGCGGTGGAAGTAGAGGGCGAGGACGCAGGCGGACAGGGCCTGGCCGAGCCCCCACAGGACGTACGAGGCGACGAGGGTCAGGGCGGCGCGGCGCGGCTGGGCGGCGGCGAGCAGGGCGTCGGCGACCAGGCCGCCCGTGGCCGAGGCGACGACGGCGGGGACCACGGGGAGCAGCAGCGCGGCCGTCGTCGTCTGTAGCCCGGGCTTGTGGCGGTGCATGACGACAAAGGGCATGCTGATGCACGTGGCCATGGAGAGGAGCACGTCGGCCCACCAAAAGGCCCAGGCGACGTGGACGAGCCAGGGGCCCCAGTGGGCGCAGCTGAGGATCATCATGTTGATGATGGCTGCTCATCACGCTCCGGCCCCTATTGCGCCCCCCCCCCCCTTTTCAGGGAAGCACGGGGGGGGCCACGATGGTCAGCCCAGCCTTACTTTCAGCGGCACGACAAACCCGACAAGACAGGACTTCCCCTGGGAAATGGAATCCGATTCAAGGGGCGCGCCCGAGCTCGAACGCGAGGTGGGAGAAGACTCACTCGCAAGGCCCATGGGCACGCAGCCCAGGAACAGCGACTGCGCCGGGTGCGCGACCATGGCCCACCACAGCTCCGGGTACAGCGCATAGCGCAGCGCCGACACGGCCACAAAGGCGGCGAACAGGCCCGCGTTTGCGCAGAAGAAGGCGTACGACGCGTACCGCACCCACGCCGCCGTGTACGGCAGGTTGTGCAGCAGCACCGACACGATGCCCGTGCCCATGTTGACGGCGAACCAGCTGCGTCGGGGGCATCCCGTCATCAGAAGGCGGGAACAAAGGGCAGACCGGCCAGCATGCGACATGTGTGTATATATACATATATATATATATATATACTCGGGCACTGCCGGGTGGACGGGGGGCTCTCACTCACGATGGCGTAAAGTTGCGGACGATGCGCCGCCAGCCCACCTCGCACTTACTCTTGGGCCGCTCGGCCGTCTGCGGCGTCGGCACCGGCGCGGCGTCGGTCACGGCCGGGCCCGTCAGCACGCCCGCGCGCTCTGCCGGCGTCGGGTTGGTCATTGTCGGTCTTGTTGGTGGTGGTGGTGGTGGTGATGTGACTTCGGGGTCCAGGGAATCCGAGGCAAGCGACTTGGCTTTCTTTGCGTCTTGTTCATCCCCTATTTATGTCTCAACCGTGAATCACTCACTCCAAGATTTTTGCCTTTTCTTATCACGTCGTATTGATGGAGAAGCCAGAATGGAAGGAAGACAACCAAGTGGCGGTGATGGACTTGAGTGTGGCACCTACCCTCGTATTTACCACGACAAAGGGGACGATATTTGACTACCTATCTAGCAAAAGCCCGAGGAATAGTCACCAAGCCTTTCCTACTTCTGCTAGATGCCGTTGGCATTACGGCTTGGACGGGCCAGCTCATGACTCTACAAAGCAAATGGGCGGCTCTCGGTGCCGGCGGAGCAGCCCGAGTGCCGAGTTCGCCGATGGGTTCCGTTCCGACTCCGGAGCTAGCAAATTTGGCCCGTGCAAACCGGGGACCACCGGCAAGCGACCCCGGGACAATAGGCGGATGATCAACGCCAACATCAACAAACCTCGTAAAGCCGCGATAATGCGCGCGTTACAGGTCGCATCCCGTGATGCCCCTCATCTCATGCAGACATGACAATGCGCGGCAGGGCAGAGCACTGACTCCAGCCGAGATTAGCGGCCGCCCACTTTTCGCAGCCAACCACAGGTTCACATGCCCCTTCTCCCGACAGCCAGGCGACAGAGACCCACCGGCCGAGGTCGGCAATACTATCCACCGATGTTTCCCCTTCCGACTCAGGTGACCTGCCAAGGCGCCGAAAAGGTCCAAATCGTCGAGTATCCCGCCCCCGCAGCGACGAGCAGGTTTGTGTTGTCCTTTGTGCTTCAAGATAGCCAGCCATCCACCATCAACCCCATCACCCCCCAAAGCAAGCAGCCATCCACAACCATCCAGCGCTCATCACCATCACCATGGCCATCGACGTCGTCTCCAGCCCCGTGCACTTCAGCGTCAAGAACGCTGCGGGCCCCTCGGCGACGGACCGCTTCGAAGAATTGGTCCTGGCCTTGAAGGAGGCTCTCGGCCCCTCGTCGGGCTTGACCTCGGATGACGTAGACGTGGGATACTTGACGCACCTCATGGCCAAGTATGACAGCAGTGCCGCCGAGTGGTCCAAGTATGCTTTTGGCGACGCCAGCCGAGGCTACACCAGGAACCTCGTTGACGAGGGCAACGGCAAGAGCAACCTGGTAAGTTGTCGCCGTGATCCATCTTCATCGCCAAGGCCATTGCGGCTGACGGGATGCTGGATAGCTCGTGCTTGTATGGTCGCCGGGCAAGGGCAGCCCCATCCACGACCATGGCAACGCCCACTGTCTGATGAAGATCCTGCGCGGCAACATCACCGAGACGCGTTACGCCTTTCCCGAGGATGACGCACCCGAGGGACCCATGACGGTCATCTCGGAAAAGACATACAAGGAAAACGCCGTGGCTTACATGGCCGACGAGCTTGGTCTGCACCGCGTGTCCAACAAAGGCAGCGACTTCGCCGTCTCGTTGCACCGTAAGAGCCTTGGCCTGCCCGAGACGCTTGTCCCGTGCTGACCATGACCTCGACAGTGTACACGCCCCCCAACGTGGCCAAGGGAGGGTGCCACATCTTTGACGAGACGACGGGCAAGAGCAGCCACGTGCCGGGATGCCTGTACTACTCAGCGTACGGCAGGCTGCTGAAGCAGTAGGCAATGGCCTCGACTGCGCCGCGGAGACTTCCGCGTGTGATGCTTTGACATGTCGGCGTTGACGGAATTGTTGTTTCTTGGTCTTGCAGCGTGTTCTTTGTGCTTTCTCTCCGCTCACCCGAGACTGTCGATACGATTCGGTGCCTGGAGGCTATTGGGGAGGACGGCCATATGCTTCAAGACAAGCTTTGGTCAGATAGGGAATAAAATGACGGCTTTGAGATGATAAAAGGCTCCAAGACGGCGAAGAGGAGTAGTTGAAAGAACAAGGGGGAGAGAACAGCGGCGTCGACTCAAGATATTGCTTGCCTTGGGAGGGCTCATCGATGGCGTGATTGGCGCTAGACCCAAGGCGGCCACAGCCCACCCCACCACCGCGAAACTTGCCTGGTCACGTGCTCTTGCGTGCTCGGGCTCCTCGTCAGCTCTCAAGCAGACTCGCATTTGACGACGACTGGGTAACAAGCGTCGTCGTTGCGGAGCCTCGGCGATCCAGGTCAACGCCAACGGGGGCTAGCCGAAACGACCAGTCAAGAGGGGAGGACGCGGCAGTCGAGAATAGCCGGAGAGACCTGCCGCGGCAGAAGTGGGAGGATGCCATCATGCCACACAGGGAACAAGGAGTCAAATATCCCATTATTATTATTGCAGACCACAGACAGCCGTCAAACGCCTTGAGTCATCGCATTCGCGTCGAGCTTGAACTTGAATAGTCATCAAGATGTTATCAAGTCGAAGTATATCCGACCAGACTACCTATTTACGTGTCTAAAGAAAGCATGTTGAGGGAAGAAGTTGGGGGCAAGTATGCAAGGACACTGTGTAGACCAAGGCAGTCCCGTCTCAAAGGTCATAACCAACTCTGTTCGCTGAAGGAGTGGGCAGCCCGGACAGCCGTTGATCCATTGCGACATTCACCACCGACGACGCCGAAGCAGCCCATCTAGCACCTAGGCGGCGACGATAAGATGACACGGTATCCATGACTGCTTCATCTTGGGCATCGACGTATCTAGCCAATCTACTCGAGCGCATTCATCTTATCCCCCAACGACCGAGCCAAGGCACGGGTCTCGTCTCCGAACCGCTCATCGCCCGCAATAAAGGACAGCTGTTCCTTCCACTGCCCCCAGTTTTGCATGGTCCACAATGCCTCACCAGCATTCGCCTTGCACTGCTTGTATACCCAGCTGCGCGCCTGGTCCGGTGCCAACCACTGCGACGCAGCTACAAGATCGGCCGCAATTCTCTGTGGACCACCCTTCTTGCGTTCCTTGAGATCAGGATACGTAAGCGCCGAGGGCAGGATGTAGGACAGCGCAGATACGGCGCTGCAGTCAATCAGGTCCAATGTCGTGAGGCGTGCGATAAAGGCTTGGAGGTTTCGCCAGCGGAGTTGGAACTCAGAGCCGGGCGTCTCTACCTCGGAGAAGGGGTATGCGAATTCTGTGAACGGTCAGTTTCAGCGCTTGGTTGGCGACAGGGAGGATGCATGGCGTACCCTCGGCTTCTCGTTGGAACCTCTGCGCCAAGTATTGCGTCGAGCGAGTGCCAAATGGCCATAGTGAATATGTCTCATCCAAGACAGGCTCATGTGAGTTGTCATAGCTCAGGCCAGGCACTTGATGCTTCGGAATAGCCTTGAGCGCCTCAATAAATCCAACGAGGGCATTCTGCGCAGCGTGGGCGGGCGGATAGGCGGAGCACACTGTCGCGATGGACCCGACGATCATATCGACATGTCTCGAGGGATTGGGCCCAAAGAGGTTCAAGCCATCTTTCTCTTCCTGGGTGAGCTGGCGGTCCTTTAGCTGGCGAAATCGCATCTTGGCTTCGCTGGTGACCCATTTGTCAATCTGGGTTGCAGCCTGCGACGGCGGCGTGGTTTGGGCGATGACGCCGTTGAGGATTTGCTTGTATGCGAGGTCCTCGGCGTCATCGTCACCGTCAAAGAGTCGAGGGTCGAGGTCTTGTGCGGCCATGGCAGTGATTCTCGATGATGGTGCGAGAGTAGGTGGGCAGGTCTTGTCAACTTGGGCAGATTCAAGGGGCAAATGTCTTCATCCCATCAGGCCACCAACACTGGCAGGAGCACGCACGTGTCACACAGCGGCCGGTACGTCATCGCCCGCGTGTGTACGGAGTTACTGTACGGTAAGAGCAAACGAGCAAACGAGCAAACAAAGGTGCATGGCCGTGTTGCCCCAGAATACCTTGTACTGTAAACCGTGGCGCCCTGAAGATCCTCCGCAGGGGCCTCCTAACAACATAAAAATAGCCCAAGTATTAATTACTGTACCTTTAGGCATAAGTGAACTGGCAAGGTCGGGCCTTTTGCCCGGCATGTGACGGATCAATAACTAACTACTAGTCTACTAGCAGGGCACCCGCCGACAACGCTGGTGTTTCTGTGGCTCTATATACTACCTATATCGACGCGAATAATAATCCACGAATCCACGAGGCGGCCGTACAAGCTGTAGGGTTTTGTCCATGAATACGAAGTATCGACCCTAACTGCAAGCAGAAGGTGTCTCGGCTCGCGACTGCTGGGCTGTATCTGCACTGTAAGCCCAAGTACCCCAAGCGCCCCTGTTATGGTGACATGCGGCGGCCGAAAGAGGCGACTTCGGGAACATGGAGCGCCGGTGAGATTTTAGTAGATTCGGGGTAACCCGGTGTACATGACGGAAGCTCTGCCAAACTTGATTCGTCTCTGCTCACTGCATGCCGTGACCTTGTACCGGTAATTATTCCTATCCCTTTGCAGTAGAGGTCCCGAGGCATCTCTCCGGCATCTTGGCCACTCAGAGGCCGCACGCTGAGCTGCACGTCGATTGCCGCCCAATCCATGCAATGACAGAAGTCCTTTAATCTTTTGACTACTTACATAGCAGTACCTCGCCTTCTCGTAATCATGTATGGCAGGTCAGGTCACCCAGGGTATAGGTATAGCAGGAGATACAGGGGTTGTCTGGGGCGAGAACATGCTTGCCGCCTGCGGTCCTCCAAGAGCATGGTTCTAGATTGCACTCCCTCCTGCAGCGTAAGCTGAGTCCTGACTCTATTATTCGACCACCCTGTCTCTGCACTAAACACCTTGCATCGAGCACCATGTACGAGGGAGTGAGAGCCGGCAGGGTATGCATTGTCTTGTATTAGAGACATCTATATAGCTTCATCTCCTCCTCCCCATAACCACCACATCTCTCCTTTTCTCAGTTCTTTTTAATTTCCATTAAACAGTCAACATGAAGCTCCTCATTGCCGTCTTCGCCGCAGCCGTCTTGAACGCTCCAGCTCTCGCTGCTCCTGTCGAAGCTGACGGGGTCCGCCTGGAAGAGCGCGCTCCTGTAAGCTTCGACCGGATGCTGCTCTCTCTGAGAAACCCTGTTGTAGTCTTTGCAACGTTAACTTGCCTTTAGATCGTCACCTGCAAACCCAAGCTCAACGGCAAGACTGAAAAGATATTCAAGGTCGATGTAGCCACTGCCCAGGCCGAAGCCAGGACGGCTGGCCTCACCACCGGCAAGAGCGGCGACCCTCACCGTTACTTCAACGGAGACCACATCAACTTCGGCGTCCACAACTGTGACAAGAAGGACGCCATCCTCTGGGAGTACCCCATCTTCTGGGTCGGCAAGAACGCCAGGTGGGAGAAGGACGTCAAGACGGACAAGCAAAAGGGTGGTGCTACTCCCATCCGGGTGGTTTATGCTAATAGCAACGGTGGTGTTCAGTATTGTGGTGTCATGACCCACAGTGAGGTTAACGACAAGAACCAGGGACTGAAGTTCTTCCAGAAGTGCACCTGAACTGTAGCATACAGGTTTGTATAGTGTACGCTCGGTTTACTATAGTCAAATTATACGCTCAAGTTTAGACAAACGGGCAGCAGCCGCCGCATATCTTGTTGTAAATGTTATTCAACTATAGTAGAGCTTTGAAAGCTTATTCAAGTCGCTCTTTTAGCCCCAGGTAGAACAGACAGCTATACAAGGATGTCTCTTTATAACTAGCGTAGAAGAATAGTTTAACAAATAGATGATTATTCTATAAAAAGCCTAGAGCGTACATTCCTTTCTCATACCCTCCTCGGTTGGGGGGGTTACGCGTGATATCACGTGATGCCTCCATGGCCCTGCACCTCTAGATCTGACAGTTGGCCCAACTTCCAAGCAACTACGTCGGCTGTCATCGCTTTTACCTAAGCAGTGCTCTACTCTCCCTACATCGCATCCATTCATTTCAATGCCACAAACTAGCGATAAGGTTGAAGTTCCCGATGCCATACTGGAAAACGAAGTAGTAGGCTATGGCATCTCGTCCTGGGTCTTGCGGTTCGACGCTGTAGCAAAATGCTACTTGTCCACCGAGCCACACTTACGAGAGAGGGAAATCGCTGTCTACGAGCGCCTGACGCCTCCCGATGCCGAGCCTCACGATGCCATTCTTCCCTTTTATGGAGTTCTGGACGGGCGGAGTGTACTTCTCCAATTCGCGCGGAATGGCTCCATCAGACAGTATTACGCGAAACACAACCACGATACCCCTTTACATACTCGCCTCCATTGGGCAGAGCAGATTACTACTGCCATCGTCTTCCTCCTATCAAAAGGCGTTCTCCACGGCGATATATCATGCAACAACGTCTTTATAGACGAAGCCCTTGACGCTAAGCTCGGAGATTTTGCGGGTTCATCAATCGACGGACTGCCATTCTTGACGGTGTATGAGACTAGCCACAGTCTCCCTGATAATTCATCCGTGTCGGTAAAGCGAGAAATCTTTGCCTTAGGCTCAACATTCTACGAGATAATGTCAGGCCATCGGCCATTTGATGGCATGGGCGATTGCGAGGTTGAGAGCTTGTTTAGACAGGGGCGTTTCCCAGATCTGCAACAGTTACGAGCATTAGGCACAGTTATTTCCAAGTGCTGGGACGGGAAATACAGCATCGTGGAAGACATTTTGCAGGAAATCAAACAAGGTATGGTTGCTTTCGGGTTGCTACACAGTGTCTCGCTAACAACACTTAGAGCGTGGTCGACTCAGCTCTATGGCATCCAGAGACAAGCGTACGCGCAGCTTTTCAGTCGAAGGTCCTCTCATGCTTGCCCTATTCGCCGTCCTGCCTATTGCATTGTTGATCAGGTATCGCAAATAAGCCGCGCACTTCCAACAGGCTTCGAGGACTACCGCTGAGTAACCTCTGGTGGGCATTGTGGACAATCTCCGGGCCGTTTTGAGGATCCAAGAACAATGATCTTTCCCGTGCCGTCCGTCTCTTGTTTTGCATCGGGACAGAAATGGCCCCGTGCCTTGGCTTTGCGGCACTCTTTCCAAGATCGATGGATATGTGTGTGTTTGGTGCCGGATTGTCTGCACTTTTCGTGGTAGTATGTCTGATCGAGATATTTGCACATCTTTAAGGCTTAAAGGCTGGTTTCGTGTATATTCAAGACCAGTTGACAACATACGCGAGTTCCCAAGAGTAAGTCTAGCCTGAGAGGGGGGACGCCTTTATGTCCGGAGAAGGAACCCTTGAGCCTTACGGAAGCGCTTGTCCACCTGACATGAGCAGAACTGTTGGGAGCAGGCTGGATTGATGTAAATGTGGTCGCTAGGCAGAAGCCGTGAACCTCGACGGAGACTCTAGCCGAGGCGATGTAGCATCGAGGGTTAGACAGACGTGTTGGGTACCTCAGTCTGTTGTTCCCAGACCACATTTCCGCACGCATTTGAGGGGACGGGACAAAGATGTAGCATGCACCTCGAGATGGATGCTGCGGACCTCTCATCTTGCCCCCAGCAAGTCGCTAAGCACATACACACAGTGTGACTGTTGGCAAGGGCCACACTAAGAATATCATCAGTGGGTTTAGTAGAGTCAGGACTCAGGATCTCATGCAAGCACTGTGCTCTCGAACCGGTGGTTGACCGGGCGAACTAAACCCGGCAGAACATGGCTCGCACGGCATACCACAACGTGAACTACAGACGGCCCCGTGGACGGCCTCGCAGAATGCAAACACGCCATGCAGCGCCTCTCCTGAATGGTACAGAAGACTGCGCGTCAGGACCAACGGCATCAGCCTACCCAATAAACTGCCGATATGTCAGCGCGTGCTGCAAGGCCAACCTCAAGCAACCCAATCCAGTGCACACCTACATGACTGCGGTAAGGGCTGTTGCCTAGACTTGGGTCAGCCTTGTCCTTTAAGCGCCCGTCTTTTCTGCAGTACGGTAACTATCCAGTCATGGTGCCACTCAATGTCTCCAATTTCTGGGTCTACCCATGTCTGAAAGCTTGCTGCGTGCGTACAAGACCGCCAGTCGGCCGCCCATCTAGACTGTTATCGCTCGACAACCATCGACATCTCTGCTCTTCAGCACCTGCTCGACCGGCACAAACCCCGTGTTGCGATAGCCAGCATCCGGCGCGTAGCAGACGGTTCTCCGACTTTTCGCTCCAGGTTAAACTGTCGCTAGAATGAGAAGGACCTCGTTCAGTCTCATCTCGATAAGGGACAAATATTCCCAATGAGAGAGACGGCTGATGACTAGTGCTCGCTATAGTTGTCTCATTACCACATGCTGTAATTCAACCAAGGATCATTTAGCAGGTCGGCGGCCGCTGCACGCTCCTCGGGTACCCAGCAAAGCATCCTCCTCATAAACTTGAGAAAGAGGTCGGCATTGTTTTCTTCGAGAACACATCTAGGCAGCTCGCTCTCTGAGCTGCGTCCCTTGCATATCAAATCGTTGCGTATAAACGTACCTATTCGGAGAATAAATATTAGTAACAACTAAAGTCGGAATAAAATCAGACCTACTCTCAAGCAGTGGCTTAAGAGCACAGTGGAAGAAATAGGGGCATAGAAAGGTGAATTTAGTGATATATGTCTTGGTCTATCTATTGGGACAAGGGAGGGGCTTATATAGGTACAGTGACCACACATAGCTAGCTAAAAGAGGGCAATAGGATGTTCCTATACCTAAGTCAAGCCTATATAGTGTCCTTAGGCTAGGGGAGTTATATTATTTAGGCAGGCTTCCTTATGCATGACTATTGGGTCTACTAAGCATGACTGTGGCCACTTATGCCTACTCTCTCTCCTCAACACACCCCCTTATCACGCCAGCTTCTAGATAGTGGGGCAATAGGTAGAGGAGGGTTCGGTCTAATAAATATAAGGTTATTCCGATATTAAATTCGGCTGCTTTATTGTCTGTTTAAGGAGGTTGTCTAAAAATAGGGGAGGCTCCTAATTATATCCTATAAAAAAGGGAAGGTAAATATAGTAAAAGGCAAAAGCCGGGACCCGAGAGGATAGGATATAAGGAGAACCCTCCTCCGTATATCCTATCTCCTCGGGCCCCTAAGTTCGTTAACCGCGCCCCCCCTAGGGCGTGGTCACATAACCTGCTCTTCCGCCCTAGGGGGAGTCGAACTTACGATTAATAGGGTCACACAACCTACTCTTACCGTTTAACTAGTAGTTGCAAGTTATATTTATAACCTTCCTTATAAGGAGGGGGGGCATGGCGGGGCATCCCTTTAGGTGGCCTAGGTACCGTAGTACCTTTACCGGCGACGTTGTTTTTTTAGGATAAAAGTAATCCTAAAGGTAGGCTTTCTAATAATATATTCCTTATATTAATTAGTTTTAATTTAGTAAAGCTATCGCGATTATCGTAAGTTTAAGCGCTATAGTATTATGCTAATTAAGGGGTAGTCTAGTAATAGCTTTACTTCTTAGTAGTAAATAGGGCTAACTTCTACCCCCTAGATCTTTATAGTTTCTTAACTAAATTAAGATCTAACTACGCTATTAGAATCCCTTAATCTTAGTGCATATAGTAGTGCTCTTATTATCGGGATCCGGCGATTATCGAGTTCGCTATAGTAGGGAGACATCACGCCTTAATACGGTAGTTAGGTATATTATCTCTTAATATATCTTCTAGCCGTATTACTAGTCTTAGTTGCTTAATAAAGCTCTAATACTTCTAGTATATAAGCGCCTTCGTTATGCTATTAGCTAGGTTATCTGCTAATGCGATCTAGCTAACTTATATCCGATCTTACTATACCTCCTAATAAAGCTAGTGTCTATAAACGTTAACGTGCTTAAGGTTCGTCTTAAGCTTCGCGCTTAATTTAGTTAGAAGCCTAATAGTCTAAAGGTTATTATACTAGAGCTCTATAGTCCCTTTAATACTAATGCTAAGCTCCTTAATTAGTCGGCTAAATACTACCTATTCCTTAGCTATCTATAAGAGTGCTAATAATTTAGCTTCTATAGAGGACGTTATTATAGTAGCTTACTTAGTAGCTTTTTAGTTAATTAGCCTACTAAGGAGTAGGAATACGTATCCTTATAAGGACTTCCTAGTCACTAGGTTATCGGCGTATAAGGAGTCGGATATATATATTAGCCGCCTTATTAGGTTTATCGCCATAAAGTAGATATAGCGGTTTCGTATAATAGAGGTAAGCTAGGCACTTACGTGCTTCGTGCTATAGCGCGCCTAGGTTATAATTATATTAGGCTAGCTTTCCGGCTATAAATACGATATCTAGCTTAGTATAAATTACTAGATAAATAAGCGACCTAATTAGAGAGAGATTCGTATATCTCTTCCTTTGGCCTGCTTTTCGTAGGGACGAGCTCTTCTATTATTAGCGGGATCTTAGGCTACGAAGGATATTATTATTAAGGATATAATATTTCTTCGCGGTCTTAGAGATATAGGAAGCTTACGAGAGCTATATCTTCTTAAGATCCCTATCCTTAATAATCTCGATACTAAGGAACTAGCGTAGCTCTCCTATATACGTAACGGTATATTTCTTCGTAATAGCCTTATATAGCTCTTCTTAATCTTATTTTTGCCTTTTTAGATATATTATAACGATATTATCTACGAAGATAAAGATAATAACGCCCTTATAGACTAGTACGTAGGCGTCTTCTACTAGCTACTAGGCTCCTAGTTTAGTAAAGAAACTAAATATCTCTTTAAACTATAGCTTTAGAGAGATACGGAGCCCGTATAGTACTTTTAATAGCTTTAGGCATAGCCTAGGTATTAAGAATCCTAGTAGAGGCTAGTAATAGACTTCTTAGCGTAGGATTGCGTATAGAAATGCTATTTTTACGTCGTATTATTCCGTCTCGAAGTCCTTAAGGTAGTAGAAGGCTATTAGTAGTCGAAATATTCGTGCTCGTAGGGTAGCTGCATATATATCCTCGTTACCTTTAGGTTATAGGTCTCTACGAACTATAATACGTGCTTTAAAGCGTATAATATACCCCTATTTATCGGTCTTATATATAAAGACCTAACGTAAGGGGATTAGGAAGTAACCTTTCTATTTAATAATAGCTTTTAGGATAGTCTTCTATATGCCCCTTACTAGGTTTTCCTCTATTTCGCGGTCTATAGCTTCCTTCTACTCGTATGCGAATTCTAAAGCTATTGCCGCGTTAAAGGAGGTAGGGGGAGGCGGCATATCTTTAACGTAAAGCTTATGCTTACTTACCTTTGCGATAATATTATTAATAAGGGATTTCTTAGGCCTACGAGCCCGTTTTCCTTTAATAACGTTGCTTAGGTTAATCCCTTATAACGTATCTTTTTATCTACGTTATTCTTATATTTATAATATCCTTAAGCCGGCCTTACTAACCGCTAGGTTAAGGGTACGGGGTTCGGACTAGGGGTTATCTTCTTAAACCCGTACTATAATCGTTCCTTTACCCCCTAGGTTAAGAGGTATATTATTACGTTCGTCTTAAGGAGACGAGTCGATTAATATAGGTATCGTATCTTTAAGCTATCTCCCTAACGAGATATAGGAGGTTGCTAGCTATAGTATCTATCATGCGTAGGAGGCATAGAGCTTAGTAACTCCGTGTTAAATATAGTATTAGGTAGAAGGGGTAACGTTAAAATCTCTGTCCCTAGGCCTACTATTTCCGGAGGGGAAAGATATATATATCTATATAATCCCTATAAGGGCGTCTTTAATCCTTAATCTTCCGGAGTATATAGGGGCAATAGGTCTTATAGGAGGGTAATTGCTTCTTCCGGCGTCTAACCGTTATCTATATTATCGTCGGATAAACTTAGTACCCTAAAGGTTTCGGGTTCCCCGCTATCTATAACGTCGGTTACGGCTATATCTCTAAGGATATCGTAGCTATATATTTAGACTAGCTAGGCTTACTCTTCTCTTTTTATATCGTAGCTTATAGACTCGTTAAACTATATATTAGCTAATACTATTAGTTTATTCTATCTAATTAACGGTATCTATATAACGTATTATTAAGTAGACCTATAGCCTACTAGGTAGCCGATATAAGCTCTCTACTTAAGGGGTAATTACGTCTTATATAACTTAATATATTCTAATACTATAATTATTATTAGGAACGCTATATAGCTAAAGACCTTTAAATATATAATATCTAGTTTAATATCTTTAATATAGTAATATAGTAGATTATTTTCTTTTATCTAGGTCTACTAACGCTTATATAGGCTCTACTAGCTATAATTATATAATTCGAAGGGTGTTATATTAAGTAGGTATACCGCTATACGGTATATCTCTAGCTATAGCTCTTTTAGAAGCTTTAAGTTAAGCCTTATAACCCTTGCTTTTTCCTTTACTATTGCCCTTAATCTTTCTACGTAACCGTTTTATATAGGCGTTAAAGGGGCTAACTATATAACTTATATCCCTCTATTAGTTATATAATCTATTTATTCTATTATTAAAAGAGCCCTTTCCCCGTTAGTAACTAATATAGTTATTTTAACTCCGTACTAGGTCTTAAGTAACGCTACAAAGTTATTAAAGATATCCCTAATACCCGTTTTTCTTTCTATTAGGTAATAGAACCTTATAGATATATCTATATAGGTAAATAGGGCGAAGTTCTTTTCCCCGTTATATGCTATTATAGGGCTAGGGTAAAGGTCGAAGCTAACTTATACCCCCGGACCTTTAGGCCTTAGGGATAGTATTTTTCTTAAGACTTCTCTCTTAGCTTTCCCTATTACGTATATCTAATAGCTATATATTATAGGGCCTTAAAGCTTAGTGCCTAGGCAGGCTTCTAATAGCTTCTCTAGTAATTTTAGACTAGGATGCCTAAAGCGGCGATGCTATAGGTGACCCACCCCCCTAGTTAGCGGCTTAGGCGCTTATATAACTGCGAATACCCGCTTATACTATAGGAGTATTCCTATTACGAATTAACCGTCGAAGTCGGTTAGTTTAATACGAACCTCCTTTATAGGTTCCGAATAGAGGTATCCTAGGAGCTAGTTCTAGAATATCCCTACCGTTATCCCTAGCCTAGCTAAGAAGACACTTATCGGCATTTCTAGGATAAAGTAGGCATCTAGTAGGGTTATCTTTCTACCGTTAATTATAGGGATAACTACTGTTCCTATTCCTTATACCTTAAAGGCTTAGTCTTTAACCTAGACTTCGTCGTTAGAACCCTACTTAAAGGTTCCTTCCTAGAACCAACCTAGGTTATTAAAGAGGTTAATATCGGCCCCTAAGTCGTATATTAATTTATCGGTAAGTAACGACGTTCCCTTAGTAGCCGTGTTTACCCTAGATAGAGTAACCGTATTAATAGTCTTTCCTAGCCCGTTATTGCTAATAACAGTGTCTACTAGTTCTCTTCCTTTAGGGTGGGAATTAGGGGTCTAAGCTATGTATTTTACTTTCTCGTCTAAATAGTCCTTTAGCCGTTTTTCGATATTCTATTTAGCTAGATCACTTTATTTCTAGCCTATCGGGGGCTTCTTATTATATATCACCTATAGTAAGTAGCAATTTTCCTACTAGCTTATTAAGCTATTAACGTGCTGCTTATAGCTAGCGCATTTAGCTTAGGTGTCTAATTTCCTAGAGATTTAATTAGCGCTTCCCCTTTTTACGGGTAGTTACGACTTCTTCCTATAGGTATATTCTTATTTAAAGTTAGCGATTAGGTTCCTTAAGGGAAGTTAATCTTTGCCGTGTCTTTCGTTATAGAGGTCGAGAGCCCTTATTATTATAGACCAATATAGGTCCTACTCGTCTACCGCTATAAGAAAGTCCTATCTAATTCTTATATCGTTAAGTGTATTAACCTTAAGGTCTCGTAAATCTATAATAATTTAGTCGAGCTATTCTACCTATGCTTTCTAGTCTCGCGTGCCTCTTTTATTAATAGAGGTCGTATATCTCTCGTAAATTAGCTTTTTCTCCTCTGCCCCTAAAGGCAGGGCTTGCTTCTTTAATTCCCTAATTTTCTCTCTTAGGCTATTATATATTAGGGTTATCCCCTAAAGCCCTTTACTAATCGTTTTCTTAATTAATTCTTCGAGTACGATTAGGGCTTTCTACTAGACCTTATAGCGATCGAATTATAGCTAGAACCTTTTCTCGAGGTTACGAAAGGAGTCCTTTATATCCTAGTATCGTTCGTTATAGCCTATTCGCCTCGCTAAGAACGCAGCCTCGGTTTCGTCTTCTTATTAGGATAGTCTCTCTCTAAGGTTAATAATAAATTGCTCCTAGTCCGGCCATTAGGGCTATTTAAGCTCCTTTATGCCGTCTAGGTTAGCATATTCCTAAATCTCGTAAGTCTAGGCCTACGATTTAATCCCCCTAATCTATAGGGTCTAATCGAGGCTTTCCTTTAGTCTTACGATATAATTATCCCCTCTTGCTTCCTTTAACGTTATCTTAGGAAAATAAGGGGTTCTAGCTTAATAAGTAATATCCTTCTTTAAGGGATACGTAATTCGTGCAATTCGTGTATTTCTAGTAGTGCCCCTTAGTGTGGCTAGGTTCCTTACCTTAACACTATAATTTAAGCGTTATAACGGCGTTAATAGCTCGTAAATAGCTTTAAAGGTAATATCGGCGGGCAAAAGATAGTCTAGCCGTATAGGCCGGGCTCATAACTCTCAAGCAGTGGCTTAAGAGCACAGTAGAAGAAATAGGGGCATAGAAAGGTAAATTTAGTAATATATATCTTAGTCTATCTATTGGGACAAGGGAGGGGCTTATATAGGTATAGTGACCACACATAGCTAGCTAAAAGAGGGCAATAGGATGTTCCTATACCTAAGTTAAGCCTGCATAGTGTCCTTGGGCTAGGGGAGTCATGTTGTTCAGGCAGGCTTCCTTGTGCATGACTATTGGGTCCACTGAGCATGACTGTGGCCACTTATGCCCACTCTCTCTCCTCAACACCTACCATCATCGGAGAAGAATGGGCCGCCATAAAACTCAGCGACGTTATTAACGAGTCTTCCCTCTGGATTTAAGATCGCAGGGGACCATCGCCAATGCCGCATGTCTCTCTCCCGCTGGATCAGCAACGGGGGTGTTTGCCCGATGAGGGTTATCATATCCGCAATGTGCTGGGCCGGCGAGTACGGTTCCGTCCTTGGCTGTCGGAATAGAGAAGATCCGGTCAAGAGCTCCCAGATCTGCCAGAGTCAACAGAGCCCAAGAATAAAGCATGCAGGAGACTAACCATTGCACCAAAATTCCACATGTCGGCGCTGTACTACCAGCCGATGCCAAGGAGGACTTCTGGCGCACGGAATTCGTTGGGCTGTATGGGGTGGATACGTGTTTCGGCTCTGTCTCCGCGTTGTGCAAGGCCAAAGTCGGTTATCTGCGGTATCATTTTGCCGAGGCCATGGGTCACAGGCCCGAAGTCATTGTGGCATCGGTATACCGTACGATCGCCGATGTGTTTGCGGGCCATGGGATGAGTGGCTTGTGCCTGGACGAAGGCTTCGATGGTCGACTGGTCCTCAAAGGTGACCATGATATTATCGAGCTTGAGGTCTACATAAGTCAGGGAGTGCTGTATAAAAGGGACCTCTACACACCTGTGTGTATAACATGGCCTTGTGAGTGCATGTAGTCCAGGCCCTCGAGGAGGATTCTGAAGTAAGCCCTCAGGAGATGCAGTGATTCATAGTTGACACAGTCGTCGTGCGTGATGCGTCTTTTCAACAGCCACAGTGGCTCTCTTAGCGGTTTAAACACGAGGGCGAGGTGTTTGTCTCCCCGCGGCGACTCAATCGTGTACCCCTCAATCGCCGTCCCGAGAGAAGCTCGCCCTCGGTATTGGGGGTTTGCAGAGGATAGATGCATGTTCATGTCCCACTCGTCTTCCACGTCCTCTTCAGGAGTGTCACAATTACAGATTTTGACAGCGACATGCCTCTTTGGCGTTAACCAACGGCCACTAGGAGGGCGTCAGCTTGTGAATAGCTACCTTGTGTAGAGATGTGGGAAGTAAGAGCCTGGGAGCGCAGTCTCGAGGGAGCGAATACCTGCCTTCGAATATCGTGCGCAAGCCAGACAGTGGATGACGATCCCCAGCCAACCTTAACATCCAGTTGATACCTGTTCTGCAATACATTCCCCGGGGTTGCAGGATAACAATGCTCGAGTTTGTAGCCAGGAACCCTCTCCTCGTCGACAAGAGTCTCATGGAGGACTAGTTCAGGCGTCGGAGACGGCCGTGATCCGCGTTGGCGAAGTCTAAAGACTGCCGAGCCAAAGCGCCGAGAGGGCATATTTCCAGAAAATCCCATGTGAATGAAGTGATGGGTCTGAGGACAGCAAGAGCTGGTGATCCATTTGAGAGCCAAAGAAGCAGCTGTAGAGGCTGATAATCGAAGGCTGCTCATGGTCTATCTTTGGTTATGCTGAATGGAGGTATCTCAAACCGTGGGGCTCGATACTTGGCTTCAACGTCGTGTTAGGACCGTCTTTATTCCGTTGCGGTCAGGGTGGCAAACCACTCAATCCCAGCAACGGTTGCTCAATATAGTTGAGCAACCGTCAACTCAATCAACTCAATCGAGTGTCTGCTGAATAAGCTTGTCAATTCAATTCATGCTCCCGTTGATTGATGGATTGATGAGATTGCCGTTGACGGTCAGGGATCCTGTAGGGTAGGTGGCCAAGGCGAAATGTAGGTACGGATTGGGTATATAGCTACCACTAACCTTACAGGTTACTCAGGCCCGTTGTAGGTAAGCCTGCTCTCCTCTTCGGGGAACAGGGCCCCCTGTTCCGTTGGAAGAGTCGACGCGCTGCGCGCATCGACGCGCTTCACAACAAAGTTCAATCTCTCGCCTCAGTTCCACTTACACTTCTCGATTCTTCCACAACGCCTTGGCTGATCTAAACATTCCTATATGCAATGAGCGAATCTCCTGAGCCTTCTTCTACTCCTTGCCGCCATCAGGCGATTCAGGCGACTCAGGCCCCGTTCCCCATCTCGAGTGGGATGCCTTCCCTGGCATCACTTCCGCGGCTATACCAAGTCTCAACGCGCCGGCAAGCTCAAATCGTGGATCTGGAGCTTTGGGTTCGACATTGAACATCAAGCTAACGTAGATAATCGCCTCTGGGTCTGTGAGCGGTGTTTACCGAAGAAATCGCCGAAGGGACCCGTGAGCTTCGCGGCAAAGGGACCCTAAACATTGAGCGCCATCTACATGATGCTCACAATGTTATTGACCCATCAGGTAGACGGTTACCGAAGGGTTCTACAACCAACAAGCGTTCTATTGCCCAATTCTTCAACCTCGATGCCAATGACCAGAAGGAGCAAGCATTCATTAACAAGCTAAAAAACCAATTCGATAAAGATGTCTTCCAATCTCTCTTGCTTGCTTGGATCACCGAGTCGAATGTTGCCTTCCGCGCAGTTGAAGCCCCTCGATTCCGGCGTCTTCTCGAATACCTCAATCCCTCGATCGCCCTGACTCAAGCCCACATGACACACTCGACTATTCGAACGAAGCTTTTCCAAGAATACCACCAGTACAAGCATATTGTGATAAAGGAACTGAGGAGCGCCCCGGCAGATACACCTTGCGTTTGACGGCTGGAGATCGCCCAATCGCTATGCGCTTAATGGGATTGCTGCGTTCTATCTCTCTAAGGAAAAGCGGCCACAGAAGATCATCCTTGGGCTCCTGAACTCCGATCTGAGTCTCATACTGGCGAGAATATAGCGTCGCAGGTGGCGGAAGTGATCGAATCATTCGAGATTCAAGACAAGATCGGGTATTTCACGCTTGACAATGCGAAGAATAACGATACGGCGGTAGCAGCACTGGGACACGTTTTTAATTTTGAAGGGAAGCAGAGACGGGTCCGCTGCTTTGGGCATATCATCAATCTCGTGGCCAAAGCGCTGCTCTTTGGCAAAGATAATGAAGTCTTCAAATCAGAAGAGCGACTCGACCTGGACCTTGCTCGACATGATCTCTGGCGGAAGAGGGGGCCTATTGGCAAGCTCCACAACCTTGTCCACTGGATTCATCCAGAGTTGGAAATCGATCTTATAGATCGATTTTCGAGCCTGATCGATCGAATTTTATCGATCGTCACCTTCAATCGATCGATATCGATCGATCGCTGTTTGATTCGAATCGATCGACGATCGAATCGATCAATACTAAAAATCATCCCTATCTAGGGTGATCTTGCCCATCAGTTGAAGAACTTGCCTCCAATTGTCCCCTTCAAGCAGACCAAGAGGAAGTGTCGGCTGATAGATGCCAGCTTTACTCCAGGAACGAAGACACTGCGCCATCGCCACAATATGGCGTCGTAGGCGAGATCTCAGTGGTGTTATCATCCTCCCACAGCTGCTAAAATCTCTTTCCGTTCCTGCTGAAGACGACGCGATGGTAAGGTAGTCAACAGCCATATAAGACAGCCGAGGAAACCGCGCAACACCAACGTCCTTCCACCAAGCGATTGGGTCCGTTTTGTATGCGATATTTTCCACCGGCGGCTCTGATAGGTACTGATCAAGCTCGTCCTGTTCTTGCAAGGCGGTTGACTGCTTTGGTCCTTTAATTTGCCGCCCTCGAGGCTCAGGGCAAGCCAATGATCGACTAAACGCCAATCGACGCTCAATATAGTCCAAGCCACTATTAGTCGTATCCGCTGAAACACCATCGCAGGATTGCCGATGAGCCATGTTCTTGTACCTCTCTTTCCAGACTGTCGCTAAGCTTCTCGCATATGTTCTTTCCCACCGACGTCTGACGAGACGGGAGTTGGCTCCAAAGCCGTTCCAGAGCGCGCCACTTCTTGCAGGGTGGAACACCACTGCCGCTACATATGCGGTTGAGGTCAGCTTGCTATAGTAGTCGTTCAGCTTCTTCCATCCGAGCTTGATGTAAATCTTCAAAACCCTGCGAGTTCTTGCGTCCATGTCATTGAACAGGTGAACCTCTTTCATGGTCTGATCTTCGTTCTCTTCGATTATAACTCCCTGAACTGCTAGTTCGAGGTGGTCAAGGAGCATCTCTACCACCGGGAAGTACTCATCGAACCCTCCTGACGTGGAGCGTTTACCAGCAATACCCTCGCCCTGGAGTTGCTTCGAGGCGATCTTGAATGGCTGAAGGATCTTCTGAACCGCAACAACGACCTTCCATTCTTCAAGGAAAGTTGTTCTTTCAGTATCGCTGGTTTGTCCTGTTCTTTGCCGCCTTTGCCAAGCCATCGTTCCTCGATGATGGAAAACATCCTGTTCAAAGCCGTACGCTTCAGCAGAGCGCGTGAGGCCATCGCCTCATCGGATTGCCAGCGAGTGCAGACGTTTTGAACCCACGTAAGAATAGGTTCAGTAGGAGCGGTTTGCCGTTGAGCTTCGTAAAGACCTCGAGAAGTTGACTGCTCGTTCGAAGAGCAATGCCAATATTGTGAAGTTTGCCAAATGGCCCAAACTTGCGGTACTTGTCCACTTCTTCGCCATTGATGATGTCGGGCAGTACGTCCTGATCCTGACTGCCTTCTGGGACTGTTTCAACCTCGAATCCTTCTTCCATGCTCGGCACACAGAAGTCGTCGTCGGTCGCCAGCTCATTGATAGCGTCGGACAACTGGCGCTGCTCTTCCTCTTCAGCCACAAAGTCCTTATCGCCCCAATGAGCAAGCAACTCGTTGAAATTATCCCTTTGCTGCCGTACATCATAGCCCTGACGGCCAGGTTCAGAAAATGAGGGCGCAGCGGATGCGACGCTCTTCCCTGTCGAAATCGAACTCAGCGGCAAGCGCTTCCACAGCCGTATCATTATTCGTAGCGTTGTCAAGCGTGTAGTACCCGATTCTGACGCCGGATAACAGTCAAGATTGTCAGCTAACGGACCCAAGAAGTGTTGACTGTGGTTCTATACCTGTCTTCAAGACCAAACGCGCATATTGTATCTGCAACTTCATCTGCAAGCGCTGCTCCAGTATGGCGTTTCGCGAGAGCCGGCAAAGCCAAGAGGATTCCCCATTGGTTCCAATCTTGGTCGATAAAGTGGGCGTTGATACCGAGGAATGATGTGTTTTGTCGGGAAGTCCAGCCATCAAAGGTAAAATGAATCATACTTCTCGCTCTTTGAAGCAGCTCGCAAAGCGGACCAAGAGCGCGATTATACTCATCTAGTAGCAGATTCACAAGCGTTTTGCCAGTTGGTATCTGGCCTTCCTGGAGAGCCGGGTTGTTGTAGAGAAGGAGTCGTCTGAAGCGCTCAGAGTTTACGACATTAAAGGGGAGGTTATGATATGTAAGCCAGTCGAGCAGGAGCAGTTGATTCATCTTCGGATCGAATAACGTATGCAGATTGCTGAGAAGAGTCTGATCTCGAGGGTTCGTCGGATCGGCGCGAAGCATATCAAGCAGGTTCCGTTCTGCACCTCCACTCCCGGTAACTGAGCCTGCACGTTGTCTAGAAGGTGGCTGACAAGTTAGCGGGCATGATCGAACGACGTGGAGATGGGGTACGGAGAGGTGGCACAAACCACGACTTTGTGCTCCTTCCTCAGATGTCGGACGACGCTTCCCCCAGTCGAAGCGATGAAGACGTAATGTGCTGTCTTCGGCCTGTCCCGGAGGAAGCATCTCTCGCAGATCCATACGATCTTGTGGGGCCGTGACCTGTTGTCCTTCATTCTGAATCCGAATTGCCACCACCACGTCCGTTCTCGAGAAGGGTCGTGGCAAATCGTGAGCCGGGAACCGCCCAAATTTATCAGTCGTCCAAGCTTCATAATCTGGAAACCCCATGGGTGCATATTTAGTTGATGCTGAACTGGTTGTCGGCTCGGAAGGCGGCGGCGTGGAGGAGGCGATCTCTATGTCCTCATCAAGCGCGTCCATGGTGGGAAACGTCCGTAAACAATGTGGGCGAGGTCAAATCGAAGGGTGCGAGGCTGATAAGGTCGAATCTGTATGAAGTCTACTCGGACAGGCTGAGGCCCGAAATAATTCCTGGTTGCGACGCGTACTGATTCCGTTGAACGGGAGGACTTGCAAACGCAAGAGACGGAGAGATCAATTTACTTTTGTCGACACGCGACGCGCGGCAACAAGATAGATATGACTGGCTGCCTGGGACCCCCGGTCGTTTGCCAGGGTGTTTGGCAGACGCGTCGGGCGGCAGCATCGTCACGCATCCAACCTACGCAGCCTACCCTGGACACCTTGTATGGACATGGCGAACGACGATCAAATCGATCGATTGGAGGTTGGATCGATACGATATCGATCGAGCAGGACTTCTAATCGATCGATCGAAATCGAAATCGATTCGATTAATCGATTCGATCAAATCGATTGTACGATCGATTTCCAAGCCTGGATTCATCAATCGGATAGGTTAACGTACATGCTTCGGGATCTACAACGCAAGAGGGACAGTACGAAGAAACCAGTTGACGTTCTAACGGATAACATGACACGATGGTTGTCCCATTATAAGATGATGGATCGAGCCCTTCTACTGCACGACTTTCTTGACGACCTCGTCGCATTGGAACAGTTCGAATATACCCGAAGCAGGTCAAAGAAGAAAGACATGCCTGCATGCCTCCGAGATTCTGACCTGCTGACCGGTAACGACTGGACAGTGATCAGCCACTTTCGGAATATTCTTAAGCACTTCGAAAATGCCATCAAGGCCCTCGAGGAGATGCCCAGATTCGGGTGCGTAAGGGCGGCAACCTCGTGGCATACGGAACAGCATGGGATATTATCCAAGCATTCGAATATCTCCTTGAACGATTGGAAGAGGCAAAGGAATTCGCCAAGGATGTGCCTGATTCCGAGCATTTCGCGATAAACGTCGAATTGGGGTGGAAGAAGTTGGAGAAATACTATATCAAGTTGGTTGAGTGCCCGGTATATTATGCTGCAGTCGCTCTCCATCCCGCCTTGCGACTGCAATGGTTTGAGGAGGCTTGGGCTCATCGACCTGAATGGGTCCTTGAGGCACGACGGATTGTTCGGGGCATCTGGGAACGCGACTATAAGTCATTAATTCTCAGCGATGACGAGGCTATTCCGATGGTTAAACGTCGAAAGGTTGACGACTTGAACGAGTTCCAACAGTTCCGACTGAGGCACCGGCTACAAGCTGGTCAGACGGCCACAACCCGTCGTGGGCCACCTACTGCCGATGAATTCGATCGCTGGACTGTTGATATCGGCGCAGATGACGGAGACATCACGGATCCGTTCCAATACTGGCAACTCAAAGAGTCAACGTATCCCAGACTTGCTCGAATGGCCTTTGATATGCTATCTATACCGCCAATGTCAGCAGAGTGCGAGAGGGCGTTCTCATTTGCTGGGCTAATGGTCACACGACTACGCAGCCGGCTTCAGGCTAACACGATCAATGCAGGCCAGGCAATTCGGTCTTGGCTGAAGGCAGGGCTAATACCCGACTACCAGGGGATTATTGATGCTTCAGTCGATGACGATGTCTTCCCCGAAGAGGTGCCCCACGAAGGACGAGAAGTTGATGGTGTTGAGGACCTTAAGTAGCTTACTAATAGGTAGGGTAGGGCATCAACTCCATCAATCAACGCAATCAATTCAACGAGGGCTTGGATTGCTCAACTCAACGAGAGGTTCGCTGATGTAAGCCGTCAATCTACTCAATTTGACTCTTTGGTTGAGTTGATTGAGTGGTTTGCCACCCTGGTTGCGGTGCAGAGGCGTGCAGAGAGAACTACGGCTAAGCCTCGGAAATTTATGTCGGACCAGATAAGTGTTGTCTTACGCTGGAAGACCTGATCTTTTGGACGTACTGTAATTAGATTTGATTCCCGTGTCTCGTACTAGGGGGCCGAATCCTTATTCTGATACCTGTAATGGAGACATCTGTTAGAGCGTTCCACTTTGCATGGTCAAGCGATTGGTTGCTTTCCACAGTAACTCATCTCGTTGTGGGGCTTAGGCGGACCTTGCCGACGGTGCTTGCTTATTATAATCTTCGGGTCTTGGAAGAGATGGGACCATGGGCCCTTTGATGTCCTTGATTATGCGTCCTCTCCGTCTTCCATTGTGTCCCGAACCTCTACTGCATGTACTCGAGGAAATGCGCACCGATCTGCCGTCCAGCCCGACAGCTGTTGCTCCTTGGGGGAACTGGCGGGACCTTTGCTCCGATGGATGACTCGCCACCACTTGGTATAACTGGATTCGCAATTTCCAAAGCCAGTGTGGTGTAGCCGCCTGGTCACGTGCCGTCGCGTGCCGGGAGCTCCCGAGACAGCCCTGTTAGCGAGACACGCTAACCTGGTAGCAGATTCGCGTCTCACGTCTGTCTTGTCGGACTCAAATGAGTCCCAATTCCCGCTTGATTTGCTTTGGCGTGCAGTCCAACGCATTCGGAATCTGTCAGCCAACGCCCTTGGTCCCTTGCCCGCCATGCCAAGGAGTGCCAGGAAGCGTCCAAGCGACGCGGTCGATGGTGCAGGCGGGGGCGAACAGCGTGGGTCTCGAGCCAAGCGGCCCGCGCTTGCAGCAAGCCAAGGGTCCCGCGCTGTCTCAGGCAGTGTCAACTCCAAAGAGTGCCCCTCTTTGCCGCAGGGTCCGTCGCCTACGCTGCCGGCAACGACAAACAATGTGGCAGACCCTGTGCCGGCTGGCACCCAAGAGCCTGACCGGCTCGACCTGACCCAGGAGGACGACGGACCGCTAAGGGAGCTTTACGGTTCCTATGGTCTGTTCCTCCGACTTGTCAAGCTCGAATCAAGCTGACCCTGGCCTAGATGGCAAAATCGTCGGTATTCGGTATTATTCGGGATACGCATCCCCCGGAGAGGCCGTCCTCTGCCACAGAGAGCCCCAGAATCAGGCATGCCACGCTTTTCTGAAATGATGGGAACAGTCGCTGACCTTGATCAGTACGACCCCAATGCCATTCGGGTTGACAACGTCATGCATTGCCAAATCGGCCATTTGCCCCGAAAAGTCGTCGAGAAACTTGCCCCGTACATGGTACTTGCCTTCTGTATATCTCTGCCATGCCTTGTCACGCGTACTCACCGACCTATAGGACTCTGGGGACATAACTGTGGAGGCGGAACTGACTGGTGAAAAGGGCATGTTTGACTGCCCTGTGCGCCTCGTCTTCTTTGGGCCCAGCGACCCAACCGAGCGTGATCGGATCGAAAAGGCACTCAAGGCAGACAAGCTCGTCAAGGCGACCCAGCTGAAGCACACTAGAAAGGAGGCCGAGGCCGTGAGGATCGCAATGGGATTGAGGGCCGGCGGCGCGAACTATGGCATCGGCACCAAGGAGTCAATCGCCGATAAGATGGAGACGACACTCGAGGAACTCATGAAGAAGAGTGACGTCGCCGAGTTCCGCAAGGGAGGGGACGCCATCAAGCCTTTCGCCATCGACGAGGAGCACTTGTCCAACATGCCCCTGGCCGACCAGCCAGCAGAACTAGCGTCGGCCCTTCTGCCGTATCAACTTCAGGTACGTCCACCATGCCTCAGAGCCTTTGGTTAAACTCAACTGACAACCCTGCAGGGCCTGGCGTGGATGACCTCCAAAGAAAACCCCAAGCTCCCGGCCAAGAAGACGGATAGACCTGTTCAGCTGTGGGCGCACAGTGCCCGAGGCAAGTATTGGAACATTGCGTCTGGATTCGTCACCCAATCCCCTCCCACGCTCTGCTCCGGCGGCATTCTTGCCGATGACATGGGGCTGGGAAAGACCCTCCAGATTATAAGTTTGATCCTGACAGGTGGCCCTGGATCAACACTCATTGTTGCCCCTGTCAGCGTCATGAGCAACTGGAAGCAACAAATCGAGAGACACGTCAAGTCCAACCAGGCACCGAGCGTCTTGGTCTACCACGGCGACAAGAAGCTGACAGCCGCAGAGCTCATGCGATACAATGTCGTCATCACGAGCTACGGGCGGCTTGCCAGGGAGCTCGACCCCAAGGTCCAACGGGCTCTCCTTGATCAATCCATCACATGGCGACGGGTCGTGCTAGACGAGGGTCACACCATCCGAAATGCCAGGACCAAGGTTGCCCTGGCGGCTTGCGAAATCAAAGCAAAGTCACGTTGGGTCCTGAGCGGAACCCCCATGTATGTGGCTTGCTCCTTTGGCGGACATGGGTAGCCGACTAACAGATTTCAAGCATAAATTCCGTCAAAGACTTGCACTCGTTGGTCAAGTTTCTGCACCTCACAGGGGGGATCGAGCAGGCCGAGATCTTCAACACGAATGTCACCCGGAAGCTGTCTGACGGCGACCGCAGCGGTGAGGCTGTTCTTCAAGCCCTTGTCCAGGACATTTGTCTTCGGCGCAAGAAGGACATGAAGTTTGTCGATCTCAAACTCCCGGGTAAGAAGGAATATCTACATCGAATCTCGTTTCATTCTTCAGAGAAGCAGAAATACGACTCGTTGCTGTAAGCCTCTTTTCTGCTGGCAGGCTTCGTGGCTCAGTACTGACATGCGACAGTTCCGAGGCCCGTGGAGCTCTGGCGGAGTTTCAAAACAAGTCCGATCGTGGACAGAAGGGTCGGTTCCAGAATGTCCTGGAGCGCCTGCTTCGACTTCGACAAGCGTACGTACAACGAGGCTCTCGAGCGACGGCGTTTCTGACTTGACCAGATGCAATCACTGGACGCTGTGCAGGGAGCGAATCGACGACCTGATGAAGCTGCTCGAGGATGAACAGGTCGTGGCCTTTAACGACAAGAACCGAGCGTTGCTGCAGGAAGCCCTTCGGCTTTTCCTCGAGAGCCAGGAAGAATGTGCCATTTGCTACGAGAACCCGGCCGGTCCAGTCATCACAAACTGCAAGCACGTCTTCTGCCGCGCGTGCATCACCAAAGCCATCCAGTTTCAACATAAATGCCCCATGTGCCGCAATCCTCTGACGGACGAATCTCTGCTCGAGCCGGCTCCAGAAGGTGCATCCGATGACAATTTTGATGCAGACACGCAGAGCTCAAAGACGGAAGCGTTGCTTCAGATTGTCCAGGCCACCATCAAGAAGCCAGCTTCCAAAGTAATAATATTCTCGCAATGGACGGCGTTCTTGAACATTGTTCAGAACCAATTGACAAATGCGGGCATCAAGTTTAGCAGAATCGACGGAAGCATGAAGACGGAGCAGCGCGATCGAGCAATCGAGGCGCTGGATACTGACCCGGACACGCGCGTCATGCTGGCCAGTTTGGCCGTCTGCAGTGTCGGTCTCAATCTTGTATCTGCGGACACGGTGATTCTTTCCGACAGCTGTGAGTTTTTGTGCTTGGCCCGTCTTCTCACGTCGCGGTCACTAACAACTCGAGCAGGGTGGGCACCGGCCATTGAGGACCAGGCCATCGACCGAGTCCACCGTTTGGGTCAGACGCGCGAGACGACGGTCTGGCGCCTCATCATGGAGAACACGGTCGAAGAGAGAGTCCTGGATATCCAGTCTGAGAAGCGTGAGCTTGTCGGCAAGGCGTTCCCGGATAAGAAAAAGGCGGGCGGGAAGGCCAAGGACACGCGGGCCACGGATGTCTTGAAGCTGCTGGCCTAGACGAGACGGGGGGTTGAGGGCTTGTTGAAGCGATTCACTCGCTGAGCATCATGTAGGTCTTTGGTAGAGTTGCTGTTCAATCTAGACTTCTGTCTTGCTTGTCTGATGCCGTGCGGCATGCCTTTGCCGGGGACAAGATGAAGCTTGGAGCGACTTAATACTGTACTCCGCACATGGGGGTAGATAAGATTGGCCGGCGCATGGTGGGGGAAAGACTTGTTGTCCCCGCTAAGTTTTGGGCGTGGATAAATCCATCTCTCGTGCAACCTCCAACCAACCGCCCAAGGCCCGGCAAGCACTTCGCATGCTCGCCGCACCAAGAATTCACCATGGAGACTCCTAGCTGGCTGCCGAGTTTCCTGCCTGGCACTGCCATTGACGGTACCTTGACGTGCTTCCTTTGCTCGAGTCGGCGCACAATCTAACCCGTCTGCAGACCTGGTCGGAGTCTGGCACGCTCACCGGACGTCGCTTATCCTCTGCGCATTCTTCGTGCTCGTTTCGATTCGGATCCTGCTGTACCGACACGATGAAAAGGTGGAACTCATCACCCTCAAGCATATTTATCATGAAAACGAGCCACGTACGGCCTCGGCGCAATCCATCAGCACCCCCCCCGAAAAGACAACCGCCACCAAATCCAACGGCCCACGAAGAATAAAGGGTGGCCTTGCCAAGAAACCTGAAAGAGAGCATGTCGACCTGACGCGTCCGATCAAGCTCGTGGTCTTCTTCTCATCCGTTACGACCAAGACCGACAAGATTGCTCGCGAGTACCTGACCAGTCTAGACAAGGCCGCCCAAGAGCTGTCCCTGGAGACAAACCGCCAGTTCCAAAACCCCGAGCTGCACGATCTCTCGGAAATTGATTTTGAAGACTTTTTTGTTTCACCCCCAAAGTCTCCCGACAATGCCTGCTTATTTTACCTCTTCCTCATCCCGAGCTACAACATCGACACCATCAACGACACCCTGCTGCAACACATGGAAGAGACTCACCATGACTTCCGCATCGACACGGCGCCTCTTGCGTCTCTGTTTGGATATTCGGTCTTTGGCTTCGGGGACAAGGAGGGCTGGCCCAACGAGGCAGAGGGGTTCTGCTTCCAGGCAAAGGAACTGGACAAGTGGATGTCAAAGCTGACCGGGCGAAAACGAGCCTATCCCGTCGGCATGGGCGACATGACGGACGACCACGCACAGCGGTTCGCTGAATGGGCAGCCGGTATCCGAGAGGTCGTCTGCCACTTCGCAAGAAATGCAAATCTGGGTGAGGGCGTCCGCGGAAGCGGAGACGCTGTTGAGAGCGACGAAGAAGACGGGGCGGATGAGGATGATGAAGAGGGGCTCGAGGACGGCCAGAGCAGTGAGGAGCAGACAACATCCAGGGCATTGGATGACGTTGAAGACCTGGGCAAGATGCTGCGCACGACCAAAGACGGTGAAAACACCGGGAATCCAAGGGCCCCGCTGGCTGTCGACTTCACCACATCCGGCTCGTCGACAAAGAAGAAGACTCAGGCCCAGCCCCCGGTCGTCAAGGAGATGGTGGCAAAGAACTCTCCCACATACGCAGCTCTGACAAAGCAGGGCTACTCAATTGTTGGGTCCCACTCCGGCGTCAAGATCTGCCGCTGGACCAAGTCGGCGCTGCGAGGACGCGGCAGCTGCTACAAGTATTCGCTGTACGGAATCAACTCGCATCAGTGCATGGAAACAACACCGTCTCTGTCCTGCTCCAACAAATGCGTCTTCTGCTGGAGGCACGGCACGAACCCAGTCGGGACGACGTGGCGCTGGGTCGTGGACCCGCCTGAGATGATCTTCGAGGGCGTCAAGGAGAACCACTACAAGAAGATCAAGATGATGCGCGGGGTGCCCGGCGTCCGCGCAGAGAGATTTGCCGAGGCCTTGAGGATACGGCACTGCGCGCTATCGCTGGTGGGGGAGCCCATCTTCTACCCGCACATCAACGAGTTTCTGGCTCTCTTGCATGCCGAACGAATCTCGTCGTTTCTCGTCTGCAATGCGCAGCATCCAGATCAGCTGGCCGCGCTCAAGGCCGTCACGCAGCTGTACGTGTCCATCGACGCGTCCAATCGGGAGTCTCTCCGCAAGATCGACAGGCCGCTTCACCGAGACTTCTGGGAACGGTTTCAGAGGTGCCTCGATATCCTGCGAGAAAAGCGCTTCCGGCACCGCACCGTGTTCCGCCTGACCCTCGTCAAGGGATTCAACGTGGAGGATGAGGCCGAGGGATACGCCCAGCTGGTGGAGCGGGGCCTGCCTTGCTTCGTCGAGGTCAAGGGTGTCACGTACTGCGGCACTTCGACGTCGAGCAACGCCGGGCTGAGCATGTCCAACGTGCCCTTTTACTGGGAGGTGTGCGAGTTCGTCAAGGCCTTGGAAAAGCGGCTCGTCGCCAAGGGCCTCAAGTACGGAATTGCCGCTGAACACGCCCATAGCTGCTGCATCCTCCTGGCCAGCGAGCGGTTCAAGGTAGATGGGAGATGGCACACTCACATTGACTACAAAAGATTCTTCGAGCTGCTCGAGGAAAGGGGCCCGGATGGCGAGTGGACGCCGGAAGACTACATGGGGGAGCCGACGCCGGAGTGGGCTCTGTGGGGGAACGGCGGCTTTGATCCTCGCGACCAAAGAGTGGATCGCAAGGGGCGAGAGATTGAGAACACGGTGGTACGCGAGCAGCCGCCGGGCGAGGTATGGTAGAGGTAGCCTCGACGAGCATCACAAGCTGGCGCAAACGGACCCAGTCGTGGAGTATAAGTCATGATGCTAGTGCGAAGAAGCTTCCCGTTGTGGTGTTCCCCCTCGTCGAGCTCTACACCAATGGCGGCTGTGAATCTGACCGCATACTGTTTACACAGAGCTCTATGCGAAGCTTGAAAGGCAACGATATGGTACATGAGAAGGCCGTCTCGCCCCCGTAGATATATGGACCCCTAGGATGTTGTTGGTTTCTTGGTTGCTGTTATTGGTGTAAGTTGAGTGGTGGGTTCCCCGTTTCTCGTTCTCCTAGAGTAATTGGGCTGTTATGAGGGTCAAGGTTCCCATAGTTCTGTTGATGGCATTGCATGCGCAGAGGGGCAAGACAACTAGTCGAGACCAACGTTAGGGATGTCGCCCAGGTCTATGCCAGAAGAGCGCGCGCGAATGTCCAAGCTAGAATCGTAGGCGATCATCTCGGCCAGGATGTCTAATATAGGCTGCCAAGAAGAGTCAGCGGCCGAGGTAGATCGGTTGGGGAAGATGTGGGGAGGAACCTTGGGCACGGTGCTGTCGTAGATCTTGATGAGGTCGCCTGGGGCTGGATACACCTTGAGGCCCTTGTAAAAGGCAAGAGCAGATTCGACGGCCATGGAAGCTGTGCGGAGATGGGTGTCAGCCTGCAAGCTACGGGAACGAAGAAGAAGGGCAAAAGGGCGCCATGACGTACGATCCGAGCTCAGAATTTCTCCGGCATTGACCTGCTCGTTGAAAAAGGCCTCGCGCTCCTCGACGCCGGCGGGGAAGCCCTCGTCCTTGGCCTCGTCGACCTTGGCCTTGAGGGCGTCGCGTCGGAGGCGCGTCGACGCCTCGGCCTCCTCCTTCTCGGTGCGGGCCTGGCGGCGCTCGTTTCTCCGCAGGTTGCGGCGGAAGTCGACGTGGGAGCGGCGGCGGTAGTCGAAGTAGACGGCGTAGGCTGGGGCCGAGGGCTCATGTCAGCGAAAAGAGACGGGCCTGCGTGGGCGATGCGCGCGCGTGGTAGTGGTGCTTTGTGAGCGGCGGCAGTCCCTGGGTCTCCCTTACCGACTGCTGCGGCCGCGACGGATGCGACTGATGCCGTCACGACGGTGGACGTCTGCACCATTCTGACGATGGGCGGGCTGGGCGAAAAGGCAAGGAAAAGCTGGCGCTGCGGGATGCGTCGAGGATCGAGGAGAAGGGGATTGGCGAATCAGTCGGTGTTTGGCTTGCCCAGTCGTTGCGCGAAGAGCTGAGGAAGCTTTGCTCGTCGTGGCTTCAATCGGAGCTGAACCTCTCTTTTTTTTTTCTTAAACTGGAGGCGATGCGAATGACGGTGTGCTGCTAGAGGACCGGAGAGGTACCGTACTCAGTGCCTGGCACTGTGGGGTAAGTTAGGGGAGACTCGGAACAATGATTCGGCGTACCGGCGAGACCTCGGATCAACCTGCTTGCTTGGTCGGGGTCCGTCGAGGGTCGGATGGTGAGACGGCTCTACACCCAGGCTCGAGTAGTACAACACCAACGCTTTGTCCATCGAGACATCATCGGCAGCACCTTGCTGCAGCTGCGTCGCAACCATGTCTGAAGAACGCAGCAAGATATCTCTCCGGAGCGGGCCCAAGCGAAAGGGCCGCCCGACGATTAGTGCCCCGAGGCAGATCTCGAGCCCCATGCCACAGGATGAGGCCCTCAAAGGCAGTGCGGGCAGGCCCGTCGAGCCCGTCCCCAGGCCTCGTCTGCGTCCGCCGCCCATGGCTGGAGGCAAGGTGCGAGGGAGACACTGATAGCCTCCATCCTTGCCAAGCCTTGCTGACTCTTTCCCAGACCTCGAACCTCGTCAAGCAGCGGTACTCGACGAGATTCAACAATATCCCGACAAGCCTCGCGCCCCCCATGCCCTCCGTCCCGGCAATGCCCACCCAGGATCGCCGGCCACCCCCATCCCGCATGGGCGCCGCCCCCGTCATCAATATCAAAGCGCTGCGAGACCCCAATCTCGTCCCTGACCAGTTCGTCTCGGCCGTGCTGGGCGACGCGACCGAGGATCAGATCCACGACTTTGAAGAGTCGCTGCGCAAGATAAAGGGCCGGGCCGCGGCCGATCTCCAGCAGAACCTGATGCAGAACCGCACCCAATTCATCAAGATCAGCAAGGAGGCGGAGAAGCTCAAGGGCGAGATGAGGGCCCTGCGTAACTTGATGGCTGACCTCAAGACCAACACGGCCGCTCTGCGGGCTGCGTCGCTCAAGAACAACGAGCAGGCCGGCGGCTCCGGACGTGCGCCTGCGGGCTTGAGCAAGCGAGACAAGCGGAGCTCGGTGGCGGACAGAAGCGCACTCTGGAACTCGCAGATGCAGGCCTTGTACAAGAACGTCGAGGGCTCGCAAAAGTTCCTACCCAACTCGGCCGGGCGCCACGTTGTCCAAAACGCCGGACCCTGGGTCGAGTTGGACAATGCGACGTACAAGTCTCGAAGGGCGATGCAGGTCTTCTTGCTCAACGATCACCTCCTCATTGCGTCCCGCAAGAAGCGCAAGGTGGACGCGCCAAACGCGGACTCGCGGGGACCCATGATCAAGCTCGTGGCGGACCGCTGCTGGCCGCTGCTGGACATTGAAGTAGTCGACATACCCGGCACGGGAGAATCGGCGGGGGGGCGGAACAAGCTGGCCGACGCCATCATGATCCGCGGTGGCGGCCAGGAGTCCTTCATCTATCGCACCGAGAAGCCGCAGGACTCGGAGAAACAGAGTCTCCTGCTCAATGTCCGCAAGGCGGTCGAGGAGCTGCGCAAAGGCCTGCGGTCCGAGATGGAGGCCAACAACAAGGCCCGCGAGACCATCAACTACTTTGCGTCCCGGGACCCCGGCCTGCTACAGAAGACGGAGCTGCTGGAAACGCTGTCGGATATCAAGGACATGCTCATCGAGGTGGACGGCAAGCAGCAAAACCTCCGGTGGGTCGAGGGGCAGATGGACGAGCTGGACATTGACATTGCCCTTCAGCGGGTTGAGCCGGCCGTGGCGCTGGTGGAAAAGCTCAAGGGCCTCGCCCGAAGCCTCAGGGGCAACGTGATGGCGCAGGACTTTATCAACTTCAAGGTTGAGGAGCGCGGCACCAAGCTGGCCGGCGTCATCCTCCGGGACCTGGAGACGACGCACACGCAGCAGCTCAAGACGAAGCAAAACGTCAGCTGGCTTACGAGGCTCGGCTTCGAGGACCAGGCCAGGGAAGCATACATCGCCGCCCGGAGTGGAATCATCCGCAAGAGAGCAAGGTGCGTACGGGACTCAAGGACGTCGCGGGATTGACGAAGGGCGCGGGCTAACCCAACAGATAGGCAGTGCATTTTCCAGGGGGACCTTCACCTCTACATCTGGCAGCTCTCATTTTCCTACTTCAACATCATCCATAACACGGTGCAGTGCTTCCAGAGCTGCTTCCCGCCGCCCATGATGAGCGCGTGCGTCAAGTGGGCCAAGGAAGAGGTGGATGCCTTCAACGCGATTCTGGCGAGGCAGCTGAGCAGCACGGAGCGTGGCGGGCAGGTATGGACGCAATGCATGGAGCGGGCCAGGGAGCATGCCAAGGTACTGTCGCAGGTCGGGCTCGATTTTCAGAGCCTCGTATGCCGGGGCCTGGACGACGAGGGCGCGGCTGCGGGCGGCGGGGACGGGTCCGACCCTGGCGTGGGACTGGGACTGGCCTCTTGAGGGGCCCAGGGGATTGACGACGGGTACGAGGGCGACGAAGAATGAAAGATGACGACTGGGAAGAGAGTGAGCCGAGCCGCAAGTGAAAATCGACCTGTGCGGATTCATGTACCGAGACGTTTCTTTTTGGATGACCGCAATCAGGCCTGCCTGTCGTGATGCCATCGGCGCCGGGCATGAGGGCATGATGAGCCACAGGGGGTCATTGGTGGCTTGTACACTCACTACGCAGCAAGATGTCATGGCCGGCACATGCGAGATTCCCCGGTGTTTCAGCAACGCCTTTCTTATTTGAAATGATGCTTTATTTAGGAATGGAACAAGACAATTGTGCTGTTTTTACACGTCGGACGGAAGCAGAACAAGGACTGGAATGCAGCGGTGCACAGGCGGTACCTACCTCGGGCAGCGTGCCTACGGATACCCCCCGAGGCGCTAGCAGTGGAGGGGAGGCTGCCAGCAGCCTAATAACAGCCAGACAGGTGGCACCTCGCCTCCCGGCTTGTGTCAGTGCTCCTGGGGGGGTAGAGGGTACTTGCCTATGAGCGGAAGAGCCGCTGGCAGGTCGAGTACCGCGTACCGGCTTGCTTCGATTCCCAACCAGAGCAACAGAAGGGGCAGGACGGGGAGCTGCAAAACCCACCGTCTCCGAATCCCCCTCTTCCCCCATTCTCAGCAGTAGCAAGCAGCCTCATCATCAGCAGCAGTATCAGTTCAGCACCGGCAACAGCAACCACGGCGGAACAACACCTGTCAACTCTCCACGACCGACGACCATCTCTCACCCCCACTCGCCACATCACGGCGGTGCAGCGGCAGCTTCGCAGCTTAACCTCCCTCGACGATTCTGCTCGCGCCCCCAAGGCCAGAAGCCTCCCTGCTGCCTCGCTCACTGCCCCCGCCGATCGCGACCCAGACGTGACGCCAACGTCATCTCTGCACACTTGCAGCATTCTCTTCCTTACCCTCGCGTTCCGCACTCTCGCTCGCACGGCACCACCACCATTGCAGCCGCGTCATGGATACCAACATGGAGGACGTCGGACGGGCGCCCGCTGAAGCATCGCCTGTGCAGAGCGAGCCCGCCACCATCCCCACGCTCGACGGGTGGATCGAGGGCTTAATGAGCTGCAAGCAGTTGGCCGAGGGCGACGTCCAGAGGCTGTGCGATAAGGTGAGCCCTTTGACGAGAGACGTGACGGGACGCGCAGCGCTGGGCACCAAGCCCGTCATCGGCCGTCGTTGTACCTCCCGGCCCCCGTGGCGGCTTGTCGCCCATGACGCTGCGCTCTCTCTGACGCGCCCGTGAGGGGTTGGGCATCCGTGCTGATCTACGATTGTATAGGCGCGCGAGGTTTTGCAGGAAGAGTCCAATGTCCAGCCAGTCGTACGTACCAGACGTCCTTACCCCTCGACTACGAGGGAAAAAACGGGACACTGACCGGCGTCGCGTTGACAGAAATGCCCCGTGACGGTTTGCGGAGACATCCACGGCCAGTTCCACGACTTGATGGAGCTGTTCAAGATTGGCGGGCCCAACCCCGATACCAACTACCTCTTCATGGGTACAGACTCTCTCTCCTTTTGCCCTCTCAGCCAAGCTCTCGATGCCCTTTCCCCCATTCCATCATCCCTTGGTCCCCCGCATCCTCTCCGCCCCACGATGCTGACGGACTTCTTAGGCGACTACGTGGACAGAGGCTACTACTCGGTCGAGACCGTCACCCTGCTCGTCGCCCTCAAGATTCGCTACCCCCAACGCATAACCATTCTGCGCGGGAACCACGAGTCGCGGCAAATCACCCAGGTCTACGGCTTCTACGACGAGTGCCTGCGCAAGTACGGAAACGCCAACGTGTGGAAATACTTCACCGACCTCTTCGACTACCTGCCCCTCACCGCCCTCATCGACAACCAGATCTTCTGCCTGCACGGCGGCCTGTCGCCCAGCATCGACACCCTGGATAACATCAGAGCTCTGGATCGCATTCAAGAGGTTCCCCACGAGGGCCCCATGTGCGACCTGCTGTGGTCCGATCCCGACGACCGATGCGGCTGGGGCATCTCGCCCCGCGGCGCCGGCTACACGTTTGGCCAGGACATCTCGGAGGCCTTTAACCACAACAATGGTCTGACGCTGATTGCGAGGGCGCATCAGCTCGTCATGGAGGGCTACAACTGGTCCCAGGACCGCAACGTGGTGACCATTTTCTCCGGTGCGCAGAACCCTCCCCCCCAAATCGCCTTGGCGGACAGGCAGTCGCCCGGGACAAGATGCTGACGAGTGTGTCATATCCAGCCCCCAACTACTGCTACCGATGCGGCAACCAGGCCGCCATCATGGAAATCGACGAGCATTTGAAATACACCTTGTAAGAACAACGTCGGATGTGAGACGGCCGGTGAGCGCGAGAACTGACCATGCACAGCTTGCAATTCGACCCGTGCCCGAGAGCAGGCGAGCCAATGGTCTCGAGACGTACGTGTTGTCCTTTTGGGTCAAGATGAGAGCGGAGAGCTAACTTGTCGCAGGCACACCCGACTACTTCCTCTAATGTTGCAACACCATGTATGCTCGTATGGAGCTCGCGTCGCCAGCCTTGCGGCCGCAGTATAAAAGAATAGACGGGTTGCCGCGGTTGGAGTCGAGACTACCTGACTGTGTACACTAAGTGTCCGTGCCAATATACAGGACACAGAGCAAGCAAACAGCCTTGACGAGTCTACATGTGATACGAGGAGGGGGGCAGGGGCGCTGCACAGACATGGCCAGCCTGGCGGGAGATTGGCGACGCACATTATAGAGTGGGCAAGGCGAGAAGGGAGGGAGGGAGCCCTCTTTATACAAGAAGACGAAGAGAGCAAGGCTTGTTGCAAGTGCAACGCCTTTATTCCACTGAACGCTCGAGTCCTCTATGTGAATCGTGATCAATGACTGACGCTGCCCGGCCCTGGACGCACATTCCCCTTGGCCCTCGGGATGCCGACTACTTGGTGGTCGGGCGATGGTGTAATGGGGCAAGATAATTTTGATTTGGAACAGGCGCCCACGCGGGTGCTCTGAAGTTATTAAAATCGTTTACTGAAACGCTATCGGGAGACTTGTCTATCCCCATGTCTATCCTTTTATATGCAACCAGCCAGGTTGCAACGCCCGTTTATCGATTGTATATACACACGCCGTCGTGCCGTAAATCATAATCAACTCTTGCGGATATGTCGTGAATCGTTACCCCCGCGCCGAGGCCTCACGCTGCTGCGCGATGTCACCCCGGAGCCTCTCATCCCAGGCCATTTGCTGCCCTTGCTGGTCGTCACTGGCAAAGCCGTCGTAGTTGGCCGACTTCTTTTCGGCGGCCGGGACGCCGGTTGAGTAGTGGCCGGGCTGGCTGCTGCCGTCGGGGATATGGAAGCGGCGATCGAAGCGGGAGACGACGTAGGTGAAGACGACGATAAGCTCGATGAGATAGCTGAAGCAGTAGAAGCAGGCCTTGTGGTGGAACCAGGCCGGGCTGTCGGCGGGCCGCTGGACAAAGGCGACGCCGGCGCGGAAGCCGGCTCCGAGAGTGAGGATGAGGGAGGTGAAGAGCAGCAGTCGGACCTTTGTGCGCATCGTGCCGGAGCCAAAGTTTTCGACCGAGTGGCCGCGTCGGGGCAGCAGCATGGCGACAAGGGCGATGGGGATGGGGAGGAAGGCGAGGACGGCGAGGAAGACGACGGCGACGAGCTGGACGTCGCGGAGCTGGGCGTGCTTGGACGGGTCGAGGGTGTAGAAGCTGTAGACGATGGAGACGATGACCATGACGAGGCACGCGACGACGGACGCGATGAGGGAGCGGAAAGCGATGCGGACAGGCCGACTCCATCCAAGACGGGGCTGGAAAGCACGCAGAACCCTCTGGACAAAGAAGAGGTTGACGATGAAGAGGGCAATGACACCGGCGTTTGCGAGGATGGAGGCGGCAATGGCGACGCGGGCGTTGCGCGGGTAGCAGGCCCAGACGATGCGCATGAGGTTTGAGGAGACGCGGGCCATGGAGAAGCCGAAAAGGACGGCGGAGAAGACGAACTTGTGGCCGCGGTGCTTGTTGAGCTGGAACATGGTCATGTTGACGGCGGCCGACAGGGCGAAGACGAAGGCGAGGACGGCGGAGACGGGGATGTCGAGCGTCGTGGTTGGCATGCCGCCGAGGGAGGCGCCTTGAGGGGGGTAGGGAGGGCCCTGTTTGGAAGAGTATGGTTAGACGTCGTGTCGAGACTGGGAAGTGGCGAGAGTGGCGGCTGGCTACGATGAGGATGAGAATGAGTCGGGGGGGGGGCGAACCTGTGCTCGCAGTTGCGCCATGGCATCTGGCTGGCCGCCGTGTTGGCCGCCGGCGGACATTGCTGCTGTGTCGAGGGAAAAGCTATGGGCCAGAATGGAGAGTAGTGGGAGAGGCGGAAGCTGTGTAAGTGCTCCTATTCTTGGTCTTCTCCTCCACCTTTCTCCTGGTGGTGTAAGTCGAGGGGTACAAGACGGGAAGAACTGGCGATGGAGCCCATTCATTCACCTTGGCAGCTTGGACATGGGAGGAATAGGGCCAGAAACAGGGAAAGCTTGAAAAGGGGGCCGTCATGGTGTCGGTTTTAAGCCAGCTTCTCCCCCCAAGGGGCGCCGGCCTCTGTAGGCGAGGGCGGGTCCGTCGGGGCTCGCGCATCGCCAGATCCGGTGTGGGGTTCGGGCCTGGAGCTACGCTTGTGTGGTGGTCACGCCGGCCCCGGTTCCTTTTTCTCGGGGGGGCCCCTTTTTGGTCATCTTCAACTGGCTGCTGATTTTACGTTTGCGCTTGGGAATGGGGGTCGGTGGCTGGGCTGCAGCGGGAGACTGATGTCATGGGGGCTCGTCTGTTGTCAGCTGGTGAAGTGGTGATGGCGACCTCAGCAGGCGAGATTTCGGCCCGCTGTCTTTTGTCGTGGCGCCCTCGGACATGCTAGCTGCCTGCCTACTGTACCTTGGCTGCATTGTGGGCGAGACCAGCCGGTCCGGTGGTCTCAGACACGGGCTCGTTGTACCCAGCAACAATGAAAAGAAAGATAATAAGAAGAGGCATAAGCCTCCGTCGGCTGTGTTCGGTAAGAAGAAGAGGAAGAAGAGGAAGAAGAAGCCGGTTGTCGTGATGGCAACATGAGGCATGGCTTGATGAAGAAAAGAGGCCAACCAGGCTGAAAGTAAGTAACAGGCAAGAAGAAATGCCAATGATGCTGGCTACAGTACCTACCGTAGGGATACAGTCCATACACACAAAGCTGTCGGCGGGTCGGAGGGCCGGAGGACCGGAATTTGCCGAAGGGTGGCCCTACTGTGCACGTACCTTGGCCGGAGGGTCGGCGCCTCGGGCTGCCGCGAGCGCCGATGATGGATGCCGGCGAGAAGCTTGACTTTGCAAGGTCAAGAACTACCGGCCGAGCAGGATAGTGCTCGCTGTTTCTTGGTAGCCGATGCCGATGGAGCTGTGGCAGTCGGACATTCGACGGCATATTTGCCTAGACATACGTATCGGGGAACCACCTGTCGAGGAAGCCGAGGATCAAATAGTAAAAGAAAAAACATAGGGTAACTGCTACTGGGGCGTGCGTGTTGATGACATCCCGTCTTGCTACAAGTTGCAGTCACACCAGCCAAAGGCAACGCCTCATGTCGAGGCTTCCAGCCTGCCTGCTCTGCGTGCTGCTGCTGCTGACCCGTCGTGAATGACCCGAGCTGGGCGGATACAGGGTAAGATGGCAAGACGTGATCTGGGAAAAGCGTCAAGTTGGGCCGAGTCTTGGACAGGCAGGACAGGTAAGCAGGCGCAGCAGCAGACGCTCTCTACGAGACGCCAACAAGACTTTCGACCTCAGCAGAGTCGCTGCGCTGAGACAGAGAGTGGCAGAGCCCGAGCCCCGACGGCGAGACACGCAGCGCCCTCGCCCATTGGCATCATGGGGGTCCCCGGGGTCGCTTGCGGCCGATTACATGCGTCCGACGCCTCTACGGAGTGCGAATACAGTCATATGCTGTCTGTACAGATGGAGCAGCCAGCCGCCTCATTCATGTATTTGTCCTGAAATGCGTAGGCGTGAAGAGCGCCGCATGGCACGGGCCTTGAGACAGCAGCGCCCATGACTTGCCTAAATATAGCGCCTTGGAAAGAATCCTCTCTCCAAGCTGCAGCGTCGAGCTGCGGAGAGTCCCAGCTGCGGAGAGTCCAGGAGCGCCATGCTTTTTTTTTTTCGTTGGCCGTCGCAAGCGCGACGTCGACGACGGAGCTGCCAAGGAAGACGCCGCCGCCTCGGGACCTTGCTTTTTTTTCATCGTCGTCGTCCTCTCGCATGATTTGCGTGTTTTCCCTTGGGTTTTTGTCATCTGGCGGAAAAAAAAAAGACGAGCAGTCCATGATACCCTGTGCCATTACCCGCTCGTGCGTGTCAGTTCAGCCCTTTTTTATTTTTATTTTTAAAACAGCCTGGAATGCGGCTCCGTGGGGAAGAGAGACGACGGGCCCTCTTTTGGGGTCTTGTACTTTCAAGGTTCCGGGCTGTTATAGATGTGCATGCAGGCGGTGCGGATGATGCGGTGGGAATATGCATGGCTAGGCTAGCAGCAGCACAATGCATAGAACAAACGCCTCGATACCTAGGTAGGGTAGGTACTGACTGTACAGTGCAGATCTTGTCATGGCAGGCTGTACGGGGTACGGAGCATGGGAATACGGATCCCAGGCACGGCTTCAATGTTGGATGCTGTGGGCGTCCAAAAGCATTGCCTGCATGTAGTGGGTGTGCATGCACAGCGCCCTCACCGGCTATTCACTGTTCTCACATTCACATTGCAATGGCATGATGTTTGATTTGCTCCCCTCTCTCGGAGTCAAGATGACGATGGTAATTAAAAGGCAAATTACAGCACACATGCGCTGAATGACACCCGGGCCCTTGGAGGTATCCACCAAGTACCGAGCCAGGCCCTGGCGCACGGGCGACGCACGCATGGCGCGCTCCGCGGTACCGGTCTCTACCTGTGGGGCCCGGCCATGCCGCTCAGCTGTCCAAGATTGCGCGCACCCGCGTCGTCTTCAGGGGGGTCTGATGAAACTGCTGGGGAGTGCTGGGTGCTGGGGAGTGCTGGGTGCTGGGGAGTGCTGGGTGCTGGGGAGTGCTGGGTGCTGGGAGTGCTGGGTGCTGGGTACTGGGTGCTGGTGCACTTTGCACACTGGACCTGCCGCCAGTCGCTTGATAAGCTATCCGTACTAACTACTTGCCACTGAGAAGAGACAATTGGCCCGTACGCCCTGAGCATCGGCGCTTGCTCTAGGCCAACTAACTAGGTAGGTATAGGAGGATGTTGTTTATACATGCTACAGAGCTAGGACAGACTGACGGCGGGCGCCAACACCTCCCGGGCCCCCCGGGGTTCCTCTCGGTGGCTCCCGTCCAGGGTACTTTGCAGGTACCTTGCCGTCCGTTCTTTTTTTGCGGATTCTCCGTGTTGCATGAGATTGTATTGGAAGCCCTTTGCTTTTGACATGCGGCAAGACTCTCCTCTCATAGGTACAGCTGCACGTACCTTGCTGCATCGAGTTGCGGAGTGCAGCCCACCAACGAGCAAGCGCCTTATCTGCTCGCAGCTGCTCCGTACTACCTACCACCGTTAGTATTTGGTAGCAAGTACGTACAGAGCAGGTACGGAGTATTAATTACTTACAGTACCTACCTAGGTAGGTAGTGCTTGTATTGTCGCCCAAGGCGCTCTCGACGGGTACGGACGTACGGACGGTTCTTGGCTAGTAGGAAACAACCACCAGCGCAACCCAACGCAAGAAACACCAACCCGCGCTACTAAACCCTGTCCGTCCAGCTCGCTCTCTTGTCTCTCGCGCCCACCCTCACTTTCCTCCGACTCTCCTCCTCTCCCACCACCACCACCGCCGCCACCACCTCCACCACCACCACCACACACTCCCACAGCACACAGGCGCGCGCGCAATCCCCACGCACGCCCTCTTTCTCTCTCTCTCTCTCTCTCTCTGTCTTTCTCGCCTGGACTGACGGCCTCTGTGCGCGCTCGTGCATCGTCGTCACCCTCCTGTCTCTTCTTGGACCGCCCCCACCCTTCTCTCTCTTGCTTTCCTTTCTTCTTCTTTCTTTGGCCTGGATTCCTCTTGCTTCTTCCGCTGCTTCTGCTGTCTCGCTCACCTCGCGCTCGTCCTCCCGCTGCTGGAGCCACGTCTCGACATCATCGCCTCCGCGTGCCCTGGCGACTGACTCGCTCCCTACTAGTCTAAGCCCTACTTTTGTTTGCCTGGCAGACCCCTGCTTCCTCTCTTCTTCCTCTTCCACTCTTCTGGCTGAGCAGTCTTCCTCTCCGGCGCCCGCACCGAGTCGAATTGCCCGCCACGCCTGCTCGGTGCACGCCTCGCCCCTTGAGCGACCCTAATAAGCCGACGACCCTCCGCTCCGACGCCCAGGCCACACTGTCCGTCCAGCTTTGGCCTCGCCTGACTCTGCGACTCTCCACCTCGAGCTCGACCTCGCGCCTAATTCCCAGCCGGCACTTTGGTTGCCTCGTTGCCATCAACGAGACAGCAAGCCGCACCATCGCTTTTCCTCCTATGCCGTCCGCCTCTTCTTCTTACGACTCGACGCCGCCTCGCCAACAACGCATCCTCGACGCCGACTCTCACGCTTAATTGTTTCGCCTATCAGTCTTTTTAATCTCGTCCTTCTGTCGAATATTTTGCCCGTTTTGGTTACCACTTAATCTGTCCAGCATCTCTCCGTCGGCAGCACCTTGCGAAAGCTCTTCACGACTCTGCAGCACATCCACTGTATGGCCTGTCAACGTTAGCGAAACCATTGCACGCCCGTCGACGCAGCCTCTTCGCGGTCCCCTTACCGGCCCTCGTCCGCCGTCTGGACCTCGTTGGCTCCTGCGCCGCCCAAGGCCACAATGCCGTCCTCAGTCACGCCTGAGGCCCGTTCCTGGCAGCCGCTTACAGGTGCAAGGAAAAGGCAGACTGATCCTGCAAGATCCATGAGATGCAAGGCCCTGGCTCTGCTCGCGGCCCTTCCGGTGCTGGCAATCGCCCAGGCCAACGACGCTTGCATCTCCTTGAAGGACTCTAGGGCTTGCACGGCCTTTCAGTCTGCCTCCGTGTCCAAGAACGGTGCCCTAATACAGACCTAGTAAGCTCAGGCCGCCCCCGTTCTCACTTCTCCTGTTGCTAAACCGGCTGCCGCAGTCCCTTTTTGCAATTCGTCTCCGATAGCGCGTCCTTCGACTATCAGTTGACAGATTACGTCAAAACATCTTATGTGAAAGACAAGTAAGCAATGTCGACGGCCCGCCGACCTGGCCATGACTGTGCCCTGCTCACACTGCCCTAGATACCAGAATGTCTTCGGCTGCGGCGGCATAAACTTTACCAATCCCGGCAATATGTACGCACGATACACGACCACGGTGCTGTGCAATTCTCTCGTCCAGCGTTCCGTCAGCGACTGCAAGTTGTCGCAGCAAGACTCGCGACCCGTGTGCGCCGACACGTGCGCTGAATTCGCCCAGAGCGAGGCCTTTGTCTCGGCAGACGAGGACCTCTGCACCAGTCCCAATTCAGACCTGAACAAGCTGATCAGGGCCGACTTTACCACGTGCTCTCTGCCCGACGGCGCCCTCTCGGGTCGGTGCGTCTCCGGCTCCGACAACGAGCCCGAAAACTGCGGCTTTGGTAATAGCACCGTCGGTCTCTGCTCGTACTGCGCGGCCGGCGGCATCAACTCGACCGACACGTGCTGCTACGGCGCCAATGCAGAAAAGCGCTGCCGAGGCGTCCACCTGCCCTCTATCACCCCGACCCTGACGTTTAGCACGCCGACGGCAACCTCTTCGCCGACGGACACGTCAGGGGCCAACACCAGCGGCACCGGCGGCGGCCGCGGCCTGAGCGGCGGTGCAATCGCCGGCATCGTCATCGGAGCTCTTGCTGGCCTGGCCATATTGGCCTTTCTCCTCTTTCTCTGCATCAGGATCATGAGGCGGAGGGATGGGAGTCAAAAGGGAAGCATCTTCAACCAGCCGTCTCCGGCTAGGAGAGGACCGGCCGTGTCACAAGCGAAGCCGACGCCCGAGGGCTACGAGGTGCTTCCCGGGGGGCGCGTTGCACGCATGTCGGCCTTGGAGGGGCACTCTGGCGGCTCGCCCCCCCATCACCATAACACCAGTCAAACTCGCCTCAATGACGACGAAGGCGCGTCGCCCGCGGTCGCCGGGTACGCTGTCGGGCACACCAAGAGCAGAGACTCACCCTCGTCGTCGGATGAGTACGGCGACAGCCCGCAGTCCGGGCCACGCGGCATACTTCGACCGCCGGCTGCCTCGCGAAGGAAGGGCTCCCTGTCGAGCGGGTCTCTGCTCGAGGGCCATCAATCACCCAGCAGCGGTGCCGAACACTCGTCACCCATTGGCATGGCCAGCCAAAACTCGGAGCAGTTGCCCTTTTTCAAGGACTACTACTCTCAAGACGACATTCACCCCGGGGACAAGGTGGCTGTTCTGTGGGCCTACCAGCCTCGGGCCGTTGACGAGTTTGCTCTGGAGCGCGGAGACATGCTCAAGGTGGCGGGCATCTGGGACGACGGCTGGGCGACGGGCGTCATGGTGGACGAGCGAGCGGAAGAGTGGGATGCCAGGCGACAGGCGCAACGCGACAGCGGCGTCTCTAATGCGACGGAGCCGCGCGGCAACTCGCCGATATCCACGCAGCGGGAGATGAAGGCGTTTCCGCTCGTCTGCGTCTGCCTTCCAGAGCATTGGAGGAAAACGATTGAGGGCGATGTCTCGACGGACTCGGCGCCCGCTGGTGCCGGAAGAGCCCCCGCGGACGGACACTGAGGCTCGGCCGTCTGCCTGGACTGCAGCATGGACGGATTGCAGCACCGACCCTCTTGTATATGGTCTCACGATGGCGACTCTTTTTTTCGCGCGCATTGGCTACGGCGGTCCTCTTGGAGTGGACGCCTGTCGGTGGGCGAGGAACGTTAACGAGATGTACGAGCTGCGATTCCCTGATTTGCCGGTATACCCGATGGGATGGCGGTTTTGACTTGATTCGATCCTTTAGCGTGGCTTTTCTGTTGTTTTCTTCGAATACCCGGTGCGAGCTTGAAAAGAAGGGCTGTTTTTAGATGACGAGGAAGAGGCTATGGAGTCGAGTCCTAATGAGGGTTGAGGCGACCAAGGAGCGAAGAGTTGTCGATGTGGCTGGTTGGTGGCCGTCGGGCTGCAGCCGGGAGGAGCCGAGGATGAAGTGCTGGAGCAGAGAGGCGGGAACTTGGATTTCATCTCTGTTGGCGGCCATGCGAAACCTAGAAACATTGACATAGACAGGCCGAGAGCCGAATCCGTCACCTAGTTTCGATAGCAAGAGGGATCCCGATGGCAGACCTGGCTGGCGGTGACTTGTCATGCAGCCTGTGCTTGGATGACTGCACGTTGCTTCGCGAATGCCGACCCTATGACACTAGGAGGCGACTGCATGCATATAGTACGAGCTCATTGGATGCGTGCCTGAGCCCTGGACTCGCAGGCCCGCTCGCCACGGCGGGGTTTTGAATTCTTCCGGCGGGGACGATCAGCGATCCAGCGATCCATCCACCCATCCATCCATCACAGCGGAAGCCTCATTGAGCTAGCAAAGCCAGCAGCAACGACGAGCAAGCACAAGGCAACTGAAAAAGCGCCCAATCCTCGGCCTATCCCACCCATCCACCGAAACGAAGCCATGGGGGACCCCTCGGCGAGCCCCGAAGCCCTCGTGCCGCGCTTCCAGCTCGAGCGCGTGCTCAACCAAGGTGCGTTCCCTCTCCCCCCTGCCCGCCCTCCCCCTTTCCCCCTCCCCGCCGGCCCCCTCCCGTACCCCTCGGGCATATCGAATTTGAGCGCAACTCGTGGACTGACGGGGAGCCGCACGCCACCCCGCGCAGACCAGGCGGGCCGGCGCGTCAGCATGCTCGGCGCCATCGACGGGCTGCCCGCGCTGCTGGTGCTGGAGCGCGCGCCGTTCCCGGCCTCCGGGGCGTACCTCGGGCGGCTGCCGGGGTGCCTGGCGCGGGTGCGCAATCTCGGCGCCAACGACGTCTACAGCTGGAGCATGGCGCGCACGGGCAGCGACGGCGGGGGCGGGGGCGGTGAAGGTGGCGGCGATGCGGACGACGGCTTCTTTGCCGACCTCAAAATCAACCTCATCTACCCGTGCACCGAGACGCACGTCAAAAAGTACAGCAAGCAGGGCGTGCGCTTCGTGGCCGAGACGCCCGAGCTGTACCGCGGCGCGGTGCGCCCCTACATGCAGAGCAAGCGGGAGCAGGGCCGCCTCAACTGGGTCTTCAACATTATCGAGGGCAGGACCGAGGTCGACGACGTGATATACAGGACCCGGCTGGGCGAGGCCGGCGACGAGGGCTTCCTGCTGCTGCCCGACCTCAACTGGGACCGCTCCACGCTCGAGGCGCTGCACCTGCTCGCCCTCGTCGAGCGCCGCGACATGTGGTCGCTGCGGGACCTGAAAAAGAAACACATCCCGTGGCTCGAGCACATGCGCGCCCGGCTCGTCTCGGCCACCGTGTCGACGTATCCGTCCATCCAGCCGGACCAGCTCAAGCTGTACGTGCACTACCAGCCCACCTACTACCACCTCCACATCCATATCGTCCACGTCGCGCTCGAGGCGGGGGCCACGCAGGCCACGGGAAAGGCCGTGGGGCTCGACAGCATCATCGAAACGCTGCGCGTCATGGCGGGCGACGCCGAGGCGGGCATGGACGGCATGACGCTGAGCTACATGTTGGGAGAGGCGAGCGAGCTGTGGACCGACGTCTTCGGGCCGCTCAAGACGACGAGCGGTGGAGCTTCTCAATAGCAACGACCAGGTCGTTGACGCCGGACCCGTGAGGGCAGTCTTTCCACTCGCCGCCGTCGCGGATGCAATAGACCTCGTTGTTAAGCCGCAGCGTGCAGCTAATTGTGACGTTGACCTGGCCCTCGTCAGTTTCCAAAACCATGTCGTCTGCATGCATGCCAACTCACAGCGGCCGTGCGCAGGACGCTGGTGCGGAGGAGCTCGAGGCCATGGGCGCCGTCGTCCCGCGTGGCGCATTCGTTGAGGGCCTTGAAATCGATGGCGTGTTCCAGGGCACAATCCTCGATGAGGGCACGGTTGGGGATCTCTTGATAGTCCTTGGTCAGGCACATGATGAAGCCGAGGTTGATCTTGGGATCGGGGTACAGCTCGCGGGCGCAGAGCTCGATGATGTTGCCCAAGCACTCGGACGGGCCATGCTTGCACTCGATGCCGTCGTTGGCAGTGGGACTGTGGGGGCTTGTCAGCTGCGAGGCCGTCGATAGAAGGTGCGAGGAGAGGGGGCAGAGTCGTACGTTCCGATGTAGTTGAGCTTGAAGTCGACTTTATCGTGTACCTGTTGCATGGCCGGGAGGATTAGCTGCCGCAGGGCGTCCTGTAAGTGCAGTAGTCAGCGTCGGCACGTCTGGGGCCGTAAAGAGCATGCATACGCGGGTGTCGGGGCATTTGCTGATGATGTGCGCCTCGAGAGGCACGAGTCCGCTTTTCTTGAGCGCACCGCCATCGGCGACGGGGGCGAAAGAAGGGTGCCAGGCAAAGGGGCGAGCGACGGTGTAGAAGCCGACAGCGACGATGAAGACAAGGAGCAGGAGCAGGCGGACGACGGGCCGGGTCCGGGTAGGCATGGCGGCGTTTGGATGGAGGATGTTGCTGTTGGTTGTAGCCTTGTCGTCCATGACGGGGGAACGACGGTGTGTTCCGTCGCGCGACAGAGAGAAGGCGTAAGTGGAACCGGGGGGCGCGTTTCGGTTGAATGTAGATCCGGTGGTGAGTTTGAGAATAGCCTTTGATAAAGTGGAGGGCGATGAAGGAGATGCGGAGAGGAGGGAGATGCGGAGGAGATGGGCGGAGGACAGCTGGCACGGTGAGTATCTGGTCAGGTGCGCCGGCATTGCTACGGCCCGCGTACAGTGTAATTGTACAGTGCGACACACCGCTACGGAGCCCCCATTTATGCTTAGGTACAAAGTACTCTGTACCGACCTGTTCTCCGCAGAATATATAGACTCGCAACAACAAGTCTTTCTTGGTCAAAGCACCGTCGCCTGACGATGCATCATCCAACGGGACCCCCACCAAAGGGGAGCATGTCGGTGATTTGCGACCTGGTAGCAGCCTCTCTCGTCCCAAGGTCGTCGTCCGACGGGCCGATGGCGCTTTGTCCATGGTCAGGCCATGGCACTCACTCTGCCTGACGAGGAGGACACGGCATGATTGCTCGGGCTTCGGCTATTGACGACGACGGCGACGACGACGGCGACGACGACGACGACGATGCCCTTTGTGCCCCGCATTTGGGGGCGGTGGAAACCCAGTGGCTGCAGGCGTCTGGCAGATTGACGAACCGCGACGAGGGACAGTTTGGTTGGGGTACCATCACGAGCCTCTCGGGACGGGTCGCATGTTGCATTGCTCGGCGGCGGGCTGGCCGACTTCTGGATCTACGCGTCGCTCTCGCACAGTTACTCGCGAGCCGTGGGCCCATGTCCCTCAGATTCGTGGGGGCAGCGACTTGCTTCGGCGTCCAACGGGATGGGCATGGACAGTTGCTGCTGCTTGTCCTCTCGGCTGATTGTTGGCTATTCTGCATGCCCCCAATTGCTGCATGTGCTCAAGCATAACCAGGGGAGCCGGCGTGACGAAGCCGTGCGTGCCTTGCATCATTGAGTTTTCCGGGCGGTGGATAGTCGCGGGAAGAGGTGGGGGCAGTGAAATGGATCAATGGCACCGTTGCCCACGGCCATGGACACGCCAAGTGCCTGGCCTGGCCCTGGTTGACGGGCAGCCTCACAACCGCGGGCGTCGGTTGTCCATGTTGTTGGGCTTCGTTGCTGGGCAAAGTAACAAGTACAGAGCGCCGGTGCTCGTTCAGCGCCTAGCCGGGTACTTGGTACCTCCAAGGTAGCATAGCGCGAGCCTCTGCACCGGTCCCACGTTGCATCCAGGCCTTTTAGGGCGCTAAAATGGCAACCTCGGCGGGAGGAGGCCTGGATTGGCCTGGCTTGGCCTGGCCGCCCCGGATCTGGACCTCCCCTCGTCCTCCTCCACTCTGCCCTATTCCTGGTAGCCAAGGTATGGATGGACCACAGACGGCCCTGTCCATGAGGAGCGACTGACGAGGGACCAGAGCGAGCGAGCGAGGGGCCAAGCAAAGAAACAAAACATTTGCGTGGGACGGAATCGTCAACCAAGACAGCCGGCACCATCACCACCCAAGGCGACTGACCAACCGACAACAACAGACAAAACGGCCCGTATGGGTCAACGCACGCGTCGAAGCGCATGCCGTGCAGGATTCCCGCATCATGCACCTCGCTGCCCTTTGTATATAAGGCCCGGCCGCCAGCTGCTTCTTCCTCCCTTGCCACGCGAGCCTGAGATGCCGAGCGTCGTTTGACGATTGCTTCCTCCGACATCGCCCCGAGCCCGCCATGGCCCCTCCCGCCGCCCCCTACTCCTCTAGCGGGAGCCTCGACGACTTTCTCGACCCCCTCCGAATCGACCTCGACCGCTGCCACCACCTCTCCCGTCTCTTCTTGGCTAACTTTGCCCACCTCGCCGCCGAGTCGCGCGACCAGTTTCTGCCCACGCCCATATCCGAGTCCATACTGCGACCCGTCGCCGACCACGGCCAAGGACGGTAAGCACTCGAAGCCGCCGCCCAAGACGACGCCAGAGCTGACCAAGCCTTTACCCAGGCACCTTGCTATAGACATGTGAGCTCCCAGACCCCGTGAGGTGTGAGACGGACCTCACGCGCTACAACTAGCTAACCTTGCCTGTCGCAGAGGCGGAACAAACCTCCGCGTTGGCTTCGTTCAACTCGTCGCAAAGCCCGATGTCAATGGCTTCGCTTCCAATGGGCAGGCCAATGACCACAACGGGCCCGCAGCCACATCATCACTCCCCTCGCCGCCTAGCCGCATCCAGCGCCACCTGGAAAAGTCGTGGCCCATATCCGATCAACTCAAGAGCGACAACGCCGACAGCCTCTTCCGTTGGATAGGGAAATGCATCGCCGAGGTGGTCGACGAAGGGTGTCGGGCATTCCAAATCTCTCGCGACGCGCCGCTGCCGCTCGGCGTCACCTTTAGCTTCCCGACCGAGCAGCGTTCCCTGTCCGAGGCCACCATCACCTCCATGGGCAAGGGTTTCGCCCTCCCGCCCGACGTCGAGCTCGGCGCGCGCCTCCAGCAGGGCTACGACAAGATGCGGGCGGCCACCCACCTCCCTCCTATCAGAGTCGTCGCCATCGCCAACGACTCGGTCGCAACCCTCGTCTCCTTCATCTTCAACTACGATGGCACCGCCCATCGCCGGGCCGCCATGGGCCTGATCCTCGGCACCGGCAGCAACGCCACGGTTCCCCTGCGGTCCAACCACCTTCATCCCAGCAAGCGGCCGCAAAAAGTGAGCGTCCTGCCCGGCGAGGCAGTCGACGACGTCAAGATTGCCGTCAACACCGAGTGGAGCATCAGGGGGACAGAGCCACCGATGCGCCAGCTGGGGTTCATCACCCCGTGGGACGACCAACTGAGCGCCAAAAACGAAACCCCGGGCTTCCAGCCGCTCGAGTACATGACGGCGGGCCGATATCTCGGGGAGCTGGGCCGCATCATGCTGCTCAGTTACATGACCGAGACGCTCGGCCTGCCGTCAAAAGTGCTGCCGCCGGCGCTGCTCGAGGCGCACAGCCTGACGACGACGTTCCTCAGCCACTTCAAACCGCTGGGGCCGACGTCGGCCCTCGTGTCCAAGCTGAGGACAACGTTCCCGGAACGCCAGCAGGAGACGGGGTTTGCGTGGACCGAACACCTGGCCGAAGCCCTGTACCGCATCGCCAAGGCCATCGAGCTGCGGGCAGCCGGCATCACGGCGGCCGGCATCTTGGCCCTGTTGACGCTGGCGGAGGAGCTGCCGGCCGAAGGGGCGAGCGCCGAGCCGTCCGCGGGAGAGTTCGGGGTGGGGTACACGGGCGGGTGCATAGTACCCTTCCAGGACTACTTGGCAGACTGCCAGAGCCTGGTGGACGGGCTGGTGGTGAAGAGATACGGCAGGGAGTCGCGAGTGCGGGTGGCGCTGAGCCCCTGCCACGACGGGGGGATAACAGGAGCTGGCATCCTGGTGGCTGCGGCTCTCAGTAGCCAGGAAGCCGGAGGTGCGAGCGGCGTATGACATGACACGTCCCGTACAGTACGTGGCTGTACGGATATATACGATGCATTCGACTTGAGACAGACGGCAAGGATGGACCAGTGTGGGACTCGTTTTAGGCCAAAAGGCTGTCTCACCCAAATCTGCAGCTGCCGCGCATGCCAGATGCATGCATGCTGCCTCGGCACCCGCCATGCATCTCGACCAAGAAGAACTACTACTTTGTACGAAGACACGAACTCCCTGTGCATGGTGGCAAGAAGCCAGGCTCAATGCTCTGTATACGAAGCAAGGAAAGGAGCCTCGAAGAGTCCGCGACATGGACCATGAGCGGACACGCGATGAGGCGTTAATTAATCTATGTGCCACGCCTTCTCTCTCCCTGACTCTTATTCCTTTTCCTGTCTCTGTCGTTTTTGGATTTGACTCCCTCCCCGCTCCTGCGAGGTGCGCTCTGGGCAAATCAGCGGGCAGCACGTCGCGAAGCAGCAGACGATAGCAATCCGAGGTGATACAGACTACCGGCCGTTGGTGGCTGCGGCATGTATGAGGGTCTCTTGAGCATTCCTAGAGCAAGGGCATGTGCAGTAGCGCCATTGCGACGGTCGTGATAGTCATCTTGCTCCGATGCCGGGCGCCGCGGCAGTGGGGGGCGTCTTGTTCCCGTCTATCCGTAGTCCGGCCCTTATTGGGGGGGGGGTGGGGACCTTTTTCTCCCCCATTTCCTTGTCCTTCTCTTTCTCCTCTCTCTATCTCGCTTCCCCTTCCTGACTATTCGCCCCCTCAGGTTGTTGACTGGCAGAGTGCAAGAGCCGGTCGCCGTCGACTGTCATCTTGGGTCCGTGTAAAGGCCAAGAGAGGAAGAGAAGAGAGAAGAGAGGCCAAGACGTGGGACGAAGCGGACAAGAAAAGGTAAAGCAGAGACCCCCCCCCCTCCCCTTTTTTTTGTTGAATTTAAAAGCAGGACTCACAAGCTCATCCGCCCGCCCGCAGCTCCGATGGCTGGGCTGGCAGACAGCCCTGCGGCGGGCGGTGCCTCGGTGCGCTCGCCGCCGACGGAGACTGCATCCGGCGAGGTCGGCCTGGACGCGGACCAGCTGGACCGGCTGTCGCGGTCGCTGCCCTCGGCCGGGGCGCTGCTCGAGCCGGAGCCGAGCTACCTCGCCGTGATCCGGCCCGTCTTGTCCAAGCAGCAGCAGCAGCCCACTGGCAGCAACGTCGCGACCGCGGCGGAAGCCAGCGACGACGACGTTGCGCCCATGTCCCCCTCGCCTTCAACCTCTGCCCCATCCCTGGTCTCTGCGCCCGCGCCATCGTCGTCTTCCTCCGACGGGCTTGACGGACCCCCCGGAGAGACGTCGCCGCTGCTGCGCCCACGCGCGGCCTCGCACGGCGACGACAACGACGACGACGAGCCCCTCCCCCTATTCCTCAACGACATGTCGCCGGGCCGCTTCTGGCTCGTCTTCTCGCAGGTGCTCGCCGCGCAGTTCATCGGGTGCTTCGACGGCACCATCATGGCCAGCTCGCACCCGGTCATCACGTCGTACTTTGGCGCCGCAAACTCGGCCTCGTGGCTGTCGACGGCCTTTCTGCTGGCCTCCACCGCCGTCCAGCCCCTGCTCGGCCGCCTGTCCGACGCCGTCGGCCGCAAGCCCCTCTTCCTCGGCTGCATGGCCGTCTTTGCCGTCGCCACGGCCTGGTGCGCGCTGGCGACCAGCATCGAGAGCTTCATCGTTGCGCGCGCCGTGTGCGGCATTGGCGCCGGAGGGGCAGTTACGCTCGGGAGCATCATCACCAGTGACTTGGTGCCCATCGAGTGCGTTTTTGCCCCCTGCATGAGAACAGCGCCGTCTGGGCATGATGCATGCTGACCTCGCCGATCCGCAGACGCCGAGGAGCCTACCAGTCGTACATGAACGTCACGTACGGCGTCGGCTCCGCGCTCGGTGCCGCGCTGGGCGGCGCCATGGCCGAGGCGCTGGGGTGGCGGTGGGAGTTTGGCGTCCAGATCCCGCCGCTGGTGCTCTGCGTCGGCGTCTCGGCCGTCGTCATACCGCGCGGGCTGGGCGTCGCGCGCCACGAGGGCGGCGGCGTGTGGCGGGCGCTGCGGACGTTTGACGCCGCGGGCTCGTTGCTGCTGACGGCGTCGGTGTCGTTTCTCATCCTCGGCTTGGTGAGTCCAAGGGCCCCATTTGAGACCATGGCCTCTCCGAGGCAGCCGAGAGGGAGCAGCGCTGACGAGGGAGAAACCAGAACCTGGGCGGCAATGTTCTTCCCTGTAGGCACACTCGCACCCCTATTCCTCGCGGCGCTGCTCCCCGAGTCGACTTCGCTGACCCAGCTCGATGACGGAAAGGGGCTCACCCCCTCGTCGTGACCTCGCTCGTCGTCTTCGCCCTCTGCTTCCCCTGCTTCATCGCCGTCGAGTCGCGTGTCGCCAAGCCCATCATGCCGCTGCACCTGATCCGCCGCTCGCCACGCGCAAACCTCATCTTTGCAAACTTCATCGCCGCCCTCGTCTCGAACTCCATCTTCTTCAACATGTGCGTGCCTTCCCCCCCCCCGTCTCCCCTGTCGTTGGCCTCCTTGTCCCCGCTGCCGTCTTCCTTTCCGGGAGGGGACTGGGAAAAGAGGAGAGAGAGAGAGAGAGAGAGAGAGAGAGATGATCTAAAAGGGGTCGCGAGAATGAGAGCGCGTGAGAGACAAACAGCCCCCTCTACTTCCAAGCCGTCCTCCTCTCCAGCGCCACCGCGTCCGGCCTCCGCCTCGTCCTCCCCTCCGTCGTCGCCTCCATCGCCGGCACCAGCACCGGCTTCGCCATCACCTGGTCGCGCCGCCTCAAGTGGCCCCTCGTCACCGGCACCCTCTTCTACCTGGCCGGCTGCCTGTGCCTGTGCCTGCTGCGCCGCGACCTCCCCTCGGCCCTCTACCTCGTCGCCCTCGTCCCCTCGTCCCTCGGCCAGGGCTTCCAGTTCCCCGGCACCTTCATGGCCATCCTCGCTTGCTCGCCGCAGTCGGAGCAGGCCGTCGTCACCAGCACCCTCATCCTATGGCGCAGCCTCGGCATGGTCCTCGGCGTCGCCTCCAGCAGCCTCGTCCTTCAAAACGCCTTGGTCCATTACCTCGACCGCTATGTTCAAGGGCCCGATCGTCTCCACGTCATCGCCCTGGTCAGAGCCTCTGTCGACGCCATCGCCCGCCTCGACCAGCCCTATCGACTCCAGGTCGTCCGCAGCTACGAGGCTGCCTTGCGCCTCACCTTTGTCTGCTGCGTCGCCATGGCCGCCCTCTCCGTCCTGCTCATCTGGCCCGTCAGGCTGCCGCGGCTGGCGGCGAGGAAGCGCCAGGCATGACAGAGGCAATAGATATGCTCTTGTGTATCATCGAACTCGCGGCCATAGATTCCCGTGAGATAAAGGGTGTTATGTCTGAAGTTTGATTGCTCTTCTTTACCCTCCTATCCTGATCCAGGTGATGAGACGATGCAAACCGCAATTTCTTGTTGTAAAGTGACAGGCTTCTGGCGCTCAGCGGAAAGCCCTTGCTTGGAGTCAATTTATTGCCAATTCCGTTCACGACAAATGCATCGCAGACTGGGCCCGCTCACCAGCCACTCAGTGGTACCCATTCACGCCGCCCGCCCGCAGAGCGTCCAGCTCATCCCTGACCTTCCTAAACTCATCCTGCGCCTGTCTCTCGCGCCGGGTCACGAGACTGACCTCCTCCCTCAGCGCCTCAAGCCGCCGGGTGACGGCCACGTCCTCCGAAATGGCCAGCGTCTGGAACCCGCCCAGCGCATTCCGCGCCTTCTCGAGTGCTTCCCATGCGTCCTTGACTTTGTCCTTCAGCATCTTTTGCCGCTTCTGGTAGCCGCCCAGGTGAAGAGCCAGCTTCTTTTCCATCTTGGTTCCCTCCTCGGCAGAGGCCATGATGGAGTCTTGGGCGGACTATAAGAGGGGCAAAGTTAGCATCCAAAATCATAGACGTCGTAAATGGCAACAAAGATCAGAGCAAAACTCACGTCAAATGCGGCGCGCATGGCGGACTTTTGCTCCTCTTCGTCGTCATTGTAGCAGCCCAGACCGAGCAGCGTCGAATCCGGCGCGCGGCCGTCAAAGACACCCTGTATCTCTGCAAGGCTGGGGCGAGGCTTAGTTTCCGACAGGATCAGGAGGCGCGCGTCGGCGAGGGCGCTGTCGTCGATGTGATCGATCGTGTGAGGAGTGCCCTTGAGTTCAGACCCTGGCAAGGGGTATTTGCTCGCATCGTGGGCCACGAGCGCTGCTGCCTCTCTTGCAATCATGGCCGCGGCAGGGTCCGTCATCTGATCGGCCGCCTTCGCCAGATGCGTCAAGTCGACAACCAGCGGCCGCGGGAGGCCGCGTTGCATGACTTGAGATCTCCGTCTTCGCTCCAATTCTTCTTCCGCCTCTCGCCTCTCCCGCTCTCTCCGGTCACGCTCGGCCGCATCTTCCTGCCGGGCTTCCTCGGACATGCCCGTTTCTTGCTGGTCATCGGGAATTTCGAATTCCCACTCGGTGTCTTTGGGCCTGGGAAGCGAGGCGAGACCCGCACGGACTTGGTTTCGCGCCGCCATCTCGTGCATTCTCACGTCCCGAGGGGTGGCGGAAGTCGGGGTCATGGCACCGTCCTGGTTCAAGGCGAATGTGTCGCGTGGGGTTCGCATGGGCGTTTGCCCCGGCCGGCCCGGCGTTGCGCCGACGCCGTTGGCGCCCCTCAGGGGTGTCGACATGGGATTCGGCGTAGCCACCGTCTGTTTCCGGGGAGCGATGCCCTCGAAGCCCGTCGAACCTGCTCCTTCATGGAGAGGAGTGTTCTCGCCGCCCAGCAAAGCCGACTTGGTCTCGTTGAGAGCTCGTATGTTTCGAATCTCGTTGGCAATGTGGTCTTCCTGTGCTGGCGCCTTTGGCGTCCGGATCGGAGCGTTGGTGTTGAGTGTGGAATACGAGTTGACCAAGCCTCGGGTCGCGTCATTGTCGCTCTCCCTGGCCATTGTGTTGGCCGCCTCGCCCATCTTGCCCATCTTGATTATTTCTTCCAGTTCGCCGTCGTTGACCTGCGGTGCCGGCAGGTTCAGGGCGCGACGCTTGCTATTCTGCTCGGCCTCACGCAGCTTCTGCATCTGGCCCGCCTTGATAGCCGCCTTTTGCGAGTCCGACATGCCTTCCTTTTCATTCTTCCTCCTTTTGCGTTCGCCATCTTCATCACCATCGCCCTTTCGCTTGGTTGCAAGCTGCTGCTTCCGAGGATCGAATGCCTGGCGCTGCAGTTCGTTGCGGGACAGTTCGTCGAGAGTGTCGTAGAAACCGGGTGCGGCCTTCTTCTCGAATGGGATGTCGGCGTTGTAGTCCATTTCGCCCTTCTTGCGAGTCACCACCTTGATGTTGATGCCGGCCGTCTTGAGCTCTCGGCGCTTCTGCAGCGAGGCCAGACGACGGGACTCCTCCTGCTGACGCTCGCGTGCCTTTCTCTTTGCTTTTTTGCCCTGCGTGTTGGCGAGGCGGGCTCGAGCCTCGCTCAGCATTTCCTTTTCGTCCTCATCGAGATCGATGGTGTCGGGGCGGGCGGGCTTGGTCTCCGGGTCTGGGTCGAGCTCGCCCGGGCGAAGCCTCCTGGTGTCAGCAGCGCTGGGAGCCTGCGTCTCGCCACCCTCGGGGCCAGTGAGGCCAAGAGTCGAGGACTCGCGGGCCTCGGCTTCGTCGAGGAGCTTTTGGTATCGCTCGAGGCACTGGTTGGCGGTGCGGCCGACAATGGGGGCAATGGTGCGCCACTGGGTGGGCATGATTTTTGCGAGGTGCAGAAGCTTCTCATCCTCTTCCTTGCTCCATTCAATCTTCTTGATGCTGGGGTCAAGCCATTCGTTCCAGCGAGCTTTGCACTGCTTGGGCGTCTTGCGCGCCAGCAGCGAGGACACGCGTGCCCACTGGTTGAGTCCATACTTGGAGACGGAGGCCTTGAGGATCTCGTCCTCGATGTTGGTCCACACCCCTCCCTTGACGACGGGCATTTTGGCGGTAGGCAGGTAAGCCGTGGTTGTTTAACGGAGGAAGTGGGAGTGGACAAAATGCGCCAAGACGAGGCTGTACTGTATGGAGTATGGAGTTCAGCTGGGCATTGCTGAGTCAGATGTTGATGACATAATCACAGATGATCGACTACCAGCCGTCGCCGTTGACATTTGCAAGTCACAAGAGAAGGACGACATGCCGAAGCATAGATGGACGAAACATAAATACATCAGCCAGTGACTGCCCCCCCGCTCCTTTGCGTCCTCAAGATTGGATGAGTCCCGATACATTTGGAATCAACGAACTTGTCCCGCTGTTTTGCTATGTCACGTGACTCCCGTCCTCAATCCCGATCGTCGGTCGAAACCGGTCTTGACCCAAGAGCTGTCCTGGCCACTTGACAAGGCGCCGGCTGCCACCAACTTAGGCGACATGCAAGCAGTGAGCAAAGTCTGTAGCTGGGGAAGCTGGCCGGCTCGCTGGAGCATCGATTTTCTCTGAGGCGGAGGCTGCGGTGAGCTCTAGTCTGACTCTGCGACATTTCCTGCCTCCATATCTGCCTCATGCTTACACACAGCGCTGTAGCTTGCCTGGGTACGCATCGCGGAGCATGACGCCATGTCGTCTCTTGCCTCTTGCCCATGCCGTCGCGTCTTGCCCAACATCGTGGCGCATGACGCCATGTTCGTCTCTGGCTTCACTCGCGTGGCATTAGCCCCGCAGATGCCTCTCCATGTATAAAGTTGCCTCGCTGAAACTGGGCTGGAGTTGCTACCTAGCTTCCAGTGTTCCTCATAGGTCCTTTGTACAGTTATGCTCAACCAAGTGTCTTTGGATTTTCCTCTTCTCCGACTAAATGACGTTTATGCGGTGGACAATCCGCGGCCGGACTCGTTGCTTTGTAAAAGCCTGAAAGGCATCCTCATGGCGGAAAAAGAGCTCGCTGCACCATGTCGGTATATGAGCCAATCCCCGGGTCTCCCGTTCAAAGTTTCAAACTACAGTCAAAATATGATTGGATGAGATAAACACAACTGTCTGCCAACGCATTCACACATCGCCTTTGAGTCGAGAATACCAAGAGCCCGGGCGGATATAAGCGACTGGGCAAGCAATCGGTTGAGGCAGTCATACGTACGAGTGGACGGCCAAGTGGACAGTCGAGCAGACAGACGGACAAGCTCACCTCAATCGCTAGGAATGAAAGAGACCACGACCGCGGCAAAGTAGAGGGCCCTGGCGCCAAACAAAAAAAGCCGACGACATAAACACTGGTAGCATCGCTAACCCACCACCACAGGAAACAACCAAGAACGGTCATGGTGAACCTCACAGCGAGCCAGAAAGGCAACACGCGCCATGAAGTCTTTGTAACTCCCCATCTCCCTGCCCATGTCCATTTCAACATGGTTGCTGCGGTAATAAGGAGTCATCGCCATCGGTGGACAGTGTATCCTGCAGAAACCCCTTCGGCGAGCCATCGATTCCATCATGAGTCCGGATATCCGAAGATCAACTGACACATCAGCTGCAAAATCGTCGATGGGCGCCTGATTGTGAAAACAAAGAGGTCAATACTACCGTGTGAGAGCTTGAAGAGATTACAAGACGCAATCCCTAGCGTTCTGCAACTGCTCGAAGAGCATTACTCGCCGAAACACTGCTGTCTCCATTATTGATGGACGGCTTCCTTCAAACATGTCTTCACCGGGTCAGGCGCTTCGGACAATTATCAACGTTTGCTTCATCGCCGCATCAGGGACAATCGTCCTCCGCGCACTGGGGATACGACGATCAGCTCTCCTACCTGGACCATGTGTTTGGCTGTACGTGGTGCTACGCAGATTTTGCATTTGGAGTTGGGGGTTTGCCTGATACTCGCCGACGCTTCATTACCTTGACTAGGTGGAAAGATGTGGGCAGCGGAGAGAGCCTCGACGACCCAAGATGGAAGTCGCATCTCCTTCAACAAACTGGGGTGCAACCTTTGATCCGGAAAATGGGCAGGGGCGTGTTGGCCAGGCGTTTGAGAAGTTGAGAAGACATGGAAATCCTGTCTTTTATGGCGACGCTCCGCCCATCAATCCTGCCAGCATAAAGGATTTATGGACGTATATTTATGAGAAAAATGACAAGTTGATACGAACTTCAACTTGTACATAGTGCAGAACTGATGATCGACCCTAGCTAACGGCATAAATTCAACCTCATTCGGCTCAGCTGGTATGGCCTCACGAGCTAGAGAGGACTTACACCAACCTCACTTTGGAGCTCGGGCCAGGACAGTTCCCATCTTGGAGTATGTACCTCCCGCCGAGACCACAAAGTCCTCGACCTGGAGGCCGGCCTTGGCCTGAAACACGCAAATGATGTCGGAGCCTCCAAACAAGAAGCACGAGATATCGTCTCCCTTCTTCACCACGTCGCCCTTTCTGACCGACAGCTTGACGGACGACACCATGGCCATGCCAATGGGAAGCACCGCAACCTTGCCCAGGACGGGGTTGTCAATGACCACGACGCCTCGCAGCTGCAGGAACTGGTACCCTGGGGTGTTGGGGGCGTCGGGCCCGCACATGATGCGGATGGGCCGGCACTGCGCGTCAACCTCGAGGTAGGCCGCTCCCTGGACGTTCTTGGCCTCAATCACCTTGCCCGAGACGGGCGCGTGCTGGCGGTGGTAGTTGAAGGTGTTGAGGAACGCGTGCATCCAGACGCCGCCGCCAAACTCGAGCGCGTGCTCGCTTCCCTGCAGCAGCGAGCTGATGGTCCACGGGAGGTTCTTGATGTTGACGATGCCCTCGGACTCGATGCTGATGATGCTTGCGTTTTCTACTGTAACGGGCTGAGCCCGTGAGGGTCTCGGCTCCGCTCTCGACAAGACCCACCGGAGCTCCGCTTATAAGCTCGTGCCATCTTCGAGAGCTTTCCTTTCTTTTCTTTTCTTCTTCTTTTCTCCTTAGCTTTAGGATACTCGTCGCAGTCGCTCAGCTAGTTGTCAACACACTCAGTTGAGACCGTTACATTATCCTAAAGCTCCGCTCATCGTTAAAGCCTTTGATCACAATCAATTGGCAGCGCTGTTCAGTTCCCTTTGTGGGTACGCGGAGTGGCAGTAGCTTGGGCAATCCTGTGTGGAACGCCCGCGACGAAAGTGCGTGTGTGTACGGCGCCAAAGCCAGCTTGGCTCGCGTCGCGTAGCTCTCATCTCCCGAGCAAAGGACGTGGAGCGTCAATCTGCTCTCCGTACGGCGTGCGGTTGAGCGAGAAGTACGTGATTGCTGCTTGGCTCCCAGTGTGGACGGCAGCAGCTGGACTAGAAGCCCTGTGCAGAACGTCCAGCCGTGTAGGAAGGAGCCTTCGAGGCGTTGATAGCGTTCGACCGTTGTCGAGATATCCCTTCCGTATCAGACTTGCTGTGTGATCAAGTCGCCCTCAGTCCTGAGAGACGAGGAAAATCTTCAGTCATGGAGGCAATCGATTCCCAGCAAGGTTCTTTTGAGCCTCAATCGATGATGCAAGCCCTGGCTGCAGTGATGGACAAACTAGAAAGTGTGTGTGCAAGCCAAGAGGCCGAACGCGAAGAGATGCGATCGCAGATCCGAATCCTCCAAACAGCCGTCTCAACTCCGACTCCGGCAAATGAACCAGTCGCTCCTATCGAACCGATGTCCGACAACACGCCTCAATCGATCGAGACATCCGAAAGAATCCCATCAAAGAGGGTAAAACCAACCTTGCCTGATCCGCCGAAATTCGATGGAACCAGGAAAAACTTCCGTCCCTGGTTCTTAGAGATGAAAGCGAAATTGGCTGTGGACCGACAGGCATTCGACAATAAAGAAGCACTCTTCGCCTATGTGTACTCCCGGTTGGCGGGAACAGCCCAGAACATGGCCGCTGCTTATTACGAACAGGGCGGTATCGATGGTGCTCGCTCCCCAGATCTGTTTCTCGACTACTTGAACCGTCGGTACGGGGACCCGAACGCAAAGGCACGAGCACTGGATCGACTTCGATCGTTGAAGCAGAAGCCTGATGAGAGTTTCGCCAGTTTCTTCCCAAAGTTCGAGAAAGAGCTTGCCGATAGTGGCGGTGGCGAGTGGGCCGACGTGGTGCAAATCAATTACTTGGAAGGAGCAATTAATAATAGGCTCAAGTCGAGTCTCGTCAGTGCCGTCAGTCTCCGAAGGATTTCAACAGCTACGCCGAGCTACTCTTGACGATTGGCTCGCGCCTAGATAGCCTCAATTTCCACCAACGACAACAAGGCCGCGAGCAGAGGTCAAGAAAGGAGTATGGTCGTTTATCCGAACCGCTCGAGTCCCGACAAAGCCCCGTCACCCGGATCGCCAACCACGTCGTCCCCCCCGTCCGATGATCAGATGGATTGGGAACCCGTGAAAGCAAATCGGTTGATAAACGGCAGGAGGGCCCCGGAGGAAAAGCAATTTGTTCCGTTGGAGGAGCGCAAATGTTACGAGTGCGGGAAGCTTGGCCATCTTGCGGCCAAGTGTCCCGGGAAGGAGCGGCGGCAGCAGAGAGTCAAGGTCCGTGTCGAAGAGAAGACAAGAAGCTCGAGAGCAAAGCACCAAGAGCCCGCGGAGAGTTCTAGCGGGGACCTCCGATGACCATTCGGAAAACGAGTAGCTCCTGACGAAAATCGCCGTCAGGAGCGCGCAAAGGCTGAGGCGGAATGGGCAACTCAGAAGGACGAGATGGACTGTGAAGGCCTCTACGTAAATTTCGGTATCAATCGAGAGTATTTCACCACGGCCTTCGTTGACTGTGGTTGCCTGTGTTATGGGACCATCAGTGAGCGCCTTGCCCGCAAGCTTCACCTGCCGCGTATTCCGATTAAACCTCGAGCGTTGGAGCAGGTCAACACATTCTCACCCGAGGCCATCTGTGCCGTGACCTACTTCGACTTCGATATCGACGGGTACCAGAAGAAAAGAGCTTTTTTCTACGTTGTGCGAGACCAGACCGATCCTGTGATTCTGGGCAAGAAGTGGTTGAACCAGGAGGATGTCACCTTGCGATTATCGCAGAACCTCTTGCATATCGGGACGCACGACCATTGGGTGAAAGGCCGAGACCCGAAGGAGGAGGAACGGTGCAACATACGAGGACAGGCGGCGTTCGTGTTCGCCGGAATGGTTCGCCGAGCAAGAAAGTTCAAGCATCGAGACGATGGAGTGCGGATCTTCGCCGCAAGCCTGAAAGACATTGAGAAGGCATTGACTCCGAGGAAGAAGTCAGACCCGAGAGAGAAGCTGCCCCGTCACTACCACGAGTACCTATCCGTCTTCGACCGCGACCAAGCGGACCAACTCCCACCGCGTCGTCCGGGGTGTGATCACAAGATTCAGTTAGAGAGAGGTCCTGATGACAAGGAGAAAGAACCGCCGTGGGGACCATTGTACGGCATGTCACGAGAAGAGCTCATTGTTCTGCGAAAGACTCTCACTGAGCTACTCGACAAGGGTTTCATTCGAGCAAGTAGTTCTCCAGCGTCAGCACCAGTTTTGTTCGTGAGGAAGCCCGGTGGTGGTCTGCGCTTTGCGTGGACTATCGAGGATTGAATGCGATCACCAAGAAAGACCGATATCCCTTGCCGTTGATCGAGGAAACTTTGCGGTCGCTGTCCAAGGCCAAGTGGCTCACCAAACTTGACGTTATCGCAGCATTTCACAAGATTCGCGTCGAGGAGGGAGACGAGTGGAAGACAGCATTCAGAACACGTTACGGACTCTACGAATGGCTTGTCACGCCATTCGGGTTGACGGGTGCTCCGCAACGTTTCAGCGTTACATAAACCACACGTTGCGAGATTTCCTCGACGAGTTCTGTTCCGCTTACATTGACGACATCTTGATCTACTCGAGCGGTTCGCTCGCAGATCATCGCAACAAAGTCAGGCAGGTCCTTGCTCGACTGCGAGATGCAGGCCTGCAGATTGATATCGACAAGTGTGACTTTGAGGCAAAGAGTGTCAAGTACCTGGGCTTCATCGTCGAAGCCGGGAAAGGTATCCGCGTGGACCCGGAGAAGGTGCAGGCAATTCAGCAGTGGCAGCGACCCCGTTCTGTCAAAGGCGTCAGAAGCTTTCTGGGGTTTGCCAACTATTACCGGCAATTCATTCCCAGATTCTCCAACATCGCCGCGCCTCTAACGGCGTTAACAAAGAAGGATGCGGTGTTTGCGTGGTCGAAGGAGTGCGACAAGGCCTTCGAGGAGTTGAAGGCTCTTCTGACCAGTGCGCCGGTCCTTGCGCAATGGGATCCGGATAGAGAGACGATTGTGGAGACGGATTCATCCGGTTATGTCACAGGAGGGGCGCTCTCGCAAAAGGGCGATGACGGCATCATGCGGCCTGTGGCCTTCTTCTCAAAGAAAAACGCACCGGCGGAGTGCAACTACCCAATCCACGATAAAGAGCTGCTGGCGATCATTCGCTGCCTTGAGCATTGGGACGCCGAATTGAGGAGTGTGAAGTCCTTTACCGTTTTGACGGATCATCTCAACCTCCGTTACTTCACCAAGAAGCAGCAACTGAGTGAACGTCAGGCGCGATGGGCTGAGACGCTATCGCGGTACAGCTTCACCATCAAGCATCGACCGGGCAAAGAAGCCGTCGTACCGGACACGCTGTCTCGACGAGAACAGGACATGCCGCACAGCGCCGAAGATGATCGGTTGCAAGGACGACGTGTTCAGCTGCTGCAACGTAACAAGGGTGGCCTGGTGACAAAAGTCAAGAGCGGTTATGTCACCAAGGGCGACACGGATCAACCCGATGACGCAACAACTGACCAAGACGACTCAATCGAAAACCCTTTCTCGGACCCGGAACTGCAGAAGTTATGGGACGAAGGTGTCAAGAAGCACAATCGTTATTGGCTCATCCGAAAGGCCGTACAGCAAGGCGAGAGGCGTCTGCCGTCGCATTGGGGACTGCCCGTGATGCTCTCGGAATGCTCGATTGACGATGGACAGCGGCTCTGCTGGCGAGAGCGAATTTGGGTGCCGAACCACGAACCCTGCGCACGCGGCTTATGCAGGAGACGCATGACTCAACGCTTGCAGGACACCCCGGACGGGACATGCTGAAGTCCTTGTTGAGCCGCAAGTTTTATTGGCCAGGCCTCGATTCAGACGTGCGTCAATTTGTGAGAAATTGTGATGTGTGTGGCCGAAGCAACATTTGGCGAGAGAAGCGTCGCGGTTTATTGAAGCCGCTACCTATTCCAGACAGGATCTGGTCGGAGCTGTCAATTGACTTTGTGACAGACCTGCCACCAACCAAGTCGAACGGTTCGACCAACCTTATGGTCGTGACGGACAGACTGTCCAAAAGTGTCGTTCTTGAGTCATTGAAGGACATCACGGCCGAGACGACGGCCAGAGCATTGCTACGGAACGTGGTGCAACACCATGGCGTGCCGCGCGCGATCGTCACTGACCGTGGCACGCAATTCACCAGTAGACTATGGCAGAGGCTCTGCGAGCTGCTACGCGTGAAGCAAAGATTGTCTACGGCGTGGCATCCGAGACTGACGGTGCAACAGAAAGGGCGAATCAGGAAGTCGAGAGATATCTGAGGATCTTTGCTGCTTATGCTCAGGATAACTGGGAAGAGCTGTTGCCAGCGGCCATGATGGCCATCAACAATCACAACTCGACGTCGACAGGCCTGAGCCCGTTCTTTATCACGCATGGGTATCATGTTGACCCGATACAAGTCAAGGAGAAGTTACGGACGGACGGAAGGTCCCCAGTGACCAGGGCTGAAAGCATTGTGCAACGATTTCGAGAGGCAACGGAATGGGCCCAGGCGGCAATTGCGTCAGCGCAAGAGCAGCAAGAGAAGAACGCCAATTCGCGAAGACAGCCGTCAGACCAGTTCAAGCCTGGAGACAAGGTATGGCTGCGACTTCGCAACATCCGATCCAATCGGCCATCCAAGAAGCTCGATTGGCTGTCGGCCAAGTACACCGTCCTGGAGACCATTGGGTCACACGCGTGCAGGCTGGACACGCCTCCGGAATACACAACGTGTTCCACGTGTCGCTCTTACGCTTAGCAGCGGACGATCCGCTACCGTCACAGACGTCGGATGACTACCGCCCACCGGCCATTTTGACGGACGATGGCGAGCTGTGGGAAGTGGAAGAGATTCTGGACAGGAAGAAAGTCGGAGAGAGTGGAAAGTGTTGGTGAAATGGGTCGGATGGATAGGTCCGACGTGGGAGCCAGTCAAGTACGTCGCAGACACAATAGCACTGGCTAGGTATGAAGAAGTTCATGGGAAAGTTGGATCGAAACCACCCCAATCGAAACGATCGAAACGGGGAGGAAGGAGGGGTTATTGTAACGGGCTGAGCCCGTGAGGTCTCGGCTCCGCTCTCGACAAGACCCACCGGAGCTCCGCTTATAAGCTCGTGCCATCTTCGAGAGCTTTCCTTTCTTTTCTTTTCTTCTTCTTTTCTCCTTAGCTTTAGGATACTCGTCGCAGTCGCTCAGCTAGTTGTCAACACACTCAGTTGAGACCGTTACATCTACCGAGTTGTCGTAGGTGCAGTCAGCTGGGTAGACAATGACTCTATCGTCGTTAGGCGAGTCGATGGGTCTCGCGCCGTGCTTGAGGTGGCGGGCAAAGAACTCGTTAAAGGTTCGGAATCCGCCCGAGGGAACCAGGGCTTCGTCGAAGTTGTACTTGGGCGAATTCTTAAACGTCTCCAGGGACTCTTCCGTGAGGGAGGCCGGCGTGTCCATGAAAAGCCCGATGAGCTGGGCGTAAACGACGATCCAGGAAGACAGCCAGGTCAGCGGCTGGCCGACCTGGTCCGGATAGATTGCCGTCTGGAGCCCCAGCAGCGGCGGCTGGTGGAAAATAAAGTAGAACATGCAGAGGATGTCGTAGATATCCTTGCCCTCAAAGTTCTCGTGCGGGATCCATTTGAGCAGATCGTTGGAAAAGACGAGGAAAGAGCGGGCGTCTTTGATTTTCAGCTTGTCCATGAACTGGGGAATCTGCTTCCGCGCTGAGACCACCGCCGCTTGAAGGGCACCCTAGTGGACCTCTTCGAGATAGCCGACGAGCACAATGATGATGGGGTTGTAGATGACTTGGTCGACATCAATGATTGGCACAGGCGCACGGGGGCGAGATGGCGGCGGCTGAAAGCCGATTTCGCGATCAGGAGCAGTGGGCAGACCAGACATCTTGTTCAGGTTCGAGGGTTTTTGGTGTATGCAGAAGTGCAGATGGAAAGCTGTCAACTATTGGGCTCGCTTTGGTGAGAGGAGATGGTCTCTGCCGAGATTGGCGAGTCCTAGGTGATTTATAGGTGTGGACGTGTAGGCACCGACATGGGATTTGAAAAGGCGAGCTTCAGTCCACCCGTGGCTTGTGATGTCTGCTGCCGAATTTTTCCGGCAGTTAATGACCCAGTGTGGCACAACATTGCCTGGCGAGTATGAACATCCACCGTCATATCCAGGCTTGGAAATCGATCGTACAATCGATTTGATCGAATCGATTAATCGAATCGATTTCGATTTCGATCGATCGATTAGAAGTCCTGCTCGATCGATATCGTATCGATCCAACCTCCAATCGATCGATTTGATCGTCGTTCGCCATGTCCATACAAGGTGTCCAGGGTAGGCTGCGTAGGTTGGATGCGTGACGATGCTGCCGCCCGACGCGTCTGCCAAACACCCTGGCAAACGACCGGGGGTCCCAGGCAGCCAGTCATATCTATCTTGTTGCCGCGCGTCGCGTGTCGACAAAAGTAAATTGATCTCTCCGTCTCTTGCGTTTGCAAGTCCTCCCCGTTCAACGGAATCAGTACGCGTCGCAACCAGGAATTATTTCGGGCCTCAGCCTGTCCGAGTAGACTTCATACAGATTCGACCTTATCAGCCTCGCACCCTTCGATTTGACCTCGCCCACATTGTTTACGGACGTTTCCCACCATGGACGCGCTTGATGAGGACATAGAGATCGCCTCCTCCACGCCGCCGCCTTCCGAGCCGACAACCAGTTCAGCATCAACTAAATATGCACCCATGGGGTTTCCAGATTATGAAGCTTGGACGACTGATAAATTTGGGCGGTTCCCGGCTTCACGATTTGCCACGACCCTTCTCGAGAACGGACGTGGTGGTGGCAATTCGGATTCAGAATGAAGGACAACAGGTCACGGCCCCACAAGATCGTATGGATCTGCGAGAGATGCTTCCTCCGGGACAGGCCGAAGACAGCACATTACGTCTTCATCGCTTCGACTGGGGGAAGCGTCGTCCGACATCTGAGGAAGGAGCACAAAGTCGTGGTTTGTGCCACCTCTCCGTACCCCATCTCCACGTCGTTCGATCATGCCCGCTAACTTGTCAGCCACCTTCTAGACAACGTGCAGGCTCAGTTACCGGGAGTGGAGGTGCAGAACGGAACCTGCTTGATATGCTTCGCGCCGATCCGACGAACCCTCGAGATCAGACTCTTCTCAGCAATCTGCATACGTTATTCGATCCGAAGATGAATCAACTGCTCCTGCTCGACTGGCTTACATATCATAACCTCCTTTAATGTCGTAAACTCTGAGCGCTTCAGACGACTCCTTCTCTACAACAACCCGGCTCTCCAGGAAGGCCAGATACCAACTGGCAAAACGCTTGTGAATCTGCTACTAGATGAGTATAATCGCGCTCTTGGTCCGCTTTGCGAGCTGCTTCAAAGAGCGAGAAGTATGATTCATTTTACCTTTGATGGCTGGACTTCCCGACAAAACACATCATTCCTCGGTATCAACGCCCACTTTATCGACCAAGATTGGAACCAATGGGGAATCCTCTTGGCTTTGCCGGCTCTCGCGAAACGCCATACTGGAGCAGCGCTTGCAGATGAAGTTGCAGATACAATATGCGCGTTTGGTCTTGAAGACAGGTATAGAACCACAGTCAACACTTCTTGGGTCCGTTAGCTGACAATCTTGACTGTTATCCGGCGTCAGAATCGGGTACTACACGCTTGACAACGCTACGAATAATGATACGGCTGTGGAAGCGCTTGCCGCTGAGTTCGATTTCGACAGGGAAGAGCGTCGCATCCGCTGCGCCCCTCATTTTCTGAACCTGGCCGTCAGGGCTATGATGTACGGCAGCAAAAGGGATAATTTCAACGAGTTGCTTGCTCATTGGGGCGATAAGGACTTTGTGGCTGAAGAGGAAGAGCAGCGCCAGTTGTCCGACGCTATCAATGAGCTGGCGACCGACGACGACTTCTGTGTGCCGAGCATGGAAGAAGGATTCGAGGTTGAAACAGTCCCAGAAGGCAGTCAGGATCAGGACGTACTGCCCGACATCATCAATGGCGAAGAAGTGGACAAGTACCGCAAGTTTGGGCCATTTGGCAAACTTCACAATATTGGCATTGCTCTTCGAACGAGCAGTCAACTTCTCGAGGTCTTTTACGAAGCTCAACGGCAAACCGCTCCTACTGAACCTATTCTTACGTGGGTTCAAAACGTCTGCACTCGCTGGCAATCCGATGAGGCGATGGCCTCACGCGCTCTGCTGAAGCGTACGGCTTTGAACAGGATGTTTTCCATCATCGAGGAACGATGGCTTGGCAAAGGCGGCAAAGAACAGGACAAACCAGCGATACTGAAAGAACAACTTTCCCTTGAAGAATGGAAGGTCGTTGTTGCGGTTCAGAAGATCCTTCAGCCATTCAAGATCGCCTCGAAGCAACTCCAGGGCGAGGGTATTGCTGGTAAACGCTCCACGTCAGGAGGGTTCGATGAGTACTTCCGGTGGTAGAGATGCTCCTGACCACCTCGAACTAGCAGTTCAGGGAGTTATAATCGAAGAGAACGAAGATCAGACCATGAAAGAGGTTCACCTGTTCAATGACATGGACGCAAGAACTCGCAGGGTTTTGAAGATTTACATCAAGCTCGGATGGAAGAAGCTGAACGACTACTATAGCAAGCTGACCTCAACCGCATATGTAGCGGCAGTGGTGTTCCACCCCTGCAAGAAGTGGCGCGCTCTGGAACGGCTTTGGAGCCAACTCCGTCTCGTCAGACGTCGGAGTGGGAAAGAACATATGCGAAGCTTAGCGACAGTCTGGAAAGAGAGGTACAAGAACATGGCTCATCGGCAATCCTGCGATGGTGTTTCAGCGGATACGACTAATAGTGGCTTGGACTATATTGAGCGTCGATTGGCGTTTAGTCGATCATTGGCTTGCCCTGAGCCTCGAGGGCGGCAAATTAAAGGACCAAAGCAGTCAACCGCCTTGCAAGAACAGGACGAGCTTGATCAGTACCTATCAGAGCCGCCGGTGGAAAATATCGCATACAAAACGGACCCAATCGCTTGGTGGAAGGACGTTGGTGTTGCGCGGTTTCCTCGGCTGTCTTATATGGCTGTTGACTACCTTACCATCGCGTCGTCTTCAGCAGGAACGGAAAGAGATTTTAGCAGCTGTGGGAGGATGATAACACCACTGAGATCTCGCCTACGACGCCATATTGTGGCGATGGCGCAGTGTCTTCGTTCCTGGAGTAAAGCTGGCATCTATCAGCCGACACTTCCTCTTGGTCTGCTTGAAGGGGACAATTGGAGGCAAGTTCTTCAACTGATGGGCAAGATCACCTAGATAGGGATGATTTTTAGTATTGATCGATTCGATCGTCGATCGATTCGAATCAAACAGCGATCGATCGATATCGATCGATTGAAGGTGACGATCGATAAAATTCGATCGATCAGGCTCGAAAATCGATCTATAAGATCGATTTCCAACTCTGGTCATATCATGCCTTGGAGCGGGCATCGATATGATGCACGGGCAAGCGACCCAAACCAGATTCAAACCCTCCTCACTTTCAGATTGAAAGAGAGCCCGAGGTCGTAGTTGTTGCCGTGATCCGTAGCAACGGCTGCAACGGCACAGAACTCCCACCTCGGTCCCGGAGTTTGAGTTCCGGGCGAGATGGCTTTTTGATTTGACGAGATGGAGCAGAACGCTGGGAAGTATCCAATCGGACCGAGCACCCGTTGCAGCGACGATCCGCCTTCCAAACCGGATGCTGGTCAAGGGGGAACGGCCATTGGGCGAAGTGACACACTGTTACTATCCTACCCGAAGGCGACTGTCGCCACCGGCCTGCCTCATTGTGAGTGCCTCATTGTGAGTGCCTCATTGTGAGTGCCTCATTGTGAGTGCCTCATTGTGAGTGCCTCATTGTGAGTGCTCAGTCGCCTACCTCAGGAAAGCCATCGATGGCGGGAGACGCGACTAGTAAAGGTGAAAAGGCCCCCACCTCGGAGAATTGCGTGGTTGATGACCGTGCCTGTGATTCGTATCAATAGCGATAGGCGTGTATGAATGGCACTGTTCGAAAGCACAAACGCCCAAGAGACGTTGATTTCACATGTCCATCACGCAGCTGCGGCTTGTCCAAGACCCCGGTCGCCAGGACAATGCTCATGATGGTCAGCGGCGCTTTCTTGCGATTATCGACAATGCTGATGACGTCAAAGGCGATGTTGCCCACCTCGCCCAGTACCACCGCAAGGGCCGCAGCGTCGGCCCCGAGGTTCTTGGACTCGAACGTCCTTGGGGTTGGCCGGATCCTCGGTCGCGTAGCGGTCTGGGACGGGAATGTTAAAGTCATAGCTAAGTTGGCGTAATCTAGCTTGCTGCGCTCTTCGGGATCGCCGTGTCCTGGAGGAGGGCGGCGTAGAATTCACCCTCCTTGACAAGAGTCTATCATGTGGAATTCATCGGCGAGTTGCCATCCTTTCCCAGGGAACCGTAGCCGCGTTTGGAGTCGCCGGGCGGGGAAGGTTCCTTCGCCTTGCAGTGCTTGAGGACAAGCTCTTGGGCGCGACTGACGAGAGAGTCCCTCTTCAAGGACACGGGCGCCCGCTCCACCCCAGACAGGCCGACCTGGAAGACGCCTGCATGGTTCAGGAGGGGATCAATTCCGCGACGAGCCAGCATCGCGCCATTATCAATGCACGGAGCATCGAGGCCAGAACCGCAATACCTGTCACAAACCTCGCCCTGCCCGAAGCAGTAGGTGCAGCTCCTAGGATACGGCTTGCATTCTTACACCTGCCGGCCTGACCATGTTGTTGATGGGAAAAGGCCAAAAGTACCAAATGAAAGCCGCCGCAGCGATCGACAGTGACCTATCCATGGGCAGCGACGCCCTCATCATCTGGAGGAAGCCAAGATAGTCGGAACCGTCCGTGTCCAGGCCGGGTCGAGTTCCTGGGAGGTCAGGGGGGCCGCCGGGATACTCACAGTCAAAGTCGACGTCATCCGGGCCGCTGTTCTCGATCATTTTGACGACATTATGGACGAAGTGGCGGCGGTTAGCCGGCTCCGAGGCCCGGCGCAGGACGTCGCAGGTTGCAGGGCCGGTGGAGAAGACTTAGCCACTAAGGGATGTGATGTTCTTCTTAGAGAGCTTGTTGAAGTCGTATCGCTGCTTCGCATTGTCGTTGACGGACACACTTAGGTTGGGGTTGGTGTCTGAAAGCCCCATGAATGTGTGTATAGTGCGTGTCTCCCAGGCTGGCTGCTAACATGCAGGGACCAAACCCTGGAGTTTCACAATATCGCCCTGCACGCATGATTCAAAGAAGTAATTGTCTTCACCGACCGCAAGCCACGTACTGGATATCATTCCATCGCGTCAAAATATATGCAAACGCTTGCCATTGCCGTGGAGTCGACGGCGTCCTTGGTTTACCGCTCCGAGGCCATTTGGACCGTCCACGAAGGGAACATCCATTGGTGATGCACTGTCCAGCGTATTACCGTATAATCGTCGTGTACGTTATCGAGTGCTATGTAGTCGACGCTTGCGAGCTGTTGGGTCGGGAGGTAGGTCAACGGTGCTATTTTTGTCGGGACAGGTTTCAAGCTGAAAAGGAAGTCGTCCTGGCAGGCTGGGCGCGCACGTGAAATTCTGTATAAGTAAGTACTCCGTACCCCCCGCAATCAGGGCCTGAGAGACCAATCTGGCATCTTTCCATCATTTGGGTTCCATGGAATCCATCGCTTCCGCTCTCGGTTCCATTCCGGCCGTGGTTTGGGGTGAAAGAGCCATTGCTGCTCTCGGGTCTCGAACTGTTTGCGACGCAAGTGTTGCATATCAACATCCCATACTCGCGCTAAGCATGCTACTGTAGAACTATATGCTCATCATCGAGGATGCAGACTACGAAGATGCTGTACAGCAGTTACGATCAGCAGGCTTCCGGGACTGGGCCTGGTCGTACGGCTCCATAGACCCCAAATTATACAAAGGGAGGTTACGGGAGGGTATCTACCGTCGCATCGTCCGCGAATACAGCAACCTAGACCGGAACTCAACACGCTTCCTATTCCCGCCAGACCGGCAGAACATGGCATCTCCTCCAGAACAGGAGTACACAGAATTATCTCCGGAGCATCAGTACCCAACCAAAGTGGTTCTACTCCCATCATCGTTCACCCACATTCGTATCAAGTCGGCTCCGGACGGTGCGCTTACTCGCGACGGCAATATCCTCTACCCGGATAGTTCCCTTCTCCTTCGAAGCTTCGTTCAAACACTAGTGCGGGAGCCCGTCGCGGGTACGTGGACGTCGAGTCTTTGCATGTGGGCCATCTCATACGTGTATGGGGAGCTCATTCTTGATGATGATGTCTTGGACTCGTGTGGTGACGAGGAGGCCAAGGCTTGGTTCAATGAGCGCATCCGGAGGTTCAGTGGTGGCATAGACGGCGTCACATGTACCAAGCGCCTGGGAAGAGTAGGCTACGATGAAGCCCTGGCTAGAAGAGGACCAGCCTGACATGCTGGACAGGAAGACGGCTGCGGCTCCTGTAGTTTATTGCAGCAGTGCGCCGACGACGCGATGGAGCAACGAGTCGGGTATGGGAGCTATAGGATGCTGGGATGATGATGCCAGTCGTCCCAAGCGGTCAGGACTCAGGAGAAACGACGGGTCAGTCTGCACGCGCGCTCAGTGGGGGGACGAGTTGGGGTCAGGCGATTGTTTTCTTGAGCGGCAACGATTCGGCGTAGGGATGCCGCGCTGCGTCATTGTGAGATCCTCGTCGTCTAGGTATTGAGATGGTTGGGTCTCGACGTGGTTGTTTTCTTGCCCATGATTGGCCCGGCGCCTGGATGCATTGTGGCGACAGCCGCAAGCCACCAGCCCGCGGCTGTCGCTTGGTACCGGCGCCTTCTCCGTATCTCCGCCAGCCCAAGGATCCGGACGCTTCAACCGCCGTGAGGCGTACAACAAATGGCTGCAATAAAGACAGACTTGACATCACTTGGCGTCGGTTGGCGAACCTTGGGCGCACAAGCACCCGGGCCATTGACTCCAGGTCTGTCGGGGGATGGTATGTCTTTGGGCTTCAGCTGTCAAAAAAGGCAGGGCCCTGGGACATGCTCACGGCGGAAATCCAGCTCGTCGTTGTTTGGCGTGAGCTGCGCGCGAACATGGCTCCAAACTGCATGAACCACCGATGAGACTGACGTTACGACCATGAGGGTGGCGTCTCCATGTCTGAGCTGGGGCGCACATTTCACGACGCCAGAACCAAAACAAAGCATGGCAGGAGGAGCTATCAAGATCGACTTGATTTTCAATCCGGGCCATCTATTGCACCGTTCTAGGCATATAGCTGCGGCTGACTGGTTCTCGGGCCATCAAGCGGAAGCACCATTTGCAAGGTTGTAAGCTGCCGCGCGTGTCATCGACTTGCTGGCTGGCGGCTCCAGCCGGTGGATGGCCCAAGCACCACCACCTAAAAAAGAATGGCTGCCTGTGCCCCCTCCCGCCGGACGCTTGCGCCGGATGCTTCAGCCGGACGCTTCAGCCGGCCCCTGGCGGCGCAGTAATTAAGTGCAACCGAGCCCAAACCTGCTCTCGCCAACGCTCTGCCCCCCCGACTACACGTCACCGAGCGTACTGCGTGTGCACAGTTTACTGCCAAGGCAAGGGCCCGACGCTTTTGCTGCATCGATAACTACAGTAAAGCTTAGCCGTTGATCGCCTGTTAGCGCCTCCGCAACGTGTTCAGGCTAAAAAGGACCTCCGCTGTTATTAGTTGAAGCTCCTCCGCAAGTCCGCTCCGTGCCCCGTCCTGCGGGTACTGCGGGTAAGTTACATGCCTGCCCACCTCGGACACGCCACAGCTGCCGTACCTGGGGCACAGGAACGACGCATTTACCTCCCCAGACGCCCCGTTCCCGTCTCATCCGCGACGCCAGCTGTTTACCCACCTCCTGCTCTTCTCTCTGACCTTGTCCCCTCCTCACAAAGGTGTCTGGAACGACTTCGTCCTCGTCTCTCAGCCGTCGCGCAACGAGACATGGGATCTTGCCATCGTTGTCTCGGAGCCCCGATGCTCTCTTCTGCTTGATCGCCCTCGCCGCGCCGACCAACCCGTCGCCGCTCCGGCGCATCCGTCTCGACAACCATGGACGGCGCCCGGCACCATCGCCAAGTGTCGCGGGTCGGGGAGCTGAGCCGTCTCGAGCCCGAACCCGTCGAGGCATCCCCTCTGCTCGATGCTGGCGCCTCGGAACAAGACGACAATGGGGCCTCGGACAACAATCCCAAGGCCCGTTGGAGTGGCTTCGACGACTTCGAGGGTCTGCCCTGGTGGCGCGCCCCTTCTGTACGCCATTGGCATGACCAAAGCCGAATGCCGTGTCCTGGAGTCTAATTGCAATGCAGGTCTTCTGGCTGCTCGCCCCATTCATCCTCTTCACACTGGCCTTTGGAGGCATCATAGTTCCCAAGCTTAACCTGTAAGCCAATTACCCTTCCGCTTGCCCGATTGGACTGCTGACCGCGCCACGCAGCATTCTGGATCTTGTCTGCCAGCGCTATTTTGCAGACAAGGCCCTCGCCGACCCCGAGCATCCCATAATCTTCGGCGGCGACAACCCGCAGTGCAGGATCCCAGAGGTCCAGAAGGATGTCGCGACCTTTATGCTCGTCCTCAACTTCGTCACTGGTGGCTTGAGCGCCTTTGTCGCCCCCAAGTTCGGCCACATGTCCGACAGGTATGGGAGGCGACGGCTGCTGGCGCTGGCCTCGTGCGGCGGCTTGCTGGCCGAGCTCGTCACCATTCTGGCCGCCAAGTTTCCCCAGACCATCGACTACCGCTGGCTCATCTTGGGCGCCGTATTTGATGGCATGACGGGATCCTTTACCGCCGGAAGCATCCTCAGCCAGTCGTACACGAGCGACTGCACCCCTCCGTCCAAGCGCGCCGTCTCGATAGGCTACGTCCAGGCCTGTCTCTTTGTCGGCCTGGCCTTTGGTCCTCTGCTAGCCGGCTATTTCGTCAAGTGGACCGGCAGCCTCATCTCCATCTTCTACGTCACCCTCGGCTGCCACGCCTTCTTCGTGCTCTTTGTCGGCTTTGTCATACCCGAGTCGCTCTCCAAGAAGAAGCAGCTCGCGGCTCGCGAGAAGTGGCAGAAGGAGAAAGAGGCTCGCGCCATGCACATGGGCTCCTGGCTGTCCGCCATCCTCAACTCGAATCCTCTGGCGCCTCTCCAGATTCTCTGGCCCACCGGCCCGGGGACCTCGACGCGCCTGCGTCTCAATCTTGTGGCGCTTGCCGTCTCCGATGCCATCATCCTCGGGGCCGCCTTTGCCGTTGGTCCCGTTCTCGTGTTGTACGCCGAGTACATGTTCAAGTGGGGTAACCTGGAGACTTCTCGCTTCATCTCAGCCCTGTCCATGGTGCGAGTCGTGGTCCTCATGGGCATCTTCCCCCTCATCAACTACGTTGGGCGCATTCGCCCCGCAGCCCGCCGGCACAAGCTGCTGGGCATTGTGCCGGTGGAGAGGAACTCGGGAGCCGACCGGCTGGATATTTGGATCCTACGATTCGCCCTGTTTTGGGAGGTTGTGGGATGCTTGGGATATGCCCTTTCCTGGAACGAGATGCTCTTTGTCGGTTGCGGCATGATCACTGCGTTCGGAGGGCTCGGGAGTGCCACAACCCAGGCGGTCGTGACAAAGCATGTGCCCGCGGAGCGGGTTGGCCAGATCCTGGGCGCCATTGGCATGCTGCACGCCATGAGCAGAGTCGTCGGACCGGTCGTCTTCAACGGCATCTACGCTGCGACCGTGGGGACGTTTCCGCAGGCGGTGTTCCTCGCGCTCTGCAGCCTGTTTGTCATTGCTCTTATTTGCAGCTTCGCCATCGAGCCACACGGTGAGTGCGGACCATCGCCCAAGGTTATGGCCGGTACACTGATTGGGTTGTCGCAGTTCACTGGGAAGAAGTCTCCGACGAGGCAGAGGAGTCGCTCAACCCTGCGCAGCAAGCCTTCGACACCAACGCCGATGCGCTGCGGGTTGCGGAGGATCAAGTCCGCGTTCAATAAGGGCCTTGGCTCGCGCCTCGTACGACTCTTGAGGAGATGACGATTTTTCTGTGTATTTTATTTGACGGCCAAGCGTGGATACTGTGGGCTCTGTTGCGCGTGGAGGCTAACTTGCCGCCCGCACGAAACCATGGTAGACTTTGGGTCCAGAGACCAAGGAGGCTTTGCGGATGAATGTCTTGGAGTATTTACCGGTTGGCTCTCGTCGGCAGGACAAAGACTTATAAACTATACTCAAAACACCTCCACTTGGGGGTGCCCCTATTTTGCTGGTGGTCAAATGGTATTTGCTATATTTGACAGTTCCTGATGAAATCTTTTAGCGTAGATGAACTTTGGACAATGACTGAAGTGTTGACTGTCTGTCCATCCATCGCCTTGGAGGGTTGCAAGGGGCTTCAAGGGATTGTCCGATGGAACGGTCGCCTCGACTGGCATGCCCTGCAAACCTTGATGTCCCGCTGATCAGCCCGATGAACCCCCCCGCGAGCCCCACTGGGCAAAATTGAACCCGCGTGCCGCCGAGACCGGCTCCACACACGTCACCGGTTGGGGGGCGAACGCGAAAACCCAACCAACAACTCTCACCGGCCGCGACGGTGCCCCCTGCGCCCTGATACGAGAGAGAACCCTCCATTACTCAGGCCTGTCGCGTCCGCTTGACCTTTTTTGGTGCATGGCAGTATGCTTGCCGCGCGGCCGCTGCTGCTGCGAGGAGCCAGGCCATTCGCGGTGCCTCAGATCGTCCGGCGCAGGGCCATGACGATGACCTCGGAAGGCCCCGTCAGCTTTGGGCCCTATGAGGTGACCAAGCAGGTGGGTAGTTGCGATTTGTACCTGGTTTGGATTGCAGAAGCAAGCTGACAACCAACTCCCGCCGCGCACAGGTCTTCCTCACAACACCGCTTTCCTTCGCCCTCGTCAACCTCAAGCCCCTCATCCCCGGCCACGTCCTCGTCTGCCCCCGCACCGCCCACGAGCGTCTCACGGACCTGTCCCCTGGCGAGACGGCCGATCTCTTCGCCACCGTGCAGCTCACGCAGCGCCTCCTCGCGCGCACCTACTTTGGCGACGCCGGCGCCGCCGCAAAGAGCAAAGAGCCCCCCTCCTCCTCGTCCGGCAGCAGCGATGAACCCGCGCGGCCGGCGGGCAGCTTCACTGTGGCGGTGCAGGACGGCCCGGAGGCCGGGCAGACGGTGCCGCACGTGCACGTGCACGTCATTCCGCGGACGAGGGACGACCTGGGCGAGGGGGCTGCCGGCGACGACGTTTACGTGCGGCTGGCGGCCGAGGCGGGCAATGTTGGTGGCGCGCTGTGGGACCGCGAGAGGCGGCCGGTGCCCGGGGGCGGCATGCCGAGCATCGAGGATGCCGACAGAGCCGTGAGGACGCCGGAGCAGATGCACGACGAGGCCGAGCGCTATCGAGCGACGCTGCGGGACATGGGCGTGGAGCAAGGGGATCGCTCGGCAGCAGGAGGCTCTGCTAGCATCCCCTCGAGATGAAGCTGAGATGCAGGTGGTTTTGAAGACTTCGCAGGCCACAGGGCATGCCTACAGTTATCTTCAAGTTCTGTACTGTGTGTTTGGCTTTGTCCAATGCGCGTACCAGCATTTTGTGCTGAGTGTTAGCATGCATCTCATGCCTGCGGGCCGCAGATGCACGGTTTGCTTTGGGTCTAATTCGGCTCGGGTTCCTCTCGGGGATGCCATCCGACACCGTCAAGAGCCCTTGGCAATTTAGTCCAGGGCAAGCCAATGGAAGGCGGATCACTCATCGACACACTAGATAGTGGCAACATAGCTACAGACCAGTAATGGCGGTGCCAGTGCCGCTATGGGGAGGGGGCCGGCATCTGCGGTCCTGGTCAGTCGCAGGTCCATCGGCGATTCTATTATTCTGTAATGTACAGCACAAAGGCAAGCAAAGAACACACAAATTCACTTGCCAGATCACAACTCAGTGGCGAGAGTGGTAGACGCCACGAACGAGACGCTGCAGAAGCCGTTCACGGACGCCGTCCAACGTTGGCCGGTGCAGCTCGTGCCGAAGGCCAGTCGATTTGCATCGCGGGACAGAAGCGGCGCAAGGTGCCCTACGCACGTCGCACATGGAGAAGCGCTCCGTGGTGCAACTCGCATCTGCCGCGGGAGCAGTGGCGCCCGGCATCATATTGCTTACACATATCCCCGGCTGTTGTTTTACATCGTATATGTACGAAGTAGGAAGCCAGAGACTTGCTGTCTCGACAAGCATACACGCGTGTGTATGGCGCCAACACACCCACATCTAGACGAGGAGGAGAAAAGGCCCGGTAACCAGCTGCCGCCAGCCGCACTTGCTGCGAGGCGACCGCTAGTCTGGGCGGGGTTCTGGAGGCTTGATGTGCGCTTTGCGTTGCAGGGCAGCTGTCGAGGCCCGGCCATGGACCGTGGCGGGACCAAGTTGCGTTTCATCACCAGAAGATGATCAGCCGGCCAGAGCAAGCCAGAAGTCGATATGTAGAAGGCACCTTGTCTGACACGGAAAAGAGTCGGTGAGAGAGGCAAGAGGGGGGCAAGAGGGGAGCGGCGAGTTTTGGTATAGCGTAAACAGCCGTCAAGAGAAGCCGTTGGTCATTCCGCCAGCCAGACAGACGAGCGATCCTCGTCTGAAGGGCAGCTTGGGGCTGACGGTGCAGGGTGGTCGCCGTGGCTCCGAGTGGATGGCGGCCGGTGATGGACAAGTCATGGAAAGAAACGTGCCCGATGTTGACGGCGGAAGACGGAAGTGGAGGGGGGTGTACCAAGTATGCGAGTGGTTGAGAAAAGACCCCACCCAGTGCGATGGAAGCCGTGCGCGGGAGGGCGGGAGCTAGCGCATGGCTGCCCCCCCCGGTCGACCTTGTTGAGGAACCTCGATGGTCCATGTTGGCCCCGCTGGCTCCGCTATCTCGCCCTCTCGTGGCCGGCCAGCGGCAACCACCCACCACCAACAGCTGGAGATGGTTGGTAGATAAGGTAACCAGAGACTGACCTGCCGTGTCGGGACCGGGCGGCTTTCCAGAGTGTCATTGCATGTATTGGGACGGATTCCAGAGGTTGCTGGCTGCCTGCAGGTCCCGCGACTTGGTCTGCATGTCGTGGGCATACGACGCACCCTCAGTCCAGTGCTTCTTGGTAGCGAGTCTCGTCTCGCACGACTGACGTGTGCGTGCAAGAACAGTGCGGCGTCGCTGCCGACGCTAATGTGGACAGCAGCAAGGTGTGCAGAACCGGAGCCGCCAACACGCTCCGATCTGGCCCGGTTGCACGGCGCCATCTCCGCCCACCACCTCTTGTCCCAACAAGCACCGGGCGGCGTCTGCACAGCGTCTGTTGCGGGGCCATGTTGGCCAAGGAGACGCTCCTTGATGCTGCGCTGGATCGACGAGGCGAGTTCTGTAGGCAAGAAGTGTGTGATGATTCGCGTGCAGTAGTGTATCAAAACGTCCAGTCGCTGACGTTGTCGTCTGACCTCGGGCCTGTGCGGGTGGTGGTGTGTGGAAAAAGGGAGAGGCTGATAAGGAGTCCATATATGCACTTAGGCGTGGGCGTTTGCTTGGCGTGTTGGGTCTCCACTGTACGGATATGCACGTATGCAGTCTTTCATGCAAGTGCATGGAGCACAGCATGCACGGTAGCATGCGGCTGGTGCCCCGCCCCGCGTCATTCTCCTACGCCCCTGTAATGCAACCTACGGGTTGGCAGGGGTTGGCAGGGGCTGGCAGGGGTGCAATAGCCTGTACGGACTTGACTCGACCTCGACGCGTCGTCGACTTTGGTCGCGCGCAGAGTTGCTTGGGCTCTTCGACGTGACTTGTTGGGCTTTGGTGGCCATATACCGGTATCTTGGAACATGTCTGCTGCCAAGGGCTCTGGTGTGCATGGGCTTGAGTCCGAGGTGGCCACGGGAGTGTCGAGGCACAGGCCTGCTCGGAGTATTACCCGGATCCAACTGCCACCATCAGGCAGGGCCGTTTGGCTGGCGGGGCTGCCCAAGTCAACAAACTTGCTCTCGGGTACGTACCCATTTGCCATCCAGCTGAGGCGAGATGCACTTAACCGGGTGGATGCCCCCCGGCATCGCAGCGCTGGCTTGCGGCCGGTCGCCCGCAACAGCGGGCACAATGCGCAGACAATCACCGTCGAGTCAACAATGCACTCAACGCCAGTCCGATTGCGGCCAACAGGCACCTTTGTCGCCCATGCAGCACCGAGTCGAGGCGACGGAAAAAAACATCCAGGGTTGGTTGACAGCTTTGTCGTCGAGTGTCTGAGACATGCTGCTGGCCGCACGGTGAGACATGGCAAAACGAGGCAGCAGGCTTTTTTGCATGCAGTCACCACTCACACTGTCTTGCCACATGCAGCTCCAATTGAGCCATCTCGCATGCTTCGCTTTTCTTCATAACCGCCCCTCGAGTTGCATGCGACACTAGGCCCGGTGGAGGGGGCGTGTGCATGGCGGGCGTGTGGATCCTCGCTCCTAGACGCCGATGGCCCGCCTGGCCTTGAAATACTCTCGCCGCCGCTTCCCCTCCTCGTCGCCCATCTCGAATCTTCTGCTCCTCCACCGCCAACCCATTCGCTTGTCCTTCTCCCCTCCCCCTCATCCAGCCCCGTGGCAGCTGCTTCTTTGCCTCATCTTGCAGAGATTTAATCGTCGCATCTCCAGTGTCAACACAAAAGCGCTTGTCTCGCTGCATCGCCTCGACACGGATGGAATAAGAAAACAAATATCTCAGGCCATCGCCCCACGCTCTCGCCCCACGCTCTCGCCCACAAGACACGCCACCCGACGACGTACACAAACACACGCGCTGACCGACTTGGTGCCTGTGTTTGCTGTCGTAAGCGCTCGCCTCGCGGAGAAGCCATGACCCTAACAAAGCAGGCCCGTCTTCGCAACCCCGACGATTTCCCAACTCTCCAGCTCTTCTTGCTGGGTAAGCCGACCGCCTCTCTACTGCCGCCCGCGCCTCGCTAACTTGCCACAGCCATTGTTCGCCTTGCCGAGCCCATTGCCCTGACCTCCATCTTCCCCTATGCCTGGCCTCTTGTCAAGAAGTTCAAGATCGGCAATGAGCAAGATGCATCCTTCTACGCCGGCCTCCTCATCTCCTCCTTCTCCCTCGCAGAAGCCCTCATGGGCATGTACTGGGGCGGCCTCTCGGATCGAATCGGCCGCAAGCCCGTCTTGATGCTGGGATGCGTCGGAACCATGTTGAGTATGATCATGGTAGGCTTCGCCTCCAACATCTGGGTCGCCTTACTCGGAAGAGCCATAGGTGGTCTTCTCAACGGCAACATCGGAGTCATCCAGACAATGGTCGGCGAACTCGTTACCAAACCTGAACATGAACGTGAGTCTCGTCTCCCGACCGGTCGCCGATCCGCAAATGTGCTGACCCACGTCCAGCTCGCGCCTTTGCCGTCATGCCTTTTGTCTGGAGTATCGGGACCATCATCGGGCCGTGCATCGGCGGCACCTTTGCCGATCCTCACTCGTCGTGGCCCAAAGCTTTCCCGGCAGGTGGCCTCTTTGAGCGCTTCCCCTACCTTCTTCCCAACCTCCTCTGCGCCGCTCTCCTCCTCATCAGCATCGTCCTGGGCTTCGTTCTTCTCGATGAGACACACCCTGACATGCAACCCCGAGTGCTGCTGCCGGCAGACACCTACGTCTCGGAGGAGACTCCGCTGATCGAGACTTCAGATGCCATGAAGCGCCCGGCGGTCGACTTGCGAGCGGAGACGTATGGCACTATGCGGAGCTTCAATGGCGAGCCTTGCGAGGACGAGCGGCCCGAGATGTCACTGGAGAAGGCTGGAATCGTCAAGACTGTCTGGAACAAGCGCGTCGTCGGCTTCATTGTCGCCTTGTCCATCTTCACCTATCACTCCATGACTTACGACCACCTCATGCCAATCTTCTTCGAGGACGAGCGTCTGTCCCCGGCGACTCTCGCCCGCATCGGCCTGGCGTCGCCCAAGCTCTCTGGCGGTCTGGGACTCTCGCTCCGCGACGTGGGCATGGTCATGGCTGTCAACGGTGTCATCGCCCTGTTCGTCCAAGCCGTCATCTTCCCCTTGGCGGCAGAGAGGGTCGGTGTGTACAGACTCTTTCTCATTGTCACAGTGTTGCACCCCATTGTCTACGCAATCGTCCCCCTGCTCCTCCTTGTACCCCAATCATACATCTTCCCCGCCATCTATGCCTGCCTCGCCATCCGCAACATACTCTCCATCACGCTCTACCCTCTCCTCCTCATCCTCATCAAGGAGGCTACGCCTTCCTCGAGCGCACTGGGCAAAGTCAACGGGTTGGCTGCCAGTGCCGGCGCCGCATGCCGCATGGCGGCCCCGCCCATTGCAGGCTTTCTCTACACCTTTGGCAGCAAGATCAACTTTACTGCCTTGGCCTGGTACGGCAGCGCTGTTGTCGCGGTGATTGGAGCCGTGCAATGCTTTTCGGTGCCACGCGAACAAAGCTCCGACATGTCCGAGGAGGGTGCAGTTGCACAGCACACGCAAGAATCAATGCCCATCATCACTGAAGTATCAGACGATGAGGAATAATGACACTGGGGTCCGAGAAAAAGTTATGAATTGCAACGGCACAGCCATATGCTACGATCCCTACCCATACCCCTGTTGAAGACTGCCGTCCACCCTCGCCACCTGCTCTCGTACCCGAGGCGTCGAGGAAACAGTTGACGATGTTACAGTTTCAATTTCGGCTACTCGGAGTTTAAAAAGGTTATGTTTGAGAGAGATGGGGTCTTGATGATTCTTTATGTGGCGCTTTTTGTCATGTTTGGGAGGTGCTTTGGCTAGGATATATCCATGGGAAACCGTCGAGAGCATGAAGCGCTGGCATGGTTTGGGGTTTGGAGTTTGACGCCAAAAGTGTATTCTATCTTGGCGGCTGCCTCAAATAAAGTGAGGCAAGCCAGGTATATAGCACGTTGACAATAATTGACGTAGTTCAAGCCAAAACTTGTGCGCGACGTGCCAGACGCTGGTGAGATGGCATTTGCGGATTGAAAAGCCGCGAAATGAAAGGCCAAGAAAGAATGCAACTGTCCAGGATGGTAGTACGGAGGGAGGTCGAATTTCGAGATCGTTTGAAGGGCGATTGGCTAATGATGGGAAACGAGACGAAATCACTCATCCGTTGCTCGTTGGAGACCCAAAAAATATATTAATAGTCTTGCCGCTTCTGGAAAAGTCGGCAGAAACGCCCGGAAAATTTCAAACGTCAACTGAAGCCACTTGGGGCAGAGAGTCAGTCCACCACCGACGAACAAGTCGATCCGCTCTAGGGTGTTTTCTTTCCAAAAGCGCGCGAAGCAATCCGTGGAAGGGCCGGCTTTCATCAATTAGATAGACAAAGTCCGAGTGCAAGGGAGGGGGCGGGACAGAGCAACGGGCGAGGACCGGCGGCGTCCCGCAAAATGCACGTCGACCAGCTCACCGAGGAAATGGAGAGGGCCATGAGCGTGTCCAAGCCAGCGGGCAAGGCTGGCGGCCCGCCGTCGCCGTCGTCGTCGCAAAGCGTCACCAGCGACAGCACCAAGCCGGCGCTGCCGCCGAGCATGGCGGCGGCCAAGGAAGACAAGGGGAGCAAGGGGAGCAAGACGGTGGACGAGGCGTGGGCGGAGCTCAACAAGTCGCCGCTCTTCATGACGGAGCTCGAGGAAAACGACGACATTGCGGCGCTGCAGGCGCTCAGCTACGAGGGCACGGCGCTGGAGAACGCGGCCGACTTCAAGGAACGCGGCAACGAATGCTTCAAGGTCCGGGGCTACGTCGACGCAAAGGAGTTTTACGCCAAGGGCATCGCCATCCTGGCCGCCGAGGAGCGCAAGCGCGCGCGCGGCGAGCCGACGACCGACCCGGCAGGCGAGCCGGACTCGGAGGAGGAGGTGGGCCGGCAGAGGGAGATGCTCGAGGCGCTGTACGTCAACCGCGCGGCCTGTCACCTGGCGCTCGACAACTTCCGCAGCTGCTGGCTCGACGGCGCCGCGGCGCTGCGGCTCAACCCGCGCAACGTCAAGGCGTGCTACCGCAGCGCGCGCGCTCTCCTGGCCGTGGACCGCATCGCCGAGGCCGACGACGTGTGCGCGCGGGGGCTCGCGCTCGAGCCGGACAACGCGGCGCTCACGGCCGTGGCGGCCGACATTGTCGCCCGGGCGCGCGAGCTCGACGCCCGGCGCAGGCGGGAGGCGGAGCGCGCGGCGCGTGACGCCCGGCGCGCAAAGCTCCTGGCCGCCGCGCTGGCGGCGCGCAACATCCCCACGCGCTCCACGGGCCAGGCGCCCTCCGACATGGGCGACACGCGGCTCGCCCTGGTGCCGGACCCGGACGACCCGCGCAGCACCCTGTCCTTTCCCGCGCTGCTGCTGTATCCGCTGCGCCTCGAGTCGGACCTCGTGCAGGCCTTTAACGAGACGCACTCGCTCGATGACCACCTGGCCTACATGCTGCCGCCGCCCTGGGACCAAGGCGGCGACGGCGGCGGCGGCGGCGGCGGCGGCAGCGGTGGGGAATATGCTACCCCGGACGCGGTGTCGTGCTACCTCGAGACGCGCACCGGCGGCCTGCTCAAGATGGGCAAGCGCGTGCCGCTGCTCAAGGTCCTGGCCACAGGCAAGATCGACGTCGTCGACGAGGTGCTGCGCATCTTTGTTGTGCCCGTTGCAAAGGCCGATGGATGGGTGGCCAAGTTCAAGGCGCAGAGGGCGGCCGAGAAGGGCGCCGCGTCGGCGTCCACGTCATGACGGGGGGATGAAGACTGAGAATGAGGCGGATGGATGCCCGACAGAGGCTGCACAGACGCGACTTGATCTGTCGAGACTGCGTACCCGTGTCTATTTTGAATGTCTATCAGACCCAAAAGATAGTCGGACTCTCGACACCCAAGAGAGAGCCCAGGGTCAGTGGCTTCCGCAGCGTGACTCCAAAGAAACAACAAAACCGGAAACGAAACCCTCTCTAGCTCTATTTCTTGCATCAGGTCTGCAATAACCGTCTGCTAGTCATCCCGCCCCGTTGCATTTGTAAACGCAGCCGGTCTTATCAGAGAGGCACTTTCTCCACTTCTGTGTGTCATGTCGCCAACGTCTCGCACAAATCCCAAGAAAACAAGAGACCTCATTTATCCACAGCATCTTCAACTCGCGTTTTCCGTTCTTGCGTGTCTGAGGTGTGTCGCATGGCCGCCCACGAGAGGATCCGCAGCGGCGCCCAAGCCTGTCGTTTGTAGCTCAACCAGGACCGCCGCCGCAGCGTATTCTTCTCTTGCGCTGCGGGCCATCTTTCCCTTCCGCCCATGATCGTCGTTTTCGTGTTTCTGCCGTACCGTGGCGTCAAACCCCACCCTGGCTGCCTTTGCTCTCGTCGGAGCGTACGCATCGTTCGAGCATTCTTGATCTGGCCGCCGCCGCTTGATGACCCAGGGCTCCGTGGCCGTTCCGGGCCCTATCACAGCCCGATTTGGGGAGTTGGGGACCTGGGTACGATAAGTAGGTTGGTACATCTGATGTTCACGGGTCGAGCGGTTGATTGGAGGGAGGCCAGTCTCACTGCCGTAGCGTGGGCGTCTCGTTCCCGTGTTGGCCTCCCCACGGACCGAGATTCCAGGATCAGGAGGCGGGTTGCAAGTGGCAATGCGAGGAGCTGCCCGGGCTAACGGGCGAGGAGAGGCTCCAAACCACGAATGTGCGTGGTGAACAGGCCTCAGAAACGAGTCTCCTTCAAGCCGACGCTGGCTCACAGATCCGTTCAGAGCCGCTTCCTTTCTCGATTCGTAGGCGTGACGGGATGCTTCAGCCTCCATCGTCGCCTCGACGACAAGTTGATGGCTGATGACCATGTCTCCGAAGAACTGAGAATCGGGCGGCGTGCATTCCAACGGGAATTCGGGGCCGAATAAGGGGATCAAAGCCCCAGCGATATCGTGGCAGAACGTTGCACAGACGGCTCGGGCACATCGATACGGCATCCAGTACCCTGGGATCTCGCATGAGCTCGAATCATGGCGCCGCGAAATGCACGACATACCTTGAGCGCTTACTGAGCCCCCGGTGATGCTGGGAGATATCTCTCGTAGCCCCGGGTTCTTCTCCAGCATCTGGGACGGTTTGGTCCATTCAAGAGGTCAGCGCCGTCGTTCACCGGAGTGTTGGATCTAATGGCCTACCTTCGGATATCCCAGACATTTGAAGAACGGCGTCATGCGGACGAGGCCTATGTTGTAGTCCCACATGACCTTGTAGGTGGCCTGTTGGCCGGGAACCCGAAACTCGTACTTGAAGGCTTCGGACTTTTCTTAGTTTGGGGGGGTGCCGAGGGTATCCGACGCAACTAACCTTCAATGCTTTCCCGGCCAGTCTTTTCGTAAAAGTTTTTCTTCGTACTGTTGTATGGGATGTGTTCACTGCACTGCTGTATTTGACCAAACGAGCTGATCTGATAAGCCACGATTTCCTGCATGATGTGTGCGCCGACATCTTCGAACGGCGGGAATCTAACGGGGCCCTGGGTTCTAGACTTGAGTAGCGATGCGGCGCTTCGGAGAACCGGCCTTCCGAGTGTCTGTCGGGCGTCCATCCTGCCTCTGGCAGCTGCGGTTCTGTCCAGGGCCGAGGCAGACATGGAGGCAGGAGTTGATTGAGGTGAGCAATGAGGGCCTGCATTGGGAGACGCAGGATTGAGAAGAGACTGGAGCGATAACATGGCGAACGCGGCGTTTGCAGGCCGACGAAGAACAACAGTGGTAAGCAACCAGCCGACAAGCTTAGCGTGTCGCCGACGAGGCACCGGGACAACGACACATGGGCAAGGCAAGAGAGGTAACGCTGCATAACAAGAAAGATTTCTCCTCGCCCAGGGAACATGGAGTCGAAACTATAGCGGGGACATGTCTGCCCTCAGCCATCCAGGCCGGGCAAACAAGTAGGGGGGAGAGCAAGAGGGCAGCTCCGTCGGCAGCGCTTCGCTTGTCTGAGCGAGCCGCGGCAAAGGCTCAAGTCACTCTGCTTCCCGGCCCAGAAACGGCTCGTAAGACAGCTCGCGTGGGTCTAACACGGCCGATGCCAACGAGGTCTGCCGTCCGTGGATCAGATATGAGCTCCGGGCTCCTGGTGCTGCTCCGTCATCTCCCTTCCGTTTGTGGGTCTCGGCCGCCCATGTCACGGACCCAACAGACGTTCATCCCAAGGCTGGCGCCCTCAATGGCTCGGTGAGACTCATCAGCCGCGACAAGACAGCGGCTGCTGGAAGAACAGCGATAAAGCGCTCTTCCGTGGAGGGTCTTGATGCCAGAGTCGATACCAGCTTGGCGGCATGGTCCAACGGCCGGCATCGCGCGCTGACGCATCAGACGAACGCAAGCATTGCTGGGACCCCTTTACCGCTGCCACCCCCTCTCCCGCTGCGGCATCGCATCAGCGAAAGAGTGGGAGCGTGATGGCTCCGATGGCGGACAGCGTACGCCCACACCAGGTCACCGTGGCCGGCCAAGGTGACACCTAATCAACGTGTTTCCTCCTAGCCATGGATGTGCTACTCGAGCGAGTTCAAGTCAGCATCCTGGGGCCGAAGTGTACAGGGGCTGATGCCCAGAGCATTCGTCGACGCGCCCCCTCAGGAGGGCTAGACAGTATGTAGAGGGGGCGGGAAAGAAGGTACAGAAACTTCCTGCATGTTGCACCGTGGTACCAGACGAGGAAGTCGGTTGTTTGACATCGGAGCCAGGAAGAGCTTTTCGACCTTGACAGCAGGGGGGGCGGGATTCTGCATGACGGGAAGCAGCTGCAGAAAGCGGCCGATGACACATTAGCAGCATTCAAAAGCCGAGCCGGCAAGCAGACTGTGCACTCGTCAGATGCGCCCGCCAGCCAATCAAGCGCTGAAAGCCGGGAGAAAGTGGCGCCATCGAGGTGTGGTGTGAGTGGCATTGAGAGCATGGGGTCTGGTTGGGCTGCCGGCCGCCGATCCAACGGCCTCGCCAGTGGTGCCGTGGGAAAAACTCGTCGTTGAGCAACAACAACAACAATAACAACAAATGGCACAGGGGCAGGTGCGGCGGCTGTGCTCCGTGTCTGCTGGCATCGGTGCTGTCAAGGCCGTCAAGCCCCTGCAGTTGTCGGCCGTAAGTCGAAGCCATCGCCAACTCGGACTCGGCCCGAAGGTTAGTCCGAGCAGCCCTTGACCTCGTACGAAGAACTTTGCGCCTCGCCGGCTGCTGCAAGCACCGAGCAGAGAGCTAGAACTCTCCGACTCCGCCGCGGTGTAGGCATGCACAATGCGTGGCGATGTGAGCTCTTATTTGGACTGCGCAAGTCAAAGAAACGATGCAGATGGCGTGGGTCCCTACTACGGGGTGCTGCCGATGGTATGGGAATAAAGCCTGCGATAACGAGCTGCATGCCACACATTCCGACATCTCACGCATGCCTCTCTGAAGCTCATCAACACGACATTCCAAAGCCTGAATTAGAATGCTTTTCCTCGGTACGAGCAGAATTCTGGAATAATTCTTCCAAAAATGGCCCGACGGCGACGCTGCTACATGGGGGTTCGTGAAGCTTAAACTATGCAATTTTGAAGCAAGACACGGGGTAGAACCAGATGACAGGCGCAAAGTGAAACATTTGCCATGGACACGTTACGCACAAAGGCCGTCGAGTACGACCAAGCTGTGCTTTCTGGTGGAAGACGACGGATGCGTCGATGCGAGCTATATCGCGAGCCGGGGGTTGAAGCAAGAAAACAAGCCATGCCGTGCTCTCTCGAGCTGCGTCATGTCGTTTGGCTCATTGAGTGGCGAAATTGGAGAGTGATCCTTTCGATTCGGCTGCAGGCGACCGTGGCAGAGTGAGAGACGGCTGCGAGGAGACGTGTTGCAAACAAGCATGCTGCAAAGGTAAGGTGGCACTGAACCGGATCAAGGGAGTGACGACGATGACTCGGATCTGCCTGCAACTGAGAGAGACGAGCGTCAGCTGGCCAATCCTTGACAAGAGCACCGCAAGGAGATTGCCACGGGCAGTCGGTGGAGGCAGAACGAGGGGAGGTGATGGTGGTGCTCGAACACGTGACAGGATAAAACCGGGGTCCTCTTCACGGATGCCTGAGGCAGGGATATGGCTCCCTCCCTTGCCCCGTGCCACCCTCCCTCGGCCCACCCTGGGCCACAGGCGCATTAGTGGCCCGGCGCGTCGAGAAGACTGTTTACACGAGAGACGCCGCTGCACCCACAACAACAACATATCATCCCGCTGGGCTTCTTTAGTCCGAGTCATGTGAATCGCTCCCATCGTGGCGCGTCCTTCTTTTTTTGCCTCGCGACTCTTTCTGCGAGCGCCTTCGATCTGCCGGTCGAGCCGCTCCTTTTCCCCACCGCCCGTTTCGTCAACAACTTCGCTCCCTTTTTCGACGACTCTCTGGTTGACCACCTCGAAAGTGCCATTGCGCAGGCACAACCGGCTCGCCTCGTCCAAGATGGACTCCGATCCCATGGACGAATCCGTATTTAGCCTGGGCGAGGAGTCCGACGGTTTTGTCCCAGAAAAGGCAAGTCATCTGCGTGCTCAATTCACCACGCCAGATCCGAGTGTTGCCAGCTGCCAGCCATCCCCCTTGGCATTCTCGCTAAAACAGCTCATGCCTCAACACTCCAACTGCCTGCGCATGATTCCTCGTCAATCGCTACGTGTCAAGCGGAATCACGGCATATTCATCGCACGCCACGGCTGCCCTCCGTGTTGCTGGTGCGGATGCGACAAGACTTGCGTCTTGACATAGCTGCTGACTCTCCATTTCTAGAAGGTTAAGCCCGCTGCCGCCAAGAAGATGGTGCAGCCAACCTTGAAGGCCAAACCTGCGGCCAAAAAGCGCCAGAAACCCGACAGCGACGACGACTCCTCCGTGGCTGAGGCTTCTGGCTTTTCCAACACGCCCCCGAGTTCCAAGAAGCAGAAGAAGGCCCCGCCAGCCAAAAAGGCCACCGGAAAGCCGTTGGCGGAACTCGAGAATGATAGCATGGTCATGGATGCTCCCTCGAAGCCCAAGACGAACAAGACTGCCACCGAGACGTATCAAAAGCTCACCCAGCTCGAACACATCATCAAGCGCCCGGACACCTACATCGGGTCCGTCGAAAAGACTGATCAGCAAATGTGGATCTTCAACAAGACGACGTCCCAGATGGAATATCGTAACATCACCTATGTGCCTGGCTTCTACAAGATTTTCGACGAAATCCTGGTCAACGCCGCAGACAACAAGCAGCGTGACAAGTCGATGACGGCCATCAAGGTCAACATCAACCGAGAGTCGGGAGAGATAAGCGTGGAAAATAACGGCAAGGGTATCCCAATCGTCATTCACGAAAAGGAAAAGATTTACATCCCCGAACTCATCTTCGGCCATCTCTTGGCCGGTTCCAACTTTGACGACAACGAGCAAAAGACCGTCGGTGGCCGTAACGGATACGGCGCCAAGCTGTGCAACGTCTTCAGTACCGAATTCACCCTCGAGTGCCAGGACAGCGAGCACGGCAAAAAATACAAGCAGACGTGGACGCAGAACATGCAGAAGATGCACAAGGCCAAGATCACTTCGGGCAAATCTGCAGACTTTGTCCGCGTCACCTTCAAGCCCGATTATGACCGCTTCGGAATGCCCGAGGGCATCAGCGACGACCTAGAGGCACTTCTGTACCGAAGGGTGTACGACATGGCCGGCACGATCCGCGGCGTTAAGGTTCATCTCAACGGGGAGCAGATCAAGCTCAAGGACTTCAAGGCATACTGCGATCTGTATGCTAAATCGATTGCCTCTGAGAGGAGCATGGAGGAGGGTGGTGCACCCACGTGCACCGTCGAGATTGACAAGGACAAGACCCATCCTCGCTGGGAGGTTGGCTTTACTGTCTCCGACGGCACGTTTCAGCAAGTGTCGTTTGTCAACTCCATCGCAACGACCTCGGGCGGCACGCATGTCAACTACATCGCCGACCAGATCACGGGTTCACTGCTCAAGGCTCTCAACAAGAAGCAAAAGGGGCACAGTTTGAAACAGACTCATCTCCGCAACCACATCTTTATCTTCGTCAACTGCCTGGTCAACAATCCCGCCTTTACTTCGCAGACAAAAGAGCAACTCACGACCAAGGCGACCCAGTTTGGTAGCAGATGCACGCTTGGTGAGGACTTCCTCAAAAAGATCGCCAGGTCGGAGGCACTGGAGAACATCATGGAGTTTGCCCAGAAAAAGGCCGACAAGATGATGTCCAAAAGCGACGGTAGCAAGCGCTCGAGGGTCAGCAACGCCAAGCTTGTCGAAGCCAATCTTGCGGGTACGAGGCGTGGCCACGAGTGCACGCTCATCTTGACGGAAGGTGATTCCGCCAAGGGCCTGGCTGTTTCTGGGCGAGCCATTCTCGACCCCGACCGTATCGGCGTGTTCCCACTTCGTGGAAAGCTGCTCAACGTCCGAGACGCGTCGATTGATCAGATCACCAAGAACCAGGAGATCCAAAACATCAAGCAGTTCCTGGGGCTGAAGCACAAGCAGGTGTACACAGACACCAAGAGCCTTCGCTACGGTCACCTCATGGTCATGGCCGATCAAGACCACGACGGTAGCCACATCAAGGGCCTCCTCATCAACTTCCTCCAGGTTCAGTTTCCCTCGCTGCTCCAGATCCCCGAGTTCTTCCGTGAGTTCATCACGCCCATCGTGAAGGTCTGGCAGGGCCCCAACCCAAAGAAGCCCACCAAGTTGAAGTCGTTCTTCACACAGCCTCAATACGAAGAATGGAAGGAAGCTCACAAGGCTGAGATCTCCCGATGGCAAAGCAAGTACTTCAAGGGTCTGGGGACCAGCTCCAACGAAGACGCCCAGGTGTACTTTACAAATCTCGATGAGCACTTGAAGGAGTTTCAGGTAATGAAGCCGGATGAGGCCGACCTTTTCGAGCTGGCCTTTTCCAAGAAAAAGGCCGATGCCAGAAAGGAGTGGCTGGGGAACTTTGTGCCAGGCACCTTCCTCGACCATTCCACCAAAGCAATCACGTATAGCGACTTTGTCAACAAGGAACTCATCTTGTTCAGCATGGCTGACAATATGCGATCAATTCCCTCCGTCGTCGATGGATTGAAGCCCGGTCAGCGTAAGGTTATGTACGCTTGTTTCAAGCGAAACTTGGTCAAGGACAAGAAGGTTGTGGAGCTGGCGGGCTACGTTTCGGAACAGACTGCGTACCACCACGGCGAGGCTTCGCTGCAGCAGACCATCATCGGTCTGGCACAGAACTTTGTCGGGTCCAACAACATCAACTGCCTTGAACCAAGCGGCAATTTCGGTTCACGTCTTGCCGGAGGTTCCGATGCTGCCAGCCCCCGTTACACGTTCACGCGCCTCTCGCCGTTTGCGAGGAAAATCTTCTCCGCGCTGGACGAGCCAAGCCTGAAGTACCAGTACGAAGACGGAGAACGCCTCGAGCCTGATGTGTACGCTCCCGTCATCCCCATGGTGCTTGTCAATGGCGCCGATGGTATCGGTACGGGATGGAGCACGTCCATTCCAAACTACCACCCGGTCGACATCGTCAAGAACTTGAGACGCCGCATGGGCCGTCTCGATGACAACGATTCCGAAGAAAAGCCATTCGAGCCCATGATGCCCTGGTTCCGGGGTTGGAAAGGCAACCCAGAGGCCGCCGGCCCGGACCGCTTCAAGTTCAACGGTCTCGCTCAGCAGAATGAGCAGAACCCCAACGAGGTCTTGATCACTGAACTGCCGATTCGCATGTGGACCGATGACTTCAAAGCAAGACTCGAGAAGATCATCAGTGGCGTCGACGGCGCGAGCTGGATCAAGGACTACAAGGAGTTTAACGACCACAAAACTGTGCACTTTGAGATCATGGTGGATGAAAAGTACATGGGCAAGGTGCTGGAGGAGGGACTGCTTGAGCGTTTCAAGCTCACCAAGCAGGTAGCAACCTCCAACCTGGTGGCCTTTGATACTCGCGGCCAGATTCGCAAGTACGAAAAGGTGGAAGAAATCATGGAAGAATACTACCATTATCGGTTTGCCATGTACACGGAACGAAAGGTACGTCGTCTGGAACATGGGGACGCGGCTGACCCGACACTGACATGACGCAGAAACATTGGCTCAGTGTTTATCACACCGACTACCGAAGGCTCAAGAACCAAGCGCGCTTCATCCAAGAAATCATTGACGGAGTCTTGGTAGTGAGCAAGAAGAGAAAGGATGTCCTGGTTCAAGAGCTTCGGGACCGCAAGTACGAGGCGTTCCCTCGCGGGCAAGTCGCCAAGAAGAAGAACGCGGAAGACGACATGGACGGCTCGGACAATGAGGACAAGGATGACGTTGGTGAGGGCGGCGCTCGTGACTACGACTACCTACTCGGGGTGAGACTGGCCCCTTGTTGAGGATATTGTCTGGAACTCACGCTGACACTGAACTCGATAGATGCCCATCTGGTCCCTGACTGCCGAACGCCTCGAAAAGCTCAAGGCCGCCATTGCCAACAAGAAGGCCGAGAATGACGAGCTGTCGGCCAAGAGCGAAAAGGACCTGTGGTGCGCTGATCTGGATGGGTTCTCGGTTGAATGGGACAACCAACTTGCCCTCGACGCGGAAATTCAGACGAGCATCCGCCGGATGGGGCGACGCGTGTCCAAGAAGATCGGCGCCGGCCGCGCGCGCAAGCCCAAAGGAGATGACGACTACGCGCCGGAAAAGAAGGGCAAGGGCAAGACAAAAGCCCCGGCCAAGGCGGAGACAAAGAGCTCGCAGAGATTTGCTGAAATGTTCAGTGCCAAGCCGAAGGTGAAGAAGGAAGCGACGCAGGAAGCCGTGGAGTTGTCTGACAACTTCTCGGACGACGACTTTGCGGCCCTCGGCAGAGGCAAGCCCACAGGCGCCAAGAAGTCTCAGCCTCGATCAGCCTCGCAGTCTCAATCACAGCCTCCATCGCAATCGGAGGAGCCAGAGGTCGGGCGCACCAAGCGGGCGGCCGCGTCAAAGGCCAAGACACTATTTGAGGTATCCTCGGACATGGACGACGACGAGATGCTAGGAGACATCGGAGCCATGGTCAAGGGCATATCCAAGCCGACAGGAGAGCCTGACGGGAGGCTCAGTCTCTATGCCATGAACCGGCCCGAATCTAGCCATGGCAACGGTGGCGCCGCAGCGTTGCCGAAGCTGAAGACGAAGGCATCCAGGTCGTTTGACGTGGACAGCCCTGACGACACCAACTATGAACTGCTGGCCAAGTCGTCGCCACACAAGACGGCAACAAAGGAGGACGTGGCCGACAGCTTCCTGTCCGACGATGACCCCATTGCGCCGTCCAAGGCACCGGCGGCAAAGCCATCGTCATCCAGAGCCGCGGCGTCCAAGGCAGACACAGGCCTGGTTCCAGTCAAGAAAGCTCGAGCCGGGCGTCCGGCCGGACCAAAGAGCAAGCCCAAGGCCGACGCCAAGCCCAAAGCAGCACCTAAAGCCACGATGTTGTCTCCCGCAGCCAAGGCATATGCGGTCAAGAGGGGGGTGAAGAAGAGCGTCTTGGACTTGGAAGACGACTCGGACGATGACATGGCGGATGCGCCGTCTCCCGAGCCGAAGCCTGCAGCACGAGGCAGGCCAGGAAGGGCGGCGGCTTCGAGGCGGCGGGTGGTGATCGACGACGACTCGTCTCTCATGCTGGAAGAAGCCGACGACGACAGCGACGACCCATTCGAGGTTGACGACGACGATGACTAGAGGTACAGCCGCCGAGAGGAAGACAGGTGCCAGTCCACGAGATGACCTGCCGCGGAGTGACGAGTGAATTGGCCGTGGCCACGTACTGGACAGGTCAAGGAGTGGCTTGGCGTTGGGGAGTGAGAGGTGGGGTGACATCATCTTGTCAAGGTGCTTATTTTTTATGTTTGCTCGTGCTAGATATTCTGGAACATGCCACTACCGGTCGCTGCCATGGACCAGTCGCGAAGGTGCTGGGCTGCACGGTGAAGTTGTAAGCCAAATGTGTAAGCGTACCAGATAGGCAAACCGTCGGCTGAGAGGCGAGTTTTGACGGCTATGGAATTTGGCCTACAGAGTAGCCATTGGCTAAGGTCCTCCAGGGGCCAACTTAGTGCTTACACACTATTAGGGTGGGGTCGAAAAGGCGTAGACAGATGTGAAAGTATTTCAATTAATGGAGGTGGCATATACGGAGGAAACAGGGCGTCAAACACGCATTCTACTGCCAGTGTGTGAAGCAAGAAAAGGGCTTAAACCACTACAGCGTCGTCACAACTGAGCGACTCCTGAATCAATATGTGTTTTACTTTCCCGGCTGAGCTCTATCGGGTCGATCTAATGCCATGTCTTTTTATATCCTCATCAGTCGTATTGTTCGCTCTCCACAGTGTTGCCAAATCAACATTATCTGGACTGTGGTGATGTCAAGAGCTGGCTGGGCGGTAATGGGCGCTTGATGTATGCGAGCCCAAGCGGCCTGCTGCTTGCTGATGTGGCAATGCCTGATTAGAGCTGTCTCTGCCGAGGCAGCCACGCGCCGTCCTCCTGGACGGCAGCGTGTCGCACAATGCATGGCCCGACGAGCCCTTGACCCCTACCAGAGGATTCTTTTGGCAAGTGGCCGCGTCAGCTCCTAGCTCCGGCCTGTGATGTATGTCGGAGAAAGTTGAAAGGCATGCACGCCCGATACAACATTTGTCCAACCCCCTCCCTAATAGTGCCGATTTCACGAACCTCCAGCCCTCGCAACGAGGGTCCTTGTCAATGGAGAAGCAGAAATCATGTCACTTCACTTAAGATAGTTTTATATGAGAACCTTTGAAATGGATCGCAGTTAGCCCAACATTGGCCGTCTCTGCCATTTGAATTTGAAAGTGGCAGGACGGGCAGAAGAGGCGCATTTCCAACCTTGGTTCCAGCGCATGCAGCCCGAGGACGGACTATAAGAAGGGGGGGTGGTGCCCCCGGCCATGATTTTCAAAGTCTTTCTTAACTTACAGGTTCTTCGTCTTCATTCTTCGCCGTCAAGTACTGTAGCTGCGACTTGACGCTGTATCAACATGGCATCCGTCTTTTATCCGCTGGCGTTGATATTGTTCCTGATTTTTGTCGGCTATACGTGGACGATGTCACCCCGGTTGCCACCTGGACCTGCACGATTGCCTTTCCTAGGGAATACTCTTCAAATGCCCAAGGCATACCCGTGGAAGCAATTCCAGCAATGGAGTAAGATATACGGCGATATCTTCTCCTTGCAAATCGGACAGATGACAATCATTGTTCTCGGAACTCACCAGGTTGCAAAAGACCTCCTGAGCAAGCGGGCCGTCATCTACAATTCCCGTCCTCGACTAGTGATGGCCGCAGAATGCGTAAAGAAAAATTTCGGAGCTGCTCTTCTACCTTATAGCGAAACATGGAGACAGCGCCATAAGATACAGATGACGTTTCTCAACACGCGCAAGTGTTGCCTATACAAGCCCCTGCAGCATCTCGAAAGCTGCCATTTACTCTTCAACCTGCTGTCTACCAACGATTTCGAGACAGAACTACATCGTTACTCCACCAGCCTCATACTCACGCTGCTATACGGTCGGCGCATCGTGACCGGGCAAGAGCCAGAACTTGAGCAGATCGAACAGCTCCTCTCGGAAATATTACAAAGTGCCTCGTTCGGAAATTGGCTCGTCGATGTATTTCCTCTGTTTAATGTTCTTCCTCGCATGCTAGCCAAGTGGAAAAGAATAGGGGACGACTTGCACCAACGGCAGTCTGAATTATACGAAGGTAGTCTCGAAGGCGCCGTGAAAGCCGCTCCGTGGAACTGGAGCAAGCAGAGCTACCTGATAGATAAACCTCCCGTATCCAGCAAAGAGCTCGCGTTCGTGCTTGGAGATATTTATGAGGCAGGGAGTCATACCACGACGGTCTCTCTAATAGTCGCAATCCTGGCATGCGTTTCTCACCCCGAAGCCATGCGCCGTGTTCAAAAGGAACTTGACGAAAGGGTTGGTACTACATGCCTACCAAGCCTTGATGATGCACCCAGTCTCCCATACACACGGTCCTTTGTGGAAGAAGTTCTCCGGTGGCGAACCCTTGCCCCTCAAGGTGTCCCCCACTCCCCACTCAGGGACGACGTCTACAATGGATATCTTATACCCAAGGGGGCCACTGTTATCTCAAATCAATGGTCTTTTAACATGGACGAAAAGGTTTTTTCGTCTCCAGACGACTTCCAACCTGAGAGGTGGATGGACCATGCCGACCTCCCTCTAGCAGCGTTCGGCTTTGGCAAGAGGACTTGCCCCGGACAGCATCTCGCTCGAAGCTCGCTCATGCTGGTCATTTCTCGCCTACTTTGGGCGTTTGACATCACCTGGAAACAAGGGCAAGGAAAACAGCCTGCACAAATTGATATAAGACAAGAAGGAATCGCTGTCAGACCTTGTTCTTTTGGGGCCGAGTTTAAGGTTCGGAGCTCCGTTCATGAGAAGCTTATACGGGCTGAATGGAAAATTTCTATGGCTGAAAACCTATCGGATCTTTTGAATGGGATCGGCCAGCGGTTCGCAGAAACTTGAAAGGAGTTGCCTCATAGCCGTCAAGTCTCAACTCAATCCCGATTTCAAGTTTCCGTCGATGACTTTACAGTTATTAGCCATGGCCGATTTCAACCCGGCACCGACTGCAACTTGGTACCGATTCGGACCACGTGGAGTTATATATAGCCATGGTTGTACGAGCGCTCGACCCGAAACAAGTCAAGCCGCGGGATATCTAATTTATACCTCTTAGGATACGGATATCCCTAGACCTTATATTATGCTTAAACATAACGTTATCGTTTGATTTCTTAGCTAGTCTATGCGCATGACTTTAACTAACTTATGCATAGCTTTAAGACTAAAGTAGCAACGGACGAAGGGCTGAAGCGGGTGGCCACGGGCTATAAAAGTTATATAAACGCGGTACCTAGGTTCTAGCCTATCGATGCCTCACGAAAAGAATAAGCGGAGGCACTTAAAAGAGCGTTGCCTAAGGGAAGTTAGCGAGGCGGTTAGCCGCTAAAAAGACAGCGTATATTATTAGTATCTTATTAAAGGGGGGCTATTACTAGTTATTAGGTCTTTATATTAAAGAAAGAGGGTATAGATTACGCTATCTTACCTAAAAGAAGGAGTCTATAGGTATAACTATATATATATATTATTATAGAGTAGGTAGAGGCGTATATATAGGTGCCGTCTATAGGATAATATTAATAAGCTATATAAAGCTCTTTTATAAAGGAACCTCTTAAGAAAGCTTATTATTATATCTTTTTAGCTAACTTTTTAAAACTAAGCTTAAAATATAAAAAAAGTATATACTTTATATCCTTATAAATAGCGTATTATACCCCCTTAAATATAGCCTTATATAGCTATTAATAGGTATATAATATACTACTAAAGATTATAAATTAAGCGAAGTTTTCTTTTATATAAGTAGAAAACTCTTCCTAGCCCTTACTAACTAAGGCTATATACCCCCCGCTAATAGGACTTAGCTTAGACCTAACCTAGGACCCTAGCCTAGGCCTAAGGCGGGCCCCTTTAACCCCCCCCTTAACCTAAGGGCCGAAATAAGTATCTTAAAAGCTAGGGCCTACTTAAGAGAAGCTTAAGAAAGCTAATACTTTTTAAAGACCTTAGAAGAAAGGCCTAAGGCCTAAGACTAAGACTAAGAGGATACTAAGATAGAAGATAATACCTAGCTTATACTAAAGACTAGCCTCTTTAAGCCTAGCCTAGCCCTATCTTAGGCTAGTTACTTCTAGCCTAACTAGCTTTTAAAGTAAATAAAAGGGTAAAAGAGAGCTACTCTTAATAGCCTTATTAGCTTTATACTTATCCGACCTATATTTTAATACTTATAGTAAACCTAGCCCTAGCCCTAGTACCCTTCTCTTAAGGACTTATTATTCTTAAGATATATAAGTAATAGCGGAATTTTAGGAAATTAAGGAATTATATAACGCTATATAATAAAGGGGAAGAAGGAATATAAGGTAAGATTTTTAGTAGAATTTATTAGTAGTATATTAGTATATAGAAGAGGTATTAAAGTTAATAATTCTCTATTTATTTATTAGCGGACGTCTAGTCTTTTATAGATAATTATAGCTAAATAGGGGTTCTTATTAGGACCGGGCTTTAGCTTCCTAGAAGTCCTTTATCCAACGGATTTAGTAATAATTTTTATATAACTATAAGTGTCTTAGTTCTTATATTATTTATATTTAAAGGAGGCTTATTATATCGGGGATCTTAGTATATTTTAAGCTTATTCTACGCTAGGCGTTATTTCTTCGACTCTAGATTAAACAATAACTAGTAACCTATTTAATATATAATAATATAAAAATTAACGAGCTTTTCTTACTTTATTAGATAGTAATTTTTCTATAATTAATATACTACTATTAGCTTATATAATCGGGAGAGAATACTATAGCTACTTTATTTATAGTAGGAAAATACGTTTCCTTATAGCCTCCCTTAAAGAGTAGATTTATATACTCTTTACTAATTTATTTATAGTAGTATATATATAAGGTAAAAACCTATTATAGGTAAACTACTCTTATACTTAGTAGGATATATAAAAACCTATTATTTTTTAGGAAAAAACTCCTTAGGTATATACTAATAGGGAAACCTATAGTAGGAAAAATCTATAGTTATATAAATTAAAGTCTTTTAAAGGTAAGGCTTATAATATCTAAGAAAATTCTAATTAATAAAAACCTAGTAAATAAATTTCTAGGAAACCTAATAAAAGGGAAAACCTAGTAAGGTAAAGATATAAAAAGTATAAAAAATATTTAAAGAACCCTTTTTTTAATTACTTAGGAACTTATTTTAAGGATAGAACGTATTATGCACTAGTCCCTTAGTACGGGGCTAGTACGTTAACCTTGCCGTCTGCCCGGATCCGGTGCGGGTCTAACGGGTAATTAAACGGACTAGCTACTGTACGTAGGTTTTAAACGTATTATACGGACTAGCTACCGTACGTTGTTACGCGCGTTAAATACGGACTAGCTACCGGTCTTGCGAGTTAAAGTAAGAGTAGTAATAACTGTCTATATTCTTCTCTGCCCGCCTAAAATCTAGCGGGTTCTCTATCCTCTATATATACTATAGCGAGCGTAAGACCTTACTCGGGGCTTTAACTAAGTAATATCTTAACCTTATAATCGTGCGATAGTGGTGCGGTGTCTTAGCGGCATTTCCTAGTGTTTTCCCTAGGTAGGCACGGGTATTTCTCTATAATTTCCCCGCTATATTCTCGTAGTAACTTCTTAGGGAAATATCAGTATAGTCCCTAAGGAACTTATTATTACTCGGGAAATTATAGTATATTCCCCGTGCAATATGTCCCTAGGGGAAATCTCCGTGAAATGTCCGTGCAATCCGCTTAGTTATCGTTTCCGGGAATTCCGGGTGATTTCCCGGAGTTTGCCCGGTGGCTTCCGGGTTCCTTCTTCCGCGGGGAGCCTTAGGGAGTTAGGGGTGTCTTCCTTAGGGGAAGCAGATATCGTTCTAGGTACCTAGATTGTCGACTATAAGGTATCCCGTAATAGAACGTCTTTAAATTTATAGAGTAATCTAGGTCTTAATTCCTTAGTAAAAATATTAGTAATATTATCTTTTAATTTAATATAAAAGACTCTTATTTCCCTTTCTTTTATACTTATTTTAGTATAATAATAAGCTAATCTTATATACTTAGACCTTTTATAGAATTCCGGATTTTCTATTAGTTTAATAGTAGTAGTATTATCTATTAGAATAAAAGGTATAGTATTAAGAATTTTAATAGATAGATCCTTAGTAATATTTTTAAAAAGTATATTTAAATAAATAGCTTCTTTATTTACCTCCTTAAGGCTAATATATTCTACTTTATAAGTAAAAAGGGTAATAGCTTTTTACTTAAAGTAAGCCTAGCTTATTATATTATTATATATAAAAAAATAGTAACTAAAAAGGATTTTCTATTTATTAAATTTAAAGCCTAGCTTAAGTTAGTAAAACCTTTTATATATAAATAAGTAAAAGGGATATTATAATTATATTTAATTACTCTTATAGTATAGTAGTTATATACTTAAGAGGACTACTAGCTATAATACTAAAGTTAGTTTAGATCTAGCTAAGGGTATAATTAACTTTTAGTTAAACTAGTAAACTATACTAACCTACTTATTAATTAGCTAATTAGCGCTTTTAAAAGCGCTTTTAAATATACTAGTAGTCTAGCCCTACTATAAGTAAGCTAGCCTAGACCTTACTTACTTAAACTTAGTAATTATTATAAAGTAAGTAAAGGTATATATATAGGTACTATCTATAAGATAATATTAATAAGCTATATAGAGCTCTTTTATACGCGGCTAGCCTAAATATATATATATAAGATCCGGCCCTCTATACGTAACTATATAGCTTAGGCTATAGCCTAAGCCTATAACCTATAATAGTTAAAGACTCTTATATAATGCCCTCCCTTAAGCGCGGCGCGGCGCTACCTTATTAATAGCTTCTATACTATTAAGCCTATACCGCTAGCTCTACCCTACCTTTTCCTATTAATTATACTAGCCCTACTAGCCTTATTATCCCTATACTTATTAGCCTAGGTAGCTAGAACCTAGCTTTATACTTATTAGCTAGCTAGCTATTTAAATAAGAGTATAACCTATTATATACGCTCTTAGGTAGCTAGCGGCCGGCCTAGACCTACGTAAGCCTTAGGTTACCTATCCCCTTAGCCTTAGGTAGCCTCCTCTACCTAAGGGTATATAAAGTAGTATCCCTCCCTTTTTCTTTCTCTTCCTTTTCTTCCTTCTTTAACTATAATAATAGTAGTAATAAGTAAGTTCTACTTTACCTAAGGCGTTAGTTCGTTCCTAGCTATATAGGCCGCTTTATTAATATATACTTATAGTAATAGCTATAATAATAATAATAGCTTTAATAATAATAATAACTTTAACTAATAAGTTCCTTGCCTTATAAAGTAGGAGGCTATAATCTATAATACTAACTTCCGCGATAGATATATCTACCTCCCCCTCCCCTACCTCCTCCTTCTTAAAGCGTATAGAGTTATTTATTAATACTATACTAAGTATAGCTAATAATAGCTCTACCGCTACTACCGCTCTTACCCGCGCCCCCGCGACTACGCCTACCGCCGCTACCTCTACCTCTACTATACTAGCCGCCCTTATATCGCCCTTCTAAGTAATAACGCCGTCCTTACCGCCGCCTATAACGCCCGGCCCCTTTACCCTTACCTTTACCTCTACTACCCTTATAAGTCCGCTACTTAGTAAGTATAGTAGCTATTTTCCGTTAACTTCTTAAAGTATAAACGCTAAGTATAGGCTAGAGCCGCTTACGCGGCCCCTTATATATAGTATATATTATAAGAGCTCCCTTACGCTAACTAAGTTAAGCGCTACTATAGCGGTAGTTATTATTAATATACGTATACCGGCCGCGCTTATAAAGCGGCGCCTCCTATCTTA